AGTCACTCTCGAGCACAGTCCATTGTAGTTGTAATTGTGGCGCATGTTAAAATACTTCACTATAATACACCCGAATGACATGCCAAAGAAGAGGAACAAGTACATATTTTGCCTTCCACGAACTTGCGCTGTGCTCAAGTCTTGTTCTTCTCCAACTTGCTGGGCTCGTTTCGATTTGAATTTATGGCAAAATATTGGTTTTGAAAATTATTCTCCCCAACCAAAGTGAAATATCAACAGAGAGTGTGAGCATTGAAAGTGGGTGCGAAAGAGAGGAGAGTTCATTAAGAAAAAAATAAATGAGGAATTTATTATACAAGTTTAGCGCTGCAGGCTACTTTCTGTCTTCACCAGAAATGCCCCAAAATTCCGGCTCAAGGCATAGAACACGTCGTCAAATTTGTTAATTGCAAACCTCCTGTTCCCCACGATTTATATGCACAATTTAGTTGATGTCACACAGTTTTGTGTGCAAAATCTCTCTGCTGCATTCTTCGATGAAAACGGTTTTCATCATACGAACACATTTGCACACATTCTGCAGTCCTTGTGCAAAGAGTGGCAATGTTTTCATTTTGTGTAATTTTATTTTATTATTGTCTGTCTCCTGCCCACTCTTCTTCATTGTCTCCACTCTCCTTCAGATCATCTCTGCCTCTTCATCTCAAGCGCCGGGACACAATTCCATGCGCTGAGCGATGCAAAGCGCTTTCAGCATTTCAGTGTAATGAGGCCAAATGAGGCGTTGAAAAAAGGAAGGAAAGAATTATTCTGTCTTGTTCACACACCAATCTATAAAATGATTTTGGGAAAATTCTGAAATATATTTAATCGGCTAAAGCTGTATAATTGATTAAAATATTGTTAGAGCGAATACAGACTTGCGGGTTACCCTCGAATCGGTTCGGCGTGTGTAAAGGTCGGACTTATGGATGACCGACAAATTGTGGCTAAACCATATCTTTACACAAATTTGTTTTCTTCAGGGTTTTCTTCACATTCACACGGTGAAAAATGGTTACACTGAAATAAGAAAAAACGCCACAAACCGCCAATTACGACACTCTGCACGTTCTACAAAAGCTATACAAGAATTAATTGATTTTGCCAATCAGATAGACTCATTTGTGGAATTAGTTTATAATCAATAAATAAATTGAATTGTATTTAGGTAGAATATTACCAAAATTGCACCCGTAACAAGTAAAGTAAACAATTCGTTAATTTAATGGAAATATTCCACTAGAGTTAATCAAGCTAGAAATTTCAGTCTATCATTGATTGTCAATCGAGAATGGAGTTCTCAAAGAGTCTCGGAAAATTGTTAACAATTCATAAGTTTTTATTTTTTCATAATTTCAAAACTTGCAGTAGAAAAAAGAAATTTATCTATTTATTATGGCTTTTTTTCATAATTTACTTCATAAAGCATATTGTATGGATGTTTGTACTCATAACAAAGATAGAAAAACGTGAAAAGAAGAATTTTAAGATGACATACAACCTTAAACCATCCGATGTTATTATGGATTTGTATGTCTGGGAAAAATATGGTCTCTTCCTTTGGTTACTGTTAGTTGTGATCCTTGTTGCGAAAAATATAAAGTCTCACTCTAAATTAATGCGTTCCATTAGACATTTTGAGGTGCTTTTTAAAGAAAATTTCGCTCACTTGGTGCATAACAGAAAAATCATATTATCTGCAAATTTCCAATTTTATCTCTTAACATTTTACTACATTTTATTTGCAATTTTACTTAATGTCAATCAATGCATTATATTGGGTATGAAACCGAAATTTAGTATGTATGTTAACCTTTTTGATTACTTTTTGATTTCATACTTTGTGAAACTATTAACTCTTTATATTACAAACTTCATTCGCTATTTTTCCTTCGAAATCGATAAAGTGCATAAATTGGTTGCCGAATGCTCGAATCAATTAAATGCTAAGTATATTTTAAAGCTTACTTTGGCAATTTCGGACGTTGTGAACCTTATGAATGATTCGTTCAGCACAATATTGCTCATTGCAAAGAACTCTGAGACTGTTTATTTGACCTTCTTTGTTCATGCCGCTGTCAGATTTGGCTTGTTTATGGACAACAATCTGAAGGCTTTTATTACTGCTATTGGTTTGGGATTGTTAGCCGTTCCAAGCCTTGCAATGATCCTCAACATCGGCCATTGTGGAGAAGTTTTCAACAGATCGGCAGAAAAGTTCAACTCCTTAATAGAGAATTTTGATACGATCTTGTCAGAATCTTCGTCCGTTCGTCAAATTCTCCTGAGACGATTTCACATGCCTTTGACAATGTCAGCTCACTTTGAAGAAATTAATTACACCAACTTCTTGGTCGTAAGTTGAATTTATTGCTAATGATTGCAAGGGAAGTAAAATATTTATTCTTCTGACATTTCCAGATTTTTAATCTTATTATCACGTACTTGCTGATCTTACTGACGTTTGAAGATCTGTCTGAGAATTGAGTCAACTTAGAAGGTCCGGATTCACTAGCACTTCAATTGGCATTTTCTGTATCTTGGAATATTTTGTACACTTTTAATCACATTTTATGGGACGAATAATTCAAATAGTAGCACTCTGTGTTCTGATACGAATAAATTTAGAACTAGGAATAATCTTATCTTTCTATACACATTCTATTGACCAATTTTATGCCGAATTTTGCTGAAGCCACAGCGCAGTCCAGTAATGCTGCCTGCTTTTTTGGTGCGCAATAAATTTGGCGTTGTAAGTTTACATATTGGAAAATACACGCATGATCAGAGGATTTTCACACAAGCATTTGAACTACTAATTATAACGATATCCTCTGGCGATTAACTCGTGGAAACACCGTGTAATTTCTCCCCAATCGGTATTGTTGTATAAACAAACTGTCTTAGGAGGTGAAGAAGGCCCCAAAAATCCTTCTCGCCACACACGATATTTACACAGTTTAGCGCCGCGCCACAGACTGTCTCATCCTGAGGGCAAATGGGGAAGGAGAGAGGCTGGATTTGTTCGAAATTTGACTGAGTGCGATCAGAATGAAACACTGTGCATGAAAGAGAAATAGTTGAGATAAAGAGTCTTGCTATTTCTCCGTGTGTATTATAAACAGAAAAAGCCCAAAAAAAAAGGTGAAGGGATGAGGAGAGTCATAACTTCACGGACAGAGAAAAGAGGGAGAAATGTAGTGTAATCTGTGAAATAAAATTACTTTACACAGCATAAAATACACAGAAAAACTTACGCTTGTGTCTACAGGGTGAGATAAAAATGTTCAAATATCGCGCTCACCGCAAGTGAAGAAAAAGAGAGATGAAAATTTTCCTGGGACAAAAAGTGAAAATTTGTATGTTGATGTTGAGAGTTGGAAACAAACAAATCTCTGACAAATATATGATCACAGGCTGTTTACAGGTTAATACACATGAAAATCCTATTTGAATATGCTACCGAAACATTTCTTCTCGTCTTTAAACTTCCAAATAGCAAATAATATAAGGAGGATTAAGCCAAAAGTGAAAAGTTTGTTTACAATAATCCATCGCACGCACAACACAGTGGAAGAGCGATGGCACTGAGTGCACAAGAGATGGCTTCTGGGGTGCTTTTGAATGGATGGAATAATATCATTAAATCCGAATCAAGTAAATATTAAAACACTCAGCGGAATGGGAAGTGTGATGGGAAATACAATTGTTGTTTTTGCAAATTGCTGGCGCCACCATCAAGACTCTGTTGTTGCTTCTCTCCTGCCATTCTTTACACACACGCGCGCGCCCTGATGAATCACTCTCAATTAGAAGCGACTTTTTGCAGTGTTTTCCCACACGATCAAAGCCTTTCTGAGGCTTTGAAAGTTTTCACAGAATTTTCATGGAAGAAACAATACCAGGAATGAGTTGACATAATGCGCACGAGAGTGAATGATAAATGATTATAGAGAAATGTTAGGTTTTTTCCCCTCCAATTGATTACTGAGCAGCCAAAGCCGCCAAACCTGCGAGCTTTTTGTTGTGGCAAATGGCATTTTCAGAACATTAATTTTTGACCAATTTTCAACCATGACTTGACTTCTTTATAGTTTGATTTCCGGCGATGAGAAAATTACACAGGCGCACATTAGAGATGTTGAAGAATCAACCAGAGTGAGGAGAGCGGACTATACAAAGAAATTATTAATTTAATGGAGTTCTTAGCAGCGGCGCGTCTTTTGTTTGTGCCTCAAATCTTCAGCTGATTGCGTGCGCGCATTAAGAAAATGGGCGCATTGAATTGTGAAATATTGGTAATTTCGGGGAAATTATCAGTGAATTAAAGCTCTGAGGAATGCTGAAATGTGAATTGCAATCTGAATTAATTGTATCGATAAGAGTTGGAATTTTATCTGCTGCAGATAAAAGTTCATTTGGATTTTTGGATAGTCATGCGTTTGTTGCTGAGCAAATATCAATACGAAATGTAGAAGATAAACATAGAGGATAAATAGATAGAAAAATTTAATAAAGGAGACAAATTGGAAAATGCTTCACAAACCCCCAGGAAATTGATGTCTCTCTTTGTAGTGCTCTGATAAACCACACCATTGAATACATTCTCTTATCACTGTGCGAGGTGAGGAAATACCAGGAGCTGAGAAATGTCTTGTGCGGCATCTCCAGCGATAATCACAGCTCAGCAAATGGTATGAATGCCGATAATCTTGATCGATTGACGGCTTAAAGTGCATTTACAAACTTCCGCGCCAATTAAATGCGCGCGATGTGTTGAAAACATTTCACCCTTCGAGAATCTCCAAATCATTCACTTAGCCAGCGGCTTGTCATCACGAAATCTGTCTAATTGTTTGAAATTATTCAATTTTCCATGCATAAATATGTATTAAATGCACGCTGCAACTTGATGATTGAATATCACGACAGGAAATTCAACTGAATCTTCCTTCGTTCAGGTATTTAAATAGCTCTGCAATACTCTTCCAGATGCAATTCTGTTGTCTTGTGTCTGTCTCGCGATTGAGTCGTGCCCAGGAATCATGAAGTGGATACTTGTTGAGTGGCTTGTTCTAACACTTGTGTTAAAGTTTGCCAAAAGCCAAGAAGCGCCATTTGTGAGTTTTTCTTTGCTCTCAAAATTTTCCCAACAGCGCCGATCTTGTTTATTTGCTTCCTTCTTCTTCTCTCTCTCTCTCTCTGTAGAGGATAAATATAACCGACTTCCAAAACTGTGACGACGTGAATTTAGACGATGTCGCTGTCTATTTAACGAGTGTCTCCTACGAACGTGACTCATCTGGACTGTGCGACACAGTTCACGGCAAATACACCGTGAAGGTGCTCGATACGTCGCGACGAGAACTCATCATCACGATGTTTCAGTGCCCAACAGACGCTGTTGGGCAGTGCAATGAGAATCCCGTGGAGCATCACACGGCACTGCACTGCTCCAAGTTCATCGATGACGATTCCGGGCCGTGGCACATGCTGTCCAACGCAATGTCCGGCTCACGGTGTGGCGACGAAGTTGGAGACTTCGAGTTGATCAGCTCAAAGATGCGCTTCGACTATCTGATGAATGACCAGAAGAACTATATCACGCTGAACGATAAAATGCGCAAATATCGGGCGAAAATGATTTTCCACACTGAGGGAAAGAAATCCACAAGAGCATGTATTTCCGTTGGATTCACGCTCTTGCCAGTGTCTTAATGTCCCCCCGAAATCCCATGAACAATAAAACCAATAGAAGCATACAAAGCACTCCATGTTTCACCTTCTTTTGCCGACAACTTCTCAAGCCCAAAGACAAACTTCGACAGTGTCTCCATAATTGACTTTGCCCGTAAACGCGGTGTAAATTGTCTGGTAATTGAATTTGATGATAAACAAACAAGGTATCTAATCATTTATGCAATTAGTAAAGTCCATAAAAAGGCTGACTGATTAGGAAGTGTTCCCATAGTGTAAGAATCATGGGAAGTCGTACAGAGTGTTTATCAGTAAGCCGAAATGCAACACTTGAGCGCCACATTTTTCACAACATCTGGAAGGAAATGTCATGAGATTTTTTACCACACTAATCACGACATTTAAAATCTATCAAACTGCTAAAGTAATTTGTATGTGGGCTGACTTGTGTGATGCCAAGACGAGCGCGACTCATTTCAAGAGCCCTAAAAGATACGCATTTAGAGATATTAATCAAGCACAGAATTACAGATTAAATCGAGACTATAAAGCAGCATCGCGAGGAGAAGAACACGACAGAGAGAACATTTAAGACTAATTAGAAGAATAACCACTTCTGTATATAAGAATGCATTAAGCATTCGGCCGCACGACGGCAATGTTTAATTATTCCATCAATAAATTTACTTTTGCGTGAAGATTGATATTTCTCCTGGGCGCCATTCACTCGTGAGCCACCTGCAGCACTTCACCTTGCTGTTGTGTGTGGCATTTGCAGTGAATCTCATCTCCTTTCGCTTATTGTGAAATTTTTCGTCTCAACTCTTTCCACCCAGAAATTTGCTGTACAGTGAGCGAAAGAAGTTTGTTGTCAGGCGAAAAGCGCATTCCTCAGTTGATCATGAATAAGTGAGAAGATCTTTGCCAAACACGATTGTTAGTTCTCATTTTCTTACTTTTCTTACCATGAACGCAAGTCACTGTATATAGTCTACAAAACAGAGAAATAATTCAATACTCTGTAAATTATAAATGCTTCACATCACGCAAACCTTGCAATTAGATTCATGTCCCTAATTTATTGTGCACCAGTGTGAATATAGCATAGAGTTTTGCAACTTTTATGTGTTCCCAAAGCTTCGGCACAAAGAGTGCCTCTCACTTTGCGGCTCTTTTAAAATTTAAAAGCACACACACACGAGTTTTATGCGCACCAAGAGCTAGCTTAAAAACTAGTTAATGGCACTAAAAATGCTACAAAATCATAAAAAAAAGCGTCATGAAGCAATAATAGAGGAACGACAGTCAAGTGAGATAAGACCACGGTGAACGCCTCGGATTCATCCGCAAGTCATTGTGCAATATTGATTGAGGAAAGGCAAGGGAAATTGTCTTGCAAAAGTCATGTGGCGTGTTTCAAATGCCCAGCAGGCAGAAGATTGATCACAAAGAGAGATTTCGCAGGCAAAATCCACAAGAGACAAGCGCTAGTAAAAGTTCAGTTATTGTTAATCGCATGATTTCGTCATGGGGCTTTTGTGAATCAATCTTTTGGAATTTCTCACGCGATAAGATAAAGTCTCGGTGAATTTCATCGTCAATTCCCTCATCAATTTGATATTAACACCAAAAATAGTCCTAAAACCAGACTCGTGACTTCAGTGATTTTCCACAAATATTCATCGAGTCAAGTCAAGCGCAGCTTGAAGTTCAATATCTCTATATGAAGTGAAATAAATATCCAGGCGACCCTGTTTGTGCCTCAAATATTTTCTTGATCCACATTCGAATTATCGCACATTTAAATGGGATCTGGACGTGTCTAAACATGGTCTAAACGCGTCCCACTTATCGGATTTTTGCACTATCTTATCAGTTGTCGAATCAACATTAAACAAGGGCATATAATATGAAAATTTCACCATATTGACCAATATTCATAAATCATCTCTCAACTGTGTGTCAAGTCAAATCCGTCATCTGATGGCATTCTATTGATTGGCTTCCTTTCAGATGACATTCGGTGCCACTGCAATCTGCCCATCTGCATCACCACGGGCTACATGTGCAGAACCAACGGCGGCTGCTTCAGCGAAGTCAAGGAGTCCGCAGACGACGATGACCTGCCCGCGCGACACGGTTGCATGCATTTGCTGGAAGACAAGTGAGTCCACAGTAAATTCATCTTCCAATTGTGCCAATTCTGGTCAGCAAAACTCCCTGCCAATGATTGCCAATTCTGTATTTTGAGAAGACAAAAACCACACATGAAAATCACCTTTATTTCATAAGCTCGATTCGGCAGCAATAACAGTGCCATAAATTAGGGTGTTTCCCACATTGCGTCTCGACGTTATTGCCTTTTGAAAACCATTAAGGATTAAGTAAAGAATTGCATATATTGATTTCGCTAATAAATTTCCACGTGTTTTTTGCTCTTATCTCTGTTTCACCTTTACAAAATGAGAATTTCAATGAGAAACGCATGTCAGAACGACGCAATTGAGTAGTGCTTAAAAAATCATTTTATCTCACTTTATTGTGTTTTACATCATGTCTTTTTTTCTATCTACCTTTTAAGTTAACAACAGCGATGACAATCTGTTTTGCGGTGAAAATTGCCTTTGCCATACATGAAAAAATATAAATAGACACTTTTCTCAATGACAGTTTGATAAGGGCGCATTTGAAGATTCCATATATTCATCAATAAATGTAACAATCAAATACTTCTTAGCAGTCTCTTAAGTGTAATCCTTGTTTTAAGCAACAATTTAACCTACAAAGTCGACAATCGCATGGGAAACTTTTTTGATAGCTTTTATACTTTGTATAATTTTCATCATCGTGCGCCTCAATCTGGCACTCCTCGTGGATCTGTTGACATTGACAATTGCTGCGCGGGCTGATGTTAAATATACATATGAATGCACGATGTCGGAAAAAATATGATTCAGTAATTTCTACTGCCAAACAGCCTGTCAACTCTCAGAGTCTCAGCATCATATCAATTCTGTGTTGAGTCAATTTAATATATACAAACATGTTTCGCATGTTGTCTAAATAGAAGAAATCTTACTTTCCAGCTCATTTTGTGACAGGAATTTATCCCTAAACACAAACCATGAAGAAGAGAAGTGATTGAGAGGAATTTTTGGTCGAAAATTTTATTTGTGTGTTTTCCTCCCTCTTAACTTGCTCTTTAATGGGCAATCATAGCGATTATGGCACTCTTCTGGTTGGGATGGTTTGAAAGAAATTGATATACATAAAATGCCAGCGATATGATCGCCACACCATCAGAATAAGAGCGAGAGAAGCGAGAGAGAGAGGAACAGGCACACTATCTCAGAAATTTATTATTAATGGAGCGAAAATGGACAAGAGCTAAAAATCTCATGTGTGGGCAGTAAAATGTCACAGCCAGTCAAGTGAGACACGAGAAAAGTCTCTCGTACAAGAGTTGCAAATTCATTTAATTTGTCTCTCTCTCGTGCCGACCAGTAAAATACATAAAGACAGCATTATATTCCGTACCTTAAATTGAATTTTTAATTTGCCCAGCCTCTCTTGGCGTAGCGCAACAAATTACTACCTGATTTAACTTGATAATTGAGCTTCATTGGCAGTCATTGGGCTTAATCTGCGCACTAAATCTCGCGCAATATCGCGCAGAAATGTACGAAAACGTATTTGCGCATATTAAATAACAATTGTTCTCACCTTTTGCAGACACTTAAAGTGCAACTTGGAAGGTGGAAGGCATCAGCAAATCAGATCATCAACTGCACTCTTGCGATGCTGCCAAGAAGATATGTGCAATCACGTTGATACGCCAGATAATAAGAGATTCAAGTCTGACTCGAGGGCGAGAGAAGGTAAGCAATGAGGATCTCTTGTTTCTACTGTGACTGTTGTGAGAATTTTGAGGCCTTCAGCAGCAAAACTGAACGGCAATATGTGAATGTTCTAGTAAAATATTATTAATGGTCAATTTGCAAATTCGCCACAATCAAGAGAAACATTAGCAAATGATTAAAGTGACATTTTGAGCAAAAATTCCACCGCCACAAGATTGCAATCACAAAAGCGAGTTAATTTGCAATATTTTACCAATAATCTACACATTTTCACATCCTCTCTTTGGCATTGGTTTTCGCTAATTACCCCCTGCAATTATGATGTGGTTGGGGGTAAAGTTAATTGGATGCTGAATATAATTTAGAATCGATTTGACGTTGTAAATTCATGAGACGCTTCAATGGTCATTTCGCCTATAACACAATATGCTCATGGCACACATATAAATATATGATATTTATAGGAATTTCAGGAATATGAAATATATTTTTCTTCACCACCAAAAAGGTATAAAAGTAAGAGAAGTAGAAAAATAAACTGAAACAGCGGGAGATTCTTTCAGAGATTGTTTCTTCTCTTTTGTCGCTCTTCCTTTTCCATGGACTTCTCTTCTATAATTTTGCCGTGTATTATTACATTTTTGCCTTCTGCCACTCTCTTCATGATGACGCTTTTAGTATAAAAAAGAGATATTCTGGAATATTAATTACTACTGTGCCAGATAGAAATATTCAACAAACGATGGGTGATCTCGCGGTATTTCTTCCACAGGAAAAAAAAAAACACATTAAAATTGATTACACATTTTTCTCTCCACCCAAAATCATATGCAAGACGCGCACGCTCTTGGAAGTCTCACGGCGCGGTGAGGAAATATAACAGCGTCACATTTGAGTCGCAGTGAAACTTTCTTTTTTATTTAAATGGAAAGTATAATTTGAATTTTGGAAAACTGTACATTCTTTTTTCTCACGCGCAATTTTCATCACAATGTGATTGGAAAGAAAACACCTGTTAGGCGAATACATTATGTAACAACCAATAGATTCTGGATGAATGGTATGCATAATAATCAATGGATATGAGAGAGTGATACGCGCGCGCATTCCTTCGTCTGCTAAATGTACAATTTGGTGGAAATGTGCGTGAATTTCCTTAGACAAAGCATAATCCATTTTAATTAGCATCTTCCTAGTTTTGCTCTTTCTCTCTAGCACGCTGTCAATTCTATGTTATTATGAATGGCAATTATTGCTGAGAGAATTCTTGCCTAACAAGTTCACAACAATGAGTAAATTGCACATATTAATGGCAAGTCAATGTCGAAGCTCCTGGTTAAACATGGTGACGAACGAAAGACTGTGTGTCTCTCACACTTGAGAGTTTGTGGAGAAAGGAAAGAAGCTGTTGAAGTGCAAACCAGGTCTTCCTTTCAAAGCGTTGTATAACATTACACCGTGATATTGTTGTGTGTGGGAAAAGGCTTCAGCCGAGGGTTAGAGATGGAAGAGAGAATGAACTCCAGACGATGTGAATGGCGAAATTGATAAAAAGCCTCGCATGGTGATGGCTTCTGACCCAGTGAGATGACCTCTTATGCGTCACAATCAGACGCCTAAATTGATTTCTATGCCGCGCACAGCTAATGTTGCAATTTCGCGAGTGTCTTTAGCAGAGAATCTCCGAAGATGCCGAACTGTCTGGCAACTCTCTGGACTCAAAAAGACCTCCAGAGCAATTTATCAGTGTCATGCGATCCTAACAAAAATTTGCGATTGCTATCGAAGATATGGCATTAATGCTGTGAGAAACTCGTTTCTATATTTTCTAATTAGCAACTCTGTGTTGTGAGAAAGAAAGATGATCGCAGTGATAGTGAGTTAAGAGAAAAAAAAAGTAATTATATATTTATATAGAGAGCTTGAAGAAAAGTTACGAATCTTAGAAAATACACAGGTGTGATAAAAGAAATAAACACCACATAAAAAGTCTAATAAAAAGCTGAAGAATTAGGAAATTCAATATTCAATAAAATATGATTAATAAGTAGCGAAATTTGATGAAATTGTATATAGAAATAATGTCTTTTTCTCCGCACCTTCGCAGGTGATCACAGCCGAGGAAGCCAGGCAGCCGAGGAGTTCCACAGCTCGGACTTCAGGCCAGTGGCCGGCGACGAGAGTCACGACGAAGTGTGGTTCAAGACCGCCACGATCGCCATCACTGTGTGCGGCGCCATAATTCTGCTCGTCCTCATCGCCGCGGCTGTGCGAATGCTGCGCAGCGACGGCCGCCACTTGGACACGTCCTTAAAGCTGGCCACCGGCGGCAGTCCCGGCTGCAGCGGCCGCAAGATCATCCTAGACTTCGGTGACGCGTACAACCAAGTGTACGGCGGCAGTTCGCAGCAGAACGTGAAGCAGGCGCCGCTGCTGCACGACAGCCTGCCGCCGTCGTACACCATCTACCCGCCGCCGCACTACCACCAACTGCTGAAGGTGGGCGGCGACTCGAAGAACGAGGCGCAGGCGAAGAAGAACCAGATCAAGAGCCTGGAGTACACGTTGCTGCCGCAGAGCTGCCACGAGGCGCAACAGAAGCCCATCAACACGGACGTGGCCGCGAATCCGGCGTTCCGGGACGTGAATCTCAGGCCGGCGCCGCACGGAGCGCACACGGACGCCGCGGTGGACGCCAAGACGTACGAGAAGGACGCCGTGCCCGCCAATTGGACAAACAATTCCAGAGGCAGCGCGTTTGGAGTGTAGAAAAGATCCCAAAAACCATTCGAACAGTCTTTTTTTGCCATGCGATCGAACCACTAAAACCGCGCCAACTCGGCAATATGCGCATAGAAATTGTCTCTTCTTTGTAAATACTTTCACCTATATTTATATTATATAATGGCAAGTGAGAAATTTTTCCAATCCTCTGGATTTTCGTGCGCCGAGACAAGAAAATAAAAAACATCACAGAGACAAGCAAAGTTGCAGAAGAAACAGCACAGCGACTCCAATTTTCCATTCTGAGTCTCTGATGCGTAACTCCGCCTATTCGGGAGACACGCCCCATAGCGAAAATGACTCGCTGAAAAGCGATTTTTCCTCACGAAATTTTGTAAATAATTTAAAACAAACACTAAATTTCTGGAGAAAATTGTGCAAAAAGAATAATGTTTGGTGTTTCTTCAGTGTGGAGAGCAAGAAAAAATCGCTGTTTCTCGTTTTTAAGTGATAAGTAAGATTAGACTTTATAATTTATCACAAAATGGAAAAAGAGAAAAAAAAATCTTCTTTTGTTCACAAGATGAGACTGTTTATTTGTAATTATCAGCTAGCATGTAATTTAGAAGCACTTTAAGTTCATGCACAGTTTTTTTTTCTTTGTTTACTTTTGAGAAGAAAGCGACAAAAATCATTTTTTATATCATGCAGAAGGATTTTTTTTCTATTAATATTTATTTCGTTCTCATACAATCTTGTGCACATTCGTTTCTCTCTCTCTCTCTCTTTATTTTCTATTTAATTGTAAGTTTGAAACTCATTTTCTCATCACAACTTAGATGACTTTTCTTTTTAACCTTTAGAGACTTTTTGTAAAACCTTTACACTCAATAATTGCCAGTTAGAAAACGGTTGAAAGGAAATGAAATGCGAAAGAGAAGAAATATTCAGTGTATATTTCTCTTAATTAGGCTGTGAATTCAATAAAGGCCTTTTTCTTCGAATGTTCTGTACTGAGAGAAGATTTTTCAAAACGAAATATATTAGCATGTAAAATATGCAATTTTTATATGAAGATAAGAAATAAAACATACAAGTCAAGATTTCAACACATGAAAGTTTCTACACATAAAAATCACATTTATTGTTTATGAGAAATAGAGCAAAAATCTATGATAACAAGTGAATATAGTAAAGCATGCGGCCTTTTATCTATAAAATCTCCCCTTTTCCACACGCTGGACTTAATGTAGGAAATGTGGAAAGGAAGAAAAACTGACAAATGAATGTTCTTTCTGATGAAATAATAGAACTCGTGCCTAATACAATTTGTAATGAGCTTTTGTGGCATAATTCCTTCTCTTTATACACACTAAGATTAATGGAAGAAAAGAAACTGAGAAATAGTGAAATATATTAGCCACAAAATATATTGTGATATATGTATAAATAATTTAATTACATGCTCCACATATTCTTTCAATCTGTACTTGAATTTGCGCGGCAGAGTTCAAGAGTGTCAAAGAAAGAGTGCCAATTGATGTGCTAATAAGAATTTCTCTGCAAACAACATTGGCACCTATTTCAACATCTCATCATTGAAAATTTCTTATGCTGAAAGGAGGAAAATAACATTGGAGCATGAAAGTAAATTTTGTAATAATACAGAATTTCAATGTAGAATTTTTATAATAAGATTTGTATTTGAAAAGTAATTGAATAAATGCAAAGATAGAAAAATTACGTCTTTTATGTCAATGATTAAAATGATTTTAATTAAAAAGGTATATTAAAAGATATTTGTGGTATTTTTTCCCAAGGAACTGAAGAGGGTTAATCAAACTTTAAAAGCTTTAAAATAATCTTCCACGCCATCTATATGTTGGATGCGGAGGAAGAAATGTCAAAATACCAGAAGACTTAACCTCACAAATAGAGTGTAAACAACGGAGAAAATCTTCTCTAATTTTCTCCAATTTCTCGGGAAAAGCTGTGAAAAGACATGGCAAATCGCACGGTGAAAGATGCCAAGAATGTTCACGGCACAAATCCGCAGTATTTGGTGGAAAAAATCATCCGTTCGCGCATCTATGACTCGAAATACTGGAAAGAGCAGTGTTTTGCTCTCACTGCTGAATTGGCAAGTTGTTTGTTTTCACCCCGTTTCGCCCTCTTTTTCACTGACTAAAACACACTTTCCGTGTGATTACAGCTCGTGGACAAGGCAATGGAGCTGCGATTCTTGGGCGGGGTGTATGGCGGCAACATTAAACCCACGCCGTTTCTCTGTCTGATCCTGAAGATGCTGCAAATCCAACCCGAGAAGGACATCATTGTGGAGTTCATCAAGAACGAGGAGTTCAAGTACGTGCGGGCACTCGGAGCCTTCTATCTGCGCCTCACGGGCACTGCCATCGATTGCTACAAGTATCTGGAGCCTCTGTACAATGACAACCGGAAGCTGCGCCGCCAAAATCGCCAGTCCAACTTTGAGATCGTGCATGTGGACGAGTTCATTGACGAACTGCTGCGCAGCGATCGAGTATGCGACATTATCCTGCCGCGCATCCAGAAGCGCTACATTCTGGAGGAGAATAACGAGCTGGAGCCCAAGGTGTCGGCGTTGGACGATGATTTGGACGAGGACATGCCCAGTGACGAGGAGACGTTCCCGGAGAAGAGCGCCGCCGCGCGCAAGTCGAACTCCGACCGGCTCAAGAGGCGATCGCGCAGCCGGTCGCACTCGCGCGAGCGCAAGGACAGGCGTCCGGAGCGCAAGCGGGACGAGAAGCCCCTGGAAAGGGACCGCGACAGAGGACGGCGCGAGAAGGACTTGCGGGAGCGCGAGAGAGACCGCAGGATGCGCTACGACCGCCAGGAGGACTTCGAGCGCGATCGTCGCAGAGATTACTACAAAGAGAGGGATCAAAGGGATCAGAGAGACCAGAGAGACCGGCGAAGGTACTAAACAACTAAAAAATTGTGCTCTTCTCATCTTTCACTCACCACGCTTCAGACAAATCGGAAATAAAAGCAAGAAAGGTCGACGAAAAGAGGGTGTTTTTGCCAAAATTTACCATCTTCAACTGACATGTCGGAGTTTTCTTACATCATTCTGCGGAGTTGTCTGACGGCATTTTCTATAGTGATTGTGCATTGACAAAATAACATCAGGAGTTGCAAAAAGTGAAGAAAAACACGAGATAATGACCGAGAAATACTTCGCTGGCAGTTCAGAGCCGAGCATATTCGACAACATCATATCTAAACCAGGAATGCTGCCGAGTAAGTGAATTTTCTATGCTTTTGGGGAGATGAATCAGAGACAATGTTTTGCTGACAGGACTAGAAGAGGATTCAGCTTTCCTGAAAGTGACCAACAGCGATCCTCTGACTGTGACTGACCAGATCAGAGATATATGGCAGCCCGTGGAGCAGGAGCCCGGCATTCCTCCGCGCCTGACAATGCCTGGCGTCTTGTCGGTGGAAGACCTCAACAATCCCATCAAGGAGACCATCAGCACTGCTCTGGGGCCGGAAGAGGCGCGTAAAATCGTGCACTTGACATGCAACGACGTGACTCAGGACGAGCGCGGGCTGCGCAAGCTGATCGAGGAGGGCTGCTTCCGGGCGGCGGTGAATCTCACCAGTCGCCTGCTCACCATGTACGGCCAGGGATACGGACGCCTCGGGCAGCCGGCCAAGCACACGCCGCACTCTCTGCAGCTCTGGTTCACGCGCTTCGCGCTGCTGGTGAAGCTGGGCCTTTTCGAGCTGTGCCAGATGGAGTGCGAGGCCTTCGGTGAGCTCGATCGAGCAGACATCTTCTACGAGTTCTACCCAGAGATGTACAGCCAGCGTCGTGGCTCGATGGCGAGCTTCAGCTTCCGGCTGTTGCTGGCAGAGCTGCCCATGTACCAGGGAGCGCCCATTGTGGCTCTGCATCGCTTGACAGTACTCCTGAACACCTGCCAGAGAATCGAGAAGCTCATGCAGACCACCAAAGTTGATGACAACTTGAAATTCTGGCGCAGGAGACGCGTTCGCGTTCAGCATTCCATCATCAACTGCGCCCTGATTCTGAAGAACTACTCCATGGCCAAGCACTTCATCGAGTCGATCATCGAGGAGGCGTGCTGGGCCAAGGAAGAGCTCGGCGCGCTCTACTCAGTCGCCGCCAGAGTTTACTTGCAGTGCGGCGACATTGTGGCGGCGGAAAAGCGTTGGACAAGCATCAGAAAGTTGGGCGTGACGAGTCAGCTATTCCAGGTGCAGGAATGCATGGACAAAGGACTAATATTTGTGGCGCAGAATGACTTTGAGGAGGCGCTCAAGTGCTTTCAGAAAGCGTCGTCTTTGGAACCGACCAGCATCCTGGTAAATTCCAGTTTATCTGCATCTCACGACCATTTTTCATCCTTGACTCTCTTCCAGATTTCCAACAACATCGCCGTTTGCTTGCTGTATTTGGGCAAGATGAAGGAGGCAATTGCAACGTACGAGAAGATAAATCTGGCCAACTCTAAGCAGACCATGAATGAGAACTTCCTAATCAATCTGTGCACGCTGTACGAGCTAGAATCCAACTTCTCGCGTCCCAAGAAAATAGTGCAACTGCAGAAGCTCGCCAATGAGCACAGGGATCTCTGCATGAGCATCGAAGTGTGTCTGAAATTGAATTCAAATAACTAGTTTGTTAGACAAATCATCAGACTTTCTCTTGTCATGTCCAACCCGGTGATTTTTATAGGGTTGCAGATTGTCTTATGCAATTTCGTGTGGTGTTTGAGAAACCAAGAAACCAAAATTCCTTCATAACTGCGGCAATTAAGGATAATTGTATCGTCTAGTGGTGTGAGAGTGCGTAGCAATCCACTGAAGACCAAATAAATCCACCAGAATGAGTGAAGATTTGAGGGATCCGCCAAAACCAGAGGAAGAAAGCTCTAAGTGGGGTTATGATCTCTATCCGGAAAGGAGAGGCGAAAAGTATTCCGGGTGAAAAGACAATTAATCTCCATGATATTGAAGACTCTCTCTCAATGCAGATACAAGACGAGCTGGGGAAAGGTGCTGTTTGGCGTGGAGGGACGTGAAAACATGGACAAACTCAAGTGCGAGCGGAACGTCTTCAAGTGCGTGAAGAACAGCCCGCTGGTGAAACTGATGATGGGCGCTCTGAGGAGCTCCGGCTGCCCAATAGACATCCGGAGGCACTTTTCGTGCGAAGTGTGTGCCCACTCCGTGACCGGCGGCTACGATCCCATCCTCAATCAGATCGTCATATGCCAGAACAGCGCCCGCAGCGAAGGAATGGTCCAGGGCGTGCTCACGCACGAGCTCATCCACATGTTCGACTACTGTCGCAACGAGCTGGACTTCCAGAACATCGATCATCTGGCGTGCACGGAGATCCGGGCGGCCAATCTGGCGCACTGCTCCTTCCTCAGCGCCTGGTCGCAGGGCGATGCGTCGCCGTTCAACGTGAAGGAGGCGCACCAGAACTGCGTGAAGACCAAGGCGCTGGCCTCGGTGATGGCCGTGCGCAGGGTGACGAAAGATGAGGCCATCAACGCGATAGAGAGAGTCTTTCCCAAGTGCTATGCGGATCTGGAGCCGATCGGGCGGCGAATCCGGAGAAACTCCAAAGATATGCACAACGCCTTCCTCGAGGGTCCAATGAATGGCTATGATGTGTATTAAATGTAATTATTCGCCAATAGAAAATTTTTCAGAACTACCTCAGATCATCGCTGCAAAAAATCTATGCCATTTCAGCGGGTTTCACCAGTATTTTCCCATTATTTTCAATAGAGAGAAAATATTAGGATCATTTAGCCGAGACACATTTTTCAATATAGTGAAATTAGAAGAGCCTTCTGTCGGTGCGGCCATGTTGGAAGTGACAGCTGAATAAGAAGCGTCCCTAGAGAAAACTAAATATTTCTGTAAGTATCAAGAGAGAAAAGTATGATTTTACCATTAGAACAAAGTCTTTCAGAGAAGATGTGAGAATCCTTGAAACTGTTTTTCACGCTGAGCTTCTGAGTTTGATTTAATTCTCATTTGTAAATTCAATCTTTGGACTGAAGACATTCCGATTAAATGCATGGCAGCGAAATAAATAGCTTTTTAAATCTTATCGTTGAGATCTTAGTATTTTAGCGGAAGTATCAACAAGCTGAAGTAATAAAATATAGTGCTGGCAGAAGAAAAAGAGGCAGTTTTTCGCGATATTCGCTACATAATTAAGCCGAGCTTTAGTTCTTTATCTCTTGCAAATCCACTAAACATCAAGGGATCACATGGTTTAAATGAAATTTAAAGACCCAGAATGTCTTCTATTATCCAAAGTGAAGAACTAACAGTGCAGATTGAATCTGCGAGAGACGCTGAATAAATGCCAGGCTTCAGATTGCGAGACAATCTCGATCGTGAGCTGTGTTTTGTCGCTTTCGTACAATTTCGAGGAGAGGTGCGTTTCCCCAACTGTGGCTCATTCCCCACAAAGTCATTTCCCCTCATATTGTGTGTTGATATAAAAGCAAGAATTGCAGATACTCTCTCTTACGTTCGTTGGGAATCCATGACGGATTCGTTGCCACGTTAAACTCAGTTCGTGCTCAAAAGTTTTTACCTATTTTTTTTTCTCTTCTTCAACAAATTTCTTTGAGAGAGAAAAGACAGCAGAAAGAGTGATTTTGCAGAAGACTTTCGGTCGATTTTTCTCGCTGGAAAAGTTCTCTTGGTTTTGTTTTCTATTTGGCAAGGACGAAGAAGAGGAAATCCTCCGCAACACTTTGGCACGTGGCGCAGGATCAAAAGCAATCCATGTAGAGTTTCGTTCGTAGCTTTTGTAGGTCTGATTCTTAAAATATAGTATTCAAATTGTTGAAGTTATGGAAAAATTACTAGTGCTTCTTGTAACACTTCTTGCACTTTCAATTTCTAATGGTGAGTGAAATTTTTAAATCGTATAATAATCATTGATTACGAGTTTGAAGGAAAAAAAATGTAGTATTTATGAATTATTAATGGCAAAGTATTCCTCAAAATGTGTGTTTTTATGTGTGCAAATTGTCTCCTCTTGCGATTGATTATTTTGAAAGAAAGGCGTGCGCGCAACCCAATTGATTTTGCCCATAACAATTGTATAAAATAATAATTCCAAGTCCTAATTTTTATACACATCTCTCTCTTTCTCGCACTCTGTGATGTTGCATCTCATTAAACTCAGCGCCAAGTGTGTGAGAAAACGTGTTGGCGCACCAATATGAAAAGAAATTGGGAAAAAAGTCGTGACGAGAAATATTCCATTAGTTTCTCTGGAAAAATAATAATCATAAGTAGCACAAATTATGTAATAGATTTCGATTAAAGGTGGAAATCGCATATATAATTATATTACAATAACGGAAGAACTCGCGTATCTTTATTCTTTTATTTATTTTAAATTTTTCAAAGCTCTTACGTGCGACTTTCGCTTTCAGTTGATACTTCTCTGGTATCCGCGCAGTGGCGACGCGATATGTAATAGAAGAAAAATGTCGTTCGCGATGGCCAGCAATGGAAAGATAGCCAGAGAGTGTGTGAATTCGATGTGTGGATATGTGTATTATGTCCTCTCATTTTTTTTTTCCTCTTTCCACATCTCAACACACCTCGAAGATATGCTAAGAATATTGTTTGGCGCAGGTATTCACAACCGGTTTGAAGAATTTTTTGGCATTTTTCCCCTCGAAAACTCACTCTCTCTGTCTCTAGCGCAGTGTTGGGCGGATTGTTAACATTTATCAACCTTTAAGTCATTTCTCATGTGGTATGAAATGCCTTTTCTTTACAAATGATATTTTTATCATGCAAATTTAAATTTATTATCTTGGAAAGTGTCAATTTGAGACGTTCTACTTTCCATCACTTATTCACCCATAACTTCTAGAGTGCTTATCTGATTTCTAAAAGTAGCGTGAATTTGGAAAGGTAACTTTACAGCCTACAACTCTCTTGAACATATAATTTCTATCAGAGCAGATATTCACCTAATTTTTAAGGCCTGTTACACATGAACAAAGAATTGAGATAAATGTCTTCTTAACGCATTTTGCAGTAAAAATAATCATAATGACCTCATTTATTGTTAGATTTTCAAGAATAATTGTGTTTTAGAAAGGGCAAAAGATAGCCTACAACTATCTAGTACACATGACTTGCGTCATATCACGTCTTTACTGGTATATTCTTCACGAGTAAAACGCAAAACGTAAAAGGTGCAATACAGCTCAGGCGCCATTTGACTTTGGAGAATGCGTACAAGATCAGACAGCTAATCATGTCTTTTTTTTTCGTCATTTTTCCACCTCAAGCGTCGAGCGCTCGCGTGAAGCGGCAATCAGAGGATTCCACGAAGAAGGAAGAGTCCTTCGAGCAGGAATTGTGCAAGGACAAAGACGCTGGAGAGTGGTTCCGTCTTGTCGCTGGCGAAGGTGACAATTGCCGCGATGTCATTCAATGCACGTCGTCTGTGAGTGGATTTTTATTTCTCTTTTTCATACCAACACATTTGGCATCAATTTTTCCTTCACTTCTTTTTCACTCTCACACACTTTTTGAACGCCGCGCGCGCACTTTCAGGGTCTTCAAGCCATTCGCTGCCCGGCCGGTCTCTACTTCGATATTGAGAAACAGACGTGCGACTGGAAAGATGCCGTGAAGAATTGCAAGCTGAAGAACAAGGAGCGCAAGGTGAAGCCCTTGCTGCACACAGACGAGCCACTGTGCCAAGAAGGCTTCCTGGCATGCGGCGATGGCAACTGCATCGAGCGCGGGCTGTTCTGCAACGGCGAGAAGGACTGCTCGGACGGATCTGACGAGAACAGCTGCGGTAAGTGGACTTTATCCAGAAGATTGTGCACAAGAATCAGTAGAATTGCGGTCTCTTTCAGCAATTCTTGACCCTCGATTTAATCTCTTGAGCCTTCCTTATGAAAATCATAGAATATTTTTGAGAAATTCTTTTTATAGTGCTTCAACTTTCAGTTTGCTTTAGAAAATTTAAGGAAAAAAAAACACGATATGAATCTTTATTCTTGCACGTGCTTTTATTTACTTTATTATCAACTTATTGACCAAACTATGGGCACAATTACAGTGCAAGGATCTTTCTAGCACAGAATCAAAACTTTCTGGGACACAAATTGTGTTTTACATTTCTAATTAGTCATAATTAGCCTCCATTGCAACTCCTCCGTCTGACCCATTTACCATAAGCAAATCGAGTGTAATGTGAGAATCAAAATTACCGAATAATAGTTTTACCTTTTCCACGATGTGTTGAGATCAACAAAGTTATGAAAACTCATTGCACACCTATAATTCCGGCCTTTATAGGTCACTCTGCGAATCGATAGGATTTCGTCAAGCAGGTGTGGTGTGTGGATCGGAGGAAAGCCCAAAATCAATTACTCACGATTCTCAATTGAAGAAGATCTTGTGTTTTGTAGGTGATTTTGTGGGTAGAATTCAATTTCTACCAGTAAATTTCGCCAATGCCATCTATTGTAGATCAATTTCCACGCACATAATATTCCACTTCTTCACAATGTGTGTGCTTTCTTGAAAAATGCGGGGTATTTTTATGTAATCAAGTACCACGGTTCAAAACAGCACGACTTCAATTTGAATTTTCCTGGGTGTGGTGCGCGATGAGAGGCATTTAAGGGAGGGACTTGAAGCTGCGCGGCATAATTTAATGTCAACGGATTTTTATTGTGAGTTTTGTAATAATGCGCGCGCGCGCTCTTCTCAGGAATCTTCCGAACGCGTGAAAGGCGTCATTGCACATCAGCGGAAAAAAAAGAGTTTTATTTAAAATCAATTACGTGCGCACGGCAAAAAGAGTGACACGGAAAAAAAGGAGGACAACCAGAGAGAAAAATGATGCAATATTAATAATTTTTAATTACTGGAATTCTATCTTGACACACAAGACAATAGATCTCATCTCCAAGCATTCATTGTTTCTTCTCGCTAAGGATGCTGAATATGAAGACATGCACAAGCATATCAAAAATGGACAATAACATTTTCTTATTTACATTTTATTTTCTCTTCGGTGTGTGGAAAAAAATAAGTAGGCAGTAATTAATGCGATGTTAGCAGTAATTTTTTACCTTTTCTCTCCAACTCTTCATAAATTCACACCATCAAAATAAGCTAATAATTTTTACCCGCAGCCAAACGTGCAAAATAATTATATATTAGAGTTTGACATTTAATGCGTGGAAGAAACTCACGCATGCCCAAAATAAGAAGTTGACTTCAACAAAATGATATAATCGATATAATAATAAATAACACTCCTCTTTCGCGGGTGCCTATAAAGTGGGTTATTTGACACGTGCCGCGGGTATTAAAGAAGAATTTGATGGAAAATGTGTGTCATTTGTTCTGAAAATTTTCTGCCCATTTTTCATCACTCAATTCATAAGCAGGAAGTGGCGTTAATAATGTAACTTCTCTTCTGCACATTATTATGATAAGTTCGACATTAAGAAACTAGTTTTTTTCTCTCCATGTTGCGATAGATCGACATTCCCGTCTTATAATGAATTTTGATTAATTTGTGACAACTCTGCAGAGAATTTTTCATACCGGAAAACTTCAGTGATCTTCATAATCCAAAACCACAACGAATGCCATTGAGATTTAAGGCATTAAGTTATTAATCTGTGAAGTTCACCAGCGTGAATAGTGAAAAATTGTCTTTCTTGCGTCCTTCTGAACATTCTTTAAAAAAAAGTTTTATTAATCACATTAAAAAAAAAGTGTGAAATATTAAACTAATCTTCAATAATAGTTTTCACTGAATTTCGACCATTTTTGATCATGTCGAAGATGATCATTTCAGGACTTCTTAATCACACAATTTGTGTGTGTTTGTGTGCTTTTGAGCAAGTATTGACTTCAGCCATTGCAGCCTCTGATCTTATGTATATTTGGCACATGATTTCTTCCATCAGTCATTGAATGATACAATTGAGCTTTAAATAACTTCTTCATGGCGCAGAGAAAAATCTTTCCTTATGAACCAATGCTTTCCCTTTCACATTTTTTTTATACCTTCTCGCACGTACAACACAGCACTTTTCAATGTGTTGCGCTGTAAAAACACACACTAGATGTGGTGGAATTTGTGTGTATTTGCATTTACATACACGTCAATTCATAGTAGTTTTGCCTTGCTTTCACATCTTGTAAATAATACTCAAAACGATCAACAAGTTTGTAAACCTGATAAATCTGAAACAAGTTAATGGGTAAACACCGCAAAAGTGCCAGTAGATAATATTCCTTTCGAATTTAAATTATTCACTCTACTATATCGTCTTCTTTTTACATCACACACAATGCTGAATTTGTGGAGATTCCAGAAGATATCTTTTGCCAAGTGCTCAGCAATTGATTGATGATTTTTGTGAGTGTGTTTCGAAGAACACAATCAATAATTGAGATCCTCGCAATTGGCTTCAGCTTTGCGAATTCGCGGAAAATTCCAGTGTCTCTGGTTACATAAGTAAATGCTGTGCGTCAATTTTGGTTTTTAGAATAAAAAGCGCACACGAATGTTTTTCCCGAAAAAATTTCTCACCAGTCAAAGTCACAAGTGAAAGAGCACACAATTTCCTAATATTTTAGGGTAAATTTTCTCTCGCCTTCAAATGCGGATTAATCCAGGAAGTTTTGCAGGCGCTTAACACTGAACTCTTTCGAAAAACTCCCAGGGAAAGTGAATTTCAATTTTATTGCCTCTCAATGTACATAAAGCATCTCTTATGCATTGCACAGACACCTTTCTTATGTGTATGTACAGATATAATGTACTTATGTGATTATTAAGAAAACTCTTGAAATGCGGCGACTGGTTCGGACTTTACTGCCAATTTAACCTTGCGAAAATATTTAGCATATTTTCATTTCTTAATTTGTTGGAGAGCCAGAAAAAAGCGAGGTATGTAATATATGTATTTATTTGTGCGGAGAGAAAGAAGACGAGAGATAAAATGTACATAATATGAGATATCTGTATAGATATGTCTTTTGGGAGGGATTGCGGACTTTCAGTTTTTTGTCGGCTGATGGTAACATTTAAATGTTGAATGAAAATGTGTGTGGAAGGCGTCAGAGCTGCGCTGGTAACATCTTCACGGCGCTCTGTATGCCAATCTTCGTGAAAATGTCACACATTCCCAATTTACATATATCTCGGAGCATCACGCAATTACAATTTAAATGCCAACAGTTAAGCACATATATATGTCTATTATAAAGCTATTCCAACCAGCCAGAAAGGAGGTGAAGAATTGCTCAAAAAATTGAATAATTCACCAATTTCATGAAATGGCAATTTATGCTCGATCGCCAAACGTTGAGCACAAATTTACACCACGTGAAATGATAATTTCGATATTACGAATTGACTATTTATTAATATCTTCGTCAGGACTTGCATTCTCGGTCATTTCTGCCTCTTGAGTCAATGCATTGAAAGAAGTCTGTTCGCAAGCAAAGGCGGCCGGCAAATCGCAGGTTAATGAATCGTATCAAAATTGAGAGGTGCAATAAAAAATCTATCAGCAGCATAAGTGATTTCACATATTGTGCACAGCACACAAAACACTTTTATTATTACATGTATTTTGCAACGAGTGTTGAAATAAACGTTTAGTTAGAAGTTCGGCGTTTCACGATACGATATTTAATCAATTAATGAACACAACATTTAATGGAAGACAACAAAGAAACATAAATCTTCGCACATTTATGTCTGGATGTTTCTTTTCTGCATTTGCCTCACTATTTCAGTACCTTAAAGAAAACAGTGAAAAAATTGAGGTGCTTGAAGACAGCTCAAAGGAAGATTGAGACCATCATTGTAGGGAAGAATAAGGATCCGTTTTTCTGTTTGCAGTTAAATCGAGAGTCATAAGATAGAGCCAATTGTCTTGTTAGATAACATCTTGAGGTCTTGCGCAATAGTCTAATTGATGACGTCCCCATAATTCCTCCGCAGACATCGACAATGACCCCAACAGGGCGCCGCCTTGTGATCCCGCCGTGTGCGTTCTGCCCGATTGCTTCTGCTCTGAGGACGGCACGACAATTCCCGGCAATCTCCCCGCCAAGGATGTCCCAATGATGATCACCGTCACTTTCGACGACGCCATCAACAACAACAACATCGACCTGTACAAGGAGATGTTCAATGGAAAGCGCAAGAATCCCAATGGATGCGACATCAAAGCCACTTTCTTCGTGTCCCACAAATACACCAATTACTCCGCCGTGCAGGAAACCCACAGAAAGGGGCACGAGATTGCAGTTCACTCCATCACGTAAGTGCGGAATGTCTCTTTTGAAATATACAAATTATGACACAACATAATCACAGTTAATTGCAAATAATTGATTATATACTCGCACACATCCTTGCGAGGGGCAATTTTTTTTTTACTCCTTCTTGGATTGTTTGTGTATGAAATTCTGAGAATCAGCACAAGGTTGCCGTTTTAATTGCGCACATTTCCCATTTCCTTATGTCTTTCTCGCTAATCAACAGCCACAATGACGACGAGAGGTTCTGGTCGAACGCCACTGTGGACGATTGGGCGAAGGAAATGGCCGGCATGAGGATTATCATTGAGAAGTATGCCAATATCACCGACAATTCCGTCGTGGGCGTGCGCGCGCCGTACCTGCGCGTCGGCGGCAACAATCAGTTCACGATGATGGAGGAGCAGGCCTTCCTGTACGACTCCACGATCACCGCGCCGCTGTCCAATCCGCCGCTCTGGCCATACACCATGTACTTCCGCATGCCGCACCGCTGCCACGGCAATCTGCAGAGCTGCCCCACGCGTTCGCACGCCGTCTGGGAGATGGTGATGAATGAGCTGGACCGCCGCGAGGATCCCGGCAACGACGAGTACCTGCCCGGCTGCGCCATGGTGGACTCCTGCTCCAACATCCTCACCGGCGACCAATTCTACAACTTCCTGAATCACAACTTCGATCGCCACTACGAGCAGAATCGCGCGCCGCTTGGGCTGTACTTCCACGCTGCCTGGCTGAAGAACAATCCCGAGTTCCTGGACGCCTTCCTGTACTGGGTCGACGAGACATTGACCAATCACAATGACGTGTACTTCGTCACCATGACGCAGGTAATCCAGTGGATCCAGAATCCGCGCTCCATCAATGAGCTGAAGAGCTTCGAGCCATGGAGGGAAAAGTGCACCGTCGAGGGGACTCCCGCCTGTTGGGTGCCGCACACGTGCAAGCTCACATCCAAAGAAGTGCCCGGAGAGACCATCAACCTGCAAACGTGCGTACGCTGTCCCAACAACTACCCGTGGATCAACGATCCCACCGGGGATGGCTTCTTCTAAGTCAAAGACAGTGTGTGTCTGACCTCATGCTCTTCGTAATACTTTCCTCTTCGCGCCACAAGTATTACTTTCACTTCGCTCTTACACGCACACACACACTCCTCTCTCTCTCTCTCTCTCCTTTTTGTGAATGATATCCCGCGGATGAGATTGCGAGATTCGAAATAAAATTAAACACTCTTGCTACAAAAGTTCCCTCTAACAATATGATGTCGCGATGCTGCTGGAAATATGTTGCTGAATTTTTTGCTATATAATGACTTCTCTTGGTGACATCTTTCTCTCTGGCTGTGTGGAAAAAAAAATTTCACCTTCATCGAACACCAATTCATGGACAGATTTTTCACTTTTTGTCTCGCCAAGTCCAATAACCATAATTTCATACCCATATCCAACACCGTTCAGTACAGGTTTTCGCATATTACAGCGTTTGTTGGTCGTGGAAAGTATAAATTTCACATATATTTGCTCACAACACAGAATTGGGAAAGGAATTAAATGGCAATCAATATGAAGACATGCTGTTCGGCACGCATTTTTTCCCTTCAAATTTGCCAATCACACGAGAGCAAAGTGATTTAGAGGGTATGATTTGTCATAAGCGATATTTTAGGAAAACATCTCCTGTAAATACTCCTAATGATACTTTTCCGCCCTTTGTTTGAAAAATGTATCTTCTATAGATGTTCTTCTCTTAATTACACACCGTTTTGTACACCCTTCGAAATGACAACAATTTAATTTGTATAACTCCTTCTTTTAGGCATTTATTATTATTTTATTTTGATAATATCAATAAATTCGATGTGGAATTGACTTTGTAAAGAGAATTGATAAATGTAATTTTTTTGATAAAGAAAAGTGAAATTATATAAAAGTATACTTGAAATGAAAAAGAAATAAATAAGAAATATACCAACATTAGTAAGTGGATTGAAATATGGCAAAATCACTCTTTCTCCACCCTCTTTGCCATTGCTACATATACAACACACAGTATCTTCTGCAGCAATGCATTTGTGGTGTGCTCTATCATCCAAGGTGATCGAGTAAGTTACTCATGAATGCTGCTTGTTTCACGTCGTTTTGCAAAAAGGTGTCTCTCTAATTTCTCTTCCTGCATGTTTGTCCAATGACAGAAAATATCACATACCGTTAGTATTAAATTTATGTACATATAACATATGCATACGTGATGTACAAAGCCTACATATCGCCAGTGTGCCTCAAGAATTAATAAATCACACTTTCTGCGACAATATTACAAATTCATGTGCAGAAGGTGGAAAAAAATTCTAATTCACAGTGCAAATAGAGTGTCATGTTTTGAAATCCGGGAAATATAGTGAGTATGCAAATACTATATTTAATATAATATGGTTACTCACCCTCTTAAACAGCGTGCTAATCTCAACTGCAAACACAACATTGTACTTATACTCCTTGCTCAATTCATGTTCATTAATATTTAAGGGTGTTTTGATGTAGAATATCATCACAATAGCAATGAAAAATTATAGAAGCTCCTCCCATTCTTATGCCACGCCCATTTATTGCGCTTTCTTCGCTATTTCAGCTAATTCTAGTACACTGAAAAGCAATTATTTGAAGTTTAGCATGATTTCCACCTGTGATCAATTCATATTCGATCAAGGGCTTCAACATCACCACACAAGAGTGGCATGAAGAGCGACAGATTTGCATGGCTAGAATAAGTCAATTTCTCATTCTATTCCAATCACGTTACAAATCCTACATGAGAATAGTTCATTCCTCCTAAATTCGAAAAATATGCTTGTAAAGTATTTTCACACGTGCATATGTAAATAACTCTATTATTATCTACCCAGATTTTACATGAGAGCCAATCAAGTTATGGGCAAGGGAAAGATTACTATTGCCTGAATGGCCATTGTTCTTCCAAAACCCACAAGACATTGACTTTACCACGATGCATGATCGGAATATTAATTATGCACAGTGACCGGTGCATTAGGATGGACACACAGGCTTTGTTGACAACGAGAGAAATTGGTAAATGTGTGCCACTTTTCTGGGAAAATATACACGAAGAGCGAGACACACGAGATTCTTCAGCAACTCTTGCAAGTGATCTTTGCATAATACACAAAATTCTGAGAATCGATTATTTTGTATTTAATGGCATGGCGATTTTTTGTGGCCGTTTGTGGTTAACCATCGCACATTCAATAGCCAACACACAGTCTCACAATCGAAGATCGCCTCCTGAAGCGAGCGGAATAGCAATTCGGTGATGGAAGGCGCAGAAGATCAGAGAGATTCGAAGTGATTGAAATAATTGGGTATATTTGGAAAAGACCTACGTCTTTTCGTCACTTTCCTGTCTCGAGCGCGTGGGGGCATTTGGCGCCTGATCTTGTCCCCTCTCACTGTTCCTCCCAGCCGCAGCGCAGAATGGGCAAAGGTGGGAGCTGAGCTGCTGGTGGAAGACACGAGGAAGAGATACCGCCTTTTCCAGAGCACTTCTTCGAGAGTATTTACTGGGTAGTTTACCGATAAATCCATCACGCATCGATGGTCCCAGGATCATAATCAAAGCGCAGTGCTGAATGGCGAGAAGATCGCCCAGAGATCGCGGTATCCGGTTGAAAAATGTCCGCCTTCCCCTTCTTCCACGGCGATGCCAAGAAGTCCACCACCAGCGCAAAATTTCCTGCATTGGGAGGGCAATGGGACTCCCCATTGCGTGTGTGTATGCTTTTGGGGAATTCTCCCCACTAAAGTGAAAGTCATAATAAATAGACCTCAAGTGAGACGAGCAACACCCAGTAGTTGTGTGACTTTTAGCGAAATCTGTAGCCTTTCTGTTGGCCTTTGCGGTGGCATAGGAAGACTCTTTAAGAATATACCATCTTCCCCCCGCACACTTTACCTCACTCATTGGGATCTGGTATCCTTTTGTCCATCACGCGAGTCTTCCCATCACGCGATCGTGTGCATGAGTGTGACACGGTGAGGGTGGCAAAGTTTCCATCAAGGACTACTTTGAGGACATCGCGCGCCTCACAAATTTGCCGATAATTCCGCCAGCGAAAGGATTATTGGCGCAAACCGAAATGGTGCGTGTCTTCAGCACGGTCTTTCTGATCGTGATCTCTGTGATTTTAGGTAAGTCTCTCCGCGATGGTTATATATAGTGAAAGCGAAATTTATGGTCATATCTGTGCGCCGCCTCAAATACATAAGCACGCGCATTTCACGCGAAAATATGCACATTTGTGCGCCCCACCAATTCACCGCCCTGATCAATTTGCCGCCATCGAACATCCGTGATTGCTACGAAAGAAGAAGAAGAAAAAAAATAGTGCTCTCTTGCTATCAACCACTCTTTCGCCTTTTTCTGCCCAAGCACTCCCCAAAAATACATATACACACGCATGCAAGACACAGTGCACTGTAAAAAAGCGGCGATATCGATGAGATTTCTTCATGAATTTCACACTCGGCGTCTTTCACCGTGTATTGGAAACAGGTTTCCCTTCTTTTTCAGAGAGTGAACACTCAGCATACACACCTTTTCCCATTGTCAAGCGGCGAATTCTTAATAAAATCGAATGTCACATCGATGCTCTGTTACTGTGCGGAATCATTCACCACATAATAACTCTCTTACAACAATTACTGTTGCCCGTGATGGTCATTAAATGGACATTATAATGAGATTCACACCTATAATTTTACTTTAAATAAATATTTATGTTAGCGGGAATCTCTCTATTATGCCGATAAAACTCGATGACCTCCACGCGTTTCTTTTCCCCATAAATCTTATCATAAAAACGTGATTTTTTTCACCTGAAATGCTGATTGGACTACTCTATTTTACCACGATTTTAGCATTTTCGCCCGGGCGAAGAGAGAAAAAAAAGGCAGAAGAACGTCTTGAAGATTTTATTAATAATTTATGGAAAATATGGGTCAAGAACTACTCAGAGAAAAAAAACTGGAATTTTACCACATAATTCCGCTTACGCACTCATGTATATATTCAATTATTTGGGACGTGTCTTCATGTAATATTCAAAAAAAAAATTCAAATGCATTTCTTCTTATGTCATAACGCCAATTTTAATAATTTATATTTAAATGAACAATTTCCAAGTAACAATCAGCATCGCGTCTTATTTGAAAAGTGGCTATTAATATTTATATATGATAATTGTGTATCACATTTTCAGTGATTTTTTAAACTTTCATTAATGAATCATTGCAAGTATTGGAATTCATTCGATATGTCACAAATTATGACACTGAATCTCTTGCATAAGTTTTGGAGGATAGAATGAAAAAAGGGTTGGGTTTTCAGGCCTCAACATGATTGAAAAACTCTGGTAAAATATGTTTATGTCTGTGACTTTGAATTGGGTTTTCGTTTTTGTTCTAGAAATTTTCTTTACATGAAATAATGGAGTAAATATAAATAACAATTAATGTAGGAATATAATTGAAAGACCAGTAGTTGTCCGAATTGCACAACGTTTTAAATGTTTTATAAGTTTCTAATAGAGGAGTTTCCGTAAACCACGAGGAAATCTTTTGACCTCCAATATTTTTAAGAACTCATGCAAAGATTGTTTCTCATATGATTAGAATTATATTTAACTATTCTGAAATCAAAACTTTTCCTCCGCAAATATTAAACATACCGCACAAGTATGCAAATCGCATCGTGATTTACAACCTTCCAGACACAATGTGTATTAAATAGCCATTGAACACTTCTCACTGTCTTGTGTTGGTGTAAGATTTCCCTTTTCAATATTGCTGTTTGCCAGTTTTATATAAGTGCAATTTTCTAGTTGCCCGGGAAAGTTTTTTTTCGCGTCTTATGCCATCAAAAGTACGCATACTTGTTGCGAATGTGGGCGTGATGGAGTAATTTTTGCAGCCATCGTTAACATGCTTTTCCTTTGGGCCAATCTTTGCAGTCGTCGCAACACCTTCTGCCGATGAGACACTCCATCAGCGCGTCAAGAGACAAGATGATGATCTCGAGGGGCCAGACGTTGGATCGATTGAGGAGCTGTGCCACGACAGGCCGGCGGATGAGTACTTTCGTCTGACCACCGAAGGCGATTGCAGAGATGTTGTGCGGTAAAATCACATGAATTTTCAATTTTTTTCTACCCTTTCTGTCTCTCCAGTGTTTATACAGTACCAGAGAGATTGTTTGCGGTGTTATAATTAAATTTGCCAATAGGTGTGACAATGCGGGTGAGAATGGCATCACTCGCCTGGCCACAGTTCGATGTCCCATCGGACTGGCATTTGACGTGACACGCCAGACATGTGACTGGAAGTCAAATGTTAAAAATTGTGACCAATTAGGGAGTAAGTTCAATGAGGCGGACATGCGCAAGTCACGACAAATCATCTTCAACTATGCGAAGATGATTTGACCGAGGAGTTGCGACATTGTCGGCCTCGCAAAAATTCCTTCTTGACTTTTCTAAGCTCTTTCTTCTTCCTTTCTCTCTTTTTGCCGTGTTGCAATATAGGTGTACCAGGGCTGGACTTAAACAAATTACTTGTCCCTCCGGTTTAGCATTCGACATTGAAAAGCAAACGTGCGATTGGAAAGCTAAAGTAACAAATTGCGAAAAAAAAGAAAGTAAGTCTCTCCACAAAGAAAATCCACACGAAAAAAAACACCCACAATTCTTGTTCCCTTCGCGGGACACTTTTTTTCCTTTGTACGAGTGAATTTCCAAATTACCAAAGCGGATATAACTTAAAAAGAAAGAAAAAAAAAGACATTTCGGAAGCGCAACAGCAAATAATGTGCCAGGATTCAATGTATTGCATATGACATTTTTCCTCGAGTGTGTGACTTTGAAAAGAGAAAATCCGACAAGTTGAAGGTGTTTATTGTGGCCGGAAAGGAATTTAAGCGAGTGTAATTTAAATAATAGGATAGACCTTTTCCACACATTAATCACAAATCGATCAGCAAATTTACATAAGAAAAAAAAGAGAGGAAACTTGATGTGATCAAGATGCCTTTCACGATCATTTAGCGCAGACTTAATTGTCACAAAGGAGAGGAAAAAAATGAAATATTAAGTATCACGGAACTGAAAATAATACTCTCGTACTTAATGCTAATGAATGCATTTCTTTTTTTTCTCCTTCTGTATTTTTGTCATTGGAAACTGCATTTAAATGTATGATATTAAAGACACCCAAACAGTAAAATAATTCCGCCTGTTTTTTCGCATAAAATTATATTATAATTTATTTCCTCCGGCCACAGACAAAACAATAAATCATTTTGCTTTTGCTCTACTTTCAATCTACCTTTTTTTGCACATATTGTTGTGGCGCATTTCTAAAGGAATATCCGCAATTTCTATTACTCTTTTTCTACACCCACTGAATATTGCAAAACATTCACATCAATCAAAGAGAAGCACAATTGTGCAGATCGCATCGAAAAGGAGAACAAATTAATGAGCCTTTCTTGAGTTTTTTTTTTTATTATTTGAACTAAATTTTTGGGGAAACGTGCATTTGGTATTGGTATTGGTATATTTTTAAACATATATTGTATTCCTTTTTTTGTATTTCGAAGATATATTGACTATAGAAAAATGGAGAGAGATCGAATTTGTAGACCAGTTTTATTGCTGTTACAATTTGCCAAAGGTTTAAGGTCCAGCACATGGTGTAAATATGGATTTTTCCACTTTATATTTGAAGATTGAGACTTTATTTTCTGTAGAATATCGTTTTCATACAACTGTAGATGAGAATTTTTTTAAACTCTGCATGTCGACATTTGTGTATATAATTAACATTTCTACTAACTCTCTTTTGTGTGTTTTGTACATAATTTACGACCAAATAACATTCTATTTTCATATATCATTTGTGCTACATATTCTTATGCATCCACCTTACTTTTGCTTACTATCCTAAAGTTTATTGCAAAGACTTTTGTGTAATACAGCTTCTCTCTGAAATGCATGTTCCTAATTTAAATTAACCCAAAGTGTATTATTATTTATTATTTCCGTTTCTACTTCACGTGACTCTTTAGCATTTCTAATTTTCTTTCTTATATTCTCTCTCCTTAAGTGTGTCTTTGGACAGCCAAAAAAAAATTCACATCAAATGTGTAGAAAGTTGTAACATATAATTCCTTTTTTACCACCTATTCGCAACACGTACAATTGGCAATAAACAACTTTCTTTCAATTAAGTACCGGCGGAGGAATCAAACTAAAGGTCATGTTATTTTCCCCCCTTCCCAATGACAAACAGAGCCGCGAAAAGTGCTGCCCATTCTCAAGACGGATGAACCTGTTTGCCCCGAAGGGCGTCTGTCCTGCGGAAATGGCGAGTGCGTGGAGAAAGAGTTGTTCTGCAACGGAAAGCCAGACTGCAAGGACGAATCGGACGAGAACGCCTGCAGTTAGTATCTTTTTTTTCCGTTTCCCTATGGCATATATGCCAGGTGTGATGGTCAATTGCGTCTGTAAATATGCTTAAGATCATGGTCAGAGTAGAGCACAGAAGCATGACTCACTGATCTTGTCTTGCAGCCGTCGATCTGGACCCGAACCGAGCGCCTGAGTGCGATCCGACGCAGTGCATCCTGCCCGATTGCTTCTGCTCCGCCGACGGCACGCGCATCCCCGGCAGCATTGAGCCGCAGCAGGTGCCGCAGATGATCACGATCACGTTCAACGGAGCTGTGAACGTGGACAACATCGATTTGTACGAGGACATCTTCAACGGGCAGCGCCAGAACCCGAACGGCTGCCAGATCAAGGGCACGTTCTTCGTGTCGCACAAGTACACCAACTACTCGGCGGTGCAGGATCTGCACAGGCGAGGCCACGAGATCTCCGTGTTCTCACTCACGCACAAGGACGAACCCAACTACTGGACGCACGGCACGTACGACGACTGGCTGGCGGAGATGGCCGGCGCCAGGCTGATCATCGAGCGCTTCGCCAACATCACGGACGGCTCGATCATCGGCATGCGCGCGCCGTACTTGCGCGTCGGCGGCAACAAGCAGTTCGAGATGATGGCCGACCAGTTCTTCGTGTATGACGCCAGCATCACGGCGTCGCTGGGCCGCGTGCCCATCTGGCCGTACACGCTGTACTTCCGCATGCCGCACAAGTGCAACGGCAACGCCCACAACTGCCCCTCGCGCAGCCACCCCGTGTGGGAGATGGTGATGAACGAACTGGACCGTCGTGACGATCCCACCTTCGACGAGTCCCTGCCCGGCTGCCACATGATCGACTCCTGCTCCAACGTGCAGACCGGCGAGCAGTTCGGCCGCCTTCTGAGGCACAACTTCAACCGCCACTACAACACCAACCGCGCGCCACTCGGCCTGCACTTCCACGCGTCGTGGCTCAAGTCAAAGAAGGAGTATCGCGACGAGCTGAACAAGTTCATCGAGGAGATGCTGGGTCGCAACGACGTGTTCTTCGTGACGATGCTGCAGGTGATCCAGTGGATGCAGAACCCGACCGAGCTGAACGCCCTACGCGACTTCCAGGAGTGGAAGGAGAAGTGTGATGTGAAGGGACAGCCCTACTGCTCCCTGCCCAACGCCTGCCCGCTCACCACGCGCGAGCTGCCCGGCGAGACGCTGCGTCTGTTCACGTGCATGGAGTGTCCCAACAACTACCCGTGGATCCTCGACCCCACCGGCGACGGCTTCTCCGTGAAATAAAGCCGCGCGCGAGAGAGGGAAAAGACACGCATCTGCCTTCCTCCACTAATACTCCCCTTCTGCTGTTTTCCACAAACCTCACATTGCCCTTAGTTGTAAATACACTGAGATTGGACACTATATACTTAGGTACTCATAGTGATAATGGCATATAAACTTGATCTGACTATCTCATGTTCTTCAGTAAAAAAAAAATTTTGCGTAATACAAAAGCGTTGCGTCGCTTGTAATTTGATGTTTTTTTTTATAAATAAAAGATATACAAAAGTACACAGAATCTTTTTTAAGGCCCACAAGAAGGATTAGTTTTCAGCCAATGGGGAAAGTCGTGATGTCAGATCAATCCGATGGAGCAGCGGAACAATCTGCATCTTGAGGCCAATCACAAACGGTTAATAAAGTATTGAAATGCAGTCCTACAGGACATTTGAATGGAACAGCCTGTAAATGGCAAACAATACACGGTTAATTAATTTTGCTTATTGATAATGTAACATTTATGACATTTATACTTACTGTGCGCAATCCGCGTCATCTCCAAGAGATATTAGTCGTGCCCAAGTCATTTATCGGCGGACAAACGCCCACAATTAATGCCGTTGAAGGGCTCGCGAAGAGCAGGAAAGTGCACAAAAAAAAACGTAGTTTTCATGGCGACAAAGCTTCCTTCACTGATGAATTTTCCACTTTTGCGAGGGAATTTATAAGATAGTGGAAAGACTTGTGGAGAAAGTAAACTCATTTGAATGCTCTTGACACTAACTTATCAGATAAAAGGTAGAACTCATAATTTAAATTTTATGAAGGTGATTTATTTTTATCATTTAGCACGTTTAATGTTATGGAATTCCCGAAAACCAAATATTGGCAAGCACGTGTGTTTTTAATAACATTAACAATTTACCGAATCTTTGATAGCAACAATATACACATTTTCTTGTGCATTGATAAATTTCTAATCAGTAGAATTCAACCGTGAAAGCTACGAATTGATTCTTTGAACAAAAACATAAACATATATAGTTGTTTACATATCTTCTAATTTTCCGAAAATTTCACGGCAAACATGCAAAATGTTCGGAAGAAAATATGAATAAATTTCCGCATAATTAACTTTGAAGAAACCAAGGAAGAAACTGAAAGCCTTCCGGTTCACAATTCAATTCTCTTTTGGGGAAATCTGTCTGAAATCCTCATGACGAATGAGGAATAAGTGAAATTAGTGACTTAATATTGCACCCTATTTATTATTTCCTTGATTATTGCTGATGCCAGAACAATAAACGATGAGCGCTTCTCTCAATCCATGCAACCCGAAAGTCCAGCATATGTGCAAGTGTCTAAGACGAAACTAAAGCCCAATCCAGGCGGACACTCATTGAGAACGGCTTCTCCAGCTTTGCACACATAATATCTGAATGGTAAACAACAAGAGGGTTAATTACTTTCGCTCAACACACTCTGTCTTCTACTCACTTTTCACAATCCGTGTCATCATGGAGCTTCACTGCGACGTCTGGATCTGTTTCTGGACAATCACCTTTTGGCGCCGCCACTGAGAGACTCACGAAGAGCAGTAAAATGCAAAGGAATGCAATCAATGTGGCTTTCATGGCGACAAAGCGCTTCACTGCACAAAATTCAACACACCAGAGAGAACTTTGGACAAAACACCTTCCTCCTGCGACCGCAGACTTTGCGAGACAATGAAAAGTGTGAAGATCTCGCGTTGTATATATAACCTTGCCGGGACTTGATGCTAAAGTGTGGGGTTTTTTTTTTATTCAAATTTATAGAGGGGAGAGCGACTAAAAAGCAGAAAAACTCGTATATGACTAAGTGACAAAATGTTCTGACGCTCTATAAGTTTATTCCTATCATTCTTGTAAATACGGGAGATTGAGGCAGTTTCGGACGCTGAGTATAATTATTTATGCACACAACCGAAGACTTCTATAGCCTCCATGAGCACTTGAACGTATGAGAATGTCTTTCTTAACAAGATTTATCAGTTAATTATCATGTGATCCATACAGGAAAAGTGGATTTTGTGCTCCCAAAAACACACTTTTTCTCACTTGAATGCCAAACATTGCCATCAAATTTCTTGCTTGAAGGCATTTTAGTTTCATTTGCAGACTGAAATCATCAGTACAGAATCCAAGAAAAACAATACTTCGTGTGTGATGAACAATGAGTTTTCGCCTCATTTGAAAGAGATTCAAAGGCATTTAAACATTTTATGAGATAAAGCAATCATTTTCAACCAAAGATGTTGCTGAGAAAATGATTAGCAAATCGTTAGTCTTTAACTTAATTTCACTGCTATTGCTAAGAAAACAGCCGAGAAGTTGGTGTAAAAGTTTTGTATTTTTGGAAGTCAGTGCATCAGATCGTCACTACAGTCCACGAAAAGCGTGTCTGCGTTCAGCTGAACTTGCCCAGCTCGATCTTCTTGCGGATGGCATTGAGTGATGTGTGCAGCATGGAGTAGAAGATGCCGGCGACCGTGTAGATCCCGCCCACGATCGCGCAGATGTTGGTCGCCATGTGGCCCAGCGAGTTCTCCTTCTCCGTGTACTTCACCATAAGCGGGGACAGTTCGTAGCTGAAGAAGATGCCCGGCATACCGGACTCGCCCGTGACCACGGACACTACCTTCTGGTGGCGCGTAACGGAGAACTGGTTTGTGTGCACGGCCTCGCCGCCGCGTTTCACGTACAGCGTCGGCACGATCTTCACGTAGTACTGGAACATCGTGGCACCCTCGGACGTCACGGCGCTCAGCCGGTCCAGCGGATGCGTGTTGGCGAAGCTGATGCGCTCGCCAAACGACAGGTGATTGATCACGTGCGACGTGTTGAAGCTGGTGGACGTGTACGGCTGCACGTCGTGGATGTGCACGTGATTGATGGAGAAGCTCTGGCCGGGCGCCAGGTGGAAGCTGCCGCCCATCCGGTTCACCTCCATGCTGCCGTAGATCTGGCAGCCCTCCTTCAGCGCGTTGTCGCTGTGCGTCCTGCCCGAGGCGCGCTCGTTCTTGCACTGCTCGAAGTCGTCCGGATTGGGATTCCATCGCTTCACGCGATACGCGTCGATCACGTCCTGGCACGTGTTGCAGCAACTGCAAGAGGAACAAGGCATTTCAGTGAGTTTCATAGCAGGACCTTCACAGTGTCCGGAGTATCCTTTCGGCCCTAAAGGTGGTGTAAATCTCAACTCACTGCGTGTTGTTGAACTGGGCGCCATAGCAGCTGCCGCAAGCCGGAGTCGTGTTCTCCGGTGGCTTCTCAGTAGTAGGCTTGGCTGTAGACTGCTCGGCCTTCTTCACCGTTGACGTGATCATTTCCTTCACCGGCTTGTCACCCGTGATGACATTCCCGTCCAGATCCAGTCGCTGTTTGTACACATTGTGCTCAATGTGCAGATGCTGCTCGCCAGCTGTGTCCATTGCGTCCACACTGAGATCTGGCCATTTTCCAAGGACTTATTAGCAAGGACAATCCATCAATAGTCCGCATGCATTTGTACTTACAATCACATGAGATTTTCGGCACAGTAATGTCAAGGTTGATCTGCAATTTGTGACTTCTTGTCGTGTCCACGTACAATTCTTCCGATATGTTTGGCGTCAAGTATGCATTCACTTCCATCACGATCAGCACGCAAATGATCACAGAACTGAGAATTGTGACTGTAAAACATGAGAAGACATATGCTGTAAAGACTCGAGATAGTCAAAGACATTTTATCAATCTTACCAATTGCGCCCATTAAAGTCTTAAAACTAAACTCCTCGAAGGTTTTGGGGTAAGCGTCGAGGCGCTTCAGCACGTCTAGCATCTTGAAAGTCACTAGGAATATATACTTTTAGAGATTCTCATTAAAATTCCTCACGCTCTGTGTTTATGTTGCACCCATCAAAGCAAATTGCCAAATCTGCAGACGAACAATTGTGGTGTTTCCAAAAGTGTGTGTCAAGATTGCAGTGATCATTCACGACGCGTCATTTATTAGTGTAATTTTCGTGGGTAGAAAAAAGTGATGCGGGAAATTTAATATAGTTGAAACAGGTGAAAAAGTTAATTTCATATTGACTGTATTATTTCCTTTTGTATCCACATTAATTAACAATCTCTGTACTATTCATTAACATGGACAATTCATTTTCATTTAGAGTGCTATCGTCTAACTTATTTACATCTATAATCCTTTTTGTTGAACACGAAGAAACACTGAGGTAACTCAAATTGCAAACACAATGAATTACATTCCGTCTTTACACAATTCTGCCATTTCTCTCTCGACAATAGAAATTACACACACACATTAAATCATAAACTGGCCTCACGATAAACGCCAGAAATATTCAAGTGATTAATTCGATTCATCACTTTGATCCTTGTATAAATTTCTAAACTTAATAGAAAGGGATTTCGAAAGAAAAATACATTTTCTATTCATTATTAAATATCTTTAAAAAATTACCATTTTCATTACACTCAGCATCTCAATTTGTAAAGTACATTTTGTTGATTTCTTTTTATATTGTAGAAAAGCTCATTTTATACTTTTTTGATAACACTTAAGATGAGACAAAATTATGTTGAAATTGCAACTTTACAAAATACACCTCCACTTTCTTCTTCTTTTTCTTTCAATATTGTACACAATCTCCAATTCTAATCAACTTACAATCTATATCATTTATATAAAAGGACTTTAAAGATCTCTGAGATATTATATATACAAATATAACCTCTCATTATTTAAACTTTCAGTGATTCTCTTCTGTTACTCTTCTATGTATTATTAAAATACTTCAATCGTATTTTCTATACAATATTTTTTTTATGCATTTCACAATTCAAAAGGAGAAAAAATCCTCACAATTTCCATCAATATCTTCACAATGATTCAAAAATATATAAATTGCCGTACACTTTCTCAGTAAAAAAAAAAGAAGAAAACTCATCACTTTCACCCTCAATCTCTAAAATACCTTTGGATCGCGCTCTTTGCTGTATCCTCTCTTCAATAGAAGAACTCTCTCTGTGTGATGTCAATGGTGTCTCAAAAATACAGGAATGTTCGCTTTTAGTTCATCCACTTTCGGCAATTCGGAGCTCCGCACATGCAAGAAATCTTGTGCGCATCATCCTCAATATCGAATTTGTAGTCGTAAGACAACTGAGAAGGAAATAATCAAGTGCATTAGTAGAGTACATTTGATGCACACAATTTAAGGAAAAAACTCACTTCTTCACCACGATTAATTCTCCTCTTCGCAAATATGATAATACGATATTCACGATCAACTTCGACAATTTCAGTGACGCAATTTGGATTGCAGGAGTGATTGATGTAGCGCGCCAAACCGCCACAGAGCGTGGCATCGACGACGCGATCCTCGTCCAAGCGGAACATGTAAATTCCTCGATTCTGCAAAGAAATAGGAAGGAAAATGCATCAAGATGAATTTCAAGAAAATCATGAGCTAGAGAAAATGAAAGAAACAACTCACCTTAGCCTCGTACTGCTTCTCGCGACTCTCCGACAACTCCGTCCTGATCACCTCTCCGATGTACTCAATCACCATCGTGTGCTTCTCCAGATCACGCGCCGCATACAATCCCAAGCCCTGGATCTTCGAGCGCGCCAAGTAGACATTGTTGCGCCACTCCTGCTTCATCTTCTTGTACTGCGAGCTCTTGGAGTGCACAAATTGCTTGCTGTAGGGACACGCCACTTCGCCGGCAATCGATGCTGTCGGCACAAATGTCGGCCTCTGACTCGTTGATCCCGTGCGCTGTGTGTGTGGCTTCTTCCAGCCCACGCTGTGCTTCAGCTTGGGCTCCGTGCGCGCCGCCCCAGACGGATTGATGGCCAGCGGAAGCTCCAGCAGCGGATTTCGCCCATACTTGAAGCGATAGTCCGTCAGTGTCTCAATGCCAGGCAGACTCTCGAGAATGCGCACCACGGCGGGCTCCGTCAGGCCAAATAGATCCTCACCCGTGACGTATTTTGGGAAGACTTGGATAAGTTGATTCTCTTTGCGCATCTGCGCCAGTGGCTCAAGAATTCGCTGCCACACGGCTCGTGGACTCGAGTCGCGCAGCTCAATGTCATCACGCTGTGGCTCTTGCACCAGCACCCGAAACTCCGGCCTTCCCGAGACATCGGCAATGCTACAGATGTAGCGACAGCGCCTGTTCGGCTGTCGCATGGACCAGTAGAAGCGGATGATCTTGTAGCCGATGGGATAGATGTAGTTGGGCGTGTGGAAGGCGATCAGCTGGTGCGGCAGTAATTGGCCAACATTTAGGAAGATCAAACTGCCCACGCGCATCAGATTGCTCAGCTCTGAGTGATGCATCACACTCGCCACTTGTCGACTCTCATCCCGCTCCACATACACGCGCCTCTGCACACTGAGTGTGGTCAATTCATTGTCCTTCTCCGTCTTTGGCGCATGCGATGAGCACATAGTGGTCTTATTCTTGTAGAACACACAATTGTCCTTCAGCGCACAATTCAAGTGGTACACATTCGTACAGCGTGTCTTGAAGCACTTAATGGTGGCACCGAGATTGCCGCACACCACGCAAGTCTGAACGAGGCTTGCCTGCAGGGCATTCTCGAGATTCATCAGCGCCCCATTGACTGTCTCATACACGCCGTCCGACCACAGGGCGCAATTCAGATGCACCCACTTGTCCACATCGAAGTTCAGCAGGCGCGACGGTCCATCGGCCACACCGTCGCCAATCTGATGGCAGAAGATGCACTTGCGCGTATCCTCGGGCATCTTGCTCGCCGTCACAGTGATGCTCATGCGGAACAGTGTCTCTGTGATCTCCTTATCTGTCGGCTTCTTGTACTTCGACGCTATCGTGAAGCAATTGCCCGAGAACATCTTATAGCGCACACCCTTGAACTTCGGATGCTTCTCAAAGTCCCCATCCATTGACACCTCATCCCTCAACTCCTGCTTGATGTCCAACTCCTTGAGATCAATACCACTCGTCGCCTCCTTGATGTCCGTCTCATCCAGATCTACTTCCATCTTCAGATCATCATCATTCAGATCACACGTTGTCGATGTTGTCATGATCACGTCGCCGAACAGAGATTTATCATCCACCTTCGCACTCTTCTCCTCATCCTGCGCCGCACCACTCTTGGCCTCTGTTCTGCTCTCCTCCAGGATGCTCGTTGGACGCCACTGGAATTGCTTATAGCACGCCCGACTGCAGAAGTAGAGATCGTCCGTGTCATTGATGAGTTCCGTGGCGTTGTTGAGTGTCGACAACAGTGGGAATTCTGACGCCTTCGCCCTGATCATGCTGTTCAGTATCACAACATCACAGTGACGACAGAACTTTGCAGCGCCATTGAGAATTGTCTGGATATCAATTGGAGCGCCCTCCTTGCCATCCTTCCCCTTCGTCCTGTACAATCCCAACTTCTGACTCGGCGGCGTCGTCGTGCGCTCGACAATCTGATACGCCGTCGGCGCCGGAATGTGCAGGATGTTGGCCAAATTCCTCAACACACCCATAATATCCTCCGCCGCTGATGACGTTAGCGTGAGCGTCACGGTGACATTGCTGTTGTCCTTGAGCGGTGTCGGTGAGCCAAATCGCGATTTCACCCCCAGCACATCCTTCAATCCCTCATTCTCCTTGTTGCACACATTCAGGGCGCGCGCAAATGACATTCCCGGCTTCAGACGGATGGGAATGGGCGCCACAAGTGGAATCTGCGGTGACATACTGCGATACACGCCATTCTCCTCATCATCCGAATCCTCATTGATAAGCTTCAGTCCCGGATACAAATACAGTGGCTCCCAGGCTGTGCACTCAGGACTCGAACTACTGATAACTGTGTCTGGCGTCTCATTGTCGCGCTCCTTCATCAGTGTCTCATACTTGTAGCGATTGTCCTCCTCCACATCGAAGCTCATCGGTGCGAATTCCTGATCGTAGAATCCATAGTGTGTCGACGTGCCAGAGCCATTCTCACTCGGCGGCGATTTCATACCGAAAGGCTTTGTGTTGTAGAAATCCGCCACATTCGGCAACTCCGCCATTCCATATTCGCCCAACATGTCACCCTCGCAGATCGAATACTCCCTGGCCGAGCTCATCTTCGTCAAATCACCCGTGCCATACACCGGCCCCACGCCGAAGTTCCTGCACAGCGTCGGCTCCAGAATCTGCATATGCGGCAATTGCCTCAATTGTCCCATCAAGTTGTCAATGAATGTGTCATAATCCTCCTCGACTTTGGAGAACTTGCGTGGTCGCTTCTTACTGCTGCTGCTCATCGCCTCTTTGCTCAGTATCTGCATCTGCCGGCGACTCTTCTGGTACTCTCGCCTCTTGCGCTTCTTCAGCTCCAGTGCCGTCTCTTGCGCCGTCTTCGCTGCCGCTGCTGCCGCCACATCACTCGCCGCTACCTCCGTTGTATCCATCAACTCTGTCTTCGGCACAGTAAAAGTGCCCTCAGGCATCTTTGGCGTCAACTTCTCACCCAGCGTCGTCGTCACAACAGGTGAAACCACCTCCTCGACAATCTCCTTCTTCACATCAATCACCGCCAGACTTGGTGGACCCGTAACACTGCCCGTCTCCGGCGGAGATGTCGATTGCTTCACCGCCGTGACCACCGGCAGCGACATGTCCTTGTTTATCACTACATTTGGCGGCGCCACCGCGTCTAGAGATGATGACAGAGTTGGATACGGCGGCGGTGGCTCCGTTGGAATCACCGTCTCCTCCTTAACACTCACCATCTTCGTCTCGGCGGCACTTGTAGTTATGGCAGACGCCGACGTTGTCACAATCTGCGGCTGTGTTTGCTGCACCGTCGCCGCCTGTTGACTCGGTGACTGTGGTGGCTTGGATACGAAAGACGTCTCTCTCTGCATGAAGATGTGCGTCCTCATTGTCGCCTTCGTTGCACTCACTTCACTGCACACCGGCGACGGAGTGGCGGCGGCCGGCGTGGGTGAGTTCGATGACTGCGGAAGAATTTGACTGGCATTCGACGGCACCGGTGGCAAAGCTGGCCTCGCCAATTGCGCCTCCAACGAACTCACGAGACCCAAACTCGGCGCCCGCAAGCCCGGCATGGTGCGCGACGCGATCGCTGGCGGCGTGGGCGACGGTGTACTCGTACTGCCTGAATTCTGCAGCAATTGCTTCAGCAGCACATTTTGCGAGTCCTCAGACTTTACGGGCGGCGCTACTGTCATCGTGGAGAACTTGCATCCGCCCTCGCTCGCCTTCGTCGGCGTCACAGTCGCCGGCGCGTCCTCACTCGTGTCCATCGGCTCGCTCTTCACCACATTCGTCAGCTCCACGCTGTGCCTTTTTGTGCCGTGAATCAGCGCCGGCGCGGCCGCCGGTTGCTCCTCCGTAGACTTGGATCGCTTCAAAGCACTGGTCAGCTGCGTGTGTAGCAGTGTGCTGCCCATCGGCGGCTGCTGCGTGGCCGCCTTGAAGCTCGGCTGCGACAGTGTGGCGCCCAGAATACTGCCCGAGAACTGGATAGCCGTGCTCGTGGGCGTCACAGAACCGCCACCCGTGGACGTCGTGATTGGTACAACAGTGCCAGAAATTACACCCTGCCTGGACGTCATCACGAGAGCTGGCGGCTGAGTCGAACTGTACTGCAGATCGGAATAGTTGATGATGCGCGTGTGTTGTCCTGTCAATTGATTGCTGAGAATGCTCACAACTCCCGGCGATTTCGCTCTGTCCTTCTGCTGTTGGCTCTCCGCCTGGATCTTCGTCAAATTCGGTATTCCCTGCTGCCCTTGAGTGATGATGACCGACTGTGCGCCGGCTGATGTTTGCGACACCGGCGAATTGCCGGTGGATTTTGTCTTTGGCGACGTTGTCAATTGGTTTCCCGCCAATAATTGCTTCACAACGAGAATAGAACCACCTAAAAATAGAAGAATTAGCCAAAATCACATTAAAGACAATTACTGGTTGGAGAGGGAAAAAATGAAGAGTTTGTGCGATCTTTTGAAAGAAAGAATTAACATCATTTAAATTCTATGCATGATTAAATCAATTCTAAAACACGGTTATTTAGAGACTCAAAAACAGCCACAAATAATAGAAAAACGCTCACCAGTTGTTGGATTGCTCACTGCAGGTGAATTCCTTTCCGGCACTGTAACTTTGGTGATGTCAGTTGTCGTCTTGAGACTCATTGGCGTCACTGTTTCTGCCTTTGTTACCTCAACTTTCGTGGACGGCAGGAGATTCTCAAAGTTCACATTCGTCGCATCGGCAACTTGAGCATCTTCGCCGGTCGTCTTTTCCGCATTGAGCGACAGCGTCGTCACAGATGGACTCGATGAGCTGATGGATGACAGAATCGATCGCACCTCTTGCGACACATTCTGCATGTTTGTCGCCATTTCCGTCGGCTGCGACAGCGGAGAGAGTTGAGGCATTGTTGAGATATTGCGCTGACTCGCCGTGGACAATTTGGGACTTCGCGGTGAATCGCGTGATTTGACAATCACATGGAAGGGAATAACATTTTGCTTCTGCTTTAATTCCCCTCCAGTTTTACCATCTTTCACCTCTTTGATCTCATCAATCTCCTCCTTATTGTCCACCTGATCTTTCACCACTGCTTCACTGGTAACATCTTTAGCGTCTGCAGTTGCATTTTCCGTCCCTTTATCACTGCTCATCATCTTCATGTCGTCCACCATGTCATCGGCAACACTGTGAAACTCCACTTTGTGCTCTGGCGACGCCAAATCTGGATCATCGTGCTCTATCGAGCTGTCTGGCGACACAGATTCATCCTCAAATATTTTGTGTGGCAACGAAGCGTCCTGATTCACCGTCAACGATGACAACTTTGAATAGACAAGACTGGATGATGATGATTTTGTGGCCAGACGCTCAAGCATTTTCTCCGAAACCAATTGTTGTTGAGCAACTGTAACTGGCGATGGTGATTTCTGCGTAATTTGCGCCACTGTTGTCACTTTATTGTGCGACGACGACGAAGAACTCTGGCCGAGATTTAGTGACGAGATTGTGACAATAGAAGCTGGACTGAGTAGTTTATGGCCACCCATTGTGATCATCGATTTTGGCAATTTCACACTTATCGGCGATTTTGCCAGCAATTTCCCCTTTCCACTTGCCGCGTGTCCACCCGCTTGGCCATCACCAACTGTTGTCGTCGCCTTGTTGTGCGGCAGCGGAACATTCTTCAGCACCGGCACGGAAATTGTCGTATTGCCAATCGACACAATTGCCGTCGTTTGCGTCACATCCTTCATCAGCTTCTTGTGCACCGACACAGCTGTCATCTGACCACTTGTTGGCCGGCTGCTCATCAATGCCGACGTCACGGGCAAACGCGAAGAGTACGTGATTACCGGAGATCCCTTCTTCACCACTGCACTGGCACTTGTCATGCCCACGGCACTCACCTGCTTGCTCACCTGCTCAGCAGACGTCGACTCTGCGCGCGGTGAACTTGGTCCACCCGCCGGCTTTGCTTCCTTCCCAGATCCCAGAATCACATCCAGAACATCACTCGTGGTGACAATTTGCTCCTCCGGACTCTTCATGTCCGATCCAATGATAACAATCTCCGAACCCATCGACATCATGTCCTCATCGCCAGTCGTGAAATGTTCCTCCGAGAACTGGCCACTCTTCTCCTTCTCCGCCTCCTCATCATCGCTATCTTCCGTGCGCACAAAGTCATCTCCAGGACTCGCGATCAACTCCAGCGTCTTGTCCTCATCGGAGATCACCGTCTTCGGCAGATGAGACATGGAAGTGTGCTTCATCGAGTCATCACTGTCCGCATAGTCCACCACCATGTCAGGCGCAAACAGGACATACTCCTCCGTCACCTCAGACTCCAGTGGACTGGACACAATGGCATCAAACTCTGTCGGCGCCAGTGACTCAATCACCGAAATATCATCTGTGTCCGGAACAGATTGAGCAGCCGCACTCAACGACACTTCTGTCGCCACCACCGCCTTGTCATTGTCATCATCATAATCCATGATCCTCTGCTTCTCATCCGGACTGCTGTCAATCACCACAATCTCATCCTTTCGTCCTCCTCCCTCACCCGGTGGCGGAATCTTTCCCTTGCCGTGCAGTGGACTCTCTGGTGGCGTATTCGAGCTGTCCTCCAACTCACCAAACTCCAGCGCCTTGCTCTTGATCACCAAATCATGCGGCAATCCCGTCACCTTTTTCTTCTTCTTCAATATCGAGATGCGATTCATGTGCGCCTCCTTTCGCACACCCTGAACAACACCACCTGATGTGGACGCTATCTGCTTGTCACCACCAGATCCACTCTGACCGGCTGACGATGGTGTCGGCATGCGCTTCGAGCCGTAACTCCACATTGGCGCACCGCCGCGCAGACCCAGCTTTATATATCCAAATCGCCCAAAGGACGCCGGCAGTGGAATCGGATTGTTCATGCTGTGACCGCCGCCGCCGCCACCGGAATTCCCTCCTGAACCATCCACACCGGCGTCGCTGTGCTGCTGCAAGTACATGTGCCGCGGTGAATTCTCCACACTCTGCGGCCTCTCGGCGCCAACAGGAGAGTTCGCCGTCACGCCGCCCGTGCTCGGTGGGCGCCGCATGATTGGCGATTGCATGGGTTGATTGACATTCCCGAACTGACTCATGCCGCCGCCCCTCGCCATCGGAGATGGTGGATTGATGGCCTGGCCGAGCATAGGCGACGGCGGCTGTTGCTGCTGCGCATTGCCTTGCTTGTACTGCTGTTGCTGCTGCTGCTGCTGTTGCTGTTGCTGCTGCAGCATTTGCTGGCGCTGGATCAAGTGCCTCTGCTGCACCAATTGCATCGTCCTCTGATTGTGCATGTGATCAATCGCCTGCTGATTGCCACCTTGATTAATCGTCGGCTGTGGACTGCCCAGCGGTGAATTGTAGCCCGCCGAATTCTGTCTCATCACCTGCTGTTGCTGCTGCTGTTGCTGTTGCTGGCTGAACACAATCCGGGGCCGCATTATGCCGTCGGCAGTTTGCATCGTCATGATTTGCGGTCGCACAAAACGATTCTGTTGTTGTTGACCGGCCTGTAAAATCTGCCCTTGGGCCATCATATTCTGCTGCTGCTGTTGCTGCTGCTGATACGGAGCGCCGGGACTCGTGACAATTCGCCCACCGGGAATATTTGGCGCACCCATTCGATGCTGCGGCGACGTCAATCGCCCAGGAATCGATGGAGTTGGCGACGGACCTGGATTATTGGGACTGAACGGACACTCATCCACCTGTGACAGCGGCGTTCCAATCCTCGGCGACGGCTGCATCGTATTGTACGGCGACATGGAGTTCTGCTGATTGCTGGGACTTTGCATGATCGAATTCACACTCGTCGGCCCAGGCGATTGGGAAGACATCAACGGACTGGGCGAGTGCAGTGGACTCTGATGACTTTGCACCATTTGATTGCTCAGCGGCGATTGTCCAGTCGTCTGTAACACACGATGGAAGAAGTGTGAATGCCTGCAGACACACAAAAACAATTCTTTCTCACCTGAAGGATTTGCTGTGATCCTGGCGATGGGGATGTTATTGGCGACTGCGGTGCAATGTGAGCCGGCGAAGAGCCAGGCAATGTTCCAATTGGTGATATGATTTGATTTTGCATCTTCGACATTTGTTTCCCTTTGTAATCCTGAAATTATTCATTAAAATTAAGATTTTTTCATCCATGCGCAAATGCTTATGATAGGAATTTATCATTCTACAGACTGAAAGTTTCAAAATAACCAAATTCACTCACCTGTATCACCATTGAATGCTGTCTCGCCTGCTTTCTCGCACTCTCAAGCTGTTTTTGCACGATATTCTGCTCTGTTGTCACTTTAGCCAAATCTCTCGCATCGCTCTCACTGAGTTCCTGGCCCTGCTTCTTGATCTGTCTCTGCTTGCTGTTCAAGCTCTGGCAAATTGACAAGCAAAGTTCAATTGACATCTCTAGAGAAATGTATCATCAATCAACTCACCTTCTTCACTTTCCGCAGCTTCGTCACTTCAGTTTCATAGTACTTCAGCTGTTCAGCCAGGACATTGTGCTGCTGCGTCAGCCACTGTTCGTACGCCACCTGCATCTGCCTATCCTGTTCCGTGACAATCGTCTCGGGCGGCAGCGGCGGCTGTGGTGGCAGATTGGCAATGAACAGCTGAATGGCACCGGTGCTGTCGCGTCGAATGCCCGCCGGATCATTCGCTGGATTTGGCGTTCCAGGACTCGGCAATTGCTGTTGCACCACTTGTGCAGGATTTGTCGGTCGCCATTGTGTCTGATTCATGCCTCTGGGCATGAATTGTGGCTTTATCCCTTGCGACTGTTGCTGTGATGTTTGTTGTTGCATAGACAATAGTCCTTGCGCTGTTGTGGTCTGTGCATTGCCACTGAAAAGATCCCCCGGAACTCTCTGGTAATTCTGCAATAAAAAAAATGAAATAGAAGAGAAAACAATTTGTGAGTGATTTGTGGGATAAATGGATAGTGTTTTGAGAGTTGTTTTCCATTACTTGATCATCAATCATTCCAGGATTAATTTGTGTATTAGATTGTACATTCGCTATTGTGGATGTTATTTGCTGTCTCTCCTGTTCGCGCTTCTCTTGCTCCAATAAATCTTCCAACAGGAGTGGCTGTTCCTAGCCAAAAAGACAGTATTTTATTCACTTATATGGATAATTACACCACTTAACAATTCACATAAATAGAAACAATCTAAGATGATTGTTTCCATTGGTTAATATTATTTTTATTATTATCCGTTAACACTAGGAAATGTTATCTAATGATCTACTAATCATGCATAGCATTTGTAATGATAAGAATGTGATGCTTGTTAGTAAAATCTACACAAAGCTCGAAAAATATGCACTGAAACTCTTTAGTTTCTCTCCAACTACCAGACAAATGAAGGAAGAGGAAAATTGCATTGCACTAATCCAAATCTAAAAGAATATTGTGTGTGAACATGAAGACATTAGGAAAAAGAATGACAGGAAGCAACAACCCAGTTGATGGAATCAAGCAAAAATGTGCATGGATCTTTCAGATTCATCACGATATTCTCCTCACTTCTTAGGGAGGATTTGTTCTTCCACTAATTTCTCTTGCTCCTCAAATTTAGTATATTTTGTGGGGATTTTTTGGCTCTTTTTCGTTCAGTTAAAAAATAAATAAAGATTATTTTGTACAAATAAAACAAATAGAGAGAGAGAGGAATTTTGACGGAACTCCTATAAATGGATTTTTCTGGTCTCAATGTCTGATGTGGGTTTGTTGGTTTGACTTTTTTTTTGTGTGTGATATAATCACTCTCACCTGTAACAGCAAAGACCGACGATGTGCAACATTATGCTGATGATACCCGGTGCTTGGCATTATTCCCGATGTAGGCATCGATTGATACGGAGGGTAAAACTGTTTCGCATGTGTATATTTAAATTTATTTTGTATCTCTTTCTTTTTAGCGATTATTATCAAAAACCGAAAGTAAGTATGGGATTATTAGTTGGACTTTCATATTATGTATATGTTTTACGAATAAAATTGATTTTGATCACAAAGAAAACACAAGGAAAAACTAAAAGTCAAATGAAAATCAAATTTTCCCTCATTTTTCTCCTATTCGCACAATTATTTTTCCTCTTTTTTCGTTCTCCTATTCTCAAAATCCCCTTTTTCTTTTCTTTTTATCACCAATAATACATTTAAAAAAGAAAAGAAAAAAACAACTGAAAAGTAAAGTTCCAAAAACACACAACAATCTCTGGATCCTTGTTAGAAAAGGATCCGCATGATATTCTCTCATAGTTTAAACAATCAAATATCAAACGCACAGACATGCAGATAAAAATATTGATCTTGTCAACGAGATTAATGACTAAATAAAGATTATATAGTTTGAGAAATATGTTAAACCATAAGAAAGTAACATTCAAAATCATGTCATCAGATAAACAGTATAGAAAGAAAAAATGAAAATAAAGATCAACGCCAAAATAGTCACTAATCAAAATCAGCCATTATTATTTCTCTGTTAATTTCCCAACAAATTCTTCAAGAGCAAAAGTGTTTCAAAATGCACTAAAAGGACAGTTGGCAATCACAAGTGTAATATATGTGTCAAATAACACGAAATGCTTCCCATCAAATCACAATTAACACTCTTTTTTCTTTCACCATTTTGAAACACACTCTCTTGATATGAAACCAAAAAAAAAAAATGAAAACAAGAGAATATGTATTCTCAAGTGACCACAAAAAACAGTCCATCATCATGAAGAGTGAACAAAAGAGTCATTCTTAATGATTTAACCATTCCACTTAGAAAAAAATACCCGCCACACACTGTCTTAACAACTGAGTAATGGCAAATGCCGCCTTCTTCTCTCACCTGATTCGCCGGCGGCTGTTGCACCGGCGCGCTGCCCGGATACGGAGGCGGCGGCCCGGGATAAGGCGGAGGCGGCGGCTGATTGATCTGTCCCTGCGCCTGAGCCTGCGTGTTCGCCATCGCGATACGATTCACCTGAGTCGATTGCTGCTGCAGCTGCTGCTGCAAGATCATGCGCGTGCCCTGATTCGCCTGCTGCTGTCCAGGGTGATCCTGGCCAGGTGCCGGCATTCTCAGCGCCTGCAGCCGATGCTGCGTCACCAATTGTTGTCTGCAAAAATACATTTCATCCATCAGCCACAAACAAGACTTTCTATATTGATTGGCAATGTAATTAAAATCTTACAATTTTAATTTTTAAAAGAGTACATAAAAAAAAAACGGTACATTTTACTTCTCTAACAGATTCATTTAATTAATTAGAAATTGGCGAATTTACAAATAAAAAATGGCTCTAAAGATGAGTGAATTCTCACGCCGGCTAATGGAGTCCAATGGGATCCCAGCCGCCTCGGATGTAGCGCACGAGCTGGATGTCTTTGGGATGCAGCGTCACGCAGCGCCGGAACAGCGTGCACCTATAGGCGTCCTCTAGGAGCTGCGTCAAGTACATCTCCGCCGCTTCTTGCAGCGCATCAAAACACACTGCCGTGATGCGGAAGTCACCGTGGCCACTGGATTGCAGCGTTTCCCTCACGAGCCGCCCGAACGGCGCCTTCGGGATCAATTTCTGTGTCGATTTCTGGTAGTGCATGATCTCACGATGGATCTTCTTGTACGGATTGCTCTTCCGTGGCTTCTTGCGAGTTCCCTGGCGAGCAGCTGTACGACCAGACGGCCCTGGTGTGCTCGAGCGAAGTGTCCGGAAGCTGGTGACATTCTGTGCGGCGGCTCCTCGTGATGTCACCGGCGTCTGTCTAACAGGGCTCCGACCACTTTGCCGTGACTGTACACTCGTTGGCACACTGCTCTGGCTGATATTTCTCCCAGATTGCCTTGGCGTTGAAATTTTGTCTTGCGTATTATTCGATGATCCTGACGAGTCGGTTGTGTCGCTCACCTCGTACGGAAGCAATTTAGGACCTAATCTTGGCATTTTTCACGTGGGCACGCACTTCTGTATCCACTTAATATCCCTTTTTACGACGGAATAATTATGCTTTTGCACGAAAAGAATAAAATTCTCAGACAAGAGACGCTTTTTCTTGCCGTTTGTCTCCACACAGTTAGACGGAAATGACAGTTTGCGCCAAATTGAAATGTCAAAATGGCAATATCGAATTCTCCGAATTTTCGAACTTCTCATTTTGAATTCAAACCGTTACTTTCTTCACAAATTCACCACCACAAATTGATATTTATCTCAGTGTAATGTGTAAATTGATAAATAAACTCACCCATTGCGATTCATTAAGCCAGGAAAGCTGACTTGGACATTATTGTTGGCTGTGACAATACCAATTGCTCCATTGGACATCAATTGTGTGCCAACTTGCATTGGTTTTCCCATCGCGGCCGCTTGTTGTACCTGAAAAAAACAACCAGAAAGAGCTATTTAGCAATTATTTCAACAATTGACTGGATCTTTTTTACCTTCTGAAGCATTTGTTGCTGAATCTGTTGCAAATTTGCCGGTATAATCTGGTGTGTCACTTGAGTCTGCTGCTGTTGTTGTTGCTGCTGCTGCTGTTGCTGCTGAAGGATCTTCAGCTGATGAATCCTCTGCTGCTGATGCAATTGCTGACTATTGTCCAGCACCATGCTCTGCTGTGGCTGAATTTGTTGCGACTGAGACATCTGAGGCATCATGCTCGACGCATTGTGTCCCGCCTGTGTTGTCTGATGCATTTGTGGTGGCATTTGCATGGCACTACTCATGGCAATGTTCTGACCACCGTTGCCGCCGCCACTCATCGTCATCGTCTCGGATTGCGAGACAATATTTGTCGTCGGAGTCTCTTCACATGTTGATCGTGTGTCATCCTTCTCGGGCAACTCCTTCTTCCCTGGCTTGTCATCCTTTTCCGTCTCCTCGTCCAACTCCAAACTGTCCAGCAAGTTCGCCTTCTCACCGTCATTGAGTGTATCCAATTCCGGATCGGCATACTCGAGAATATTGAAATCTGCTCCCATTTCCGCTGTCAGCGACACCAGCAGCTCCTCATCATCATCACCCAGGCCGCCAAGGATGTCACCAACACCCTCAACTTCACCCATTCCGCCACCCTCTTCCTGCTCCAATTTCTCCAGCTCCGCCGTGACATTGTCCGGAATCTCAGGCGCCTCATCAGACGCGCCGCCCATCATATTGCCCGCCGGCTGAATCCTATCCAACTTGTGCGCCAGCAGAGACACATTCTGTTGCTCCTGCGCACTTTGTGCCATTCCCGGCTGCTGCTGCTGCATCTGATTCTGCCCACTCACGGCTTGATTCACCATCAACTGCCCATAGTGATCGATCTTCCGCACACCAAACTGTTGCTGCTGCTGCTGCTGCTGTTGCTGCTGGTGCGCCTGGGATTGCTGCATGATCCCGCCTTGCTGAATAATGTTTGACTGCTGCGTCATGATCATCTGCGACGTTTGATTCGACGCAATCACACTCGTCACAACCTGCGGCCTTATCATCCTCTGTCGCATGTCCGCCGAGATTTGCGTCAGCCGCGCATTGCCAATTTGATTGGTCAGCGACACTTGCGGCTGCAGCTGTTGCTGTCCCGGCCGCACCAGCACCGGTCCGGTGGCCAATTGCATGCGCTGCGGCCGCGACGTCAGTCCCGGCGGCAGTGGCTGGCGGAATGTGATGTTGTCCGGTGTCTGCTGCTGTTGTTGTCCAGCATTCAGGCTCTGCTCGTCCACCGCCTCCATTCCCCAGCGTGGCGACTGCGGCGGATTCTGCGCCTGTGGCGACTGCACGTGCTGCGGCGACACCATTCCCGTGCTGTTCGGCGTGACCATTTGCTGGCGCTGCAGCAGATCGCGCAGCTGTCTATTCCCTTCTGGCTGCTGCTGTTGCTGTGCCTGCGGCTGCTGATAGGGTTGCGGCGGCTGAACTTGTGCCGGCTGTCCTTGGAATGTGTCAGAACGCGGCGACGTGAATGGTGATGTCTGATTGCCGCTGAATAGCGGTCGAGTGGCATAAACTGTCGACCTCATGATGTTTGTGTTGGCCGCCGGACGCGGCGTTCCCGGCGCATGAGCATATCCAGTGTTGTCGATGTTGAGGCGAATCTGCTTCGCCGGCACCTGAACACTCGGCTGTTGACCAACATAGGCTGGACTACGATTTGGCGCCGGATTCGGACTCTGATGGCCAAAAGATCTGTTCGCTTGTGGTGACTGTGAAGCAGAGAAGGGAATTGTTGTTTTTTATAAAGCAAAATTCAACTTTGAAGGCTTTAAAGATGTTTTTTTTACGCTGTCACAACTCACCAGAATGAACTGGTCCTGTTGCGAGCCTTCTGAAGGCGGCCTGGAGAACGAGTCCATGCCCTGCGGCACAGGCGAACTGGGAAATTGATCGTGTGGCGATTGCGATGCTTGCGATTGTGGCGAGAAAGGACTCTGCGTCATGCGCGCCATTTGCTGCTGACCGCGCGGAATCTGCACCGAAACCGGTCGCGTCATCCCGGCATGCGGATATCCTTGCGAATTCACATTCGTGGGCAGAACTCCTGGTCTTCCCTTGGCTGACGGCGTCACAAAGTTCGTCATCTGGCGCGAAGTCGGCGAAGGACTCGCCATCGGGCCAATGGAATTGCCGTCATTATGCGTCGACACTTGTAATTGCAGAGAAGCGTCTGTGCGAAGGAAGACAAACAAGAAGAAGTGTGTGAAAAAGGGCGGGAAATCATTCCAGATAGACTTCTTGATTTACCTTGACCGCCTTGATTGTGGATGACCAGTTGCTGCATTTGCTGCTCTCGCGCTCGTGTCGCCTGCAAAAGCTTCCACTGGCGCTCCTGCTCTTGCTCACGAATTGTCTTCTGCTGAGCATTGATCTTTTCCTGATCCTGAAAGTAAATCATTTCGACATTGATGTAAAGTTTCACCGCCACTCAAACTATACAACATTTTTCTAACGTTTAATAGAATCTACCAAAAGAATGCCTAATGCTTCTTCTACCATTTTAAACTCTACATTTATTTTTGCTTCTAATTAAATTAGTAAAAAAAAAAACTTTGTTTATTTTATAAATACCCTTTCATAGAAAAAAGAATAAAAATTTTCTAGAGAATAGCAAATATAAGACATGCAAATTATTCGAATTATGATATCCACACGGAATCGAATACTTGAAAATTGCTTTTGCTTCTGGTATTCAAACCCGAATTAAATAATAATGTGTAAAAATATAAATTAAAATAGAATGCGAAAAATGCATTTTCTCTCTCATTTTGAGTTGAGCAAAAAAAAATAAATGTCTCAAGAAATTCCTTTTTCAAACTGAAGTTGGGTTAAATGAACAAATTTTGATCTACAAAAATTGGTTAAAAGAAGAATTTTTTTTTCTGCTTTTAGTGAAAACACAATGTTGTCTTTTTTTATCATACAGAGAAAGAAAAAATTAAGTAATGAGATGTCATGCAAAGCATTTACCATTGAAAAATGAACTAAATACTAATAATTCTCTACTAAATACCAAATTTCTACAAATAACAAATGTAATAATTATATTAATATGAAAGTCACAAAATGCGAGACACAAGAACGGGGTGGGCGTGGAAAGGGTGTGATTTGGGGGAGTGTTTCTCTGGAATGGTGGGAAGAATTTTCCATCGAATTTTCCAGCAATATTTGAGAGGTTCTGTCCTTCGTCTGCTCAGTGATTTGTGGATCTACACCTCGCTTCGCTTCGATAAAAAACAGCTCTTTATGCATAAACAAAACTTATATATATATATATATATCTCAAGTTTCACATGCGATACAGCAAGACTCAAAAATCACAAATATATATATGGAGAAGTTATGGAAGGAGGAGAAAAAAAAAACGATATATCATTCAAAAATAAATGATTAAACATTACATAGAGTAGCAAAATCTCATATTCCAAAAGAATTCTCTTCTCACAGACTTTCTATCATTAGTTATGCAAAAGAAAAGGAATTTGAAAAAATATCCCTTCAAAAAATTAAAGGCGTCACTTTCGAATCCTAACAAAGAGAATTTGTACTTGTTGATAATCAAAAATAAATTGTGAAAATATAAGAAAGAAAAATTGGAAAAGCATTGAGAAAATAGAAGATTAAAATTCCTTCAAGTTTCTCTGTACAGTGGTGTCTAAAATAATAGCATATGTGCAGTTTTTAATATGCAATTATATCAAATTTCTGCAGATATTTTGCTCTTTACACTTTCACTGTATATTCCACTCTAACTCGTAAACCGCGTCAAACACATTTCTTATACAAAAATATGATCACAGGATCTCTGATCGTAAAACAGTTTAGTTTTCACTATAAAAATGTACAGCATGGTAAATAGCAAGGATTAAAAAGGGAAAATCTAAGATAATCAATCTTTTTCTTTTTCAGAACGAAACACTTCAAAAGTAAGCTTTCAAGCAAAATACCGGCAGAAACTGTCCAAAAATGCAATTATTTTCCTTCTTCTATCGCAATATCAACATTATTTCGAACACCACTGTGTCTTCTTTCTCTTTCTCTCTCTCGAGAAAAGGAAATCCAAAAATACAAATGTTCCACATAATTTTATCCCAAACAACTTTTTGACTGTCTTTCGTAACTTCAAGACAAATATAGAAAAAAAAAATCAAAATGATAAAAAAAAAATATAGAGAAAAATAAAAAGAGTTCAGAAACAAGAACACATTTTCGCTTTGTCGTGTTTCTCACCGTTTGATGCAAAATTGACGTGGACGAAGAAGTCGTGGTGTTCGGAGTCGAGGGTGGTGTTTGTGAATTTTTGGTAGAAGAAGAAGAGAAAGCTGATATGATTGGGGATGAGCAAGAAGTCAAAATGTTCAACGTAGAGCTGGTTGGTGTCAAAGTAGCGTTCTCGGGCGTAGTAATAGTGGAAGAAGAAGAACCATTGCGTGCAAATGGTTTGCTATTCATCATCGGTACATTGTGTGACTCCTTCGTCACCACCACCGCTGCACTCGTCATCGTGACCGCGGCCGTGTTCACCGAAACTTGATGCGAAATCGCCGGCGTTGTGTCATAGCTCGTGGACAGATCTTGATTGGGCAGCGACGGCAGCGTTCGCATGATCTCCGACGGCGTCAGCACGCGTATCTGCTGGTCATTGCTGATGTTGAAGTACTGAGCACGATTGCCGCCTTCCATCGACTGCTTCGCCGCCTGTTGACTGTACGCCGGACTCTGCGAGCGTGACGGCGTGCGCTCCAAGTGATGCACAAATTGTCCACTCGTGTGCTGCTGCATCACAATATTCGACGTGGGATAGTGAATGATAGTATTCGTGCCAGAAGTCTGAATCTGCTGCGACTGCTCTTGCATCATCCCGTGATGCTGTTGCTGCTGCGCCTGATTCGTGGCTATCTGATTGATTGTCTGCAGCTGAGCCGCCAAGATTGGCGACTGTATGGCACCAGAGACCGGATGATGCAGATTCCCCGTGATGCTCAGTGTGTTGTGGTGGAGAAATGGCCTAAATTGACCGTGAAAAGTGCCCGAACGCAGTGCCGAGTTGGGATTCGTGTTGAAATTCCCATTGGGATTCACAGTGACATTCGGCGCCGGTCCACCAGCGCCGTGATGATGATGGTGCACGCCATAGTGCTGCGGATGATGATGATGCACCGTGAATTGCGGCGAGATGTTCGTGGCAATCACATTTGGCACGAAAATGCCACTCTTTGCGCCACCGCCCAGAGTCAGGGCCTTCATGAAGTGCGTCACGGGCTGTGACACGATCAAGTTCGTGCTGAACGACTGCTTCGCCACACTCGCCATCACCGCTGTCGTTTGCGCCACGGGCAGCACAGCTGCAGCCATTGGTGTGATGTTCAGATTGCTGCTGCTCGTCAGATTGGAGATGTTGATGAAACTATTGGCAATGTTGGCCGCATTCGCGAATGAATGCACAATTGTCGGCGCCGTGTGACTCACTGTTGTTCTCGTCACTTCTGCCGCCGTTGTGGATGTCATCACTTGACTTGTTGTCGTCTCAACTTGCTCGTCAGGCTCATTCAATGACGATATCGATGATGTCGTCGAGCCCAAATCAATGTCCATCGTACTGGCCGGACTCGAGGCGGATGTTGTCGTGGGTATCGCAAGTTCTTCTACTTGACTATTACTATTGCTACTTTGAACACTACCATCAAACAGCGGCTCTACCGAATTTACATGTTGCTGGAAACTTTGGGAACCGTAGCCGCCGTACGCGGCGGCGGCACAGGACGTGGTGGCGGGTGTGGAGGACGGGGAGTCCGTGGGGGTGCTCTTTGGCGGTGTCTCTTGACTTGAGGACATTACATTTGGTATGACATTAGAGGAGGAGTTATTTGTGTTATTTGATGCACTATGAACATTTGTATTAGTTTGTGTAGTTGATGCGGTTAATTCATCTAGTAATTCATTTTTGCCATCCCCACAATTTCCGTGCACCTCTAATATTTGATGATGATGCGCCGCCGCGGCCGCCGCTTGTTGCTGCGCCGGCTGCTGATGACCCTGTGCCTGTCCGCCACCAACACGCGACTGCATTTGCTGTTGCTGTTGCACCATTAAATCCCCACTTGACGCCTCTGAACTACCATCTGACGCTATGGCACTGAGCATCGCGGCACTTCCTGCAGTGCTGCCGCTCGTCTGGTGCACTTGGCTATCCTTGGGTGACATTGAGGGAACCTAGGGGATTTTTTTCAATATTGTTCGTGTGTGTAAAAGTACCAGAACCACAATGATATGCTTATGCAAGTATAACTATCTTTTTTTCTCACTGATCTCCGCGCATCCCATCAAAAAAAAACCTCCTTCTAATCTCTATTTGAACGTGATGATACGCAATTCTATTCCTCGTTCTCAAAGGACACACTAGACACCCTCAAAAAAAGATATCCTTTTGTCCTTTGCAGTGCAAGAAAAATTCTTGTATCGATTCTTTCATGATTGCAATTAAACAAAATCCACCCAAAATCTCTTCTCTTTCAGCCAAAAAGGATATCTTTTACATAAACCCTATTTGAGATGAACTTTCAAGATAATGCAGTGACACTTTAATTACTCACTTATAGTCCTCTTTTGCAGTCTTTTAGTTGGACAATTTTTTTTAATTACAATTGAACAGAAATGAATTATTTCAAAGTCTCACTGCAATATCCAAAAATTCTCGTTCCTATCTTCAATTTCGCAAAATTTCAGTATTAGTGACGTAACACATGAATAAACATAAAAATATGATGTAGTACGAGAAAATAAAAAGGTTAAAACATGGAGGATGCTGTTATTTAATTTAAAAAAAAGACATTTCCGAGTTTTTGTTAGGTTTCATCAACATAAGAAATAATTATTCGCATTCTCATTCATGATTCAAGAAAAGAAAACTTGACTCTCTCTCTTTTCATATTAGACTTTTGGTAGGTTTCCTAAATTTTATTCACTTTTTCTCATGTAGAACAAGACATTAACTGACCTTATCACATGTGCAAGAAATTATTGATTCTTCGCCTAAGCGATCAAGTCGCATAAAAGCCGCAATGCATTGAGAAAACCCCCTTAAAATAAGGATATTTGCTGCACGTGCGATCGATGAGTTAGGAAATGATGTAATTATCAAACTTCTTCCTCATCTTTCATACTGTGAGAGATAAAGCTGTTTCTATTTTGACTTTTCTCTTCATACTTATTTGTTATCCAATTTTATGTTTAATCCTCCAATACTAAGTGATGACAAACAATACAAAATTCCAACACAGCGAGACATTAAAGGACTCTTATGGTAATTAACATACACTTAGTATTGGATGGGGAAGCATTAAGAGAATGAAGAAGAAGTGGTAAGAAAATGTATCACTCACTTGCTGTGCCTTCTTCATACGCAGCGCCGAACGATTATCTCGCGCCTTCTGCAGAAATGGTTGCTTATTCTCCGTCGACAGAGCCCTCCACTTCTTCAGTATCTGCTTAAAGCGATCCGTCCAATTGGGAAACTCCGTCTTTAACTCCGGATGATTCATGTTGGCATACAACACTGCCGAAATTGTCGCCATTTCGCCTAAAACTGTAACACAAATACAGGACAATTTACACCATTGAAGGGCCATCAAAAGCTTCAAAGAAAAGTAAACTTTCTCAACTCACTCTCATCTTGTCTCATTCTATCGGACGTCTTCTGATTGTTTGTGGCCGGCGTCGGCACAATAGCGAGCGAATCATCAGTAACAGGCATTCCCATTGTCGTATCCATACTTTGTATGCCAGATTGAATTGGTTGTCCCCATTGAGATTGCTGCTGCTGCATTGGCTCTGTGTACACTGGACCGAATTGATTGCTTCAAAAGCACAAAATACACACAATATTAATCCCACTAAAGAGCGAAGCGCTAAAGAACACAAAATTGTGTATATTGCAAAAAATCAACAAGTTGCAGGATGGATTTTGGTTGAAATTTCACACACACTCAATAAATTGCTTTTGGTGATGAAAAAAAAAAACATAAACAGTAATAAATGAACTCAAAGATACCCAACTAGCACATAAGGTGATAGGATTAAATGTAAAATACAATTTTGTTACAAACATAAGAACAAAAACCTTGAAAATCAACTGTCAATGCAGCTTTCATCAAGTTCTTACTAACACAGGTGTTTTTTTGGTGGTTGTGGTTTTTTTTTAAGGTGCTCTACATTATTATTATTATTATTATTTTGGTGGTGATCATCCAAAAATTCGAGGCTGTGGTGCGAAATTATCACACAACCAAAGAACCATTTCCTACCTTCGATAGTTGTAATGGTTATATGATATATTTGGATACCCCATGTGCTGCTGCTGTTGATTCGCCGCAGAACGCACTATCACGTTCTGTGGCATCGCCTGTCCCTGTTGACCACCATTTGCTTGTTGATTCAGCAGTGTCATCGTCGACTGTGGCTGCTGCATACTCATCGTCTGCTGCAATTGCTGCGACGTCGTCGTATCTACTTGACCGCCGCCAAGCATATTCATGCCCACTTGCATCGGCATCTGCTGCGGATTCTGCACATTTCCCGCGTGAAGCTGCCCTTGCTGCTGCATTGATGTGTGTTGAGTTGTTGTCGACGAGTAACTCGTGGCACCACTCGACGTCAACAGCAATTCTTGTGACTCCTGAAACATCCCCACACGCACATTAAAGCAATTGATTAAGCGTACAGATTCCGTCACAAATTACCTGAGATTCATCCGTAAGAACACCCTTGAAGATCTCCTCAACGTAGTCCAAATTGAAGGGCGATGACGACAGCATTTCCCCCACATTTTCCGTGATTTCATCCAAATTGTCTGCGTTCTTACTCAAATCTCTCTCCTCATTCATGATAGTATTCACCAGATCGGAGTCCAACAAATCCCTCGGCAGAATGTCCTTTAAACTGTCAGCACTGCTTGCTGTGCTAGACGTTGTTGGCGTCTGCATGATCTCCATCTTCACTGTTGCCGCCGCCGCCGCCACTTGTGGTACTTGAGCCTGCGCCGGCGCATGCTTCGTCAGTGATGGAGCAGCATTCTGCTGAACCGCCGCCTGAATTGCCTGCGCACCATCCTGTGATTGCTGATTCAACACACTCAACTGCCTCGTCTTCTGCTCATCCATCATCTGCTGATGCTGTTGCTGCTTCGTTCGCATCGCCTCAATCATCTTCAACTCCTCCATGGACAGCTTGATGGTCTTGTCATCCGACACTGTGCTCTTCGCCTCGTCATCACTGCTGCTTGACTCAAACTTCGTCTTACTCGTGTCCAACAGTGTCTTCCCGAAGAACGCTTCCTGCAGATAACTCGGATATGTCTCAATCAGCTTGCTCTTCTGCTTCCGCCTGATTGTCTTCTTCTTCTTGTCACTCGCCTCCGCCTGTGGCACCATGCCATCCGTGATGTCTTCACCCTCGAACGTCTCCTTGTTGCTCAGACTCTTCAGCGTGCGATTGCGCACATTGAAGCCACCAATGCCCAGCTTTTGCAGATTCCTCTGGCGCTTTTTCCGCAACACCACTGTACCCTGCTCCGTGGTGTACAGCGTGAATCCCTCGGGTGGACTCGCGTCGGCGCGATCCCACACCATGCCGTCCTTGTAGATCTCAGCCTCCTCCTTCGGATCCAGTGGTTCAACCTTCACGTCCTCCAGCGAATTATCGTGACTGCTGCCCGCCACCACTGACTCAATGGCCGCCAGAATGCCCGCCTCTTTGTCCGCAATCGTCGGATCGACATTCACCTTGTGCTTCGGTCGACGCTTTCGCGCACTGTCCAGCTGCAGTGACTTGATCTGCGCCAATCCGTGCTCACTCAGGCACACACCGTCGACATAGTGATTTCCATCCAGCGCCAGAATTGGCCCAGCATCGCTGCCATCCGGACTCTTGGTGGTGAGCGACAAGCTCCTGCTGAAGCCACCCTGTTGCTGCTGCGCCTTCGGCTGCTGGTGCGGCGGCGGAATATCACGTGGACGACAGAGAACGCACGTGTATCCCTCCTCAGAGCACCTCTCCGCCTCCTCTTCCGTGCGTATTGCGTCACAGTTGCAGTGCAGCCAACGCTCGCACTGTGTGCACTGTATAATCAGTTCACCCTCGGCATATGCATCACCGCACGATGGACAATTCGACTGACTGGCGCACGGACCACACTCTGAGTAACTATTCATCCACGAGCAGTTGAAACCTGGATCGTTGGTGCCACACTTTTGACAAATGGCACACCAACGGCACTTCCAATTGCCATGCGGGACGATATCGAGTGGTGGATCCATGCAGTAAATGTGATATGAGATATCACACTCATCACACAATATCAGTCGCGCCTCATCGTTGCGCTGACCACAGCCCTCGCACACGGTGCAGTCCAGACATCGCCAGCCCTTCTGCAGGATCACCTTCGTCACCTTCACATTGACACAGTACGGATGATAGCATTGGCCGCACTGCGTGCACGCGATCAGACACCCCTCCTGATCCGTCCCAATGGCACCGCACATCACGCAGATGTCCTGCGTCAGCACGAACTTGTCCTTTGCCGAGCACAGCACCAGGCGATTCTCAATGCCTGGCTCCTCGTCAATCTTGCTCGCCACATCCGACGTGGGTCGCTGCAATCCCAGCCCAGGCACACCGAAAATGCCCCTCATCTTTGACTTAGGGCCACGCTTGCGTGACAACTCATTGTACCGCAGACGCTTCTGCAGGCCAAACTTGCCGCCACCCTTCGGCCGACCCATTTGCGTGAATCCCGACAGGCCGAGGCGCTTCTTCGCTATCTTTGTAGCAGCGTAGGGCTTCCCCTTGCCCAGGCCATAGTCAGAATTCAGCTGAAAGAGACATTTCGGGTAACTACTCACGACGGGACTCGTCTTCGGCGTGACTACCTTCTCACCGCCACCATTGGCGCCACTGCCGCCCGCCGTCTCGCACATCTCCGCATCATCCGCATACAGACTCTCCTGCGACGCCGACATGCTGTCTTCGTCGATGCTGCTCGCTCGCCGCATCGCCGCCACCATGCGGCCATTCTGTGCTAATTGCTTGCACGGCGGACACACATACTCATAGTCCGGATTTGTCTCCTTCTTCGCATGGTATGTCGACAACTCGGCATCCGAGTCGCACGTGTTGTGAACGAATCTGCAGGGAAAAATACACGACTAAGAAAATGCCCATTCATTTAATTGAATTTAATATATATTCTTACTTATTGCACAAGCTGCACTTCACCATCTCCCGATATGCTGCCGCTCGGTACGCTCGATGGCAAATTGGACAGCTGAATCCCTTATTGCGCTGCTGATAGCACGAATCGCAAACTGTGTAGTGCGAATGCCATCGTGATGACGTTCCCGCTCCAGGCGTTCGTGATCCGCAATCAGAACACACGCGACAACACTGCAAAAAATCAAGAGAACACAGTCTTCAACCACAGCTCTCACTCTGTACAATTAACCATAGATCAGATTTGATTTTGGGGCACTTACACGACATTTCCAGCCATATTTCGGAATCGACGTCATGACAGGCCGAAGACACTGCGCATGGTAGATCTTGTCACATTGCTCACAGGCAAGAGAGCGTCCCTCTGTGGCATCGGGCAGCCGGCAAATCTGGCAGTGGCGACAAGATTGACATTGCCATCCGGCGCGAACGCCCGGAAGTTGCGCCACACCAATGCAAGTCCCGTGATAATGATCGCCACACATTGAGCACATCATCAAGTTCGAGACATCGCCCAAACCTGAGCACGATCTGCAGTTGATGTCTTCAGTACCTGCAAATTCAGAGTAATAAAGCCCAGAGCAATATGATTTGTAGGTTGTGTGCGCCAACTCACAGACTAGAGGCACTTGTCCCAAGTGTTCCTTGCAGAAGGATATGTACGTCTGAACGATCTGGAAGCCACCGGATGCGGCCACGCATGGGAAGTGGAAAACCTTCGGACACGACATCTTGCAGATGACACTGGCGCCGAAGCGCGAGCAGAACGAGCACTTCCGGCTGAGACTCTGGGCGATCACGGCGCCGACATTGCTCAGTGTACCCGAAGCGTCACGCGCCACGCCAATTGACCAGATTGCACACGAGCGATGCACATAGAAGCTGGCACCGTCGAAGAGATTGGCGAACTCCACCTGATCCACATGCCCAATCTTCTCCAGCTCGTCCACATACTCCGACGTCATCACCGGATTCTTGCACTTGTTCAGCCCCTTCTGCCGCCTGTTGCTCAACTGCGGCAGCGGTCCGCTGCCGCGTGGACTCTTGTCACCCGCTGCGGACGACGCCGAATCCTTGTCGTCAGACGTCGGTGTGGTGGCCATGGGCACCTTCTCCGACTCTTCGGCGCTCAGCTCCAGGCGCAGCATTTCACCCTGTCCCAATTGACTGCGCTCACCCAAATTGCACAAGGCACAAAACTTGCCCGGCCACTTTTCCGGGAAATACGGCGGCTCCTCGGGCGGCTGCATCAGCTTATCGCTGCCGCCACTCAAGACGATTCCTTGCTCAGGATCCAGCGACGGCGGATTGTTTGTTGGCGTCGAGGCGGCCGTGGAAGGTGTCGAGGGCTCCTCTTGGGTCGGCGTTGACGGCATCGATGAGGAAGTTGTCGCCGTCACGACGCTCGTCGTCACTGCGCTCGATTGCTGCAGAAGGCCACTTGAGTTCATGAAATTAACACTACCATCGGACGCCTGGTGGATTCCCAGCTGCGCCAGAATGTCCACAGCGGAGCCGGACTGGAAGTACTTCCTCTTCGCCACGCCTCGCACGCCGCTACTTCCTCTGCACCTTGGAAAATGCACAATTCTGGTCAATCAAAGAGCAATTGACACAAATTCAATTGACTTCTAAGGCAAATTGAACAAATAACAGCATCAAGAGAGTTGAATTGCAATAATTTAGTCTTCCAGACATTAAAAACCCAAGACACCAACTTACTTACTTACGTGGCTTTGACATCCCATTGAGGGACATAGCCTTCTCCATTAGAGAAGATATTCGAGACAAGTATTTGTTTTACGGTGGCAGTTTGTCAGCTTGCCGACCAACCATAAGTGGTTCTAACGTCCACCTTTATGCTTTATGCTGGAAAGGTCTAATAAGGATTTTTTTTTTTTAAATATTCTACTCTATTCTATTTGGCCAATTCCGTTTGTGGGGAGTTTAAACAATTTCGCATTTTCTGATTTATCTATCCGCATCTTATCTGACTGGAAAAAGCTGTGCCAGAAAAGAGGAAATTCCTGAATTTTTTGTGATCCCTCTTAATCCTGCATATCCTGCTATTTTGACATAAAATTTCTTGGGCTTTAACAATTCTTTCTCACCGCTTGACAAGGCGATTGTCTTTGGTGAGACGAATGCTGGGCGGATATTCCTTGCGTGGCCTCCCGGGGCCCCTCCGGATGGCCGGCGGTTTGCCACTGCCAGAGAACTGGTGCATGTGCATTGCCTGTCCGCTCAGGAACAGCCCGCGATTCGGTGATGCCGGATCATCGGCCAAAATGGGTGGTGACGATGTGCAGGACGTCGGCGTTGACGCTGGACCTGCAAGAAGCCAGCTTGTAAGTTGACTGCCGAGCGGCTGCAGGGCGTCAGCGTTACCGGACGAGGCTTGCGTGGACGGCGGATCGTATTCGGGGAACTCAGGATCGCCCTCCTCTTCGGAGCCCTCTTCGAACTCCTCGTCCATGATCACTTCCTCCGCGTCCATTCTCACTGCACCGCTTGCGCACAGTCAAGCAGAGATTGTCCAGATTGTTCACTCGTGATCGCTTGGCTCAGTCTAAAATTCCATCATGTTCTTGATTTTCCCAATACCAATCTGAGTGCCGCCATTGTTGTAGGCGAGAAACTCAATCACCTTTTTCACCCCCGTAAATCACTCGCGCACGCACTATTTATCGTTTTTCACACACCGCACGCATAGTTTTACACACTTAAGCTGTTTTCCATACGATTTCGGGCAAAAATTTTGATAAAATCCGTGAAAACTGCGGCCAAAGACCAAACGAGGTATTGCCACACTCCACGCCCATCTGGCACTACCACTGCTGATGAGGGGAAATTTCGATGTCAAAGACGGGACATTTTCGGCCATCGCGCGTCATCTGGCAACACCGGCCGGTCAGCTGTCATAACATCTATATCGAAAAAAATTTCATACTCCTCAAAAAGGTGTTTATTTTGCTCCATCACAGCGCTTTTCCCATTCATTTGGAAGCTGAGAAGATGTTTTCTCTACACCGCGTCAGCAATCGATTGTACCCGAGTTGCGTGAGGTGTGTGAAAAAGCGTGAAAATGAAAATTGCGACGTTACAAGACACAAGAAATTTTGGGCATTTTCTTGTGAAATTTACTGTGTTACGTAATTAATGCTTCTTGATATCTTTCTGTCTCAAGAGTGGCGAAGATGAGCCAACTTGGGGACTTGGGCAGTGGCGCTGGAAAGGGCGGTGGCGGCGGTGGATCGATTCGTGAGGCTGGAGGCTCCTTCGGTAAGATGGAAGCCGCCCGTGAGGAAGAGTATTTCTACAAGAAAGTAAGACTTTTCTACTCTTTGCGTCGTGTTTTGAACCCCATATTTAATACAAAGCCGTGTCTATTTTTGTCTGCAGCAACAAGCGCAATTGCACAAACTGAAGGAGGATCAAATTGACCAGAAGAAATTTCATGAGGAGCAGATCAAAGAGCACGAGGCGGCTCTGCAGCGTCACAAGGAGTTCCTGAAGAACCTCAAGCCATAGAGAAAAGCTGTAGCTTTAGAATTGTGCTTTTGCTTTCAGAAGAAAATAAAAAAAAAATATTTTGATGATGCGCCAGTGAAAATTCCTCGACTCGCAAAACGCACTTTTTCGCGATGTTTTTGTGTGTGTTTTCTATGTTACTCATCCCCACCCGAAGAGTGGTGGGAGTGCACTGAAATTCACCACTTGTCAGGCATCTTGGGTTTTTCGTGGTGAATCTGCGTCTTGTTGCCAGAGTTTTCCTCAATTTTCAGTACAATTAGATCCTCTTGTGGTGTTTTCTCATCTGGATTATCCTCTCCAGGAACTGCCCCGAGTGTCCCCATTGCCGCCAGCACGGCGAAGTCTGTAGTTTTGCGCGATGGAGGCGTGAAGAAAAAGTGCTCTCTTGCTGAAACAGTGTCCGGATGGCGCTTCCATTCTCTCGCTGTGCGAAAAAATCATCTCCAGCCCATCTTGGGCAGTGATTAAGTGCTCAAGAAATATGAATTTCGTGACACATCTCGTCAATTATCGTTACATAATAGCCATTCGCGGTGTGTGTTGCGCGTAAGGCGGGACTAATTATCCTGCAATACTTTGGCCCTGAGGAGTCTCAAGGAATCTTCCCAGCAACTTCCCAATCTTCATGGATCTCCAGCGTAAATCTCCAGTGAACTTCAACAGGAGCTCGTAAAATGTGAGTAAAACGTGGTGCAAAGGCGCCCAAAGACAAACTCTGAAGACAATCCGAAAACCTCTGGAATTTGTGATTAGATATGGCTGATTGCCTTCATTCATCTCTGCATTTGCGTTAATGGCGTTAAATGGCGATAAGAAGATATGAATGGAAATCTCCGATTTTTTCCCTGATATCACAAATTAGAGAACAATTCGCACTCTCTCACGCGCACGGGGATTCTACAATGCACCCTGAATTCCACCTGTTCGTCACCTGACTGTCAATTTGTGCAATTGCAGGTGACTCGATCGCAGGTGTTTCGCAAGCGAAAAACAGGGAAGATTCCTAAGAATCTCCAGACAAAACCTTGATCTTCTTGTACTCTGGAAGAACTATTTATTGAAAGCGCCTTGATCTTCGCGTGCGAATAATTGGCGTTAATATCTTGTGTCTCAGCAGAACAACAAGAAAATTAAAATGTAACTTCCAGTGTTAAAATAAGTCTTTTAATTAATGTTCTTCCAGAGTTTTTAGAGAATACCTTAGAGATTATGAAGGTTTTGAGAAATTACCCAATAATTCTGATATTTTGTCTATCTCTATTTTTTACAAAAATATATCCATTAGCATGACTAATTAAAACACATTCAAAATATATTTGATCCCTAGAAATGCCAAAAATAGAGAATTTACTAGCATTTGTTTATTGAAACAGTTAAAATTATTGGGATAAGAATTCAGAAATGGCATTAATGATTCGCCACAATTACAATATCTGTGAAAGTTATTTGCGCAAATTGTTCATCTAAAAATGTCACCTCATTTCTAGTTTCTGCCACACGAGCAAGAAGTGTATAAGAAGAGGGACAGAGGAATAATTGATATCTGCGCGCATATTCGCTGTGCGGATTGAGGAGCACTTCAATTGGCAACCCCTTCTGTGCAATTAAAGACGAATATCTTCCGTATTGTGATTGCCATACCAATTTGGCACCTTTCTCTCTTCGTCAGCTCACTTCATTATGATCGAGAATTTAATTATAAATTCTAATTGATTGACTAGAAAATGCTTCTAGTGTAATTTGTTCAGTGAGTCTTTGAATTGTGTAAAATGTCTTTTGGAGACATTTCCGAAATTATTCGTGCAAACAGAGAAATTATTCAATATCAAAGACACATTCTTCACGAATTATTTCTCCTTTGTATTGTCAATTAACTTCCGGCATTGCACTATTGTTGTATCGTTGATTGATTTACACACTCTCGCTGAATGTCATCTCAATAAGAGTGTTTTCAAAATCATTAGCTTTAATTGTTAGCAACTCTCCAACGTCAGAACATGAGCGTCACTGACCGTTATTGAGTTTGCGTGCAAATATTGCTGCGAATGGTCCTTGATATTGCCGAAAAGGAAGTGCACAGAAGATCATCGTCTGTCTTCTCAGCGTGAGAGAGACAAAGTGCTGCCGAAAAATGACAACAAAACAATGGTTTTATCTGCGAACGCAATCAACCAACTTTCTACATCACAGACTGTTTTTTTCCCTCTGTTTGCACGACAAAACTCTCTGACTGTCGGTTTATCAAGAGCACTTCTGATAAGACATCTCTGCACATGTTTAATTGGATTAATTGATCATGACGAAATGAGAGCTGATAATTGATACTCGTTGAAGTTCTTTATCGACAAAGTGCTTTGACAAAATGTCCAGGGAGAGGAAAAAGGCATAAAAAGTGTTTTAATACTTCAACATTTATTATGATATACAATGTATATGATTTGAAATTGGATTTTTATATTCGGTTGACAATTCTATGAATAGCGCGCGCGAAATGTGTGACAAAAAAAATATTATTCAAGGAAATATGCGAAAACGTAAAAAGCACAACACGCAATGATTTATCCACCTTCGCACATATTTATATTTGACACTCAGCGTGGCTTAAAAGAAACGACGTCATTGCAACGTTATAAATCTAAAATTATAGATGTGAATGAAATAAAGTTTCTTTGCCATTCTTGTGCGCGAGGGTGGCAAAAGTGTGAAAATACACGCTTTGGCGCTAATATTTGGCAACTATTGGGCTCTCTTTTTGGGCCAAATCGCGAAAAAAGCCTCGTTCTTTCGCTGGTTCAGCGCGCGTTGTTGTCGTTTCTTATACTGGAATTGGTTGATATATTTTTACATTGGGCAAATCTAAAAATATTTTTCGCACTAAATCGAGAAGAGTATGTCACATATATAAATGTTTTTGCACAGATTATGGACTTCCGCTGGTGAATTTTGCGCCCTAGAAATGATAAATTTGTGCTTAGATTGCAGATTGAATGGAGCGGAATTGTTAGTTAGTAGAACTGATTAATCAGCTGATAACTTAATAAATCGAAGGAATTTGTCTGATTTAAGTGGTTTAATAAAGTGCTGAATAATAATTTTTCTTAAAATCCTAAAATTCTTGAATAACTAATCATTGGATTAAATAAAGGTTGATATTGCTGATGTGATTTAAGGGTCGCCAGAGTCTTGATAAAAATGCGCGATGAGTCTGAAGATGTTACAAGAAAAATAAACAAATGCTTCTGTTATTTATTTGCAGAATCGAATAGAACTTCGCAGCTTGAGAATGCATGGAATGGCGAGCAGTCGTGTGGGTGTTTACGATGGTAAAATTGCTGGCTTGTACGATTTGGAGGAGACTCTCGGTTCGGGTCACTTTGCCGTGGTGAAGTTGGCAAGGCATGTTTTCACGGGCGAAAAGGTGGCCGTTAAAGTAATTGATAAGACTAAATTGGACGAAGTGTCTCGAGCGCATCTGTTTCAAGAAGTTCGGTAAGTTTAGCTCTGCTGCACAGCTGTGCAATCAAATGGCATATGGTGTTATCCTATCGCGTTTCTCCTCTTTTTCCTTCAAAGATGCATGAAACTCGTCCAGCATCCGAATGTCGTGCGACTGTACGAAGTGATTGACACCCAAACCAAGCTGTATTTGATATTGGAGTTGGGCGATGGAGGCGATCTCTATGATTACATTATGAAGCACGAGGCTGGCTTGTCTGAGTCTCTGGCGCGTGACTATTTTCGCCAGATTGTGCGTGCCATCAGCTATTGCCACCAGCTGCATGTGGTGCATCGCGATCTGAAGCCGGAGAATGTGGTGTTCTTCGAGAAGTTGGGCGTGGTGAAGTTGACTGATTTTGGATTTAGCAATAAATTCTGCCCGGGACAGAAGCTCGAGACATCCTGCGGAAGTTTGGCGTATTCAGCGCCGGAAATACTGCTAGGAGACTCTTACGATGCGCCGGCTGTTGGTGAGATGTTTAATAATTTCTTCATTTCCCTGCCCAGAAGCTTGACACTGATTGTTGTCTTGCAGATATTTGGTCGCTGGGTGTCATATTGTACATGCTCGTGTGCGGCCAGCCGCCTTTTCAGGAGGCCAATGACTCGGAAACTCTCACCATGATCATGGATTGCAAGTACACGATGCCAATTCACATTTCAATGGGCTGCAGAAGGTATTTAGCAGCAATTGCGAATGTTCTTTGAATATGTCTGAGCCTTTTTCTGTGAATTGCAGCCTGATATCCAAGATGCTTGTGCGAGAGCCAGACAAGAGGGCGACTCTGAACGAGATATCACAGGACACGTGGCTGATGGAAGGTGGACCAGATCATGGACCTGAATATCTGCCTCTCGTAAGTCGCGAGCAAGTGAGCGAAGACGACCACACATTGATAATCCAGAAGATTGTCAATGGCAAAATTGCCACCAAGGATGAAATACTAGAGTGAGTTTCTGCATGCATTCAATCTCAAGTAAAAATTCCTCAATAATAAATGCTTCTGGTTGCTTTAGAGCTCTGGATAAGAATGAGTACAACCACATAACGGCCACATACTTTCTCTTGGCGGAGCGAAAACTGCGCGCTCACCGGCAAGAGCAGGCGCAGAAGCGGAAGCCGGAACTGACATTGCCTGTATCAGGAGCTGGACGGTGAGTTGATATGCCGAGTTTTGTCGTTTTTCTGACTCTTGCAATCCATTCTTTATTTATATAATCGCCATCACATGAACAACTTTCTATCGCTCATTCTTTTATAGTTTAATGCATGTGTCTTTTTGGCGTGCTTATGAATGATGAGATGAATATTTTTATTGGACTATAAAATGATTCTGCAAGCTTTAAATAACCGTGGATGATCTTAAAGCCAGCACACGCACACTAAATAGTCGGTGAAGAGAGAGAAAGAGAGAAGAGGAATGGTGGTATATTATATTTAGGGATGAAAAGTAAACATTATGGTAATTTTGCATGCATATTTTCCAACCTAGTCTAGACATAATGATTAATGAAATATGATTTTTGTAGGCAAATTAGAGAATTTCTGCATGATTGTTGGCAGAAAAATTGTAGAAATAGAAAACTAAGAAAATTCTCAATACTATGGTAATTCTTTTACTATTCTTAAGATTAAATTAGTTATATTTGTAGATGATTTCAAAGGAAGTTACTAAACTCTAACAAAAAATTATGCAATGGCTTTTAGTTGAAGAGTACTAATGAATTGTAAATGGTGTAATTAAAAGAAAATTAACTTCCAGTGAAAAGTTTACTTTTTTCAAAACATCTCATGAAATTCAATTAAACGATTAGACGTCGTTTTTTGATGTTCGGCAACTGACAAATCACAACACTTATCATCTTTATTGTGTTCTACATTAATACAGTGTCGTTGGAAATCAATTGTGAAGTTTTGACACTCAGTAAATTCGATGAATGCTTGAAATTTTGATTCACAAATTATTAATTGCACTCGTGGTGAAAAATAAAGCTATATTAATCTATGATAAGTCAGAAGCTGTAATTTTACTGTCAAAGTTATTCAGTTTCAGATTAATATAGCTTTAGTTCATACTTTAATTCATATTCATTAACTGTTGAACTTTTCACTTTTTGATGTGTTTCAAATTCATTTCAACACGGAACGTGATATCAGAAAAAGTGTAATTTGTACTAAACATGCAAGTTGTTTTTGCATTTGTACGTTATGTAGATGAATGTACATATTAATATCTTATTTCCATTATTTTAATTCCTCTCTATGTATAACTGTGGATGATGAGTTAGTGTAAATTTTATTAGAGATTGTTGGTTATAATAATATTTGGAAAAAAAAGAAATTTTTGTCTTATAATCCATAACTCATGAGGTTTTGTTGAAAACTCACCATAGCAAAAGCATTCTCATGTATCATTAATGGTTATAAAACAGCCACCATATCACATTCATATCACTTTAACAGACTTTCTCCAAGATCAAGGGGTCAAGGTGTTAAGCGGGAGTCACAGGAGGACAAGGACAGTTCCCATCAGCATTTGCTAGTGCCTTCAATTAATGCCACACATTTGAATCTGCCCCGAACGCCGGGCGTGGAGGGAAGTCAGGTGAGAGGAAGTCTTCGGGTGGCTTGGAAAAGTATGAAAAGTCAAAAGCACCGGATTAACACTTGCAATCTCTTTGCAATTTGCCGAATTGACTTCTCATACTCTTCGATTCTCAGGGTTGTGAATTTCATTGTGCGCTCGAGAGGCAATGCAATTGACTGTGCTCTCTTTGCAGACTGGGCGTGCGCGGAAGTGCAGCATTGTGCAGGAGGACGACGAGGAGGATGAGATTTCGGCGTGCTCTGGACGCGAGGAATTGTCAGTGCCGTTGAATAGGCGCGGCTCACGCTCGGAGGGTCGCATAAATATCGCCATTCAGGATCGCATTGCGGCCGAGAGTGAGCGACTGATGAAGAAGGATGTGAGCGCTGGTGCTGCGAAGGGGTGTCAAGTGAAGAAGGTCGATGGCATTTCCGGTGTCACGGTGATCACGAGTGACAGCAGCAATCCGATGGCGAGACTTGGCATGTCTGCAGTTGAGCGCCAGCGACTCCCGTTGGAGATGTTGAACAAAAGTGTGGCCGCACTGAAGGACGCACGATCAAATTCCGTGGATCACGAGAACTATCGTGCTGGCGATCAGGAGATGTCAACAATGAAAGTGCTCACAGACTCGTCCACCATCACAATTCCCATCACTAGTCAGGGCGGCGGACAGTGTGCTGAGTTCACCAATGTGCCAAAGTACAAGACGATGCCGTCACCGACGCGCGGTCTCAATGAGATCTTCGAGGAGGCGACAGATGTGGGCTCAGACACGAGCGGCACGACAACTCCGCGGCCCATTCAGCGGCACAATCAGTTCACAAACAGTCGCGCACAGAGTCAGGGTGCCGCGCAGCGCCGCTCTAAGTTCAACAAAACGCGCACGGCGTCGTGCAGCAGCTCAGACGCGTCAGATGACGATTCGGAGAATCGCAAGAAGCGCGCGCACAAGATTGTGGACTCGGTGACGAAGCCGGTGCAGCAGAGGCGCGACTCGCACGATGACTCGAGTGATTCACAGGAGCCGGGCAATGCGCCGGCTTCAGGTGGCGCCGGGGCGCACAATGGAACGCATCCGCTGGTGAAAGTCACGTCGCCGACGAACACCACGGGCGGACAGAACAGCACGGGTGGTGGAGGTTCGGGCACGTCGGCGGGTGGACAGCAGAAGGCGGGCAATGGTCAGTCGATGGGCTTTCGGCGGCATCGCGCCGGGCGGCGAAGAGCCAGCGAGACGCGCCTGCGCGAGAGCCAGAGCCTGAACAGGATAACGGAGGTGCAGGAATCCGAGCCGACGGTGCCGCCGATGCTCATTGCGGCAGCGGCGGCCCAGCCGCCCGCCACGACGCCGACGAGTGGACAGAAGCCAAAGGGCTTCAGCGCGCGCTTCCTGCAGGGCTTCCGAAAGTCCGAGGCGACGTCGCCGATGAGCAGCGGCGGCGCGCAGCAGGACAGCAATGACAATGACGTAGAGATGGTGTTGGGCGTAGAATTGGTGAAAGCACTCAAAGTGTCAAATAGCACAGAAACAAAGACATCATCCACCACAAAGAAACTAAAAATGTTAGGAAAATATTTTCAGGTGCGTGCAAAATTACCTAATGATTATTTTTGCTCCTATTGCCAAAAGAATATAAGGTTTCTTCTTTGCCAACACAATTGAATGGTGGACAAGAAGACCAGAGTTAAGAAAATGTGGGGATTTTAATAACAGATCTTTATTAACATTCTGTGTTTAGGTGATTCGTGCAGTCCACAATAGAATTTAAAAGAGATTTGTTAGGACTTTTGGGAGGCTTTTCATGATTTTACCTAGAAAAAAAAACACACACACAAATAACATTTCTTTGTGCTGCATTAAAGGTAATTTGAAGAGAAAAAAAACCTTGTTCAGAATCATGAATAGCATAAAACAAACACAGTATTGAAGCAAGCAAATTATAAGATTTGTCAAATTTATTATACACTCAAATTCACATTTGTCATTCTTTTTGTGTTGTGAACGCTTTCTTGCATTTGTTTTCCTATTATTAACGCTTGATTGAACCTATCAAAATTCCCTTCATATTCTTTACAGTATCACAAAGTGCGTAGAAAATCCACGAGAATCACTGATAGTACATAAAATTTAGGGTAAAGCAGGCTAAATTGATTTTGCTATGATTTGGAAATGTATTGAAATATTTACTTATGAGATTTAGAAGAAATCTTAGAAAGAACGAGAAAAATATTTAAGCATTCAAGTCTAACAATAAGTTCAAAATTTCACTTCATGATCAAAATGGCCCTGCTCTGCTCTATTTATTTAATTGATTTTAAATTAGTCCCTTTTTCTTTATTTCTGGCGGAAAAAAAAGGATTTAGGTATATAATTTCATGAGGAAGAAAAGTTGAGAACATCTCATTATTTCATTACATTTTGTACAGGAAATTCACACAAAGCTTTTTATTAGAAAATTTTTTGAACAACATCCCTAAAATCAGTAAGGAAGTGTTAAATTTTAACGTTCACTTCACTTGAAAATATCATTCTTCATCCATTTATTTTGCCTCCTCGTTCGCACTCAATTTTCATTTCGATGGTTTCTTCGTGTTTTCAGGTGCACAAGAAACTGTGCATTCCGTTGCCAAATCTGTTTCAACGCGGACGTCTTTACAAGGCGCAATCCTGCGGATCCCTCGTGCGCGACAAGGTGAATCAGGCGCCAAGTGGTGGCGGCGGCAGCGGCTCCAGGAGCGGCCGCGGCAGCGAGAGCAACGTCCGGCACTCGGCACTGTTCTCCGACAGAGACAGAATCTTGCGCAACTGTCTGGGCGCGTCGCGGCTGCTGGGCAGCGACGGGGACATCAATCAGAATGACAAGACGCCCACGAATCCTGTGGTGTTCTCGATGCCGGCGCAGCGCGCCGAAGAAGCAGCTGCCATCCATCTGGACGCTTCGCTCTGCAGAAGCCAATGCTGATGCACGATCGAACCGTAAGTCAATCAATCAACATCCTAAATCTGGATTCTCTAAACACACGCGATGCAAAAAAAAATCCCCTTATTGAGACGTCCTGTATTTTCAATTGATCAACTCTATACATTTAAGATAGGTGTGTTTTTTGGTATGATTATTGCATTAAGAAAGGGAATAAAAAAATAATATATTTTTGTCAATTTACACCGAGGAAAATTGTATGCAATTTACTAGTTATTTATTTAATGCGTAGTCTCTTTGTATGAATAATTGCAGAAAGGAAGAAACACTCGATTATTGTCTCTATAAATGACCAAATAATTTACAAGAAGTAAAAGAATATCTCAAATTTGTGTATAAGTGAAATATTTCATCTTCTATTAAACATTTTATCATGACAACGTTGATTTTATTTTATCCATGTATTAAAAACATTGTTCTTTTTGGTTTATCGATGACATCTTGACAAGTGGATACAAAACCTAATCGAATCCAGCAGAACTTATGCTTTTTAGACAATAAAAAAAAATCTCAAGCATTACTTTAATATAAAGATGTTGTAATGATTTATTTTATAAAGAAACATCCTCAAACACTTTTCCCTCCGTTTGCAAAGACCTCACAAAGACTCCTTTACTTTATTCAAGTGTTAATGTTTTTTTTCTGTCGTTTTCTACTTAGCAAAAGAATTGTCAAACGTCACAGTGCGAAATTCTAAAAAGTGTTGCAATACTTAATATTACTTTTTTCAATGTGTTTGTTTTTTTTGACATGGAAAATGTTAAACTCTACTTCCGACTTTGCATATCAAATGTTTTTTTTTTTTAGTCAGCAAACAATGTCTGAATGAATTGTGACTTGAATTTTGTTCAATTCTTCATATTTATTGAGAATTGGGAACATTTCTCTAAAGACGATTGAATAATTATTGAACTTAACAGCCAAATTATTATTCGTGGACCAAAGTTTTTTACACTTTTCTTTGGACTTATTAAATGATATTGGAATTAATTGATAGAATTGAATGAAATAAAAGTCCCAGACAATTGGAAATAATTACATCAAAATAGCAGTAAAATTAGTGTTTTTCGAGATTGCTTAGTTTTTTTTTCTCTAGAAAGTGTAAATAATTATATTCGTAGATAAACATTTCTTTCGTTTGTCTTAATCAAATTGAATATTGATTTCATAAAAGTACCTAATTATAAATCAAGCAAAACAAGTATGCGAAAATATTGATAGAAGAAGAATTTTAAGAAAATGTGAAAGAATAGAGAAGGAAGAAAACATAGCTAAGCAGTGAAGCAGTGAAGTAGTTGTTTATTTTTGTATGTGCCGTGCACAGAAAAATTGCAATGTTTTTTTTTTGTATAATTCAATAATGTTTTAACAAAAAAAAATCGTCTTGATATGAAGAACATTTTTGTGAGTTAGAGAGAGAGAGAGAAAGAAATAAGTTTTTTGTTAGCACAAATTTGCAAAAGCTATTCTAAAGGGATGAAAGAGAGGGAGAAATAAAATTACGTACTTAAGTTTTTAATGTGTAAAAGGAAATCTTTCTTATTTGCAATGTTTAAATGATTTTCCCGTAAATATTTGTGCAATAAATTTATTATTGTGTGACATTTTAGTTCCTTAGCAAGGATTTATTATTTGAGTTTTCTGACAGGAAACAGAAGATAAGAAAAGCTCTAAAATCAAAGTAAATACAGAGGAATTACGTGGAAAATCAGATGCAACGTTTTTGAATTCTAAATTTACCGACGAAATGTCTGCAAAAATAAACCATAAAAATCACAGAATACACAATAATATTAAAAAATGAATTTACTCATTAACTAAACTAAAAATATACATGAGATAGAAAACATAAATAAGATGAGAAAGACTTGAAATAATTTACACAATTGTTGTTGAACGAAGTGTTACAATAATAATTGAAAAAAAAAATCACATTCATTATGAAGAAGAAGAAAAAATAGATAAATGTTGATTAGACAGCTTCAAAAAAACAAAGAATAACAATTCGAGTTCCCTTTTTTCATGGATTCATTTATCGATCTTATCATTGTCGAATATACTAAATATAAACAGCATTAACTTAATACTTAGATAGGGGAGAAAAAGAAACATTTATGAAAAGTCTTAGTTAAATGTGTGCTCTAAGAAGTCGTCTAAATCCTGACCTGGTCAATGGAGATTGTATGATTATGTAGAACAATGTTCAATGTTTCCAATAGTTAAATAACGCTAAAACATAGACTAGACACTATTGAAGTTATACTTTTAAAAGGAAATCTCCTCAATTCAATCAATGAGAATTTCATTTACAGATGAATTTTTGTGTTTCTTTTTTTTTGTCGATGAGAAATTGAGGAGATTGTTGTCACTTAATAATCGTGTAAAAACTGTAAAATGTAGAGTAAAAATACTCAAATTCCAAATTATTATTCCAATAGTGTTACACAAAAGGCTCCCAAATCTAATACTTTTTATTTCATATTGAATATCGAAATAAATTAACTTGTTATTCATTTACACACTTTTGCTCACTCGTCGATTTATGCTGGTTTTTAGGTTATTTATTAACACTACATCGTAGTTCAAATATACAAGAGAAAAAACTGAGGAAAAATGCCAAAAATGATTTATTTAAAGATGAAAATATGTAATGAATATTTATTTGTGTCCTTGCGTGAAAAAGCGCAGTTTAAGGGCTTCTTTTGTGGACGGTATTATAATATTAGATGAAAGAATGATCGAATATTTATTTTTATGTTAACAAGCTGGTCTTGTTATTTGAGGAAAAATTAAAGAATTTAATATATTTTTAATTTTTTCTTTCTAGTGTAATTTGAGAATTTCACGTCACAAAGTTTATTTATTACAGCAACACTAAAATTACAATTACAGTATAAGATTTTGTGAAATTTTTCGAAATGTGAAATGAAATAATTGAATAAATATTCAGAGATTGTATGTATAATTGCGAGTGACTTTTCACTTCACTCCCTGCTCGACCAGGCGTTCGTTTTTTCCTCCGCCTCGAGCGCCTTCTTGGAGTTCTGCACGAACTCCATGAGGCCGCGAGACATGAAGTAGGGCTGCGCGATGCCGTCGTTGCGCTCACAATCCTCGCAGAAGCAGATGAAGATCGTGTCGATGGTCATCTCGTACACGGCGACGAAGCAGTGCGACACGAGGTAGGCGAACAGGCCCACGAGCACGAGCAGCACCCAATTGTGCTGCACGCCGTCCTTCTGCTGGATCACTTGCGTGCCCACGAGCACCGTGCACAGCACCACGAACGCCTTGCTGAGGAACAGCACAAAGTCGCCCACGGAGTTGATCACGAACACGCGCAGAGCGTTGTTCGACAGCAGAGCGAACGCCTTTCTGCCAGCCTCGCAGAATGGATGGCCGAAGATTGCTGAAGAGAAAGAGAGTAAAAGCAAATACTTTTGTTTCATTTTGCAGGACTGTGTAAGTGATTAGGATTCGATCATAAAAAGCGCGTTCTACAACGATAAGATTACGAATTTCTGTAGAAAGATAATAAAAGATTGACTCACCAGTTTCGATGTACGCGTTTCTGGTCAGATATTGCAGGAGGTTCTCGAAGCAGCCGAGACAGCAATGGCAGCAAGTGGAGATGAAAACCAGCGCCTTGTTCTGCGGATCACGCAGCCAATACTCCACCGACTTCAGGATGACGCGCACAATCTGCACCAGAGACACGATCAGCGAGCCGCACGCCACTGTGCCGAGATGGTAGCGAAGCAACCTCTTGAAGCTGCCCGCCATTGGGCAGCTGAGCGCGCTCTTGTCGCGCGCGAAGAACCACGCGGCGACGGTGCCGGCGATCACGCAGTGCTGGCATCCCATCACGAACTGCGTGAACCAGAAGAAGGCCAGGAGGTTGTACCAGCGCGTCACGCGCATCGTCGAGTCTTTCACGATGCTCACGCTCTGGTTGGTCTGCACGGTGACGTGGCCAGAGCTTTCAATCCACAGGGCGAAGTAGAACCACAGCGTGACGGTGACGGAGAGCGCGAAGAACGTGAGGAATGGCTCAAGAAGCAACAGTGGCACGCTCGTGATGGCCTTTCCGGCCTCCTTGAACAACTGAATGACCAATTGGACCCTTTTGCGCATCACGAAGATGACGAGGCAGATGCAAATGGTAATGATGGTGCCAATTATTGCATAGGCGAGCCAAGATTGCCTCCTTTGAACGCCCACTTCGGAGTCTTCGGGTGTGCTTCGCCGCACAAGATCGTATTTCACCCTGCGAAGAGATTAGAAGAAGGTGGAGGATGCGAAAGAGCGAGTCTTGAGAAACTGGATTATCGATTTTACCACAGCCAAATAACGCCAATTATGCTGGCCAAAACGATACCAATTAACACCAACCACACAAGAATGCCCACAAGATATTGTAGAAGAAACACAATGACGAAGGAAAGCACTGTTGAGAAGGAAGAATACGTAAGTAGAATCAATCATGAAATAATTTGACTTTCCCCGGAATTTTCCATCAAATAGGAAAACTTTAGATTTTTGGAATATCGTTACCGAAAGCCAATACGAAGAGGCACAAGATTTCGCGCCAGCAAATGTCCAAGTCTTCTGAAACCTCTTCGAAGAAATTCCTAATACCACTCTTGGAGAAGAACTTGTTAGAATACTTCGTGGCTTGCTTCGGAATGCATCTGTTGAGCAAAGATTTCCTGCAAGGATGAAGAAATTCAGCTGAAATCTGTGGAGAAAATTAAAGCATTCTCACATGTTGTAATCTTCACATGACGAAACACACATTCTATTGATGACTGTTGTCTCAGAATCCAACGCAGGTTCGACGAATAAATACTTGAGCGAAGTCATATTCGCTCCTTTGCATCCTATTGTGGAATCTGCGATGTTTTCCCTTCCGCAAATCTGCAATAAAATCATGCTTGCAAATAAATATTAACACTTGAGTTTATCCTCAATTCACATACATTTCCACAATTATCATATCCATACGCTATTCTATTGATATCACCTAGAAAATACAAACTTTTTAGTGATATGCAATGAAAATAAAATATATTAAACATACCTTTGGACATGCAAAAAGCCAATAAGCCGATCTGAAAGTGTTGAATAATTGTAGAAAATCACAGAAAAAAGACATATAAGTATTTAAAGAAAACTCACCAAAACTACAATAAAAGCAATAAAGAGGATCAAATAAAACACATCCGTGCAAGTTCTGTTATAGTTAATGACAGACGATGATTTAGTCTCATCTTCCAAGTCCTACAAATTGTAAAAAGTATTAATTCCAACAGTAATGCTTTACAGAATTTACCACGCAGAAATGTAATGATAGATTATGTGACAAGACAATCATTCAAGCTCAATTACGAGCTTCAATGGAAAATAGTTCAATTATTCCATGAGCTTTCATGTGAATGAAAATCAATACTTTCGTCTCTAAATAGTTTCCTTAACATTTAAAAAAAAAACAATCCATGATATTCAATCACTGGAAAGATATTCACTTCATATCGATTTCAATGTGCAACAACTTTAGTGCATTTCCTGCGCGTAAAACACCAATTTTAGCGACTTTAACTTACTTCTTCTGAATTCTCTTTGTCGCTCGCGGGCTCGACTTTCCTCAAGTTCTCACAGCAGCTCAAGCTAATTCCCATTTTGCACGAGTTTTGGGCACATTTCGGTAGTTAAAAGCACGCACGGAGTAATCCAAAGCTTGACGAGCACGACACGTGAAAGAATGCAACTGATTCATCAGCGGCAATGGAATCCTTTTTATTTACTATCACCACATAAACTGATCGAATCTCGTCGCTGTTGCCAAGGGAAAGTGCAGGAAATTGTTGAATCGCTTTATTATTTTTCATTTAATTGTATTTTTCATTCATCGGCCTTTGAAGCTTCTCTCATTTTCTCAGAACTGCGTCCACGCAGACACAATAAATCCGAGTGAAATTGATAATTGATTAGATAATTGACGTAATCGCAATACTTGGCTTTGTACGAAGTTTACTCGCCTCTGCTCTTGTCCCTATACATTGTGAACTGACAATATGTATTGATGAAGGGATAAAAAGTACATGCATGAATATTTACATGAGGCAAACACATTAATATGAATGTACATAGAATACATTCTCGCCTCAAATTAGGGCCTTCGATTTTTCCATCTCTAAATAACATGTCATTTAAAATACACAACTAATTTCTGCTAATGAGAAATGTGTGTGAACCAATTTCAAGACAATTTAGGTACTGATAAGGGTTGACGCCTTGAGAAAATATCGAAAAAGCATCGCAATAAAGTATTTAGTCAACTTCTGTTTGAATTTTGCATTTAAACATGAATGAAATATGAAAGAAAACTTCCCGGATAAAGAAAAACAGCGCGAGAAATCTCTTGGACGACAAAATCGCTTCTTTTTCGTTACCTTTTTGGATCATCTAGTTGAGCATTAATGGTATTTACTTGTGATGTTGATCATGTTTTATTCACATTTCATGCATTGAGGTAGTTATTGTTCCAAATTAGATAACTTCCTAGCACATTTCCTGGATTACAATCTAATTTTATGTCTTTAAAGAGACACTGTGTGATCAAACTTTTATTGATTTCCGACCTTAGCTCCATTCCGGTGAAGAAAAAACACTTTGAAGTAGGTTCAAAATTAATTTTTTTCATATATATATATATATATTTCTGTTCAATCCTTTTCTTGCAGTACATTTCACCAATATGCAGAAGATATCTTTTTTTTAGTTATACACATAAAATAATTACATAAGCTGAAGACATTCCCTTGAAATGTTAAATTATAACATAAAAGAAACATTTTAGAATTTATGCAATTTACGATGTGGGATGATAAGGAAGAAATTAATGTATTTGCTAATTTCCCATATTCAAAAAATATCCTTTTTCTGCTATTATTTTGAAAAATACACCTTTTTTCTCTCTCTCTTCAATAAAATTTGATATATATATATAGTTTTTTAAACTAACTATAAATATAATGCATATTGCAATATTCTTTACGCATTTTCTTCATCATTTTCCACTAGCAATGTTAGGATACCGTCATTCTACAATCTCAAGCTTTATGTGTTTTTAGTGGTTGTTTCCTTTTGTTATTAATCTCTCTTTCACTTTGACTACAAGAGCATTTCTCAAATATATAATGCATTTATATATTTTTTTTCTCTTTGATAATTAGTAAATTTTTAGTGAAGAATAACATAAAAGAACAGGACAAGAACAAAAATTGATGGATTTTCAATCCCATAAATCATTATTTTCTTTTACCAATAAAATAGAAGAATATATATATATAGTAAATCACCAGAAATAATAGAGTTTACAAAGCTCCCTCTCTATTTTTTCTCTCCTAAGAAGCAATTTCAATAATAATAATAATAATAATAATAGTAAAAAAAATTGATTCATTTTAGGGACAAATAACACATGTTAAAAAATAAATGGTGAACTCAACAATGCGGGCAAAAGGCAAAAACTGTTTCTCTCTCTTCTTTTTTCTTAGATTTTAGGTAACTTTTGCGCCACAACAAGTGGATTTTCCCGCGTCAGAATCTTGCGTCCCTCTTGCTTGAAGTTGTACGAGCAATTGTGTGCCTCGGCATAGCGATGCTGCGGACAAAACACCTTCTCACAGTGACACCGCATCACCATAATCAGTCCCAACTTCTTCTTGCACTCAGCACACCTCAGCTTCTTCCCCGCCTTCTTCGCCGCCGCGGCCGCCTCCTCCTCTGCCGCTGAAGGCTTCTCCTCCTCACTACGCGCAAACTTAACTTGGTCATCATGGATTTCAGGCAATATCAGTCCATTCGTGTGTGCACCATCAAACATGCCGAGTGTGTCAATTTCTATCACATCATCCTCAAACGTGTCGAAGTTTATGTTGAAGAGACTCTCGTTGGACGGAAAGGAGACGGGAAAATCAGTGGGCGCCGTTGCCGCCGCGTGATCATGATAATTGAGCCGGCTAAAGGCGGAAAACTCCTCAGACGTCGGCTCCTGCTCACGCTCCCCACTGTTGTACCCATCGAACACACGCCAATTCCTCTCGCTCCCACTCACCGTCGTCACCTTCTCATTTCGCAGCCGGACAATCTTCGTCCTGTCTAGATTCTCATAGCTGCGCATATAGTCCAGATGCTCATTGTTGCGATGCCGCAGCAGTGACGGCAGCTCGCGACCCACTTTCGCACCACCCGTCGTGCCGTCGCTGCCGCCGCCGCCGCCGCCCTTCGTGCGCCCCGGCAGACACTCCAGATCCGACGTGCTGCTGGACAGACACGTGTCAGCGTGACGACGATACATGAATGGCGCCGCGGACACACCGCGTGAATTCACGCCACTCGATGCACCGCCACAGTAGTTGTTGAGCAACGTTGGACTACTGCCAAACATCATGCGAAACTCACTCATCTCCACCGACTTTGACTTCCCGGCTGACGCCTGATGCAGCATCTCACAACTGTCGAACACATCATCCTCGGCGGACGACAAATCACCGCTGCTGCTCATGAAGTTGAATGATGTGCTAGACGGCGGCGATTCCTTCTCGAACTCCTTCCACTCGTCGGCAATCTTCAGTGTCGTCTCGTCGCCACACTTCTGCACAGCACCACCATCGCCACCCAAATCACACTCGGCCGACGGCATGTCGTCACTGAGGAAATTCAATTCTAAACCACCCAATCCCATATCACTGCACGATGACTTCTTCGCGCTCTTCGATTCAATTCGATTCTTCGGCGCATCGTACAACTGCAGAATTGACTCCGTGGAGGAGATCTTCTGCTCTGCGCCGCCACTTGTGTTCTCACTGTTGATCTTCGCAAAGGAATCCAACACAGTCTTGGGTGATTCGCCACGCAATGCCAGCGTCTCGAGTTGCGAATCGGATGAGTGAAAGGACTCCACTGGTGAATCCTCGCGAATAAGCAATTTTGGTAGTTCATAGTTGTTTCCTGCAAAACACACACACACACAGAAAGCAAATATAAATATTGTGGATTTATAGGAAGAAAGAGTCTATGAATTTCACAACAACGCGGCATTTTAGTGATAAAAAACATAAAAATAACCTATGGAGGTCATTGGCTATTTCCATTTGGACTCATCTTCACTTTTCTCTCAATCAGAAGCGTAGTTAAATGAACTGCTTTACCATCAACCTCATGGGAATTACGTTTTGACAATAATTTAATCTTTAGGTACTAGGAAAAGGAAAGATAAGAGATGGTAAAAGGACTAGATTTTGCATAAAAGCTAAAATTCATAGTTCATCGAATTTTTACAGTCAATCGCAACTTTAATCTCCTTTTTCATGCCTTTTGCACACCTTTCAGCTTCTTTCAATGCAGATTTCGCATTCTTTGCACTCTTTCACATCAACTACGCCTCTGATTTGTGTCACATAGCACAAGAATGAATTCCATTGAAATCACAAATGACTCACCATTTTCCGATGGCAGCTTGAATACTCGATATGCTGTGTCTGAATTGGCATCCAGTTGAAAGTCACTGGAACACGAGGCTCTCGATTCACCACGATTGTTTATGGCAAACGTATGTTGGTGCTCAACGAAGAGTTTATTCTCGAAGCTCGCCGTGGACAAGTGCTTCTGCAGAATGCCTCTCTTGCTCAGCTTCTTCTCCTTCTCACCTTTCACGCGCTCGCCACACGGATCGGACAGCGATGTGATGCGCGACTTGCTGAATTGCTCGATCAAGTCCTGAACTGACGTCGACGACAAGTGCTCGTCGCGCGTCATTCGGCTCGACGGTGGCCGACGGATGCGCTCCTCAATGTTCGGCGACGACGCCACACGCGCGCCGCCGCCAATCGCCTGATTCTCATCGATTGCCAAGTCACTCTCCGTGTTGATCGTCTTGAATGAGCGATTCCGTCGGATATTCTCGCGCAACTTTATCTTGTTGTAATCAGCAACATTCGGCGGCTTGGCACTTTTACTCCTGCTACCGCCGCCGCCGCTGCTGCTGCTGAAGTAATTCACACAATTCACTAGCGGTTGCGCCGTTCGTGATTGCGAGTGTCGCTGATTGAAGAAGAAGGAATTGTTGTTCACCTTCACATCGTCAGCTTTCCCCGCAGCAATGCGCGAGTCAGTCTTCAAAGGACCCTCAATTGACGCTGCAATGTCCGTCACGACGGATGTTCGCGCCTTCGACATGAATCCCAATCGGCGAAGCTTTCGTCCAATCTCAATTTCAATGTTATTCTTCATCTGCACACCCGAATTCACATCAACATGCTTGTCGTCATTCGACTGATGATTCGTGATGCTCTTCACAGTTTTATTGCGCTTCTTCCACTCCAACTTCGTGCGCAATTGGTGCATTTTCTGCGGGAGACACCACAATGAAAAAAAGAGGAAACACACGCAATCATTAGTATATAATTGATGCGACAGAATCAATTATTACCTCTAGAGTATTAATATTGTCATTGAGCCACTGATCGTTCTGTGACTCATTTGTGGCAGCTTCTGTTTGCTCCTCAGACCCTTTGGTCAGCAGATTCTTGCCCGTGCGAAACTTCATCAGTCGATGAATATTCTTCTTGCAGTCCTTGTACACCAGCACTTTAACGCCCGGCGTGGAAATTGTCAATGGTTCTTGTCTGCAAGGAAACAATCTTCATTCAGCCCCCCAAATCGCATTGCCTCCCATTCTTCATCCCTCCTCACCTGGACGTGTTGAGAACGTCACTCAGATCGAACCAATTCTCATAATCGGGCAGTGTGACAATGCGACGTGCAGACACTGGACCGCCTTTCAGGCCGAGGACCAGCTTCAGCCGCGATCCCTTCACCAGCGGCACATCTTTCATCTCCGTGGCGTCGCTCAGCTCATTGTGGTTGTAGAGCAAGTGCTGGTGTCCGACTGGAATACCTACAAGTTGAGACATTGTAACTATCGACACTTGGCAGTTACATAAAGACACTGCGCGCTTCTCTGCGGCTTCTCCTCAATTATAATAGAATATTCCACGCTTAATTTATATTGCATAATTCCAAATATACGCGCTAATTTCTTGCATTGGAAGGCGTCGCGCAGCAGCGTAGCTACAGCAGCTGCAAGCGGCAAACTTAGATTTACAGTCAAAATTCTGTTATCCATACTTTTCGCGATAGCAAAGCAGAGCTTTTGACTGAAATGGATTCAAATTGAATGGAAATTTGTCAAATTTAAGGAAATGTCCTCCAATTTTGTCTCATAACGATCTGCAGAAGTACCAATAAATTAATAAGTCAATCAGCGAAAAGCTACGCCACTGTTGGCACTCTCCCATTCTCAATTAGTCGAATTTTGTGCTGCCTGTAGAGTAATTTGGGGTCTATCTCTAGAACTGGCGTGTTGTCTTTCAAGAGCACACCACCGAGACGCGGCGAGAGAGAGAGAGTTTTCTTCCGATAATATTTATCACTCGGCGCGCGCGTGCGGCAAAGCCGTGTGTGAAAAAAATATTAAATTTTGCACGTATCAAGTGCTGTATGACATATTTCTAAAATTAGACTCCTTTTCTGCCACAGAAAGAGAAGCGAGGCGCTCCTGCAGTATCTCCGCCCGCGCCGCTTGGCCGCTCTCGGGCGTTACGATGACAACGGAAGTTGCCAGGAAGCCACACACAGCTGCGCTCGGATTGGGGGCGCTCACCTTCATACTTCTGGATCCGGGACTTGATGTAGCCAACTGTGTCCTTGTCAGTCACCGTCACTTTCAATTCCGACCCGGTCAGAGTCTCCACGATGATGTCGTACTGGGGCGAAGCCTGCGGAGCCAGCATTTCCTGAAACGAAACCACAGAGAGATTGTCAATCGTGGCAACCGTGAAAATACGTCTCATTGTGTCTCCCAATCGCCAGCGTCACTGATAAAGGCACACAGTGTCTCTGCATTTACACCCACCCTTATCGCACTATCGCCTGTGTGTGAGTGAGTGAAATATGTGAAAAATATTATTATTAGACAATTGCGACACCCATTTTAGGCGCTATTGCAGATCTAAAAGGTGACGTTTTACACACATTTTCAGACCGAGACTCTCGCCGCCCCTCTTTTGGCAGCGGAGTGACCAAACCCACTGGCATTCCCCAGCGTCACAAGTATCTGCACCCCTTCAGGGACACCCCCCAAGCCTTCCGGACGCACATTCTCACATCAAAACTGCACATTTACCTCTTGTTTGCTGCACGGGCTCAATTTGAAGTCCAATTGGTGGATTTTCTCAGAGTAAAAGTCACTGGTGAAAATTATACAACGCAATTCCCCTCGGCCATCATTACATTTTCACACTCGCGAAATCCGATATCTCACCCACAATTTCCCGTGATATGTATCACAGACGACACTGAGGATTGATAATGGGGGATTTCACAACAATTAATCATGCAAACTCCTTAGAATTATGGGCAGAAATGGGCAATTCTTGCTCGCGATTGACCGAAATCTTTACTCGCGTGTGCAGAGTGAAGATGGTTTTGATTCACCTCAAGTGTCATGCAAACACACCACTTCAAGTCTCGCCAGAAATTTACCTAAAAAACCAAGTAAAAGGCCGAAACAGAGAAGATTTATAATTCTCTCAAGTGCTCAAAATGATTCATACACATTCTTCTCATTCTTATCTGCAGTTAAACGTGTAATTTTCGCTATTTGTGAATTTTATGACAGCCGCTTGTGGTGAATATCTTCTCCATCTCTCTACATATTAGCGCCTCTCGCGAGATACAGCGGAACTCTTCAGTTGTCAGTGAAATTTTCCAGGACAAAAACAAACACCAGAGCTCACGAAATTACAGCTTTTCTCGGTGAAGAAAACGCCCCAAAATCTTGCCACTGCTGTGAAATGATTTATAGCATCAATTGAAGTGATAGTCGTGGTGATAATGGCTATTTTTGAGGTGAGTTGACATGAAGATAACATGGGATTTCATTATAATTCTCTCCCACTTTCAGTGGCGCAAATTCAATTTCTTCGACCTGAAAAGCAATGCCGACGCTGGAAACGTGTCGTCGGCACTGCTGGATGCTGAGATTTCGTGTGCCGCCAGTGGAAACAACCAAGTGATTCTGTGTGACTCAGCGGGAAATGTGCACATCTTTGGTAGAACATGGAGTGCAACGTCTTTCAGGGCTCACGAAGGTCCAGTTTTGCTCTGCAAAATGGCCAATTCCAGATCCGTCGATGCTTCGGTGAGTGCGGCGGGGATTCCTTTGGAGCGTTGTTGTGTTAAACAAAGTCTCTCTCTATCTCTTTCTTCCTTTGCACAGAGCAATCTCCTCATCACCGTCGGCACTGATGACAGCGGCCAAGTGCCCGACCTGAAAGTGTGGAGCCTGAGCGGCGGAAAGCAGTCCAAGGGTGGCCTTCCGGCGTGCGTGCGCACCATGAAGATCGCCCTACAAAAGCCCACGGCGCTAGGTGTCTCCGATGGCGGCCAGTACATGGCAATCGGCTTCGACAGGGGCAGCATTTCGCTGTATCGCGGCGACATAGCCAGAGATCGCAGCAAGACGATGAAGAGTCTTTCGGGCGGCAGTGCGGCAATCACGGGAATCGCCTTCAGGACGGTGTCGAAGATCGCCCAGATGTTCATCTGCTCGGATTCTGGCGTGATTCTGTACAATCTCCACAGTCGCGATAAGGAGATCAAAGTCGTGCTGGACTCAATGCCAGCGCCGATCCGATGCTGTGTCCTGCAAACTGGTCACAGTTCCGGCGAGGCGCACTTCATGGTGGGAAAGGATGATGTAAGTGTGAAGATCGTAGTTTAAAACTCCTTAGATTAATTGCACACTTTCATCTTCTACAGGCTGTTTATTGCTACACATCTGAGGATCGTGCCTCTTGCTATGCTCTGGATGGGCAAAAGTCTATTCTTCAGTGGTTTAGATCAAATTTGCTGACAGTGTCGAAGCCCACAAAGAGTTCCATGTCATCACAGAAAGACTCTGTTCTCACTGTGATTGATATTCAGAATAAGTTCATTGTCTTCACCACGACAATTGATGCCGTGGCGGCAATTCTCGTGGAGTTTGGCACATGTTATGTGATCACAAAAGCCAAAGAAGTGTTTCACTTGGACGAGAAGGATTTGCAGAGTAAATTGAATTTGCTGTTCAAGAAGAATCTCTACGACATTGCCGTGCGCATCGCGAAGAGCAATCAGTATGATTCGGAGGGTTTGGCGGAGATCTTTCGCCAATATGGTGATCATTTGTACGGCAAAGGTGACTATCCGGGCTCTGTGGAGCAATATGTGAGAACAATTGGCTATCTGGAGCCGTCGTATGTGATAAGGAAGTTCCTAGATTCGCGTCACATTCACTGCCTCACGGATTATCTGCAGCAATTGCACCAATTGGGCCACGCGACGGCGGATCACACGACATTGCTGCTCAATTGCTTCACGCGCCTCGATCAGACGACGAACTTGAGGGAATTCCTGAGCAATGACGCCAATCCGGATTTGATATTTGATCTGGATGTGGCGATAAAAGTCTGCCGTACAGCTTCGGTGGAGCACGCTTTGTCGCTGGCGAAGAGGAACAGGAAGCACGATTTCGCCATTAGTATTCTCACGGAAGACATGGAAGCCTTCACTGAAGCTCTGGAGTACATTTCACACTTGTCTTTCGACGATGCCGACAAGAGCCTGAAGAAGTACGGCTATTTGCTGATGGCACAGTGTCCGATGGAGATGACGGCGCTGCTGAAGAAGCTCTGCACGGATTACAACAGTGTGCAGAACAGGAGAGATGATCAGCTGATGGACAGTCATTGGCAAATCGACAGAGGCAGTCCTGAAGACTTTATCCATCTCTTTGGCCAAGACACGGCTCTGCTGGTGGAGTTTCTTGAGCATCTCGTGGCGAATGTGTCCAATTGCAGCTGTCTGGTCTTCAACACACTCATTGAGAGCTATTTGACGATGTGGCGCAGCAATGCTGGCGCTGAGGCGCGTCTCATGGAGATCCTGCAGAAGTTTCAGGACTCCTATGACAGAAATCACATCGTCATCCTCTGTCGCTTGCATGAATTCTGGCCAGGTGTGATGTTGATCTACGAGGAGGAGCAGCTCTATCACCTGATTGTTAGGCATCATCTGAAGAATCGCGACTACAACAGTCTTCTGGACACTTGTAGGCGTCTCGGCAGCCTCCAGTCATCACTCTGGCTGCAGGCACTGACTGGTCTGCGCAGTGACAAGACAGCACCGTCCAATCTCCTGTCGCAGATCCTCCACGTGATTGCGCAGGAGAAGCTGCAGTCACCACTGCAGGTGCTCAATTGTCTGGCTGTGGAGAATGGGCCGAATCTGTCGTCTGTGCGGGAGTATTTCATGCAAGTGTTCCAGAAGGAGTGCGACAGCTTTCGCCAGGAGGATCAGCTGGTGGAGAAGTACAGAAGGGATTCTGTGGTGCTGAAGAAGCACATCAAGAGCCTCCAAGAGGATCCGATAGAGTTTCGCGGCACAATTTGCAACAATTGCCATCAACCATTGAGCATTCCAGCCATTTACTTCCTCTGCCAGCACTCATATCATCTCGAGTAAGTCGCCACATCATTGTCTCTACCCTTTCGCGTAGTGTATTTTACATTGTGTGTTTGTGCTTCTCTCTTGCAGCTGCGTCAAGGGTTATTCAGAGAATGACAAGGATTGTCCGGCGTGTCACACGAAGAACATGCAAATTCTGGACTCACTCAAGGCACAGAGTGAATCCCGTGGACAACATGATGCTTTCCACAATCTCTTGGATCGATCGGCGGAACCGTTTTCCATTGTGGCTGACTACTTTGGTCGCGGACTCTTCAATAAGATTGTCATTGTTGAGGAAAACACGAATGTTGAGGTAAATTTCTGGGGCACAGACACGAAATGTTTAGGTTTTCTTTAGAGTTTCTGTAGACTTCTGACTCTGGCTAAAAAATGCCCATCAAATTGATTCACATCCTCAAGATCTGGGTTATTTTGACCCCAATTGAAAGGTTAAAAATTCTTCTCTTACTTCTGCTTGCAGGGCAACAAGGCAACAATCAGAGGCTTTAGTGGAGCAGCAAAGCTGGCCGAAGCGAAGATGAAGGCTTCTGCGGCGCCGGCGCCAAGCTACAGCTCTTACGGCACGGGCGCCGAGGCGCGGATGCGCGTACAGGAAGTTCAGGCGTCAGGCAAAGTGGACATTCCGGTGGCCGAGGGACGAATGCGCGTGCAGGAGCGCCAGAAGCATCGCGACAATGTCTACTCGTCCAGCCTGGAGGCGAACATGACGTGGGGCGGCAAGAAGGATAGCGCCAGGACGCCGCCAGTGGGAAGTCCGCGGAGAACGGCCAATACGATCTCCAAAAATTTGGCGCCAAACGCGAAGCCCAACAATCCTTTCGAGGACGAAATCCAGTACGACGACAGCAAGAATCCCTTCGCCGACGATGACGATGAAGATGAAGCGCCGGCGATGGGAAAAGAGGCGTCAACGAATCCCTTTGACGATTACGACAGCAATTTGAATCCGTTTGAGTGAAGGAAAAAGACAAATTGATAGACAAAAGTCCGCGAATCACAATTGAAAGGTATTCATTATTATTATTATTATTCAATTAAAAAAAGGAGTTGTTTTCTTCACTAAACTATTATATACAAAAAATTGTCGACATACATAATCTAAATATATAGCTTTTCACAATAAATACAGATTACTATCTATATTTTTATCTTATTGAAATGTATTAATTTCAACTGCTGCTTTTACTGATGTAAAAATGTTTCACTATGAAGTTTATAAATATTGATTGATTTCTCTTCAGATGTTAAGAAATGTGTTCAGTTAAGAGGATATCTTTTAAGATTCATTGTTTAGAATGCGGCTTTATTCTTCATCAGCATCATTTTGAGAGGCAAGAAAAAAAAAAGGTCACCTTAAGAGATTTTTCTTCTAATCTCACAACTTATGAATGCTCTTGAATGTGAAAATGATACTAAATCAGCACTAAATTGTTTTTCTCTGTGTTTTGGAAAAAAAACAAACAAACTCAAAGGCGACCTTATTAAATTTGCAGTGTCACTTTCTCACTACTCTGTCATCGAAAATCTCAAAATGTTTACAAATATCGCTGAATAAGTTATTAAATGCCCTGAAATCTGATTAGCTGGGCATTTAGCAATGACTTTAATGATTTTATGCAGAAGCATTTTACACTATTCTCTCAATTGCGAACCTCTCTAAACATTGGTAATTTCTCCCCCTATTTAAATGGTAAAAGCCGAGAGACAATTTCTATTGTTAAACTCGAAATTAAACTATGTTTATTTCACTTATCGCGACAAATATAGTCAGACTTGTGTGAGTACGAATTGTGCTGAACAATTACTCTATAATGACTCTTGTCTTTCTCTCCAAAATTCCACGAACGATATATTTAAATAGATGGATTTGATGTTGAGAAATGTCGCCTGTCTAACTTCCATGTTTCACTGGATTTTGTCGAATTTTATGTTTGTAAAAATCGGGGCGAAAAAGAACGATTGCGATGCTTGAGTACATTATAAAGTGTGCTATTGGCTTTTTCCCTAATGCAATTAATTCGATAAATTTCCTCCCATCTAACCTAAACCCACACTATTTTCACCCCACCATTTAAGACTTATTACTTGTGTCTGAAAGAACAATTTCTGTTGCTTGCGCACACGTCCTAAGAACAGCCTGAATTGCTACACGCTCACGCATTATCGATACAGCCAACGATGTCACTGGGATTTCATGCTGATAAGCTTTCGGGATCTCGCACGCGCCTCCTGTCGCGTCACCGTGTACTCGAACCACAGCACATTCGGGATCAGCGTCGTGTCACGCAGCAGCAGGAACTCGGACACTTTCCTGCCAAGGACATGAAAAACATACATCAAGTACATTTCTATTGGTATGGAAAATTCTTGACAAGCTTAACAGTTTTTCTCTACAGTATTTTTTGCCTCTTTTAACGATACTCAGCAAAAAACTTTAAGAAGGGCAACTTTAAGAATTTATTGTACTCGCAGATTCCAAAGAAGTCAAGTCTTTTGAGCCCAATTTATTAACAGACGAATTAAATTTCTTTTTCAAATCTTCAAGATTTTGAACGTTTGTCAATTTCTCAAACCACAAAAGGGACAAAAAAGCTTTACTTCCACATGAACCAAAACCTTGGGCGCCCATGTGATCTTCAACCAGTCGCAGAGCCTTTGCAGGATGCAAAGACCCTTCGGGCGCTGAACAAGAGAGAGTGGTCAGCTGGATCAGGAGTCCTAAAATGCCAGAAAATGTGTACTTACCATGTGACGATGCGCGGGAAGTAGGGTGTAAGGAAGAAGTGAATCACGGTGAACCAGAGAGCGCCCGTGCAGATACCCACCGCGGCGCCCACGTACACCTGCGCCGCTGTGTGGTATTGCAAGTAGATGCGGCCGTAGCAGACGAGCGCCGTCGTGATCCAGCAAGCGGCCAGGACGAGTATCCGCATGGCTCTCTCCAGCGGCGCATTATTGTTCATGTGATGCAGTCTGCAAGAATCGTGGCATTAAATCGTGCGTGACACTTTCTCTACCTCTGTCTCACCTTATCAGCACGAAGAGAAGAACATAAGTGGAGAAGAAACACATGAACTGGGAATGACTGGAGGGCATTCCGTACTCTGTGTACGGATGCTCCCTGAGAACAGGACGAGGCTCTTGAATGGTGTGCTTCAGGATCTTGTTGAAGAACTCATTCAGCAGCATTCCCAGGAAGAACGAAATCTGCAAAAATAGAGAACAGTATTACTCTTGAGGCTCTGCTGGCCACACCCGGGTGATCTCTCACTGTGTGCAAATCCCTGCGAAAAAGGATGAGCGTGATGAATCCAGCCAGAAGAACCATTGGCATCAGGCTCAACCACGCCAGAAGCTCACCGATCAAGTCCCCTCGCGGGTACTCCACGAGGGTCAGTGTGATTGGCACCCAGTCCGAACTATTGTACTCCTCATAATCGTGAGGAGACTTCATATTATGGGTGAAACTATGAAATTTCCACGTATTTTGCCAGGAAAATGCGGACCCCGCAAATGACAAGCTCCACACACACCCTCTTACTGTACACTAGCGCCGCGGAGTCAAACGCGAAATTACTTTTTGAGTTGAATTCTGTGAGGTGGCGCTGCTGGCGGGTGATGTGTCATCCATGCTTCCGGCGCTGTTGGCCATCTTTTCATTTCGGACTCTGAAGCAGACTGAACGCGTGGATTAGGAATTAGCTCCATCTTCCAAAATGAGGATCTACAAGGACATTATTACAGGTAAAATCACTACATCTCATTCTACTCTATACTGTGATGTAGGAATATCTGCAGAAAAACGTGTTTGAGGGGGTAAAAAAGAGTGAAAGAAATAGTGGGTCAAGTTTAAAGCTGGATGTGAATTTGTTGGCAGCTTTTTCTGGATTTCTCTGGCCCATTTTCACAACAGCTTCACATTTTCACTCAGTACGCAATACAGAATGAGAGAATAGAGATGCTAGAAGAGTTGAATGTGGACTAATTTTGGCTGTTTGACGAGTTGTGCTGAAGTGTGAGGTTATGTGTGTCCGGGAGCAACGTCATCTAATTTTCTGTGATCTTTTCTACCCTTGCAGGTGACGAGATGTTCTCGGACACTTATAAAGTCAAACTGGTGGATGAGGTGATCTACGAGGTGACGGGAAAGCTGATCCAGCGAGCGCAGGGCGACGTCAAAATCGAAGGATTCAATCCATCAGCCGAGGAGGCTGACGAGGGCACAGATGAGGCCGTGGAGAGTGGCGTGGACGTCGTCCTGAATCACCGACTGTGCGAGACATACGCCTTCGGCGACAAGAAGTCCTACACACTCTACCTGAAAGACTACATGAAGAAGTGAGTAGCGTCGCCAGTTTTGCTAATGATGATTCAAGTGATAACGCACGACCTACGCCTCGAACACTGATAAATCCTACGATGGACAAAGTGTGAGAGTAACCTAAAAGCGTGCCAGAGCAAAATTTGTCTTTAAAACGATGATTGAAGCGCTTTCTACGCTTCCTTCATTACCTGAAATTGCAAACAGAGTCTCTTGCCAACGCGTCTCTATTGTCGCGTTGTATGTCACTATTTTTACTAATCTGTTCGGTTTTGCCACGCAGGCTGATCGAGAAGCTGCAGGAGAAGAATCCCGATCAAGTGGACACGTTCAAGAACAACATGAACAAAGCCATGAAGGACATCTTGGGGCGATTTAAGGAGCTGCAATTCTTCACCGGAGAGTCAATGGACTGCGACGGAATGGTGGCAATGATGGAATACCGTGACATTGACGGTGATTCCGTGCCAATTCTCATGTTCTTCAAGCACGGCCTTGAGGAGGAGAAGTTCTAACGTTTCCAGCAAATTCTGGCCAACCAACATACAGCCTCCATTCCTCGGAGATCATCTGACCACTTGAGATTATACATCGCGCAGAAGAAGACAACAACTCCGAGACGTATATTTACACACATATTGAAAACGAGGAAAATGCTTTACATTTGCTATCTCTTAATTTAACTAAAAAAAAAATATAGCCTCAATTTTTCCGGAAAAATTATATCTAATTCTAAACTGTTTACTCGTTTTAATAGGCTAATTTGTAAATTATATTTTTCAAGAATTATGAAAAGAAATCTTGCGAATGAATATCTCAATGTAAATAATTATTTTTCTCCGTGAAATACACACAATTTTACATCCTTTCGCTATCATTTGGAAGGTGGAGAAAAAATCATGAATTTTACTTTTCCTTCTTCCACAGTTCGCGTGGAGAAAAAGGTTTTGGCGCCCCTTCCGAATTTTTGTCCCTATTTGCCAATCTTGCCCACGAATGGCGCTGCCTCCCACCAGAGTGTCAGAATTGGTCAAAATCACGGCGATATGACTCAAGTTCAAGTGCAGTTTTTCCTTCTTAACATGCAAATGGGCTGATAATTTGCACGTATACTGTGATTGTGCAATGATAAGAGAGTGTTGCTAGTCATTCCTGAACTCGAGGTCGAGTGAATAACATCTGAGAATCACGCGAAAGCAGTGTTTTGGTAATGTTTACATTTTGTCCCATTTTATACTTTTCCTGGTTTTTATCCAAAGATTCCTGTTTTTTTTCTGTAATGCCGAGAAGGGATAAGCTTAATGACATATTTGGAGATCAAGGTCTTTGCATGGTGAAAATGTCCAGGATAAAATCTTTGAGAGGGATGAAGAATATGATAGGAATTTTCAATTTGCCCTTCTACAGGGTGATTCCTAACCTCAGTCTCGATTGAAGAGAGAATGAAGAGAAGCAATATAGTAAATCATAGATTCACTGAAAAATGCTTTTTTGCAATATCAGAACTTTATCCAGAAGATCGATTTTGAATTAACCCCTCGTGATATTGATACAACTGTTAAATATTTCCATGCGGGTTGAAATTGATATACAAATTCGTTCTATTCCTTTTCAACACTTCCTGGTTGGCCAGCTAAATTTAAAACAGGATCATCATACTTTCTCCTCCTTCTCCAGACTTCCATTCAATCACGGAATTGTATATAGTACAGGACTGGAATCCGTGAGATTCGCATTGGAATGCGTCGTACAACTGCCGGCAAGTGTTCAAGATTCCCAGCAATTAAGATCATGTCGTCATGATCAGCGACGATTGTCCGAGTGATTGTCGAAGTCTCGCGGCACTTTTCTGGCACGATCGTGTGCGCGCGCGAAACCAACTGCTCAAGTCTGCAGCACACTTGGCAGTTGAGCGAGTGACTTTGCTTCGAGACGAGAGCGAGAAATCCTAAAGTCGGCCGGACAGACAAATTGGCAAATGTGTAATTGTGCAATCGAACTGCAATTGAATCTCCCGATCGAGTAGTTTAGACAGTGTTAGAAGGCAAAGAATCATATCGAGAATCTTCAGGTAAACTCAAGGAAACGCATCTTCTGAGCACTTTGATGTGGAGACACACCAAAATTGAGAGTTTGCAGTGTAATAAAAAAAGAGGCACAATTAATCTGAATTCATTGAAAGTGTGTGACCTTCTCTCGAGCTTACCTGCAATTCAATTACATAATGCAAGTGATTTCTCTATCGATATCTGTACTTTATTAATTCCGCTTTGCAATGTGTGTCTCAAGTGCGATGATTTCGTGAAGACGATTCACAATCGGCGAGTGATTGGGGAATTTTTTTCCGCGGAAACAAGACTTTATTGGCTTTGTCATAGAGACTTTTGTGAGCATGAATAGGAGAGTGACATCATCGTTTGTTGGGTGGTGAGAATCGGTTTTGATTTAGGTGGTTTTTCCTCTCTCTGGCGGACGATAAGACGATGCGCAGGACGTGTGAAATTGGACTCTGTTAATCATCTTCTTGCACACATCTCTTCATGCAGTTTTGTCGTGCATTCTGTGTGCCAAATGTCTTTAAATAAAAGCCCGCCCGAGACACACTTTACTCGCGTGTGTACACATGAAATTTACGGCCAGCGAAGCTCACGCCGTGGCTTATCAGTAAATAATAATAATCAGAAAAGTGTAAATTGCGATAGTGGCATTACACTGAATTCCTGGTTTGATTCAGGAGAGAATCCATTCACCTTGATGGGTCAAGAGTGTCTGATTAGACATCTATAATTAGTTTATGCTGTTCCACCTCAATTTTCTCTCTCACTCGCTCGGCATTCGCGGAAAATATGCTTGTATTTCAATGAATGCTGTATGATGAGAATATCGTGCAGTGACTTCTTCTCCCACGCCAATTTGCCAGACGATCTATAGCGATGTTTTAACTTTAAATACATCTCTTGTGTGTGATTTTTGAAAAGATTTACTATAATTGCACCCTTTTTTTTCTCCACAGCGAATCATCGAGCGATCTTGTGAGGAAATATGGCTTCGCGGTTTCGTAAATTTGGCATAACAACTGTTGGATTGTGCGCTGGAAGTGCTTTGGCCGCTTGGGCGTTCAACAGTCAAAATGACTCGCCCTACAAGGTGAGATCTTGACCTACAATTTGGAAGTGACCAGACGAGATCGACGAGACGTATTTGTTTACACACTGTGTTATTTAAAATAATCCCCGGAAGCTGATTCATAAGCGCACAATCAATGATTTTATACTGCTCATGAATACAAAACTTTTGTCGTAAGCTCTTATCGCGATAGTCAACAAATCTGGTGTGAAATATTTAAGCATCAATTGAAAGTTATTTTTCTGTTTCAGAATGTAAATGATGAATTACTTTACAATTCTCAGTTAATTGTGATTTAAAACAGACTAGAAAAGTGCTTTTTTTTTGTACAAGAGAAAATCAATTTTAATAGATTGGATTTTTGTACTGCACTAGAAAGTCTGAAAATTCAGGCATAAAAAATACGAGAAGAACTTACCAATTTTACTTCGGTTATTAGAAGATGAAGAGAATGATTGAGAGTTAAGCTAGCTTCGTAATCTCTTCGCAGGTCCAAATGGCTGCCAAGCCTGTCAGGAAGGCTAAGAGACCACTTCCGTTGCGCGCTGAGCAGATAGCGAAGCTGCAGAGTGGCGAAGAGTTTGATGTCCTGATCGTTGGCGGCGGTGCAACGGGCGCCGGATGCGCTTTGGACGCTGTGACCAGAGGACTGAAGACGGCACTCGTGGAGGCGGACGATTTCGCCAGCGGAACATCCTCGCGATCCACCAAACTGATTCACGGCGGCGTGAGGTACTTGCAGAAGGCCATCCTCGGGGTAAGAAGAAGCCTCTTTCTCTGCCTGAAGTACACAGAGAAGAGTTGAATGTCAATTAATCTATCTATAGTGTTTCCTTAGTTGCTCTGCGTGCAGCTCTAGTCGCTTTTAGTCTGAAGCTTGATGTGTGGTTAGCTTAGGGTAACTGGCACAATTTGTATTGGTAATCAATGTGTGTTTTTTTGGACATCCTTTGCAGCTGGACTTCGAACAGTACAGAATGGTGAAGGAGGCACTACACGAGCGTGCTTCAATGCTGCAATCTGCTCCTCACTTAACTCATCCTCTGCCCATTATGCTGCCAGTCTACCAGTGAGTATATCCCAGTGATGCTCGTGGCCCTGAAGGATGTCTGTGCACATTTCACCGTCTCTTTTGCAGATGGTGGCAAGTGCCATACTATTGGGTGGGCATCAAAGCCTACGACTTCGTCGCTGGCGACAGGAATGTGAAGACATCGTACTATTTGTCGAAGAAGGACGCACTGGAGCTCTTTCCCATGCTGAAGGGGGAGAAATTGTGTGGCGCCATTGTTTACTATGATGGCCAGCAAGACGATGCCCGTATGAATTTAGCCATTGCTCTCACGGCGGCTAGACACGGAGCGGCCGTGAGCAATCACGTGGAAGTGACGGAGCTGCTGAAGAAGAAGGATGAGACGGGAAAGGAGGTTCTCTGTGGTGCAAAAGTTAAGGTGAATTTGCACTAAAAGCATGGTTTTATGTGAGAAAATTCTTCGTAGTTCAATTTCTAGTGCAATTTCTTCCTATGCGCAGGACTGCATCACGAACAAGGAGTGGACAATCAAGGCGAAGTGCATCATCAATGCAACTGGGCCCTTCACAGATCACATCCGAAAGATGGACGATCCCAAAGTCAAGGGCATCTGCTGTCCGAGCTCTGGCGTGCACATTGTGCTGCCCGGCTACTATAGTCCCGACCAGATGGGCCTCCTCGATCCATCGACGTCCGACGGGCGTGTCATCTTCTTCCTGCCATGGCAGCGTCAGACAATTGCCGGCACCACTGACTTGCCGTGCGACGTGACTCACAGCCCAAGACCCACCGAGGATGAGATTCAGTTCATTCTCACGGAGATCAAGAACTATCTCAACAAGGACGTTGAGGTGCGCCGCGGCGACGTGCTGAGCGCCTGGAGCGGCATTCGTCCACTTGTCTCAGACCCGAACAAGGAAGACACACAATCACTTGCACGCAATCACATTGTACACGTGAGTCCATCGAATTTGGTCACAATTGCAGGTGGCAAGTGGACGACTTATCGCGCCATGGCGAGTCACACCATCGACGCTGCTATTAAAGGTGAACTTTTCCATCGCATTTTCGCCATTTTGAAAAACTAATAATCATAGCGTCTTTTGCACACAGCCTGCGGCCTGAAGCCCGAGAGCGAGGAGTGCCAGACGGACGGGCTGCTGATTGAGGGCGGTCACGGTTGGACGCCGACGATGTACATTCGGCTGGTGCAGGACTTTGGATTGGACTGTGAAGTGGCCCAACATTTGGCTAAATCATATGGGGATCGTGCATTTGCCGTGGCAAAATTGGCCGCAATCACTGGTAAACGATGGCCAATCATTGGCAAGAAGATTCATCCAGAGTTTCCCTACATTGACGCTGAAATTCGCTATGGCGTGCGTGAGTACGCGTGCACAGCCGTCGATATGATTGCAAGGCGTCTGCGCTTGGCCTTCCTCAATGTCCAGGCGGCCCAAGAAGCGCTGCCGGGCATTGTGGAGATCATGGCGGAGGAGTTGAAGTGGTCAAAGGATGAAGTTGAGGTGGGCGCGATTTCACCTACATAATTGGCAAAATGTGTCGTTGAGTGACGAAATGTTGTACATATTGCAGAGACAATTGAAATCAGCCAGCGAATTCTTGTCCAATGAGATGGGAATGATGGTGAATCGTGCGTCCAGGGACAAGATACCCATCAATCTGACCAAGGAGGAGATCCAGATGTACATCAAGCGATTCCAGATCATCGACAAGGAGAACAAAGGTTATGTGTCGATTAATGACATAAGACGAGGTCTCAAGGTAAGTTTTCTTTTCCTATATTTAAGAAGAAGAAAAAAAAATACGGATAATTCCACGCACATCTTCAGTCAGAGGAGAAGAGATGACCAATATTTGATGAATTTTACTGAACTGAATCGTATGTTGTTTTGCAAATTTGATAGAAGGCAGGCACGAAATTGAGCTCAGAAGATATGCACAATATATTAGGTGAACTCGATCTGGCATACAATGGACGATTGGAGTTATCAGATTACATTCAGGTAATTAAGGACTGAGAGCAGCAATTCGTAGGCACTGTAATCATCTGCAAATTCTGGCCTAATGCTAGACGAGCAATATGTAAATGGTTGGCATAATCTGCAATATTGAGGCAAAAATTAACATCTGCATTCTATAGAAATTTGGTCAATGATTCAACGACAAATCTCTCCTCAATCAATTTCTCTCCCGGAAGATGTGTTGAACAAATGTGTGGAAATAATGTTCTAATTTGTCTCTCTATCTTCCCACTATTTTTTTCTGTTTTTCTCCCTCATTAATTATATGCGCTCTCATCAGCACTTTGGAGAGGCTGATATTCCTGGAGAGGAATTGCATGAGATTCTGCGTGAAATTGACACAAATATGAATGGTCAAGTGGAACTGGACGAATATCTGCAGGTTCGATTTGTTTAGACATTCTTGTCTTTCCCCTTTTCTGGCACAAGTTTTTCTCTATAACTCACCCTGCCAAAGATATTTCTGCACCAATTTACACACGACATTATAACAGGACGATGGTTTATTTAATTGACTTTTCACATTTCTACAAATATATCATTTTGTAAATAACGAAGGAATCATATAAACAGAACACAGTAAAATATTTCTTCCTGCATGTGCCTAATTTTTTTGTATTTGCTTCTTAAAAAACCCAAGTTTTTCACTCTATTTCTTTAATCGCCTATAGAATTAATGCACTTTCCTTTGAAAAGTAACATAAAATGATCCAGTTTCCGATAGACATAGGAAACTTTTATTCAAAATATCGTACTAAAACTATTACAATCTTAAAAACGTCTAAAATGTTTACGACAAAAAGTATAAGAGCATGTTAAAAAAGTGAAAGAGTGCAAATATGCAAAGTTTAGGGACTCTGTAAATTCTTATTTTTGATATTTAAGCTGAAAAATCAAACGTAAGATTAGTGTTTATCCAATTACCCAAAAATTAAGTACAAGCATACTCCAGTAATTAGAAACGTTAATATCAAATATCCTTATTTATACCATTTATACCCAGTTTTATACCGAATTATTGCCGCACATCTAATCCAATCATTGGCAATGGATGAAATGTGCGGAAAAATAGGACTGGAGTGGCATTTATCAACGAAATCCCACCCATTTCCACCCCTCATTAGTTCGTTCCGCCCTCGCGAGCATTTCTTTGTCTTAATTGATTGCTTCATTCACCATTCGGGCTTGTAATCCTCGCATATATTCGTCGCTTTTTTGCATGCTTTGCTTTCTTGTGTGAAGTCTGGGATTAACAAAACAAAAACATTGATGTTGTGATTTGGTGAAAAGAAGAAACAGAGGAAACAAATTGACCAGTGAAAATCCACTGCAGATGATGTCAGCTATCAAGTCTGGAAATGTGGCGTACTCGAGATTCGCAAGGATGGCGGAACTTGAGGAGGAACATCATGAGAAGGAGAAGCTGAAGAAGAAAATCAGCGTTGAGAGATCCGGTGGAGGTCTTTAAATGCGCCGTGCAATCAACACCGAATTTTTCTTAAAGAAGATAAAAGGAACAAAAACACCCTTCGACGCGATTATATTTTGTGACAAATTTATTTATTGATGTTTTACCAGAAATACTATGTTTAGTATTTGACAAATTATACGTGGATATGTTACTTAATGACTCGCACTATTTATTTCGAACTATTGTGAAGAATAAAGGCTTGTTTTTCAGATTAACACACACAATCGAGATTCACTGGTCGTGTCCTTCGGTGGGTTGGAACATAAGGAAGAGATGCGATGCTGAGGAGGAAAATGGAAAATGCATCAAGGGGGAGATATTTGCTTAAAGGATTTTATGGAAAATACAGAGTCGTTGAATAACTCGTAAAATTTTTCCTAAAATAAACCATAAGACGAATTCAGATGCAAAATTGCATCCATTTGCTCAAAAATTGATTGTTTTGTATGACAAACACATTTATTTAGATTTGCACCATTTGCACATAGTCTTCTAAGTTTTCCAAGTAATGTCTGTGTTTCAAAATTATAATAAAACAAAAAGTGGAAATATTGCATCTTGAGAGATGCTTGTTTAAATAACACGACTTGCCATGAAATGTCGGACACGTACAGAGACAATTTTTCCGTGAATCACGGAAAAAATCGCGACAGGAGTGGAAAAGGGCTAAAAAATTATTCCTTGTGGACAATAGAACACGTTCACAGCAAATTTGGGGAAAAAATAGGCGTGTAAAGTGTGAAATTGCGTTATTTTCGATTAAAAAATTATCCTGATTTGCATAAAATTCGCTAGAGTCACTCAGCGACGAAGTAAAAAGAGGGTGATTTTTCATGAAGCCTGCCAGATTTCACATATTCAACGATTAGTAGAATGATTGATTGAATGATGAGGATTTGGTGTGATCCCATTGCGGGTGGTGATATCTCCTCCTTGGGAAAATGGGGAGAGGTTTGTGCAATTTCCAAGGGGGTCGAGTCGACAGGCGTTTTGCCAGTGAGGCTTTAGAGGGGGGGAGTTGCGTAATACGCCCATCCACCTCTTTCTGGGTCGACCCTGGCACCGGGGTTGACTTTCCACCCATCACTCACCGGAGACCACACCGCCTCCCAATTGGAGCCACGCGACTAGCCCTCGTGGGCTTCTCAGCCAAGTGGGCCGGCTGAGCATTTTCCACCGTGACACAGCTATTGTATCATCCTAATCTACGCCCAATCGTTCCGTCTTTCCACTCCCAGAGCACCCAAGAAGTGGCGCCTGAGGCGGCTCGGCGCCCGCAGGTGTGCCATCGTCTGCAAATAGATGGAAAAGCCGCACAATTGCTGGGTTTTCTTGAAGATTTTCACCAATGCCACGCCCCTGTTGGCCTGACAACTTTCCATCGGCAAGAAAAAAACGATCTCGAGAATCAGTTGGGCAATTCTACTGGAGAATACTCTGAAATAATGAGTATCAGGTTCAATAGCTACAGAAAAATTAGGATAAACCTCGGGAGAAGCCATAAAATCACTGTATGCAAAAAGATGTAGGGGAGTGAGGGTTTGTGTTGAAAATATTTTGCGAAATTATTACGGATCGAATGATCATCAATAGAATACTTGTTTAAAACGATTTTCAAGAACAATTCTAATCAGTTTAATTTAAACCTAAGTCTTTAGAATTCTCATATCAAACATTTCTAAACATTAAGTTTGTCTTTTCGATCCGGATTAGTTCAGATATTGTAGAAGAAAAAACAGATAAACCTTCAGATTCTGTTTTGCAGATTTATCAATCTGAAACAATTGTAATGCAATATTTTAAGAAGCACAAATTAACGCAATTAAATAGGTTTCAACGCCAAAAATAGCACAAAATTGCTTAAATTTCACTGAAATAAAGGTCATATCTTCAAGCAAAGTTCTTTACGTATGTCAATTATTTGCAAAATTTGCCACTCTAATCCATAAACATTTAGGTTCTGAAGTTTCATTTTCAAGTTTGATTTTTTTGTTGAGTCTTTAAATTCATTCAACGACTTTAATTTCGCTTGGCTAGAAATCCGCCGTGTTTGTCTCCAGATGTTTGACTTGTTTGGCTCACCTTTTCAGCCCTCTTCAGACAAATCTCCTTGGGGTTGCTCGGTTTAGGTAAAATTTTCTGTGACAGAGCATTGAAGTCGAATGAATGGAATTTCATCTGTGTACTTAAAATAATTAATGCACGCAGTACTCTGCCGCTTGTTCACACTACTCCGCCCTCCCCTAAGGCATTCTGTTGAATCCTCGCTGAGTCGCGAGGGTGGATAATGTCACGTGGTGCTGAAAACCACCCCGCAAGAGCAATTCCACGCGGTGGGAATAGGCGTAGTGACGGGGGAAGGAACCAACCCTCCCAGCGGCAGATTCAACCCCACGGAGGCGAGATTCTGGGAGATGGTCCACCGCTCGTGCGGCCTCCTCGGCCGTGAGCGAACTCAGGCAGCCCAGAAAGAGTCGGGGTGTGCTGCAGTAGGCGATGCTCTGTGAGAAGAGCCAGGGCGCGCCTCGATGTGTTGGGCCTGTGAAATTGTGTCACAGCGACACACATACACATGCACGCGTGGAAACTGGGGAGAAAATAACATGGGATGTGAACTGTGAGGCCGAGCAAGCTTGGCAGATGCGTAGCGTTGGGTTCCCCCTTCATGTTCTCGCCCATACGAACTGGTACGTTACTGTTGAGACAGCGAGACGGCCTGCGCCACTGGCGAGAGGGAGAAGGAAGCGTGGTGTGCCAAAGTAAATTCAATACCACTTCGTAGACACACACTGAGAGCCGAGGCCAGCCCAGACGACGTGGAACGACAATTCGTGACAGCATAGCATGCTTCGCAAGTAGACCTATCTCTTCTCGCGATTCTCTCGATGGTTTTGTCACTGAGTGTGGGTGAAAGGTCAAAAAATGGGTTGGAATTGACCACATTGATGGCATATCATGAGGTCAAAGTGTTCAAAATGGTACTAATTTGCCAGAAGCTTGCAATATTTGTGGGAAATCTCATCGCGTAGCCTCACAGCCCGATCAATGGCGACACGAAGCGACACCGCCCGAATATCGTTCAACAGCACCAAAACGCTAGATTCTCGCTTTATTTTATGGTGTAGCGTGAAGTGATACGACAATGATTGCTGTATTAAGTGAAAATTAGTGAAAAATCCCTGAAAAACAATGGAAACTGTGAATGTGAAGCAGGAATTGGAGATGGACGAGACGTCCGAGTCGGTGATGGTAAGTGATTTGACTGTGGGGTGCAATTGTGTACGGAATTTTCACGTTTTGGTGAAGAAAAGGCCACACTCTTTGTGGGTGTTCCGAATTGCTCATGGGCGGGGGCTCTCCACCATCCAACTAGTTCCGTGGCGCTCGGTTCCCGTATTGGAAATTATATTCAGTTGGACTGACTCCTCACAGTCAAGCGTGCTCTATTATCACATTTTCACAAAATCCTCCCCTAAATAGCACTTCCCATGATTACAATATTTTGGCTCCGACACCGTCGCTGGCAGCGTTCGATGGATATTTTCGTCATTCGCTGACAAATTGCATACCACTTTGTGACTATCAAAATTACCTTTCGTCCGAAGGACCTAGGCTTATGCTACAGCAAGGCGTCCAATACTTCTCTGCATAATTAGACCTATGCAAATTTTCCCTTTATTTCAAGAATGTGTAGAACTTTATCCCTGGAATTTTTTTTTGTTGCCCTAACCATACAATTACAGCGGCTGTATTGTCTTCTCACTTTGGTGCACACTATGTTGTGCGCTCGCAAGGCTGACTGTGTCCATCTCGCTCTGGCGCACATGGCGAAGGCGCGCTCACAATACATGCGAAGCGACGAAGAGAAAGAAATTGTGTGGAATATTTTCTAGTGCTTCGCCAGTCATATGATCAACATTGCATTTTTTCTTGTGCCACAAAATTTTGTTAGGGCCGATCTAAATACCTTCCGACGTCATCAATCCATGCTGTGATGTTTGATTTGTATAAATGGTCCGCCTACTCAGTGGCGTAGCTGTCACGCGGTTAGGGGGGATGGGGGCGGACCGGTGATTCAACAGGAGAACCAGGAATATCACCAGAGAGCCAATAACAACTTTGACTCTGAGGTGAAAACCTATATTTCAAGTAGGAACTCTTGGATTTTTTTCCAGCATGTTTTTGTATGAGGTGTCCTACAGTTTGGATTCAGAACACTTGCAATCTTTTCACTTAAGAGGCTTGCAGGCGAAGCAAGAAAGCATTAGTGTCCTAGCATTTGTGTATAGGTCAATCACTGTAGAAATGCCTATTCACAATCACAGTCGAATGGTCCTGGCGATGGGCGCGGAGTGGGTGGAGAGGGTGGGAACGTGGCTGAGTGAGATAGAAACAAATTGGCGGGCCGAAGCTGTGCCACGTGGCTTTTCCCCACAGTGGGTCGGGTTTAGATGCCACTCTCTCACCCTCAAACACACCCTTTGCCAGTTGCAGAGCGCCGCGCGGCCGGGGGCAGTTTTTTCCTTCCTAATTACCCGCCGGATTATGCATATCGCGATGAAACTCTCGAGCGCGCCTTCCTTCGATTGCGTGCCATCTTATTGGGAGAAAAAGGGGTGGATCGCGCCTCGTCATTGAGATTCCGAGGCAAAGAGGGAGTGAGTGAGAGAGAAAGAGAGGATTTTCTTTTTAATCAATGCATATAAAGGGTGAATTCGAAGGGCACATCCTACTTTTCCTGGGGGATGGAAAAACGCCCTGATGCTCACAATGTCTCTTCGGCTTTTGGTATTTATCGTTGAAGTCTTTTTAATTCCAGTGGTACCAAATAGATGAGAAACCTAAAATTGATAAAGTTGAGACTGTTGAGGCTCAATTGCCAACTGGACAAGAGGTGAGAGTCGTCAGTGCTTCAGTTGTGGCGCAACTTCAGGCGCAAGGACTACAGGTCCGTGGCCGAACTCAATGTTCTCTTTCCCGACAAAATCCACACCTTTTGTATTATATATATTCTTTTTGCGATTCTTATACCGAACACACAAATTCCTCATTTATTTCTCTTTCACACAAACTTTTTTAATGTATATGTTGGTGGAATTTTCTAGAAAATATGGTTTAGTTTCTCGTTGAATGTATTTTTACTTGTCTATAAATTTTTTTTGTCCCAATCCTGATGTCATCTAACAATGCCCCAATTTTTCTGCAGGGGAATGACTTGAATGCGGCTATAATGGCGGCGTCACAGCCACAATCCTCAGTTCAGTCGCAAGCGCAGCAGGCGCAGGCCGCACAAGTGGCCCAGGTGCAGCAGCATGCGCAGAATCAGCCGCACGTGCAGGTACAGAGTCAGTCTGGACAGCAGCAGCCACAGGTGATAACGCTGCAGCAACTGCAGAACTACCTTCCGCAGCAAGTGCAGGCGATGTCTTCGGCTGACGGCAGCGCGGCAACGACAACGTCTGGAACGCCTATCAAGACCTTCGTGACATCGCCGCAGGTTCAGCCGCAAGTGATAAATCTACAAGGATTGCCACAGCAGTTTATCCAAGTAAGTCAAATTACCCTACATGGACTGTGAAGAGGTTTCGAATCCCGCGTTCGTTCCTTGCTTTCTAGAATCTTTTCATTTCGAGTTTTGGTGTTTTAAAGTTAAGTCAGATGAAAGAATGTTTGAAACCAGTCTGAAACAAATTTCTATTCTCTGGTTCTTGAATTCATACTTTTTAAGTTAGATTTTTCCTGGATTTTTTTTTTCAGTAATTCAATATACACTGTGACAATCTCTCTTTATGTTAACATTTCTACGCGTTGCTGGACAAATGCGCAAGCCTTCCAGTCTTCCGATCTGATCACTTAATTGAATTTCCAAAAACAGGGTGGTCAACTGGTGCAGAATCCCTCGAATGGAATGTTCCAAGTGGTGCAGCCAATGCAGACTCTTACTGTTGACGGTCAGGAGGCTCTGTTTATACCCAATATGGCAAATTCGCAATTTGGCGGTGCTCAAGCAGTCCAGATAAATGGTCAACAGGCTCTTCTCACGCCTTCAGGTCAAATTATTCGGGCACCAACAACCAATGTTCTGCCCACAAATATACTGCAGAACATGTCTCAACCGATGCAACTTCCTTCCGGTAAGAATCCTGAAAAAAAAAGACTTAAACCTGGGTGACAATATGTTTTTACCTTAATATCCTGTACATAAGGGGGCGTTCCATTATCACGTGTACATAACTCACTTTGTTCAAGCTTTACTGATTTAATCTGTGACATTACCAATCATGGAAGAAAAATTGCGCAATATTTGTTGCTAATGTTTGTCTTTTGTGCTTGATCACATTTGATGTGTGATTGGTATGACTGTGAGATGTGCTACACTCTTTTTCGCTCACTCTGGGATTTATTTTCATGCAGCTGGTGGACAAGCTACACTAACAATTCCGGGAACAAATATAACAATACCATTAGGGAATCACACAGCGGCAAATAGTGCCGGCGCCACGAGTCAGCAGCAACAGCAGCAATTGGGTGGTCAACAGCCACAGCAGCAGCAACAGCAGCAGTCTGCCCAGCAGCAGAGTCAGCAGAGCCAGCAAGCTCAGGCGCAGCAGCAGAACAGTGCGAGGCAGCAGGCTCAGGGCCAGACGCAACAGTCAGCGACAACGTCCCAGGCGCAGCAGCAACAGCAGCAGCAGCAAACAATAATTACCATACCAGGCACTAACATTCAAATCCCCACGTCTGCTGCTACGGCTGGCGGGCTGATGCAAGGTACGGCGGCAGAGTGGTTGATGATTGCGAGGCCATTTTTCATGCATCGTGTTGATATTCACTAATGCATTGTGGGATCTGGGCTTTCGGGGATCATTGCATGTGTCACACTCTGTGCAAAGAAAATTGTATTTAATGCATATATAGAAATGGGACCAAAGGGGAGATATTGTTGGAAAATGCATTTTTGATGCGCTTTTCAGATTTTTAACCACTTTATCTCCCCCTTGAACGGATCATATACACATCTAAGAGTGACTGCATAACGAATTCTCGCATCTCGCCTTGCTTGCAGGTCAAAATGTTCAGGTTCGACCGGCCGGAGGACTTCCGCAGGTCGTACAATTTCCCACCATGACGCAAACCATCCCGGTTCAGGTGCCAATATCCACGGCAAATGGACAGACGGTTTATCAGACAGTGCATGTGCCCGTTCAGTCGTTCGTCACGTCGATGCCTGGACTCGTGCAGCCGCAAATGCAGATCATTCCGCAGTTGACGCAAGTGGCGAATATCATCACGCCAAATGGGCAGATTCAGCAGATTCACTTGGCAGCGCCCATGAATCCGCTGTCAGGGCTGCAGACCAGTCAGGCCGGCGCCCCGCCGCAGAATGTGATCGTGCAACAAGCTACGCCCAACATCGCCGCCGTGTCCAATTCTCAGGTGCCATCTGTGCCAACTTCGGGCGTTCAGGTGAGCGATAGTGGGGTAAAATTGACAAATTCTCTTAATTTTAGTAGAAAAAGCCTCAGAAATTCTTTTCATCTATGTAAATTGAGGGTGTTTTACACTATATTCTCATACTTTTCAATCACTTCAATTCAATCACATTCGCTATCAAGGCGATCAAGGCATTTTTATTTAACTTTAATTGATGCAATCTCTCAGATCTGCTCTTGATCAAGGCGATCAAACTTCTTGTCTTCCAAAGAGATGTAATTGATAAAATACTTCGTATTTTCAGAGCGTGAGTGGTCACGATGCGTCGTTGGGACAGCAGCAGATCACCATAACGAATCCGCAGGGACAGCAGCAGCAGATCACGGTAATACCCACTCAGCCTATGCAGCAGGTGCGTCAGAATGGTGGAATTATCCAGCTGCCCAATTATCCTGTGCAGCATATCCCTGGCATTGGAAATGTGCAGGTACACACTGACAACTCGTGCCGTGGGCTAGGCTAAGTTCCCCAACCTATTCCCCGTTCGCATCGTCTAATGCGCACTTTCTGGCGTCTTTGCAGGTGATTCCGGCGAGTGCTCTCAACAATGGCAATGCCAATGTGTTGACACCAATGCAGGCTACGCCGACTTCTCATCCGCAAACCTTCGCCTTGGCACCGCAGCTGAAGCTGGAGCAGCAGCTGAAGCTCGAGCAGCCGCAGATCAAGCTGGATGCGCAGCAGAGCGCGGCCGGCGGCGGCGGTGGGGGCGACGTGAAGTGGCTGATCTCCAATGCGCCGGTAACGACGCACGCGGGTATTGCGCCGGTGGCGCAGCAGTTGACGGAGATTCAGCAGAGTCCGGGAAACGTGGGCACGCTGGTATCGGCGACGGCGGGCGCGGCGAGTACCACGAGCATCAACAGCGCCCCCGTAAGCGTCAACATCAAGGTGATGGAGGGCACGGAGGTGCCCAAGCCGCGCGTGCGCCGCGTGGCGTGCACGTGCCCCAACTGCACCGAAGGTGAACGTCATGCGGACAGGAAGAAGCAGCACATCTGCCACATTCCCGGCTGCAACAAGGTGTACGGCAAGACGTCACATCTGCGAGCGCATCTCCGATGGCACACTGGCGAGCGCCCCTTCGTGTGCTCTTGGCTCCACTGCAGCAAGCGCTTCACGCGTTCCGATGAGCTGCAACGCCACAGACGAACGCACACGGGTGAGAAACGCTTCGAGTGCACAGAATGCAACAAGAAGTTTATGCGCAGTGATCACCTGTCCAAGCACATCAGGACGCACATCAAGGCGCGGCACAGCGTGAGTATTAGCCAGAGTCTTTACGCACTTTTACAGGGTATTAGATGGATAAATTTTTAAGTATTTTTAGTATTAAGTTGTGAAATTGATACACTGACAGAGAGAAAAAACGACTCGAAAATCTGAAGTTAATTGAATATTTTTCGTATTAATTTTCACTTATTTAATTCTAAATGCATATTATTTGCGCCTCTTTTTAAGTTTTCTTTCATTATGGTTTATTTTATGTTTTCTGTCTTTTTAATTTTCGTTTTATTTCCTCTTATTTTGTGGAACATATCATTTGAAGATGGGTCTGTTTGACGAAAACGACGAACTGAAGCCCTTCAATGGAATGAAGGACGTGTCCGCGATGCCGCAGGAGATTTACCTGAAGGAGCATCAGGAGGAGTTCGACGAGTCCAAGGCGGACGGCGACGAGCCGGAGAAGAGTGAGGTGATTATGACATTGATGATTCCGCGATCAGACGAGGAGAATGCCGCAGAGGAGGACGGAGGAAACATGTGGACGACTTCTGGCCACTCATCCTCACCCTTGCCGCCGACTGCGACCAAAGTCTTTGACGTAAAGAAGAGATTTACTATGTTTTGCTTTCTTGTGTGTTTTTTCGTTATTCTTGCGCGACTTACTGTTTGATTGTAGTTCCTTAGATCTCTTTTTCACCTACATGCATGTGAATGGATGGAGAAAATGACTTATTTTGGGTGCTTTTGTGTCTGTTATTGCAGGAAGCTGTGGCGTCCACACAATCAGCCTCTTCGGACAGCAACGACAGTTCAGACGAGAAGATGATGATCTTGGGCGATGATGGACTCGATGTGTGTGAGAACAGTAACTAGCATTCGGACAGCCTGCACCAAATGCAATTCACGTCTTTTGCGGGGCGATTTTCATTTGGGCAGCTCTAAAATATTGTACAAAAAAAAAAACACAAACCATCATTCAAACGGCGAAAGTGTACAATATATTCCTAAGCCACTAGAAAGTGTAAGTGAAGAGAGAATGATAGTTAGAAATAGCGCGTCATATGTGAGAAGAATCGCATGATTGAATAGACAAAATGTTACAAAAGAGAGAAGTATTTATGTTTGTAAAATAAAAACACAGAAACATTAGGAACAGAGGATCAAAAAAGAGCTAGAACAATTTGATAACAAAAAAACTAGCAGTTGAAAGACTTAGGATAAAACGATTAGTTGTACTTTAATTATTTTTAAGTAGTAGAGAATCTCATAATTAAGATAAATTTATAGTTTCTCATCATTGACTATTATACTTTATAAAATATAAGTGGTAATTATATCATTATTGTAAAAAAAAAACAATTGTTTTTATCTTTGGATTTTGTGAAGAAGAATTTCTTCAGATTTCCGCAGGACTGTCGTCAATGATTCTTAAGTCAGCGCAGCATTTTGACATGAGGGGAATTGGAAAAGATTATTGAAAAAATTTTTCATGTCCAAATTGACGTGTTTTGAACGGATTTTAAAGTTGAAATTGATCAAATGCAGAGCGTAACAGCGGAATTTATTGCGTGTTATAAGAGGCACGAGTGTCTGTGGAATCCTAGAAATCCGTGCTACAATGATAAAATGACTAAAATACAGGCTTTGCAGAAGTTGAAACTGATTCTACAGAAAACACATCCGGATGCCAATAAGGACACCGTTTCGAAGAAGATCAACTCACTGAGAACGAATTTCAAGGCGGAGTACAAGAAGATGCGAATGCTTCTGGCCTCGGATGACGAGACAACTCATTACGCTCCCAGAAGTCCGCACTTTCACAGTCTCATGTTTCTGGCCAATGCCGACAGGAAGATTTCTCCAAAAGGCGGGAGAATCTCATTCGTCACGATGAGTCCGGTGAATTATTCTGGCATTCTGAATCTCATTTGAAATTCGTATGAAAACATAAGTATTAATTGCAGATTCGAGATGCAGAAGATGCAACTTCAAAGATTGACGATTCGCTTGAAAACGCAGAAGGAGATACAGAAGACTTTCCAGAGAATTGCAACAGTGAGGTAGTGAAGAAGGAGCAAGCGAGGAAGAGGAAGTTATCTGACGACATCAGTTCTGATGTCTTTGATGACACCGCGAAGACAATGGACGAGTGTGAAGCATTTGGACGATATGTTGGAATGCAAATGCGAGTTCTGGACTTCGAACAAAGAATCTTCCTTAAGAGATTAATCAGTGAAGGAATTTTCCGAGGAGAAATGCGACTCTTGAGTGCCAATACTAAATTGAGCGAATAAGCAGTGTTCATTTTCATTCATACTTGCACTGTTTGAAGACATAAGACTTACTTCAATACTTGCTTCAATGCTCTCAATATCGTTTCAATATAATAAAGTCTACTAAAAACATACAAATATTGAGTCACGGACTGTCGAGGGATTTTCTGACGAAAGGAATTCAACTGATGAGATTCTAATCTTAATTTTTCGCCCTTTTCATGAAGAAATATAATCTACAACTTCCGCTAATTTATGTTCTTCCAGATCTATATTTATTGCCGTTTTGACGGTATTTCCCATGTGAAACCGCGAGCAGTTCCTCGAATGCGATCCATAGCGGACAAAATCGTTATGGGGCGAAAAAGAGGGGAAATCGTCGGCTGTGGTGCGAAGATTGCTGCAGACGCTGACAATGGCGGCGCTGTTTGACAGTCCAGAATACGAAATGTCAGTGGCGAGTGGTGTGTAGAGGCGAATTTACCCTGAAAAGGACGTTTTTAGTTATAATGGCGGATGAATTGCGTATGAATTTGGCAGCTGTGAAAAGGGCTGATCCGTACGCGAAGAACATTATTGAGACATCGGCTCACGTAGCATTTTACACGTTCAATTACGAGGAAAACGAGTGGGAAAAGACAGACGTGGAAGGTGCTTTCTTCGTGTATAGACGGAATGCGGAACCATTTCACAGTATTTTTATCAACAATAGATTGAACACCAATTCCCTTGTGGAGCCGATCACTGCTGACTTGGAAATCCAAACACAGCCCCCATTTCTCCTATATCGCAACGAACGGTCGCGCATTCGGGGCTTTTGGTTCTACAACAAGGACGAGTTGAAGCGCGTGGCGGATCTAATAAGTGGATACGTGAAGGAGTGCCAGAAGAAGCAGAAAGCCATGGAGGCGTCTGCCGGTGACAAATCCAAGCCGGTTAACATCTTTTCTATGTTGAGCAAGGCGCAGGACGATTTCAACAAGGTAAACCAACACAAGGGCGCCGGCGGCCAAGAGGCCACGCCACAGAGTGTGATGAACTTCTTCGCGGCCGCCGCGAAGCCTACCGCCGCCAAGGAGCCGCCGCTCCTGCAGCGCCTTATGTCCAATCCCGCGCACTCAGTGGAGCACATTGAGAAGCAGCAGCGCGCTGTAACGCCCCATGAGGCGAATGCGCGGCCAGCATCGCCTCAGCGCTCAGAGAACGGCCTTACGAGCGCCCTACGCCAGAGCGGCTCCCCGCCGCCACCCACAGAAGGCGAGACGGAGTTGTATCAGTTGCTGAAGCGCGTGGACATCGGCAAACCTGCCCTCATGCCGCCTACAATGTTCCGGAAGGCCGGCGCGGCGTCACCGCCCGGCGAGGCGCCACAGGACGTGAAGCCGGAGCCGCTGACGCAAAACCAACTGTCGCAGGCGATGATGTATCTGCTGAAGAACGACCCGGAGTTTGTGAAGAAGCTCCACGAAGCGTACCTCAAGTCCTTCGCCGAGATGGTCTCGCTATAATATTCAGCCCGCAGGAGCCACAAGAGGAAGCCGCGGCGGCCACCGTGTGGCTGCGCCGAGGCCTCTAGTCGCTCCGTGCCACCCAAGGACCAATAAGGGCCCTTGGACAATTCCTCCACATCCACAGTACTGTTTGCGCCCCTCTCCCGCCGGCTGCGCCAGCTGCCGCGCTTCTAAAGCGCTCCCGTGTTCGAACAAAGGACGAAGGATTCCTGAAGCCCGCAGAGACTTCAATTGGTGAGGAAAAGGTGGCAAATGATACTTAATTCTAGTTTCTATGAATACTTATATTTGTAAGGACAGGTTAAGCAGAGAGAGAATTTAAATGGAATTAACATGTGTTGCACGCTTGTAACTGTTAGAGAAGGAAAAGAGAGAGAGATTAAGGAATTTCCGATTACAATTTAAATGGAGAATTATTGCAAGTAAATAATAGAGATTTTAGTGTAATTTTCTTGACACTGCATTGATTTTAGTAGTGAATATTGCAAGAAAAACAACTTTTGAAACATAATGTAAATCATGAGTAAATAAATTATAAGTCATTGAATTCTGCGCACAAAATTGTTTTAATTCAAGCCTCTTGTTTACTTTATCTGGATTCAGTGAAAAATTGTACAGTGGAAGGCATGAAAATAGGTGTACAAAGAAGACAAAAATAGTCACAACTATTTAACTTACATTCTGCCAGTCTTTCTCCTCTTTCACATTCGTATGGTTCGTTAGACAAATGTGAAAACCTTCCAACCTCACTAATTTCTTCTTCTGCCCTTTTATGATAAAGCTGATCAAGTGAAAAGAAGAGAAAACTACGCTCAGATTTTGCGAATCATTCTTCTTCTTTAATCTTTATCTTCACCTTCGTCTCAATTTCCGTCTCAATCTCTGTTTCTATCTTGGTTTTCACCTTCCTTTTCGTCTTTGAGGCCCTTGTTTTCGCTCTCGTCATCCGCTTGTCCTTCGCTTTGGCGCCTCCTTTCGTGTGCACAACCATGTGAAACATCATTCCGCGGCGCGTCTTGCTGGTCTTGTCGCACAAGGCGCACTGCAGCGGTCTCTGGCGCCTGTGATTCGGATCGTGCGTCTTCATGTGGACATCGCGATTCATCTTGCTGGAGAACAAGTGCAGACACTTGCCGCACTCGAATCTCTTACCGGCGTGAAACTGCAAATGCGTGTTAAGATTCTCCTTGCGCGTGAAGCCTTTGCTGCAAATCACACACCGAAACGGTTTCACTCCTCCGTTCCTGTGCATCCGCAAGTGTGTCACGAGATCGTCACTCCTGGCGTAGGTTTTCTTGCACATTTTACACCTGAACTTCTTCCATCCGTCTTCATGTGACTTCATGTGGCGTCTCAAGTGGCAACTTTGCACGTAGCTTCGACTGCATTGCGTACACTTGTAAGTGCGTTGCTTCTTCTCGATTGGGATCTTTGCTCTGGAAGGGTGGAAAATTCAGGTTGAAGGTGGAGAAAATAGCATATTGAAAGGCGGAGAAATTACTTTATGGGTGATTCTTTAATGCTTTGAAGCCAATGTCGTCTGTTGATTTTCTCGTCTTCGCCACAATCTGGCAAAATGAATTCCTCTTCCTTCACGCTTTCCAGTTTTTCGCCTTCCAAAACACTGTGAAATCAATGAAGAAGAAATTTATGATCTCATTACGCAAAATGTTAAAGAATTCATCTTTCTTTGTTTTTATTCATATTATTTTCCTACACTCACTTATTCTTTCGCTTCTGTTTTAACTGCCTTTGTCTCCTTTGTGGTTTTGGCACAGCATGATCACCGTATTTATTGATATCAACAAGAAGAACACGCAATTCACGTTCGCCTTCCATTGCGAGACGGAAAAAGACCCGGAAAAAATTGTTGCGCTTTGTCACTTTTGACAGCACTTTGTTTTTGTTTACAATTTTTTCTCAGGTGAAAAAGGAGAAGAAAATTGCCTTCGATGGCTACAAATACCGTAAAATGCCACGTGAGAGGCTGCAAATCAGAATTAGGAGGAAGTGCGGATGTTTATTTCCACAAGTTGAGGAAAACCGAACCCGAGCATGTCAAGGAAAAGTGGCGAAAGTTCTGCAATTCAGCATCGTGCAAAGTTTTGCCTTCCGTTTGTTCGAAGCACTTCCGCGAAAAGGATTATCTGACCAGCGAAGCCTACAGGAAGTACTATCCAAATGCCAGAGCTAAGCTGAAGTCGGGCGGTGAGTTGTGGAGCATGACTTGAAGCTGACAGGATACTGAGGAAGTCTTTTTCTATCTTCCCGCAGTCGTACCGAGTATTTTGGAAAATGTGCCGGCGAAGCGAAGCATCTTGAGGCGGCGCTTTGAGATGAAGAAGATCGTCGAGGATTTGCTTAATGATTCCGAAGATGACGATGGGATGTGTGAAATGCAAGCGAGTGTCAATGAAATGGAGCAAATCCTGATTGCTCACGACATGAAGCCTGAAGTTGGCGATGAAAGTGATTCAGAAAGTTCTGATGAGCAGAACATGCCAGAAAATGTACACCTGGAAGTGGAGATGGCACAGGAAACTGCCCGCAATCCGCTGGAGAGTGACAAATCACAGTTAATCGAGGAGATTGCCGAGCTGAGAGCGGAAATGCAGCGATTGAACAAAGACAGACTGAGTCTCCGGAAGCAAATATCCATCTTGAGCGCCTCGAATGAGCAGCTGAGAAAGATCAGGGCTGAGAAGGAGAGCATGGACGAAGCGCTGCGAGAGACGTTCAGCAAGAATGAGCTGGATTTGCTCCTGCGGCGCAAATCGCACGTTGTGTGGCGGCGACAGGAGGTACAGGAAGCCTTCGTGATGAGATTCCTGAGCAAGAGTTGCTACAAGTATCTCAGGACGAAGAAGCGCTATCCTCTGCCCTCCGTTGCCGTCATTCGCAAATGCGTCAATCGCTATGGCGTGAAAGTCGAGGCACTGAATGACATCGAACTAGAATCTGACTGATAAAAATTCATTCCTTCTTTCTCACAAATGGCACTTTCACATTGTGGCGCGCCTTCATGTGCTGCCGATGCACTCGCAGCGTCCATGAATCCTTATCGCAGTGCTGACACTTGAAGGGTGCCTCCTCCTTCAGGTGCACCCTCTTCACGTGGATCTTCAGCTGCTGGTTATCTTTGTAGTCCACATCGCAGAACTCGCACTTGTGCCGCTTCGACGCGTGTCTGTCCACATGTCGCTTCAGAAATCTCTCGCTGGCATAGGACTTCTCGCAGCCCGTCACCGGACACTTGAACGGCATTTCCGGCCTCTCGTGGATCCTCATGTGCTTCTGCAGTGACTGGTATTTGGACATCTTCTTGCCACAAATCTCGCATACCGGCAAATTCGCCTTCGGCTCGAGTCCCTTGTGCGCCAACAAGTGCCTCCGCAGGCCGCACTTCCAGATAAATCCCTTGCCACAGATTTCACACTTTAGCGGTCGTTCACCACGGTGAGACATCATGTGCTGTGTGGTGTCAAGCGAAAGACAGGTGAGAAAGAGCAACAGTACACAAGAAAGCTAGTTTTTTTTTTACCTTCTCAAAGTGGATCAACAAACACGCCTTTGCGCATATTTCACAGGTTTTCAGTCCCTTCGTGTTCTTCTCAGCCTCCGTAAGATTTGCTCCACTTTCGTGAGTCTTCATGTGATTCGTGAAGGTTTCTTTGCGCGTAAAAGTCCTGTCACAACATTTGCACTTGAACGCCTGCGGCGATTCATGAACGTCGATTATGTGTTTCTGAAGAGAATTCAAAGAGAAAAATCGGATTTTCACAAAATACATTCTTTAACTTAATTAAAGGGGCTCTGCCTTTGGGAAACGTCGTGGTTCCTCAAACTCACCCTGAGAATGTAACTGTATGTGAAGGCCTTTTCGCAAAGGTCGCACTTGAAATCCTTCACGACTTCTTCTTTGTGGCGCATTTTGTGCTTCTCGAAGGAATTGCGCCACTTGAACGCCTTGTTGCAGCCCTCGACTTCACACCGGAAGCACCGCTCGCTGCTGTGAATGACCTGATGCTGCTCCATTCGCGAGTGGTTGGCGAAGAACTTGCCGCAGAACTCGCAGATGAGCTTCCGTTCTCTGTGCCTCTTCTTCCGGCCGTGCGTCGCCACGTGCCGTTCGAGCTCCGATTTCAAATATTTCTGGCCACAGAAGGTGCACGTGCCCAGAATGTTGGTCACGCCGAAGTTCTCATTGAAGATCCTCATGGGCTGATCTTTCAAGTTGTCCCTGTCTTCACATTGCTTTGCATCTTTGCAGCTTCCTGAGTCGCTCCCTTCCGGATCTTCATGTGTTCTTTTCCTCTTGCGGTCAGATCTGGATTGCTCCTTGTCTGCGATCTCTTCTAGGATTTTTTCCGGTGTCGCTTCTTCCGCCTTGACGCACACAATCTCAATCTGAACAGGCAGAAATCTGTGGTTATTCCTCTGGTCTTTGGCATAAATTTGGAATTAGAAAATTCTTCATCTCACCTCCTGATTGCAGCCGCTGCTCGAGTCAGTCCCGGACACTTTCAGAACACTTCCAGTCTCTTCGAACAACTGAATCACTTCTATTAAAATATCAGTCGACAGGCTAGGAATGCCTTTGCGGTTGCCATAAAAGTCCTCATAGTTGCTCTTCACCTGAGCATAACTGCCGAGCTCTTGATAAAAGTGCTTTACGAGGAAAATCCTCTGCTTGAGACTGAACAAATCAAATTGGTTGCCCATCGCGCGGCTGTCCAAATCCTCTTGTTTTCGTTTTCTTCACTTGTGAGGTTAAATCAGCCAAACATACAGTGTACTAAAATTTGACAGCGCGACGTGCGTTTATTGTTTTCGGGAAAACTACGCGATTTCCAGCAATTTCCCTCATTTTTCCACTATTATCGCGTGCTTTTCGCATAAAAGAGAATAAGAAGTATCTGATTGGAGGTTGTCAACATAAAAAATTGAGTTTAAGCTCTCAGAAATCGTGTAGAAATTCTTGGTGTTGAAAAGGTAAACAATCTATGATTTTCAAGATATTCTGGGACTACATAAGCAAATTCTTAAAAAATTTATTTCTTGAGTTAATCTAGTGATAGTAGTGAATTAGAAAATCCAGTAAATTTCTGTTCTTTGTGTTAGAATCATGCATAAATCTGAACAAACCAAAAGTGAGAGCTGCCCAGCTGACGATAAATTTGTTTTAGTATGCAATCCATCACGCGTATGTCATTAAGTAATCTCTTTCTCCCGCCCAAAGAATCAACCATGTTCGCGGATGAGGAGTATTCAGAGGAATCTGACACCAATGCGCTTTTAATGGGCGTTCTGCGAGAGCTGAAGGACATCAAAGAGACGCTGGCGAACCACACAAAGCAATTGCAGGATCTCCAAGATGCGATGGATTTGATGGCCAATAATTTCCAGTGCGAAGAAATGAATTTTCCTATCACCACTTTTGAGGATTTGGAGGCTGTTGAGGATATGATGAAGAATACCGCCAATCGACAGTATGTGACAATGCAGATGAGAACTCTACTGAATGCTGGCGACGATAAGTGGCTGTCGAAGCTGATGAACGATGACTTGTTGGAGGAGTTCAGCACGGATGGACTCTATGGGAAGAGGAATCTCTTGGAACTGGAGATTATCAAGTTTGCGACCAAATTAATGGGATTGGAAAGCAGAATCGTGGCATATCACTTAAGGAAGATGAAGGACAAGCTGCAGAAGAGTAAGCGATATGGTGAACGAAGGAAGTTAGGCAATGCTGATGAAGATGATAGTTTGTAGGTTCACACATTTATCTGTTCTGGTATAAAAGATAATATAAAAGTATGTAAAGGCACAGAATTTTGAATTCCGCGCGCACGACTCAACTGAAGTTGTCTCAGTTTGGACGCCATTGTAGAAAAAAAAAAGTTGTCTGTTTTCATCGCCCACTTTGCAGTGCTTTTCCATCAGAAATAATGAATCTACTGCCGAAGTCTCACAAGGAATTTGGTGAGAAAGAGTACTGGAATCGATTCTTCAAGCAGCGCGGAAAGAGCAACTTCGAATGGTGAGGATCTTTGACTGGGAATCCATTTCTAACCTCAAATCTCACGTGTCTGCGTCTTTGGCCCAATTTTACAGGTACGGAGAGTACCTGGAGCTGGCTGAGCTGCTGCACAAGTATGTGAAGCCCGCGGATGAGGTTCTGGTCGTGGGATGTGGTAATTCTTCACTGAGTGCCAACTTGTTCGATGTCGGCATACGGAAGATGAGCAGCATTGATATTTCGCCGGTGGTGATCAAGCAGATGAAGCAAATGCACGCTGGACAGCGTCCGGAATTGGAATTTCTCCAAATGGATGCAACTAGCATGAGTTTCGAGGATGGGAAGTTCTCGGTGGTGCTGGATAAGGGCACTCTCGATGCCCTCATGACGGACGACAGCGAAGAGACGATGGAAATCGTCCGGAAGTACTGGTCAGAGGTGATTAGGACGCTGAGGCTGGGCGGTAGGTTCATCTGCATCTCTTTGCTGCAGCAGCACATCCTCGAGGCTGTGGTGAGACACTTTTCCGACCAGAACTTCATGCTGAGAGTCAACAGATGCCACGAAGCTGAGCAGAAGAGCGCTGAGAACAGCAAGGACGGCACGGCAATGCCCGTCTTCATGATCATCGCCACGAAATTCAAGCCGATGCCCAAGAAGCTGCTCGAGGTGTGTCTCTCTATGGACGTGGCGATGATCCAGCGAGTGGAGACGGAAGAGGAGTTCATCGAAGCCATCCGGAGTGCCCAGAAAGCCGCCATGGTTGTGGCTGGACTTCATCGGATGAGCATAGCGGATGAGAAAGAGGTGTCGCTGGATCTCTATCGGCCTGGTGAGGATAGTGCGCGCTTCACAATTTACGTGCTGGATCAGAAAGGGCATTTTGGCGCTGGAAAATACGCCTCTTTCATCGTACCGCAAGGCAGGGAGAGCGAATGGCTGTTCTTTACGCCGGAAGGACGTCGCCGACTGCTAAAGACTGTCCGGTACAATCGTCTCTCCATCGTCACGATGCATCGTGGCCAGCAGTACAGTTCTTGGGACGCCGTGAAGGACGAATTGTCGTCGAGTGTGCAAAATCTGGCGCCGGCGGATCTCAAGCCGGACGAGATTATTCCTTATTTGTCTCTGGGATGTGATCTCGGCGCTCGGGAGATCATCCACGAGGGCAAGAGTGAAAGTTCTGGGAGCTTCATTGTCGAAGATGTGGCCGGAGAGGGTGAAAATTTATTCAGGAAACTCATCTTCCTTTCCAATCAGTTCGTCGTGCAATCGGAGGCTCAAGTGAAATTTGGTGAGAGAAGTTTTTCCTTCTATCAATCTTACTCATGCTTGATTAATGTTCTCTTGTGCTTTTCAACAGTGAAAAAGGGCAAGAAGAGAGTGAAGGTGATTGACAAGAGCTATCTCGGGTGTCAGCATCACCTATTCATGACGCTGGGCGTTCAGATGAGCGCCAGATTGGGCGCGAAGACGGCGAAGGTGTCTCCGCATGTGTTGCTGATCGGCCTGGGCGGTGGCGGACTGTGTCTGTTCATGCAGCAGTGCCTCAAGAGTCGCATCACCGCCGTGGAAATTGACGCGGAGATGCTTCAAGTGGCCACGAAGTTCTTCGGCCTGGAGCAGAGCGACAGCCTGAGAGTTGTCATTGACGACGGACTGAACTTCCTGCGGGACATCGAGGCCAGACAGGAGATGTACGATGCCATCCTCTTCGATGTGGACGGCAAGGATCCGACAGTGGGCATGAGTTGTCCGCCTGTGGACTTTGTCAGCGACGCCACGCTGCAATTGGTGCGGAAGAGCCTGACGCCGGATGGGATGTTCGTGCTGAATCTCGTGTGTCGCGATGAGAGTGTGCGCGAGGCAGTTGTGAAGCGACTGAAGAGTGTCTTCAGGTCGGTTTGCAGATACAAACTCGAGACGGATCTCAATGAGATTCTGTACTGCTGGAATGCGGAGATTTCGCAGGGAAGATTTGCGATTGTAGTCAAAGAAGTGTCCAAGGAGATGCAGAGGATTGCGGCCGAGCAGAAGCTTCAGTTTGATCATGAATTTCTGCAAGAGGACGCCTTTCCCAGCGACATTTCCATGCTTTAACTTTATGTTAAATTAGGTGATTTTCTGCCGTTTTTGAACAGATTTTTCACACGCTAAAACAATTTGTGATACTTCTCTTTATTCAATAATAATAACAATAAACTAAACTTTATTCTTGTTTTCTTCTCTCAATTAATATATAATATATATATTTTATTAATATTAATTCTCCCCAGAGTTCAGAGTGTTTTTCTTGTCAAATGTTTTTTTTTTTCTTCTTTTTTTTTTGATATTGAATTTCTGAAGGTTTTGACTGAAAATGAGCGGAAAAACTGAATCCAAATATTATGGGAATATATAATTTTGACCATCGTTTTTTGTTTTCTTCACTAAAAATCTCTCGACTAGATTTACAGTTAATATTAAATTTTAAAACTCTCATTTTGTCGTATTTTTCTGCTCCCAAAAATTTCCATGCAAAACATCAAATTTCACGTCTATTTTTTGTGTTTTCTTTTTCTCTCTATATTTCTTCACATCATTTTTTTTTGTTGTTTTCTTAAATATTCATTACGATTACTTCGTCTACATTTTATCATTGTTTCTTTTTTTTTATTCTTGTATGAATTTTTGTTTTGTTGCAAATTTAATAATTAATAATATATAGGTTTTATATACGTAAAAAAAAGTGCAAATATCTAAGATTATTTCATCTTCACAATCATTTTTATTTATATTTAGACTTTATTTTACTTCAGTTACATGTATTTAATTATTATATTGTTTTTAATTATGTAAATTATAGTTTATTATAAATTCAGTTAGCAATTTTTTTCATTTTAATGCATTTTTATACTTTTTATTTCATTTTTATTGGGCTTTTTTTTCTCTTCATTACTGTCTAATTCATTACTTCTCATTAATTAAATATTTTTCTTCTTCAATGCCGAAACATCGTGAAATTGGTTTTTTTTTTTATTCTCTCCTTCTATTCAAATTCAATTTTTAACACTTGGCCTAATTTTGGTAAGTAACATTGTTGTGAATGATAAATAATTTTTATGCCAGATCTGCACACACACACATTTCACGATATTCCTTCATATCCAATTAAAAACTACACCTAAATATTCTTTTGAATTTCTTTTTGTGTTTTTCTCTCCCCCTTTTTTCAACGGTTAGACAAAATTATTTTGGTAGATTTTCTTCACATTATCCAAATACAGCAAGTTTTTTTTTTTAGTAAGTTTTTCATAGATTTTCATCCTCTTTTTCTCTCTCTCTCTCTCTTCTAAATTTCAAACTTCCAAGCTAATCTTCATCGTACTTTTCCGCCATTATTAAATAACTTTCACACGCGTGTACAAAGGGTTAAACGACAGGCTTCTTACTGAAAGTAGTTGTAGTAGCCGTTGCTGCGCTGTCCCAGCTCCCGGATGGCCGCGAAGGGGTCCTTCTCCTCCTCGTGCAGCGCCTGCTTCTGCGCCGGATGGTGCGAATTGCCCGTGCCCTGGGTTAAGACACTCGCGTACGTCGCCCCAGCGGCTGGCGGACGCTGTGCATTCGCCTCTGCCGGCTGCTGCCCGACCGCAAACATGTGCGGCTGCAGACCAGCCGCCAGTGTCTGAATAGACGGCAGGCCGGCGGCGAAGGGATCGAGATTACCCATGAAGCTCCCGTACGAGTTGAGACTGGTGCCGCTGTCGAAGAGGCTCCCATGGTGGTGGTTGTCCATCAAGTCCGGTGTCCCCGAAGTCACAGACTGGCCGGCGGACGACGCCGAGCTGCTGTAGTGCTGCTGACTCGCCTGGCGCCTATATAGCGGCACCGATTGCTGACTCATTGGCGACGGCGTGAGTTCGCCCAGCATCTCTGATCCCCGGCCCGAAGAGCTGCCCGACGACGTGAAAGGCATCCCGTGCGATGCCGCTGAAGTCGAACCGCCGCCGAACAACTCCCGCAGCATCGGCTGCGGAATGCTAGAGCCACTCATGAGACTGTCAAAGGCCAAATCCACCTGAGTGTTCAATCCGGCCAGGCTATTCATTCCCGCCTGTGGCGCAGCATCCTTCACCGGCGCCATCTTCCCCGCCGCACTAGGCGTCGGCACTTGCCTGAGGATCTCTGCGAACTTGTGCGCCACCTCCAGGCCCTGCGTCTCCACCAACTTGAAGAACCACTTCAGCTGAAACTCCTTCGGCTCCAGTGACATCTCGTAGAAACTCATGTTGGGCGGCAGCAAGTGGCCAAAGTCCGACGATTGCAGATTGTTCAGACCGCCGGCGGCGATGTGGTGACTGATCTGTGGGTGGCTCGACGGCATCAGCTGTTGCGGTGGCGGCGGAGGTTGCATTAGGCGCTCGGGGAAGTGGACATTCTGCAGGAACTGAATGTCCTTCTCGCCCGGATGACGCACATCGCCAGTCATCTGCTTGCCGCCGCCCTGATACATCGAGTGGCCAACGCCCGATGGCATTGGCGGCGGCTGTTGCTGGTGAGCCTGGTGCATGGCCATCGGTGGCGGCTAAGGAGACAAGATAAGCATATTAATCACCCAATCTCTAAAGAGACAATCACTCTTCGCTCACCTGAACATTCCGCGTGCTGAGCGACGCCATGATGTCGTTGGTCAAGTGCTCGTGGTGCTGCGGCGGCGGAGGCTGAAAGGCGGCCGGACTCATGGGCCCCGTCATTCCCCTCTGTTGCTGCTGCATCATGAACGGCGGCGGCGGCGGCTTGGCCATTTGCTGCTGCTGCTGCTGTTGCATGTAAGGCATCATGATCTGCGGATGGACGCCGCCTGGGCTTCGCAGCGATGGCGCCGGCGGATTGTGGGGTCTCTGCATGTTGATGTTCAACTGCTGCATGGCATTCTGCTTTGCTGACATCTGCCACGCTGCCGTGCCCGCCGCTGCCGGATTCACATTGGCCGGAATGCTGCCCCACAGATTCGTGGACGGCACCTGCGGCGTCTGCGGCTGCTGTGACTGCTGCGGCGGTCGCATCATGGGCGCCTGCGGCTGAGGCGTCTGCGGCGGCGGCGGCCCCGCCTGCTGCTGCTGATAGTAGTAGAAGGGGTAGGAGTTGTAGGGCGGATGCTGCTGCGGCGGCGGTGGACCCGAGGGCGGCCCTTGATTGATGTATTGCGGCGCGCCTCGCATGTGATTCATCGGCCCGTAGCCGGTCGATCCGTGGTTCATCTGATTCGCCTGCGGCTGCCCAAATTGCGGCGGTGGCTGCTGTGGCGGATGATGATGATGCAGCGGTGGATGAGCGAATCTGTGCGGCGGATGCATTCCATACTGCGACTGCGTCGCCACCACACCTGACTGATCCCTCAAGTACGCCTCAGCTTGCAGGGCGCGCGGAATGAACTCCGGCGCCAGCGGATTCAGCACGTACGTCTTCTTCAGCTCCACGCCGTCCAGCTGCGAGCGCAGCAGAGACCACGTGATTCCTGCAAGGAAGAAAGAGTTTAGTCAACTGTGATTCAAGTGCAAAGGTATAAAGCGTAAAACTACTCACCGAAGAGACTCTTATTCTGATTGCAGATATCAATGAAGCGCTCCCACACTTTGCGGCAACGTCCAATCGAACAGAGCGCCACCGGATCACCCACAACAGCCACGAGACTCTGGGCACGCGTGATGGCCGTGTTGAGGAGCTTGGAGTTGCTGAGAAAGCCATAATCCATGTCATCGGCCGACATTGAGCTCACGCCCTCGTTCGTGCACGTCCTCCGCGTGCGCACGGTGGAGAGGAAGATCGCCCTGAACTGCTTCCCCTGCACATTCAGCACTCTCTCCACTGAGATGCCACCCATGCGTCTCTTCCTCAACTCCGAGCGGATTCTGAACACCTGATCAGCATACGGTGTCATGATGCCAATGCTCTGATCGCTCATCTTGCCCCACGACGGTGGCCAGCGCTTCCTCAGCTCTGCCACGCGCTCCACCACCTCGTACACCTCGGAGTTGTTGTAGAACGCCGTGGAGTTCTTGTCCTGGACATCCTCGCCGCGTGTCGTGAAGAATGTGAGTGGATAGAATTTCTCATGGCGTGGCTGCTTTCCACTGGCAATCAACTTCTGATCGTAGAACAGCTCAGATGTGAACTTGATGATCGCCTCGTGGGCACGATAGTTCTCACACAGGAGAATCTTGCACGGAAAGTCTGCCGGATAGTGATCATAGAGACGCTCCAGTAGTGAAATATGCAGTCTTCTCTCCTTGGCGAAGTTACTGAACAATTCAGGACTCATTTGCATATGATCTCCGGCCAAAACGATGCGCGTATTCTCACTGGCCAGCGCCAATGGCATGATGGCTTCGCACTCCATAGCCTGGGCAGCTTCATCGAGTAGGATGTGTGTGAAGTAGCCCTTGGGCAGATCCAGAGACGCCAATTCCATCGAGATGCTCAGCGTCACCACCACAATGCGCGTCTTCATGATGTCCTCCACTGTTGGTCGGCGGAAACTCCTGGCATTGCCCGTGGTCTCGATCAGACAGTACTTCTGCACCACACTGTTCACCGTGGCCACCCAGCGCTTGTGATAGTACACACGCAGCGGCCTGGCCTCCTCCTCGCCCGCCTCCACCCACGGATGCAAGTAGTCCTTGATGTACAGATCAGCCGCCGAGTTGCTGTGCGTGCAGATCAACACCTTCGCCTCCGGCTGCTGCAGCAGCTGCCTGATGGCCTGTGCCAACGTGTATGTCTTTCCCGTGCCGAAGGGTCCAATCAGCAAGATCGGCGGCAGCGGAATTTCCATGGGCGTCGTGATCGCCACCACGGCCTCCTTCTGCTTCGTGTTGAGCTTCGGATCCAGCGATTCACTCCACTGCTTCTTCGGCGTCCACGGAATCGACGGCTCCAAGATGGTTTCCGGGAAGATGATCTTGAAATCGGCAATCTTGTCAATCGCCTGATGCCACTCACAGTACGTCAGGCGATTCAGCTGGAACTGCACGTCAGCTGAGAACTCAGTGTCCGCCTTCAGACCCAATTCATTCACAGTCACGGCGGAGAGCTTCAAGTAGATCACATTCTTGCCCTTGTCCTCAATCGGCGCCTCGTAGACCTGGAAAGAGAGGATGTTTACATTACTCAAAAATCTCATTTAACAATTTTCAGTTAGCAATAGTTGACGAATAGTGAAAAATTATCACTTATCACCGATCAGATTACTATTTATGTTTCCGTGTATAGTTAGATAAAACAATAAACTTTGACTCACCTTTCTCTTCTTCTCCTCCACCGTCTCGCCGGCAGCGATGGACGCCGACAAATACACCATGGTGCAGTTGTTGAGGATCAACCTGCCGGCCGACGTGTCCTCAGAGACATCCTTCCCCAGCGTCATGAGGGCAAAGAGCTCTCCGCTGTGCGAGTACTTGGCCGTGCTGGTGGCCATGCCGCTGGGCGTGAGCAGGTAGTTGGTGGTGATGGTCAGCTTGGTGGTGAGATTGTATCTGGCCACCTGTTCATACCGCGCAATCTCCTCCACATACAGCAACTCATGATTGCGATTCCTATAATTGTTCTTCGTTAGCTTCTTCTCCACAATTGTCGCCTGCGTGAGCGTGAATGTGGCCGCTCTCGGGCACGGATATCTCTCAAGCAAATCCTTCTCATACTCCGCATCCGCCGTAGTTTGTGCCGATGTCATGTGGGGCACAGGAGGCGTAGTGAAGGGCACAATGATGGAGTTATCATCATCCCAGCGCTTCGCCGATGACAGTACAATCTCCTTCTTGATCTCCGTGATCTTATCCGCATCCGCCACTGGGATGACATCCACACAGAGATGCTTCACCAGCACGGGTTCGGTGCCAAAGTCAAACACCACCGATTGCCGGAAAGTGCCATAGATTTCCGTGGTGAACACCACCTTCACGCGATGCTCAAGGACATTATTCTGCTCCGCGGCGTCCGTATACTTGGCATCCACCCACTCCTGATCGCTGGTCAGATCCGCCTCCACGATTTTGTTTCCATGTCCAACACGCGACCCTGTCGGTTCACCAAGGAACACCTGCTTCAGACTGAAGTGATTCCTGTGCGCATCCTGGAGCAGCGCCACCGCACGCAGGAGTCTCTTGGTCTTTAGCACAAACATCCAGTCACGCTTCGACACCTTGGCCGACACTGTGGTCACCAGCTCATTTGAGCACGTCTCCTCCACACCTTCCACGCGCTCCTTCATCACCTTCTCCGGACTCGGCGCCTGCAGCCACTTGTCCAGCAACTGCTCTGTGTAGCTCTTGCCGTACAACTCCTTCTCGCACGCCCGCTGCAGTCGCATCCGGCGGTACTCGAAGCGCTCCTTCCACTCATTCAACTCGTCATCCCCGTGCGCCTCCACACACTGATTCCCATAGTGACACACGCTGTTCTCCGCGAAGCTCTCACACAGCGTGTACGAATCCGCGCTGTAACCGCGCGGCGGCGGGCGACATTTCCAGTCCCGTCCTGGAAAGATGAACAGCCAGACAAGCATATTAGCACAAATATTCTCCTCTTATCGCTTCGAATGGCAAATCAAAGAAAGGGATAAATAAATTCCCAGAAGGCTAAGAAAATCATCATTCTTAAATAAACAGCATAGCAAATTGCAACTTGGTATGAATTTTCACCCCTAAATCAGTAATAAATTGTGCTTCGTGTCGAAGAATACGACTAAAATCGTTCTAAGAAGTGTAAAAACAATTAAAAACTAGTCAAAAGCTCACCTTCGTCCGACATGATCACATTTTGATGACTCTCTGTCTGGCAGTGAGCCCTCAACTCTGCACGATCGGCGAAGGATATGGCGCAATAGGAGCAGACAATCTTCTCTTCAGAGCTATTCTCCAGCTTCTCACTTTGCTCCTCTGCCGAGCAATTGGCGTCCGGCGTGGTTTTCTTGGCGCCCGAGGAGGCAGACGAAGTGGCGGAGGATAGAGATGAGGAGGAAGACGAGTTGGATGAAACGGAAATGCTGTCGCTGCTTGAGTTCTTCACCGGTGCACTGCAGATGAGCTTGCTGGCCTGCGACGCCTCCAGTTTTTCCTCCAGAGTCATGATCTCGTCCATGAGGCGCTGATTGGCGGGTGTTTTCTGGCCATTCACCAGCTGACTGGCGGAGCGATAGCGATCGAGGAGACGAACGAAATCTGGACAGACGCCAGGCGCGCTGAGCCACTCGCGGCATGCCGACTCCGCCTCATGGAAGCGCCTTGTGTGGCACAGGGCGGAGATGAGACGACGGCGCACGGACTGGTTGCCACTATCCAACTCCGTGAGCATCTTGAGGAGGCGCCGACAGTCTCCGATGACGGTGTCGTGGCGATTGAGCTCGGCACAGGCCTCAGAGCGGCCCAGCAGACACGCCACGACGCGCTCCTTGGGTGTCTTGAAGTTGTTGCTGTTGAGGATTTGGTCGTAGATCTCAATGGCCTTCGCCCACTCCCGGCGCCGTGCAAACTCATGAGCCTGGCCCTCCTTCTCCGCCATTCCAGCCACATCCAAACCCCCAGCGTCCGGAGTCTCTTGCACTTGTACACTCAATTCACTAGCACGTATTTCTCTTCCTTTTTTGTCCTGCACGCACACGTCACACACACTTGCCGATGTTCGCACTCTGGGCACTGCGTTAGCACTGTTGGGAGCGCTCACTCGGGCATCTTTGCATCCCTGAAACGAGACAGTGGCAGACAAATTAGAGGAGGTGGTGTGAAATGTCAAAATGCCCAATGAGGCACAATGGCCATTTTCACGGGAAATGCCGCTTCTCCCAGACAACTGGCACTGTCTAGCGCCGCTCCAGCACCCCAATTACCACTTACCGTGCCTGAGAGGATGGACAATTACATATTTTTAACTAAATTTGAGGGTCATTTTTGTTTCTTGGCCCAAAACACCTACAAGCAAAAAAGTGCCCCAACAAAAAGTGTGGCTGTCAGATTTCTCGATGGCGCATGTCAAATTTGAGCAAAAATTGAGCAACGGACCTCCGTGGACGTGTCGGCAGAAATTCCTACGTAATGTCATAACCTCACTTGTGCATCATAACAAATCGACCCGCTTTGGCTTTTCCTGCGTTTTCATCATCTTTTCACCACATTTTTCACTCAAAATTGTGTGAAATAATGCAGAAGATCCTCACAAGATATGGGCGATTATATTTTTGTCAAATCCCCAGAAGAAACACGAGATATTTCTGTGATATCTCCTTCAAGCACAATTTCTCCGAAGTGGAGGTCAAGAAAATTCTGAATGTTATCAATACCAGCTCTCCAGAGGATTTGTCCAAGTAAGATTATATCCGGCAATACTTATTTGTTCTAATAAATTTGCATTGTCGTCCAGATATGCAATAGCGAAGTATCGCCTACAGAGGATCATCGGCTGGAAAAGGCGGTACGGAAAGTTTTCTTCCCTGAATGAAATCCTGGAACTCGATGATTTCGGCGAGAAAATCCTACAGAGATTCTGTAGTAGCATTGTGCAAGATGCGGGCCAGACTGGAAAGATAGATGTGTCGACAGTGAAGAAGAGCTCCCAAATCCTTACGCCAAAACTTATGGAGGACAAGCGAAGCGCCATAAAGTCATGCTGTGCTGTTCAAGTGGGGATTGACAGTGTCTCGTGGTGTCGACTGGAAATACAGGATGACGAGACCCCATCCTTAGTCACGCACTGGCAATTCTTCCCGCTAAACTGTAAGAAATCCCATCTTGTTGACTTGTCTTCTATGATTGAGCACGTTAACCAGATAATCCCCGAGAGCGATGCCTTCGTGATGGAGAATCCTGTCGCCAAACAAGGCTCTCCGAATGTGAATACCACACAGATTGCTGTGAGTGTTCAGCAATCACAAGTAATTGCCATGATGACGCTGATCTTGTCCCTGAGGAAGGAAGATCATCACACTTGCGTGTTCTTCGTGAAGAACTATGTGCCGGCCAGACTGTTTGGCACTTTGGTAGGCCAGGAGCGCACCTCCAGCTTACATGTCGTCAGTGAACTCGTGTCCAGTCGCAATCAAAGCACGTCAGTACCGCCGAAGGGGAGTATCACAGCTCTTCCGGGCGTGTTAGCCAACTATGAATTAGCAGACGGCGCTGAGAAGGAGTACCTGGGCAGGTGTCTGATGCTGAGCGTTAGCTTCCTGCGCCTCTGCCTCTTAAAGTGTCCAGTCAGTATCGCGATAGCCAACAGGAGAGGAAAGTGAATAGTAACTTACGTGTATTTAAGAATCGAAATAAAACCATTTTTTACAACTACATCCTAATCTTGCAAAGTCCCAGGTGAGTTAGAAATATCTAGTGTGTCTTAAGAGTAGTTCCTTAGCCTAGGACGCTGCTGAATACTTTGGGCAGAGCGCGAGATTCGAGGGAATGTGTCTCAGAAATGCGGCAAGCAAACTTTGCCGGCGAACAGCTCGGAGATGACAGTGATCCAGACAGCCAGGACGAACATGATGTAGGAAATGCCCACCTGATGAGAATTGGGCAGTTGATAAGGCTGCCCGCCGATTTCATCCACATGGAAGCCTAGTGGGAAGATCACCGCCGCCAGACAGAAGAGCACCATCGCCGTGAAGCCCACCCAGCGTGCATACGGGATGACATTCCTGTCCCAATTACTGCTGGCCAGCAAGATGATGGTCGTGGTGATACAAATGCAGCCCACGAAGATACATATCAAGGCCAGGAGCCATTCGGGTTGCAATTCAGGCGTGAAGCAAACTTGTGGCCGATTGTATAGCGTCATGCACGTCCACATAAGTCCTAGGCGAGTCTCTCCTGGCGAGGGCAACAAGAAAGAAGATTAGGGAATGAGATGGGAAAAGTGTGGATGAGATTCTCTACTGACCTCCAACATCCGTGACAATCCAATCTGGCATTGCGAGACTCACAATTGCGAACACATTAGCCGCCATGAAGAGACTGGCACTTATAGTGGTTAATCTGTCCATTTCGATCACTTTTCCCACTTTTTCCTGGTCAGAAAGTCCTCAAAACACCTCCCAAAGGTGTTTTGAAATACGCTGAAAAAAACTCACAAATTCACCTTTGTTTTCCTTCGACTCTGACGTCAGTGGTGAATATCTACTGTCAACTTGACACCAAAACACAAACTACATATATATTATAATTACATTTTCCCACTGTCCTCGCTTTTCCAGTGGGTTTTACACCTAGTTTAGTGATAAATAAGACAGTGCAGAATCTCTGTATTGAATGGATCTTCCCGAGAATTGTAGAAAGCAGCCCGCAAAGTTGGAATCTTTGGACAATTTCATCAAGAAGCTGGCGGAAAAGCTGCCGGAAAACTCCACTAACGGGGGTTCCAAGCTAGAAATTCGCCGAACGTCAGATCTCTTTGATGCCCTGCAGCAGGCTCTGGTTACTCCGCCACAGATGGCTTGTGCTGCTCCGCGGAAACTCCTGCACTTGGAGATTGAGGGGGCGGAACAACTGCCCAAGTTCCCGGGTAGAGTGAGCAAGAAACTAAGGAAGAAGCACAAGAGCCACGTGAGATCGGTGAATCAGGAACCCAACACCTTCGTCTGCTTCGAGGCTTTTGCCAGTGCGGAATCCTCAACGACGAAGATCTTCTCCACAGGTGTGATTGAGAAGAACTGCAATCCCACTTGGCAGTCACACTTCAGTATCTTCCTGCCCGGCGATATGGACAATCTATCGCTAAGTGTGTGGAGGAAGACATCGAGTCAGACTGATGCCCAGATTGGGACAGTGACAGTGAATTTGCATAAAAACTCCACAGAACAATGGGATATTTTGGATATAGCAGGACAAAATGTGGGGAAACTCAGTGTGAAACTCTTTGCCAGCACTGAGGCAATGGATTCTGAGGATAGTCTGACTGCAGATCTCGATCCCACACTTTCCAGTCTCATCTTTCCGTCATCGGCGGACGGAGAACTGGGCAGTGTGTCTTTCAGTCGCGCCCTGAAGCGCAAGTTCACAGAATTAGAGGAGATTTCGCAAAGACTGAAGGCCAGACTGCACGACATCACTGGAGATGCCAGTGAGGATGCGGAAGATGAGTTCGAGCGTGATCTCAATACGATAGCAGACGAGGAAGAGCTTCCGGAGAGTGAAAATTACGCCTGGCTTGGACTCAGCGACGAGGAGAAGCAGAAGTTTGTGCACAAGGACGTCACTGAGCAGCTCTTCGTGGATGTTGCACCCGAAGGTCAGGACATTGCCATGATCCAGACTGCACTGGAGCAGACGGCGATCACGGAGACTGCGACAGATTGCCAAGTATACGACAAATAGGTGAAAGAATGTTTTTCATTTATAGAACAAATAAATGATGATTAATCTTCAGTATCTCGAACTGTGGCTTTGTGATAGTAGTGCGGAGCCAATTCCAGCAGCCACTCGTCCCTAATCACCGTGATCTCCTTCATGAAGAGCTTCGTGGTGAGCATCAGTTCGCAGAAGACCACCCACTTGGGCGGCTTGAGCGTGTACAGCGTGGATTGCGGATGCAAGTGAAGTTCTGTGCTGCCACGGACGCTCCTGTACTCGCCAGAGTGGTGCAGATACGCCGCATTGGGGAAGAATCCAGCCACAATGCACCGACAGAGTGTCTCCACATTGCCCTGGCACGAGATCATCGGCAGACCAATTTTGTTCCTTACGTGTGACTCTAGCTGAGAACGAATTTCGTAGGCGCGCTTTAGGTTCCGATAGATCAGGAAGTGGCGACCACAGAAGTCCTTGGTTCTACCCTCGGCCACGAAAGCCGTGAAGACATTGAGTAGCGTTATGAGATCACCTTCCGCCACTTCAAAGTCTCTCTTCGCGATGCGCGCCCTAATCTGCGCCTGGCTAGAAGCCGGCTTCGAGAATACCGATTGCACCTGAAGCATGGCGATGATGGAGAGAATCTCCTCCGTGCAGCCCATCTCACTGGCCACATACAGCATCTTCCCCATCATCGGATCGATGGGCATTTCGGCCAGGGAATAGCCCACAGGTCGCGTAAGGCTTCCACTGTCATCCAACGCCCCTAAAGCGTACAGCGTCTCCAGGGCGGCGTGAAGATTCCTGGCTGGCGGCGGTGAAGGGAAATCAAATCGCAGGACATTGTCAATCCCAAGGGCTTTCAAGTGTAGAATTGTCGAGCAGAGATTTGTCCGTCGCATCTCTGGTGGCGTATTTTCAGGCAACTCCTTGAAATCTTCCTCTCCATAGAGTCTGAACACCTTTCCACTCCTCACGCGACCCGCTCGACCGGCACGCTGCTCAGCCGCCGCCCTACTCACCGGCACCACCACCAGAGAGTCCATGCGACTCTCTGGCGTAAACCACTTGAGCTTCACGAAGCCACAATCCACCACATAAACAATGCCCGGAATCGTGATGGACGTCTCGGCGATATTCGTCGCCAGCACAATTTTCCGAACGCCTCGCGGAGGCGCAAAGAACACTTTCAGCTGGTCAGAGTTCGGCAGAGTGCCGTACATGGGTAGAATTTGCACATCCGTCATATCATCCGCCTCTTGGTGCTCCTTCAGCAGATTCACCGCGCGCAGCACCTCCTCCTGGCCCGTGAGGAAGGCCAGAATGTCTCCACGACTCTCACTCCTGTGGATCTTCAGGCAAGTGCTGACTGTGGCCTGCACGTAATCCGGACAGGGTTCTCGCAGATAGAAGATCTCAACCGGATGCAAACGTCCCTCCACACTCAAGATCACAGCGGTGTCCTTGTCACCCTTCCGATGTTTCCTGCTGAAGAAATCCCTGAACATCTCAGCATCAATTGTGGCTGAGGCGATAATCACGCGCAGATCCTCTCGTTTGCTCAGGATCTTCTTCAGCAAGCCCATTAAGCTGTCCGTGAGGGTGTTCCTCTCGTGCGCCTCGTCAATCATAATCACTGTGTACTGTGTCAAGAGAGGATCGGCCAGGAGTTCATTCAGCAGGATGCCTTCAGTCATATACTACAATTTAAGGACGACATTGGTTGAGTTTTAGCGGGAATTTTGATGCACATTTAACTCACTTTAATCCTTGTGACAGCAGAAACCTTCTCGATGAACCGCACTGACACTCCCACCGAGTCTCCGGCCAGCTCTCCACGCTCCTGCGCCACACGATCCGCCAGCGTGATGGCAGAAATCCTCCTCGGCTCCGTCACGCCGATCAAACCCTTCGCGTGCCATCCGAACTCGTACAAATACTGCAAAAAAAAAAAAACAGTGAAGGACAGCGTTAGAATATTCTCTAATTTTAATGGCCAGTTCGACATGTGTCTTATTGCAAAGAAGAAAGATACAATTGAGGTTCCTTTCATCCTTTATTTCTCCATCATTTGTCCAATTTTTCCCTCCCTTTCTCTCAATCCATATTTATTGTATAACACATAGAAATATATTCTCTTCTTCCTACACAATAATTTCTTCTTTGTTTTCATTTGTCTTTACAACAAATCGAAGAGGAAAATTGAAAGATAAAACTCGTGAAATGGCAAGAGTAACAAATAAAGTGATAATGAGAACGCAAGTTGATAAAAATATTCTTTCTTTCTCTCCCTCTTTTTCTTCCTTGTCAACAATGAGGACGGCTTTCCACATTAAAAGCATTTATATATCGTGTTTTATCTCTTCTCGCACTGCTAATCTCAGCATCTTTTATCCCTTTTATCTCCTCTCTTTATTAGTATAATATAGTTTTGTTTTCTCTTATCTTCTTCTGAAATTTCAAGAGTGTAAATATCAAGTCTGTCAGCTGCTTTACATTTTTAGTAACAAGATTAGTCTCTAGGTTTATCGTTCAGTTTAACTACCAGTTTTTTTTCACGCAAAACACTAATAAAATGTCTATCATTTTCACACTCTCATTTTGTAAAGAATTTTTTTTTGTTAGAAAAAGTTTGTCTTATGGTTAATATATTTCCCTCGCTATTTTCTTGCATTTTTCCTGGGTACTTTTTTCTGTGGTACAAGATTTACACAAAAACCTAATTCCCTTTCTGGTTTATTGAAATGTTAGAGTTTCACAAAAGAACAAAATGCCTCAGTAATTATTGCTAAATGAGGTGCTATAAACAATTTTGCCATATTACACAAATGTTACAAATCTAAATTTAGCCACATTTTGTGCTTCTTGACAATCATGATTTTCTTTGACAAATTTTCTAAACGTCTAATTTGTATTCAAAAACCACTGACAACCCTTTCTTTTGCTAAAAAGGGGAAAAGTCCACATTTTTTGTTCTTGAGATTCCAAAATTCAGTGGCTAAACTCGTGAATTCAAAAGAAACCCTAAAAAGAAAAATTAAATTCATTCTAAGCTGACTAAATTCACCGATTTGGCATTGAATTCTAATCACATTCGCGCGCCAAGCTCAATAAAATTAGATCCATGATTTAGAAAAAAAAAGCATTAAACCCATCCCACAACCCTTATCGCTTAACATTCCTTCACGTGAGAAACCAACAATCAGACAACAAAATAAGATGGAATTCCTCCCAAACTCTCTCATCTCTCTCGCTTCATCACAGAGCTGTGGTGTTGCCGGTGAGTGATTTAAAGATAAAATTCTGCACTTCCAGCACGTGCATCTCCGTGATGCAGATCACCACGAGCAGCACCACGAAGCCAGCATACTGAATCATCCGCAGGAACTCCCACAATTTGTCGCAGAAGATGCCCAACAGCAGACAGTGCAGCAGTGCATGCACATTGAACACACGCCACAGCCACGCCACGGAGAAGAACCACTGCGAGCGGAATGTCCACTCCTGATGCTGACTCTGCACCGGCGTCACGTCCGGACGCTCCAACATATCCTGATAGAGGGCAATGTAGCGATTCCACGCGGTGGATGAGAACAGAAGCTGCCCGGAGAAGCACAGAACCTTCTTCGCCACCTTCTTCGTCGTCACCTTCACTTTGTATATCACACCAGAGTCTGACGACTTGCTGTCGGCCACCGGCAGGATGGCCTGCAGTTGAGTATATCCTCTGCGCGGTGGATTGTTCTTCAGATAGACAAACACACCAATCATCAGCGCAATGCAGCCCAAGCCATCGCAAATGCCATCGATGTAATATCCTGCCGTGCCAATTTCCGACCTTTCGCCACGCACGTGCTTCTTCGCCCGCGCCACATGCCCGTCCAGGTCGTCCAGGAACGTTCTGAGCTGGAACAGCACCACCCCGAGTCGCCGATAACCCAGGCTATCGCTGGCCACGAGTCTGCCCGCCGCAATGGCCACGAACACATGGAAGAAGCTGATGGCATTCGCCGTGACGAAGGTGGATCGCGAGAAGCCCACGATATTGTCAAAGATCGTGGCCATAGGCGCAAAGATGTAGTGATTCGTGTGGTCCAGCATCAGTGCCTTCACCGTTACATGACACAGTGGATTGATGTCACACGACACCCACGTCACATCCTCATAGCTCTTCTCTGGCGGCGCCACAGAGCTGGCCGCCGCCGGAGCGCCCGTCGGCTGTTGAGACACATTGAAGTGATAACTCCTATCGATGGGATAGTGCTGAATGCGCAGATACAAATTCACATCCATCCACAGGTAGAAGATGATGAGGAGGAAGAGGAGTGTGAGAAGTATTTTGCTTACTTGCGAACTCGGACCGACCATCTTTTCTTGCCTTTCTTCTCTTTTTCTTCTTTTGTACTTTTCCCGCCGTCTTCTGCACGCGCGTGCAACACGTGAGCGCACTATTCGACCACAAGGATCTGCAAGACGAGAGAGAAGACACAAAAGTGAGCTGATCCATTCACACACTTCCCTTTCCTGCCCCATCATCAAAAGAAGCACTCATCTTCTCTCACCATAAGTACAACATAATTATATTACATTCCACTCATGCCAATTCTTCACACCACAAATCTCATTCAATTAAACTATACGACCTTCCTCACTCTTCCCTCAATTGACATTCCATTCCCAATTAGAACCAGTCACTTTGCTTAATTTTTTGCCTCTCCACTTATTTATATTACACTCCGTGTGAAATCAATTAAGCTCGATAAGTCTAATGAGAAGTTCCCCTGAATCCCACCTGAGCCAATACACCTGATAGATTGCCGGTCAAAGCGGAAAATGAGTGAAAAATTGCCCTATCAATTGACACTCTGGCTTATCTACTGTGTACAAATGCTAACGACCCGTCTCTCTGCCATCGTACGATCCATGGCGCGACTTACCTGTGGCACTTGAGTACTCTTCCCGCTTCCCGTCTCGCCCACCAGCACGAGCGTCTGATACTGCTCCAGACAGTGGAGGATGTGATCGCGATATCTGTAGATCGGAAGACGTTCTCGCTGCTCAGCTAGCTTCAAATTGTGATGTGCGTTGAAGACGAACGTGGTCACCTGATCATCGGAAGGAAGGGCGTCGCGATCTGACGCAAAGGACTCGTCATCTGCAAACCAGAAAACATCACGAGAAAGAGAGAGAGTGAATTAAATTTCACACTTCAAGTGTATACTAAACTATAAATAGAAGTGGCGTTGTTTATCAAGTAATAGTGGATGACACAGCTGTGATAAACCCTCCATCGAGAGGCAATGTGGCGTTCCGCTCTCTCTTTTTCTCTCTTTCGCTAAAGCGCCATGGAATTTACGTCCCAACACATTTCGGGCTTCAAGTGTATTCAGAACAAGACAGACTTATTAAATTTGCGGAAATACAGAGTGAAGCACTTGAATATCTCTTGATTTCTTGACCAAAACTAAGGGAGTTAACCCACTTTTTCTATTTCACTATTTTCTTTCGTATCGATAACTTCAATCATTTTTGATCGCAAATAAAAGTCAAGTGGGATAAGACACTGACTTTATAATAAAATCAGAGAAAAGTATGCGATCACACAATATCCTTTTCTATTTTCCACGTTATTACATTCTCAATATTCACCAAATCTTGTTGAACAAGAAAGTTCCAAAGATAAACCAATTTGTGACTGGAAAGCAAACAGTTTAGGGCACTTTTTGTCATTATTGTCAATTTGAAACTTTTTCCCAATACTGACATTATAATAATTGACGAGTAGAAGTGAAAAGGCGCCTCCAAAACTGTTTGTTGTGCATTATTGAACCGCCAAGTAATTGATTGACTGGCATTAGTAATATTTATTATTTTATAATCCACCTTCTCTCGCTGTCGCCGGCCAATGTTGTAGCCCATTTGCCACGCACGCGACGCGCCACTTGAATCATTAACAGGTGAAATTATTGGGGTGGTTTGAGGGTGGATTTGGAGGCGTCACCACATCAATTCCATTCGAGAGTGTCACACAGAATTAGTGGACGATGTTTAGTCCATTTGGATACAAAAACACACGCTCTGCTGGGGTGTCAAAATGTCCCCATTTGTGCGACTCGCGAGGGTGATTCATTATTATTGATGACGAACTCTCCCCGAAAGTTCACACTTAGTCGCTGGGCTTATTTATAGTCTCTAACATCCAATAATGCATGAGTAAAATTAATTTCCGTGTATATTTTCAGGTGTAACTCACTGGACAAGACATGAAAGAATGATTTTTGATGAAAATTTCCAAGTCTATATTTAGCACCGGTGGATTTGTAATTATATTCATTATATCCTCTCGTTATCCCTTCATATTTATGCTGTTCGTCACGAGTTGTAGTGAATACATTTTCCCTCCATCGCATATAGTGAAGTGAATTGCGCTACAATTTATCGCTGAATAGACTCGACCAAGTTTAACCAGCTGGGAAAACTCAAAAAGCCTCATTGTGTGCAAATTCTCTCTTATCAGGAGGGGAGTTTGGCTTGGAGAACTGGGTCAATTCAGCCTCCTTTCGGCGGGCGCGCTACCAAATGTTCACCATCTCTGTCTCCATTCAAGCTTATAGATCGATATTTATAGTCGCGATTGACGGACAAACGGACAAAATAAGCAATTTCCCAATTCCCGAAATTACACCACGATTAGCTATGGTCATGAATTTCCAGAAAAGTTGCCACGCTATCAAGGCAAAACACTGACTTTTACCCACTCCAAGGGTAACTTTTCCCGTATGTTTATGAAAAAAAACACGCGTTTCTTCCTCAAGCTCAACTGTGCGTCTTGCATCAGTGCGTCATGATGAATTCACAGTGTTGCAATTGCTCTGAATCACAAACTCTCAATCGATTATCTCACGACTTTTGCACTCGCATTTAAATTTGTGAGAGGCTCTTTATGTTAATTCTTTGGAGAGCAAACTCAGGGTCGCGCGCGCTTGTCTTCTTACCAGGTTTCAAGAACTTCGGCCGACTGGACTCGCCCAGGCTCATGCTCCACACTCCGCTGGTACTCAATTCCAGGATGATCAGCGTGTCTCCCGGACGTCCGGAAAGCACTGCAACAGGCAACACAGGCGCCGGATTAATTCACCAGAAGCTATTTACTAAGCGATTAGCATTTTTTTCTGCCTCTATTTTTTCTTACCTTCAACAGTGGATCATCACGCCACTCCGGGCAAAGTGCAGACGGAATCTTCTGTCCTGCCGCCAGTTCAATACGCGCACTCGCTAGCCCTGAGACTCCTCTTCGCGACTACACAACGTTTGGGGCGCTCACGAGGACGACACCAGCCAAATGAGGCAATATTTCCACGGTAAATTCCAAACACGACTGAGCTCTACGCGTTTTCCACAACTTGACAACTACTCATGCGACACCAGCGCTGCGGTGGACTCAACGCACAAATAGAAAAAATGGGTTTGAATGTTTAAATGGGGAAGAAGATGGAAAATAGATAACGACCACTTTTGAGATCAGCGGAAATTAAATTAAATTTCAAGGAAATTTACTTAAATGTGCATATTAATTCCTTGTAGAACTAATCCTTTCTTTGAAATAAAATCATATTGCCCAGAAATTAACTGTTGGTAGAAGAAAGGAGAAGACTTCAATGAAAATGTAAAAAAAATGGTTTTAAGTGTTTATCTTTATTTTAATGCCAAAAAAGCTTAGGTAATTGTCTTTAATAATTGCTATTGGGTGATAGCTTTGTGATAAAAACACGTGAAGAGCCAAAGATAGAACTGAAATCATTGACTGGAAAATGTCACATTCTTTAAGAAAATTAGGGAAAATTTACAACAGCTATTTATTTATAGATCTGAATATTCTACAATTTTCCGACGCTTTGCTTGACAGTAACAAACAATTGGTGGGTTTTATTCCGCTACAATCGACTGTAATGTTATGAAAATAAGAGTTTTCCCTTCTCAATTGCACTCAATCCTCAGCACACAATCGATCAATACAACTTCCTGTTGCTATTTATTGGGTCTATAAGGAAGAAGGCAATCCCATAAATTGACAGCCATAAAAGGGGGGCGGGCGAAGTTGGGCCGCGCACTTCTTTGGAAATGGGTCATCAAAAGAACTCGCGCGACTTCGTGAATAATTTCCCATGCAAATGTGTGTGCGTGAGGTTAATGGCTCAAGACAATATTGCCTTTGTTGGAGCGCCCCGTGCGGTGGGGCTTGCCCCTCGAATGCACAATGTGGATTTTATTGGCGACCAAATGCTCGCCAAATTTGGCTCAAGTTCAAACACTGGGGAATTATGTCAATGAATCCATAGCAACTCGTGGAAAACAATCTGCCCAGGGGGAGTTTTTCAGGACAAAATTTTCGCATTCACTCTCCTGACCTCGCTGCAATCGTGAGAAATTTTCCGCGACTCCCCAAATTTGCTGGTTAAGCGCCCCAGCGGAGCCCCAAATCCCGAGTGTATTTGTGATTTTGTCGTTTCTGGTGAGTTTTTCCTCTGCTTTTCCATCTCTCTCTTCCGCTCTGTGAATTGTCCCTCTGGAAAGGCGTTACATAACTGCCTCTGGGGATCATTGTAGACTCCCGCAGCCGAGGAGAGCAACTTGCGAGAATGGTGTGCTGCTGCAAGGGCTACTGCACGTCCCTGTGCCTGTCCACGTGCAAGCACTGCTCCATCTGCAAGCCGTGGAGATCGTGCTACTCGTGCAAGAAGTGCTGCTCCTGCTCGTGCTACGAAGTATGCCATCATTATCATACTTTCAGGCACTCGCGCTACTGCTACTGCTACCTCTGCTTCCCCTGAGCCCGGAGCCACCGTGCCCGGGCACACTCTGTGTGACCCTTTCCATGACCGAAAGGCTCCCACACGAGCGCCCCCTCGAGATGAGGCTCCTCTTGCGCCCCGCTGACACCCAAGTGAAGGGCCACAATATTCACTTGTAGTGCAGTCAGAGTTGCCGCGGATTTTTCTAGATGAGATGACGATTCATTTGTTTCTCGTTCGCAGAAATTTCACTCTTTGAGCGCTCAGAGTGGTGAAATTTTGAAGAATTGTGTAAAGTTAAGGCCGTTTAGGCATATAAGCGAATGATAATTAGCAATTGAAGAGTTCAAAAATTATGCCTAAATATCTTTTTATGTGTAGTTCCAACAGTGAAAGCACGAAGGAGAATTGAAATACTGCAGAGTCTGAAAATAACTGAAAACGATGATCATTAATTATAATTTAAAGCACTTTTGGTAGTTTTTCCACACGTGAAATGCTCATTTTCAAGTAATTCGAAGACTCTGCATGTTATTGACGTAGTTTCACTTCAATGCAATGTAGAAAAATCTTATAAGTATCAATGTGTAAATGTCTATAAAAATTGTTAAATACATTGACATCTGAAAAGTGCGTAAGAAATGTTGATAACTTCTGTTATGAAATATTACATGGAAATTTGGTGCGTAAATCTATTAGAAATCAGTAGAAAAGTTAAAAGTTTTTTTCTTGAGTTAGTGAGGGACCAAATTCGCAAATTGGCTTTTCAATCTCTCATCTAGAACAAATCAATCGACTCTGATGAAATTGTATGAAAGAAATTTTTGTCTCTCTCGCGCGAAGCAGTGGTAAAAAATCTGCACTGCCTCACAAAATATTATCATGAAAAAAACAAAAATCATTCTACACAGAAAATATTTCACTCTATTAAATTTATAATATATTATATCACACGTTGAAGAAAGTTTTTCTCGAGAAAGCAAACAAAAAAGTTATCTTTCGTGTTGAGTAGTTGAGATTTTAAATGGAATAGGAAAACCCTAAACTAATATATATACATATAAATATATATTCTATCTAGAAAATTGTTGTCTTTTGCGTGACAATTTTGCATATAAAATGATGAAACGCGCAAAGGGAAAATTGTGCAAATATATTCAAAACGAAGAATCGCGTGCAAAATTGTCCCGAAAAAAAGAGAAGAGTAAATATTTTTAGCCTATAAATGAAAGCATTCCAATAACCAGGAAATATAATTGAAAATCAATAAATGTGATAACGAGAAGTGAAACTTATTTTCTTTCCCAATTTCCTTACCTCTTTCTCTCTTTATTCCTTCTCTTTTTTTCTCGCCAGAATTCAAATTCCAGTGATAGAATGCATTGTCAGGAGCAAGATGCCAAGCGCACGTGGAACAGGAGGAGGGATCTGCCCAGGGGCGAGTGCCGTGGTTGCATGGACACCAAGAGGGCGATCATTAAGGTGGAGCGGAAGGAAAAGTGGCCCAGGTTCAGTCCAGACGACGCGGAGGAGCGCCATAAATGCTCTCCTTGTGCCGCCAATACCGCCATGTTGGAGAAGAAAGTGAGTCGAGAGTTGAGAAGCAGTATTCTGTACACGGTGTGCGAGTGTGGCAAGAGGAATGGCCTGCAGGATGACTGTCGCAAGAGCCTGTGCCAGGGAAGGTCGTCGTGTCTCAAGAAACCCGAGCCCGAGTGTCTTCCTGCGCGATACTACAGACGGAAGAATGATGTGCTGGAGAGAAAGATTGGGGACGGGAGTGGGATTAAGAGGGAGAGCCACGAATATTCCAGGCCATCGACTCCGAAGAAGGTTAAATTTGAAGAAGGTAAGTGAAATATGATTTTTGATCCTTAGAATTCAGCTGGGATAAGTTATGTTGGAAATGGCATTGAAATAGTCTAGAGATTCGGTCTTATCACTACCTTCCACGTCAATTGCAGTCCCCAAGAAGTCCATGAAGTCCCTGATGGATCGGTGTTATGAGGTGCAAGAAGTCAATTGCAAGGAGATCGCCGCGCAAATGGGCGGGGCGCCGCGGATGAACAAGATTAAGAAGTGAAGCGATGCCCATTTGAATTAGGCTAAAATAAACTGCGGGTTATATTGGAACGCTGATGGATTACAGAGTTAGTGGTGTGAGATTACACGACAGTGTTGGGCCCGATGGGCGGCTGTCGGGTGGTGCGGGCGCGCTTGTCCCACATCTTGGCCGCGTGCACGACGTAGCCTGGCGTGACGGGCGCCTGCATCTCCTCTGCGTCGCGATTCTTTTCGCGCGTGAGCGTGGGGTGAAAGGTGGAGGTGCTGGACGGCGGCACGCGCAGGATGAAGTTGCCGCGCTCTATCACGGAGCCGCGCATGTAGTCATCGAAGTCGCCGTAGCGTTTGTACGTGAGAGTGTCCTCGGAGCCCTGATCCACCATGAAGGGTGACTTGGTGGCAGTTTTCATCTTGGTAGCGCGACTCTTCTCCGGCGTGAGGACGCGCGCGAAGACAGCCTCCTGGGCGCTTGGCAGTGTCTTCGTCTCCACTGTGTCCACGTGTGGCCGTTTGAAGTCGTCCGCCTGAACGGCCACGCTGTGGCCGCTCTCGGCCGTGGCGAAGACCGCGGCGTCTGTCTGTGTGGCACCGGAGCGGTGTCTGGCCAGCGGATCTGATAGATCCACGATGAAGAGGAAGGCCACGAGGAAGGACAGGCAGCCCAGGATGATGGCATTGTCGTGCAGAGCAGAGGGCACTTGGTCCAGGGCGGCGAACACCAGTCCGCCCATCACGAAGAACATGAACATGCCCATGGTCAAGAAGATTTTCTCGATGATGGTTGGATTGCTCCGAGGATCGATGATTCTACAAAGGAGGGTCAAAATTCAAATCTCTGCACGTGTAATTCAAAAGAAAGCATAACTCTTATTTTAATTGACAAATTGGGTGGATTTTCCAATCTCTTATCGCTAGAGAGACTAGAAAACCTTCATAGTTTGTTGTATTTTTTTTATAGGTTGTTCGTGTGATAGTCCTGAGAGTCTTTCAGATTGCTAAGAGGAAATCCTTCTCGACGTCATTCTATTCCTGTTCGGTCCGCGCCTGGAAATTTCTTCATGCAGAAGCAAGAGTTGCTAAATAGTGCAAAGAAATAGATTCGCTCAAGGAAATAAACTTCAAATTGTCTCTAAATATTATTCAAAAAATTTGCTAAAGAAGGAATAAAGAAGCTGAATGACACTCTGATTCTTCAGGGCTTCCATGCACTTGTAGTGAACTGTGCACAAATCTTTTCATCACAATATCTTCCCCTTGTCTCAAGATTTTCCCTTTGAGATGGAATTCACGTGGGAAAATGGCAATTTCCACGTCATTTTGTCATAACGCACAAGGCCATTAACTCTTTCTTTTCGCGCTGAGTCAAAAGCGCGGGAAATGCTCAGGAGTTCATTGTTTGTCTGCCATTGTTGAGTGAAATTATGCAACGCAAATATCTTTTTATACAAACTATTCTGTGAGAAGTTGGTGTGTGTATTATAAAGTGGCGATATTTCATCGCAAAATTGCAATTCTGTGATGAGTAATAAAAGTGTGATTTTTCCACTTTTTGAGGAAATAATCCACGAATAAAATGTAATCAAAATCATGTGCCCGCGCCTTTTGTTTCATGCTCCATTCGAAATGTTAATTGAGCCACTCTAAATATTTGTGCGTCATTTGGCCATCAGAAATAGAATGCAAACGTCCCGTAAAATTCCAGTGATAATTGCACTAATTAGTGCGACACTTTGGCCAGTTTTGCCAAGAATATCTGAAAATGATATGAAATGAGAATTCTTTTGTTCGGGGAAAATGGCCAGGCTTGAGGGCCACAAAAAGATATCGCGCACATGAGATGCTAATTAATCAATTTGCTGGCTCTCGCGACTGAGGTGTGGAACAAGAGGCCAGGAGGCTTTTCAGCACACAGATGGGCTTCATTGTTGTTGCGTTTTGTCATTCAATCATTCATGAAATTGTGTCACAAGCCATGCACTGAACCGTGAAAAAGCCACAGAGGAACGCGCCTAAAGTGGCTTTTGAGGAAGTGTAACACACAAAATAACAAATAACGACAAATTGCAATCCGCGATGAACGGATGGCTCTCAATCAAGGTTGTGAAGCAGAAAAGTGGGCATAAGCCAAAGTCAATAAGTTTTGGGATGCAAATAAGTGTGGCATTACCTGGAGAGCACCATGAGGGCTGTGACGAGGGTGTAGCCGCCGAAGGTGACGTTGGCGAATGCATTTCCGGCCGATGACCAGGTAATGTTGTGCAAAAGACTCCATTCTCTGCGGAAGGTGTGAAATTGCGACAGTTTATTAGCATCATCATCGCCACTTTTAGCGCTCTTCTATGAATTATCAAAAAATTATTAACCTCGATAATTTCTGATTAAGCAGAAACACACGCTTCGCCTCATGATCTGTTAAGGCTTTCGTTATCACGCACGATATGCAAGCACCCTAGAAAATAGAGTGAAAATTAGGCATTTCCTCTACAGAGATCATCGTCACAAACACTTTTCTCACCAGTTCGACTAACTTTATGAGAATCCTCTTGAAAGGCTTCATGATTCTCGAGCCTCACGCAGTTTTGCAATTCAACACTCACTCCGCATCACTCTCGCCATTGTTCAAGCAATCTTTTCAAGGCACACGCACTGATCTTAAAATCCCTGTTTTGGTGCAGATCAACCACTTCGCGTGGAATTCAAATGGAAACTGATGTGAGATGAATGGGGAAAAAATCGCGAGAGATCGCAAACGGACCGAAAAGGCTGAATAAGTGAGTGAGATGGAATGAAGACAGAGTCTATTTGGGCATGAAAATGCTGGTGAAAAACACAACTCAATGTGGGAAAAAATTACTTTGACGGCAGTTCAACTCTGCATTTTGCTCACTTCTCTGGTTGTTGAACATTGTGAAGGAAAAATGAAAAGCAAAGTGTGGGAAAAATATTTCCTCCACTCGTGAACTTAATTTCTGTTTTTCTTCTCCAAAATTTGAATTATTTGCGACTCGAGGGGCAAAAATGCCTCGTTTCTTTTCTTAATGTTTTTCTTATTGTAAATCAGAATTTTATTGTCATTATGATTATTGCAATGCACAGAGGTAGAAGAAGAATAAAGTATACAATATATTCTTCTTGAATTCTTGATCCATTTTTTTTTTAATGTTCTTCGCCCCTTGACTGATGAATAGAACCATTTTCTATATCTGCATTTCCAACTGAGCGACGCAAAGCAATTGTCCACACAAGGAATAATGAAACAATTTTATCAAACTTTTTTTCTCTAATAATTTGCGCGAAGTATTAGCAAAAAGAGATACAAACTATTAATTTCCCACTTTGTGGACAGTTTTGGTGACACAATTCCCACGTTCGCGTCACAACAGCGCAAATTTATCGCACAAAAAGGGAGGAAAAGTGCTGAATTCTTGGACAAGAAGTGTAAAACTTGATGAAAGGGAAATAGTTGGAAAGTGACGGTGAATTAGATGGAAATTTATGTGATTTTCGGTGGGCATATTTGTGAAAGAGCTGAAATTGATCCACTTTTTTCTTTTTGGCAAATGTTAGATGTTAACGCAAGCGTTCCGAAATTATTGCAATTCATCTTGAAAAATGTCTCATTAAAATTCTTATGCGCAATTTATTATATTGAAAATGTCAGTGGCGTAGCTTTTACCAAGTGACTTCAAATCCAAGCCACTTTCTTTCTGGCGAAGCGCGGACCACTTCCGGACGGTTCCGCTTCTGGAGTAATTCTCTGGCTGCTCAGTTGGTTGACGATTGAATCGCACTCGTCCGCCTGCCGCCTGGATGTCCTGTCTGCGATCTCGTCAGTCACCACGGACGCTGAGTCACTGTGCAGATCCATTCTGGGCAAAGTTTGGTCGTTCTTGTTCCTTGTTAGTGTCCTCAGCATTTCATTGCTGTCTTCTATGGCGCGCAGATGCGTCGCTCTGATGCCATTTAGCTCCTGAGAGCGTGCCAGAGCCTTCTCACGTTCCAGCGTCAGTCTGCTAAGCAGTTCAGTCACGTTGTGGCGAATTAAGCGATCTCTGGTCTCAATCTGGGCGCTCCAGAGAACTTCCCTGTTCACCAGAAAAGCCTTAGCCTCAGAGTCATACAGACTTCTCACGCGATCACTCTCTCTGGAAGTGTCTTCAAGATGTTGCCGAAACTTCCCCACCAAAGGCTTCAGCTTCTCCTCGTCCACAATCGCCAAGAGATTCTGCAGGAAATCCAAATCCTCCTCAATTGCCTGTCGCACACATGAGATTCTCATGTCAATCAGCATCTTTATCCTCCGTGGATTGTGAATATCTTTGGAGGCATTTTTGGCGCGATTTTCACTGCAATTCTTCCACTTTTGGAAGAGATCCTCAATCTTTTGGCGGCTCTGATGCACTTTCTCTGCTTCCAGTTTCACATCACGACACTCCGTTTCATTCCTCCGCATCTGATGCATGTTGGACTCCTGAATGGAGCGCACTTCTCGAATCTGAGAGTCCAGAACGTGGCGATTCTCACTCAGAAGCTTCTCTTGTCGCTCAGTTTCCTCTTGGATTCGCTTTTCACGCTCCGCAGCCTCTTTCTCCTTCTTCTCGCGCTCAATCTTCTGCTCCACTTGTTTGTCCAGCCAGCTCAGCTTTGCAAGAGCCTCATGAGTGCTCCTGCTCTCATGGATGATCTTGTCTCGAGTAGCGTCAGATCTCCAGCGACTGTACAGCTGACTCTCCAGGTCACATTTGCGCTTCTCCTCAAGCACACTCTCACTGAGGTGATTATTGATGTCCGTGAGGCACTTGGTGGAGGGTCTGGAACGCGTTCGGTGACCTTCTCGAAGCTCCTGATGCCACTGCTGCTCCTCATTCAGCCGCAGATCTCGTAAGCGTTGCCGACGCTCTTCCAGCTCTTCTTCGCGCCTCTGCGAAGCTTTGCTTTGCTCTATCTGATCACTACTTCGCTGATAAAACTGAGGTGTGGTCCAGGAGTCAAAGTGAGATGTCAAGTTCCGGTTCTTGTCGAAGAAGTCCTTCGCTGCCAAGGACTTCTCAATCTTCTGCTCCTGCTTCTCGCGCTGGCGCGCCCACTTTTTCAACAGTATCTGAGTTGACATTACCGTTAAATTATCACTCTGGATGCGTCTATATTAGAGATTTTGGGCAGGAAACGGGATAAGAGATTTTGTTTGGCCCTTGATAGACCGGCGTCCAGGGATTGCCAACCGTCAATTAATAAACAACTTCTCACCGACATTAGCGCCTCCACGAGCAACATAACCCCAGTTTTTCTCTGTTATGTTTTATCGTGCGAGGCTTCCGAGATGAGTTTTCTAAAGATCCTCAGGACAGGAGCCAGGCGGGGCCCCATTAGTAGGATGGGATTCTCCACCACGCTGCCCTGTGTCATCAATCACCGGAATTATCGGTTAAGAATGGATAAACCCATGGAAGAGAGCATGAAGGAGTTCCTGGACAAATTCTCATGCCCAGAACCAAATCAGTGGATTGATTTGAGAAGCCAGATCCTGAATAGTTCTAAAAGAATAACCAATACCAATGTGGATGCTACTATAGTTGGATATTGCGTAACTTTCAAGAAACTTGAGGCGGCGAAATGCTTTGTGGAATTCCTGGAGCAGACTCCAGAAACTGGTGGAGTCAATATTGTCACTTTAACGCGACTGCTGAAGGTGTACCATGCTGCAGCCAGCGATAGGGTTCTCACGGACGAGGAGGAGAATGAAATTATAGAGATTTATGAGCAAATTAGGAGGAAAGTCCCAGTGTTTGACGCTAACACAGCTGAAGGAGTGATTTTCGCTCTCTCACTGACCAGCAGATGGAAGGAGTGCCTGGAGTTGATGCAAGGCATTACTATTCTCTCCACCCCTTCTATAGCCACATACACAAGTGTCGTGGAGGCTGCGTTCCGGAACGACGAGAAGGAGATCGCGCTCCAGACGTTGCGGAAGAGCATACAGGACTCCAGAATACCCAAATGCAAGGCATTCACAGCCTGGATAGACTTCTGTCAACGTCAAGGCGAGGGTCTGGCGGAATTTCTACAATTTATCGCCTTCAACGAGATGCAAATCTCCGAGAGTGTTATTATGCGCATAGAAAAGTATCTGCAGAGTCAAGGAATTCGCTCCAGGCGAACTGCTGTGGATCCTGAAGGTGTGTGCTACACCTGTGAAGGTCTCCTCAAACCTATTCAGCTCACAGATGAGGAATTTCAGGAGTTGCAGAGTCAATTTCTTAACCGAGTGCTAATAAGAGAAGATGTCTTCCTGAAATCAAATCCAAAGGAAGTAGAGAACTTCAGGAAATTTCTGTCTCGCACGAAACCCTTTGACTGCATCGTTGACGGACTCAATGTGGCTCTGTCCAAGGGAACAGGACGCACCAATAACATCTTGGCGACTAATCTGATCAATGTTGTGATGCACTTCGCGAGGAAGGGCCAGAGAGTTCTCGTTTTGGGCAGAAAGCACATGAGCAATTTCCCTGAGGATCGCATGAGAATGCTGCGTAGCAATGCACATATATTCCTCACGGACAATCTCTCTCAGGACGATCCTTTCCTGCTCTACGCGGCACTGATCAGTGGAAAACGTTGCTGCATCGTCTCGAAGGATCTCATGCGTGGCCATGCGTACCTCCTGAAGTCCGAGGAGTTGCGCAACACCTTCCGCCGATGGCAGCACACCCATCAATTCCGCTGGGAGTACACTCCGGGCACTAAGGTTATTATGCAAGCGCCCCCGACATTCTCAGTGACTGCTCATGAGACGGATGGCCATTGGCACGTGCCTTTTCAGTCGGAATATTCACCGCATCAGCTGAACTTATTTGAGATTCCAGAGAACTGGCTATGCTTCGATTACCCCGGACACTGTAGTGCCCCAGAGAGGCAATAAAGTTCCTGGGTGAGAATTTGAGATGAAGAAGAAAGTGTGGTTGTTTCGGTTGGATTTGAATCGTGGACTTCGCGGCGAATGACGGCGAGCGACAGCAGCGCCACATCAGTGTTCCGTGCAGAGAAACAAAAACGTGAGACTTTTGTGTGTGGTTGTCGATAAATTGCGCACTTTTCAGCGAGAAAAAGCAAATTTCCCGTGACAAAAGGTGATCAATTGTGCGACAGAAGTGCCCAAGCATAGGAAGAGCGGATATATTGGTGGAAAAGCGGCGCAGTGTGTGTCAGAGAAGGAATTGAAAATTCGCACATTCTCCCTGACTTGGGTCGTTCTAAAATGGCGTCAATAGATCCACATTCTAAAAATCGCATGCAAGGCTTCAAAAACAAAGGAAAAGATCAAGATGTAAGTTGGGTCGCTGTATTTAGGCTAGTTCTTGGCTGGTGTGGGGCTCTCAGGGTGGTTTTGTGGCGTGAAAATGGGGTGTAAGAGCGAGTGGAGAGTGTGGCTCAATCACCTTCCCTATGGCGAAAATCCGTGGAATATCCAATGGATAACCATGGACGATTTCCATGCAATCCGCGTAATAGCATCCATGGAAAATTCCTCGGAACTCCGTGGATCAACAAGGAAAATCCTTGGATTCAGCATGGAAGATTCCATGCTGAATTCCATAGGAATTTAGCTAGGATGATTTTCCATGGATTTTTTCCCACATTGCTTCCAAATTTTCCATGGTGACTTTTCCCATATATGGAAGATTTCCATTGTGATTCCATTGACCAATCCAAGGACGATTACAAGGAATACCATGGAGGAAATTCCAATGTGTGAAATTTCTCCCAGAAATTCCCGGCGCTCCGCCCCAAAATATCCAAAAAAAAGACTCATTTATATTTGGATTTGTATTTATTAAATATTAACTATCAAGCTTACAAATGTGTATCAAATTTTTATGACGCGTTGCCTTGGTGGCTGCTATGCCGCTTCCCAGGGACTGCTACTCTTCTAGACGACTGCTACCGTGGTCGCCGGATGTCGAGATGCTCTTTGATGTCTTCTCGCACCGGTCCGAATATGTTTGAGAAATGCTGGAAAATAGAATACACAAATTACTGATCGTATATTTGCATGGTATTCCCTCCATGGTATTCCTTGTAATCGTCCTTGGATTGGTCAATGGAATCACAATGGAAATCTTCCATATATGGGAAAAGTCACCATGGAAAATTTGGAAGCAATGTGGGAAATAATCCATGGAAAATCATCCTAGCTAAATTCCTATGGAATTCAGCATGGAATCTTCCATGCTGAATTCCAAGGATTTTCCTTGCTGATCCACGGAGTTCCAAGGGATTCACCATGGATGAAATTCTAGCATGGAAATCTTCCATGGTTATTTATAGGATGTTCCATGGATTTTCGCCATAGGAATTCGAGAACATGAAGAACATTTTTTACCTTGTCATGAGTCACACTCTGTCGGATAAGTAGATCCTCCGGTAACCGCTTTTCCGCATCCTATTTTCCTGTAAAAAAGACATGTTCAGTATAGAAAACAGGATATATCTCTTATGTTTCGATAATTCCATACTTACATTAGTTGTTTCTCCTACTTTGACGTTGTCCGGAAACCTCGAGTCTTCTCTGACTGTGGGGTCCCTGTGCCGTCTCCATCGCATACATTCAGCACTTTTCCTGGAAATATCACCAAACTTAGAGTGTTTACCATTAAAAACTTAACGTTTTAGTACTGAAAAGTACAGAAAATACTTACGCGTTCTTTCCTATGAGAAGAATTTCACAAGACTGACGTAATCGCGTGGGGACGCGCAAAGAGCGAATTATTCCGTGGAAAACCCATGGATATTCCGCGGATTTAGCACCATGGAAAATGTTCCATTCTAATATCCATGGATGGCCAAAAGGAATATGTATGGAATTATTCCATGGTATCTTGCTTGGAATAAAGTGGAATTTATCCATGGAGGATAGCTTGGAATTCCGAGGATTTTATTCCTATTATAGGAACAAAAGTGGAAGATATTCCATGGACGATTTCGGATCGTGGAATCCGTTCTCCATAGGGTTGTGCAAGAGTCTCCACACTTTGGAGACATTTCTCAGGGGAATTTTCTCGATTTCCTCAGTGAAATCTTGAGAAATTCAGGGATATTCGCCCCAAAAATCTATCTAGAGTGTGTGAAGATGCGTTTGCAGTGCTGAAATGTGCTTCCTGTGCACTTTATGTGGTGGAAAATTGGGAAAGAGTGTGGCAAAAGTGGGGAAATGGGCCACTGAAAGATGTCACAGCGGAAAGTGAGGTTGGGAATTCACATTGTTCGTTCGTCTGATGATTTCAGGAAATGCGAAGGCGCCGGAACGAGGTGACGGTAGAGCTGAGGAAGAACAAGCGCGAGGAGACGATCCTGAAGCGTCGCAATGTGCCCGTCGTGGACTCCACAGATGAGGATGACAACCTGTCGTCGCTGAATCTGTACAAATTGGTGGAGAATGCCTCGGACGCATCGAATCCGGACAAGCAGCTGGCGGCAGTGCAGAGTGCCCGTCGTCTCCTTTCATCTGACCGCAATCCGCCGATCGATGACCTGATCGCCAGCGGCATCTTGCCGACGTTGGTGAAGTGCCTGGAGCGGCACGATCAGTCGATGTTGCAATTCGAAGCTGCCTGGGCGCTGACCAATATCGCCTCCGGCACGTCCTTACAGACGAACGAGGTGGTGCAGGCGGGCGCTGTGCCCCTTTTCCTGCAGCTCCTCGCGTCGCCGGCGCCGAATGTGTGTGAGCAGGCAGTGTGGGCACTGGGCAACATCATCGGCGACGGCCCACACCTCAGGGACTATGTGATAAAACATGGCGTGGTGCAGCCGCTGCTGTCCTTCATCAAAGCCAACACGCCGATTCCCTTCTTGCGCAACGTCACGTGGGTGATTGTGAATTTGTGCAGGAACAAGGAGCCTCCGCCACCCACGGCCACCATCCTGGAGATTCTGCCCGCGCTCAACGTTCTCATCCACCACACGGACATCAACATCTTGGTGGACACAGTGTGGGCGCTCAGCTATCTCACGGACGGTGGCAACGAGCAGATTCAGCTCGTCATTGACTGCGGCGTCGTGCCGAAACTCATACCGCTCCTCGCTCACATGGACGTCAAGGTAGGACCGGAGCACACCTGGCATGGGGCCATGACTCATCTCACCATCTTTTTCACAGGTTCAGACGGCCGCCCTGCGCGCCGTGGGCAATATCGTGACTGGCAGCGATGATCAGACTCAAGTGGTGCTCAACTGTGACGCTCTGTCGTATTTCCCGGCGCTGCTGAGCCACCAGAAGGAGAAGATCCGCAAGGAGGCGGTGTGGTTCCTGTCCAACATCACCGCTGGCAATCAGACACAGGTGCAGGCCGTGATCGATGCCGGTCTGTTGCCGAAGATCATCGAGAATCTGGCCAAGGGTGAGTTCCAGACGCAGAAGGAGAGCGCCTGGGCCATCAGCAACCTCACCATCAGCGGCAACAGGCACCAGGTGTGGCGTCTGGTGGAGGAGGGCGCTATTGCGCCCTTCTGCGAGCTCCTCACCTGCCGCGACACGCAGGTCATCAATGTGAGTTGATAAATGGAAGAAGGTGTGTGGCGCATTTTACTTACGACATTCCTCTGTGTCTCCTTCTGGCAGGTTGTGTTGGATGGCATTCACAACATGCTGAAGATGGGCGGCTCTCATGTGGGTGAGATTGCTGGCATGATTGAGGAGTGCGATGGGATGTCGAAGATTGAGGAGCTGCAGAATCACGAAAATGTAGACATTTACAAGTTGGCGTACGAAATTATTAGGCAATTCTTCAGTGAAGAGGTGAGATTTGTTGGTTTTACAACACTTTCTTCGGCTAGTGTTTAAAGTAATCATAATTTAACTTTTTTGCGTGTGGTTTTCTTGCAGGTTGAAGAGAACGAAACGATGATTGTGTTCGATCAGGATGTTCCAATTGAAGGATTCAAGTTTTAATGCAATGCTCTATATATGAAAAAGAAGCCAACAAGCAACACACACACACACAGCAGACACACGGAATCGGCGTTACTTTCTTGTCCTATTCACCAAAATCTTTTTTCATAGAGGAGAAAGAAGAAAAAAAAGAAGAGAAAAAAGGAGGTTTATCATAAGGGAAGTTAAAGAAAAAGATCATATGAGTCTCTTTCGCGTCCAGGAATGGTCCACTCCTTCTGGGAATCACAAGTAAGCCATAGAGAGATTTTATTTTGTCAATTTGCGAGGATTTTGTGATGCTAGTGAGACTATAATAAATCACAGAGAGGGTACAAGTCTTTCCAGAAGGGACGAAGAAGATGTGTTGGTCGCGCGCATGGAGCTTTTTCACGTGAAGAAAGGAGAACCTATAGCTCTAGCTGATAATCAATAAACAACAACAGAAAGAAAAAAATTGGGGGAATTTAAAAAGCACGGCGCCATAAATTAACAATCTTTCTTTTCTTTTTTTTTGTAATGTTGTAAGTAAAATATTCTTTCTTAGACGTTCAATGCTTTTTTATACATATATATATATACATTATAATATTAATTTAAATGAAGAAAAGAGAAATGAAACAGCTGAAGAGAAATTTCATGTATTAGAAGTTATAAATATATATATTTATAAATATATATATATTTAAAGATGCCTCCTCGTTTTCTGACTTGGTAATTTATGATATACCGAGCGTGAAGTAATTTAAAAAGAAAAAAAAAAAACAAATGAAAACATATTCAGTAAGTTTTGAGATAGAAATCGCGTAATATTGATATAAAAAAATTAATTATATCTTCTTAATTATGTAAAAAAAAAACTTACTAAAATGGAATAAAAATGTAGATAAATTTGATTTTGATTGTGATTTCTGTGGGTTTGTCATAAGACATGTCCTGTATTTGGTGATTTCAGGGGGCGAGCTTGACATAACCTCATTTGTCGTGCGGAGTATTTTGCAGTGATGCTGAAGATCTCCAGACTGTGCTCTGTGGCGCCCCGTGGGTGCGTGTTGGGGGTGAATTTCAGCAATGAGACCAAAGGGCAGAAGATTCTGCACGAGGAGAAGATGAAGATGGAGATGGACGCGAAGAGACTTGATGAGTGGCGAGAGCGACCGCAAGAGAAAGAGTGGAAGAGCAAGTTGTCCGTGTTCAGGGTGGAAAATGAGGATCCGGGCTTCATGACGTTCATGCAAAAGCCCTGGAGTGTGAGCGGCGTGATGAGTTGGTACCAGAAGAAGAAGGAACTGGTGCACAAATTGAGTCAGGACTTCAATCCGGAGAGGCACACCAAGCTGGGCTCTGATCTGGCGGCAGCGCACTTCATCGTGTTCCGGGGAGGGCGAGTGAAGTTTCTCGGCCACAAGGAGTGGATAGTGAAGGATGAGGAGGACGAATTTGGCGACAACTACAATCTACCCAGATTTTACGACGAGAAGTACAAACTGGAGGCCATCGACTGCTCCCGGATGGTTCTCTACTATCAGGGATTGTCGAATCTGAGGCGACTCTATTACCTGAAGAGCCTAAGCTTCCGGGATGTGGAGCTATTTGATGACTGGTGTCTCGACAGAGTGTCCGGAAGTGAATGCGAGAACTTAGAAGAGCTGGATTTGGTGGGAACAAAGGTCACCGCAAAATCTCTTCCTGCTCTCTATCGCATGCCGCAACTCAAGAGACTCTCATTGAATCTTCCTGAAGAGGAAATGGCAGCAGCTGAGATGAAGCTTACAGGGGCGATGCTGCAGGAGATTTGCCCAGAACTCACAGTCAGTTATCAGTGAAGGAAGATTAATTTACTAGGCTAAATAAATTAGGTAACAAATAAGCACGGACTATCGTTTCCTTCCGACCAATTGCAAGCACGCTTCCTCGATTTTCGGGTACTGGAATTCAAAGCCCAATCCCTGCAGTCTCTGCGAGGCTACTCTGGCGCCGGTTGTCAGCAGAACTGCCCTCTCTTGTGCAAACATAAGATTCAGTACAGATTCTGGTATCCTAAAGGCTGCCGGTCGTCTCAGGGCCTTGGCGAAAGCCATCGAGAAATCCCCATTTGTGATTATTTGGGGCGCCACGGCATTCAGAGCCCCAGAAATGTCGGCTTTCTTAAGGGCGAGCAGGATAATTGCACAGAGATCTTCAATGTGAATCCACGGCAGAGGTTGATTTCCAGACGCCACTGGACCGCCCAGACCGAGGAAGAAGGGCAGGTAGATGTTGCCAATCATGCCACCGTGACGTCCCAGCACGACACCACTGCGCACACGGACGCCTCGCCAGCCCGTGAAGTCAGGAACAGTGGCTGCAGCCTCCCAGGCGAAGCACAGTCGCGACATAAAGTCATACTCCACGCCCGGATCTGACTCGTCGAAGGTCTCTTTGGCATCCACGGCGGCCGGTGGGTACAGACTAACGCCCGACACATTCACAAAGACGCCAGGTTCTGCGGGAGTCTTGGAGATTGCCCTGACCATTGACGCTGCAGAATTCACTCGAGAATTCCACACGTTCTGCTTGAAACCCGGCGTCCAACGCCTTGTGGGGTCCAGCACATTCTGTCCAGCGAGATTAACCACCGCCGTGGTGCCCTTGGGCAGTCCATGAGCCTCCAATTCGTGCCAGGTGATCCTGTTCAGTCCGGGCATCCGGGAGACAATGGTTACATCATAGCCGCTAGATGCCAGCAGCGTCACAAGGCGTTTTCCAATAAATCCTGTACCGCCTCCTGTAGAATTCACAAAAATCCTCAATTAAAAACTCTTCTCATGCTTCGTGACGTGTCTGGAGTGAGTGATCTAATTGATCTGAGCAGGGAAACAGCGGAAAAAAGGCAATTTCTTACCCACTAGAACTGACATTGTTGATGGTGGCGAAATTTTGACAGTGAGGAATTTGAAAGTGTAACGACTTGTACAATGCGCATCTCTTTTCGTAACTCCGCATGCTCGCGTGCAAAAAGAGGAATTTGTGGGTGAAAAGGATTAAATTATAGCAATATTACGCGTTTTATTTTCTATAATCTTGCAATTTACTTACCTTTACTCTCTTTTCGTTTCTTCTTTAAGCAAAACGATGAATAAAACTCAGCCGGCAATGGTGATGAATACAAAGACTGTTGTATTTTCTGTACTTTGAGTAGTTTTTAATTAGCCCCGTCATATTTTATTTCAATGTATATCGGTAATTATGAAATAGATTATCTTCACACATTTATTAGCAAATTGGGTTGGATCTCTCACTCTTCCTCAATCGTTCTCTCCCTCTTTCATTCACAGATCCCAAATTGAAATCACTCTCTCTGCTTATCCTCGCGGTCCCCACAATATAAATTTCATGTCTCCGCCACAAATAAAGCTCTCTCTCTCTCTCTCTCTCTCGCAATTGTCCATCTTGCTATTTACAGTGTCCACTTTATATACTTTAATTTAGTTTATAAACTCCTGTTGGTGTTGGCTTTCTTTGCTACAAAGAAAAAAACAGAAAAAGGGGGTGTTTTGCAAGATTATTTCAATATCCCTTCGTCTTTCATCTGCAGTCAAAGAGGTGTGTGAAAGAATAACAGCAAACAGAGGCACAGCAATTACAAAAAGTCATTATTACATTGTATTTTTTCTTTCTTTTTCGTGAGAAAACCGACTAATGAAAATAATGTGACTTGAATTTTGTCCTTTTCTTTTCTTTACTTCAAACACACACGATGTCCTTTCAAATTCGTCTGCTCAGCCAGCACTTTTTTTTTTTAAATGTTTTCTCCCATGTAAATTTATCACAGTTTCTTTTTTCATCATCTTGTGTTATTCATTTTTTTTTCATCTTCATTTCATTTTTTTTTCATCATTTATAATACAGTTAATAATATTTTAAGTTAATTATTACAGAGTTATAGGACTTGAAAATCTTATTAGCAATCAACGTGGTGACAAAAGAGACAGATCTTTGAAATTTTACTCCATTCTGCGAATATTCTATGCTATTTCTTCTTCTTTAATTTAGGTTTAATGATGAAAGAGATAAGTTTTTCTACCTCCCTTCGTCTTCTGCGCGCACACTTTTGATTTCCTCTCGCACATTGCAAACACTCTGAATCACACACAACACTCTCTGGCGCTTAAGTAATTGGCTAATGGCGTGTCGATGCTGAATCAAACGGTGGCAGATGACTCGGTCTGCTGTACGGCATTTGCCCACAATTCTCTGACTGCTGCTGCTTCAGTTGATCACCCAGGAAGCGTTCTGCAATGTGAGAAAAGAGAGAAAAAGATCGGTTTCTTCCACACACGCACACACAATAAAAAGGGATTAACAAAGGATAGAACAGAAAACACACATCAAGAGAAGAAGAAATTGAGGTGACAAACAACAAATTCTTGTGTTGTCATCAACAATTAGAAGGATGGCAAAAAGCATAATTTTTGCCCATAACAAAGAGATGAAAATAAAACAACAGACTTTTTCCAAATTTTGTGCAATTATTAATAATTTTTTTTTCCTCTTTCTCTCATCTTTCCACTCTTTTTACACAGTGATTTTTTTTTCTTCTTTTTCCTTCTATTTTTTATCTCTTTGTTTTTTTTCTTTCTTTCATATATGCACATATAGAATTAAAGTAATCATTTATAATAATATAATTCCTATAATAGAGCTTGATAAAAAAGGATATATACAAATTAAACAAATATCCATCATCTCGCTTTCACTCTTCCTTCACTTAACATCCACTCTAACTAATTATACACATTGATAGTTAATATTCTATTCTTTTTTTTATTATTTAAACCCTAACTAAGAGGTTTTCTATTCACGAGGAGATTGCAAGAAAATAAGCCTGATGTTAATTATGATGAAACAGAGAATATTTCTCACACAACTCACTTCTTTCCCTCCCCACAGAAAAGAAACAAACACGCTCTCGCCTTATTCTTTAAGCCAACTATTTTGAAGAAAAAAAAAATTCCTACACACTTTCCTTCCTCTTTCTGTTCATCACCAGAGCTTTCTTTTTACACATATTTTTTGCCTTTTGCTACAACTCAAAAAATATATAAATTGATCATGATGTAATTTCTTCGTGAATTAAAATAGAGAAAAATTGAGAATAATCAGTCGCAATGGATTAAAGAAAAATCATCTCTACAAATTTGTTCGTTATTACAGTGAAACAAGGGGAAAAATAAGAATAAAAATAATAATAATAGCACTTTACTAAGGAAAGTAAAAACAAAATAAGTAACTCTTTTATCTTTTTGTGAAAAATATACTTTTTCTTCATATTTTTTTGTCGTTTTAGTATTGTTTCTATCCTTATTAAATATTTAAGTCAGTGTTATTTACTTTTAAGACGAAGAAAGGACGAAGTCATTCTAAAATTTATACTAACTTTTTTTGTGCCTATTTAATTATGTCTACAATACACATTTCGTGTAAAATATACTCCAAAAGGTTATCAAGGTTTTACGTAAATTGTAATTTGTGACTTTGAATTAGAATTCTCTTTCATTTTTTTTCTAATTTTCAACAGGATTTCCAACTCATTTCATTACCAAAAGACCGTTGAAAATGATAAAAATATAGAAATTTGCCTTTAGCAGTTGATAAAACCTCTTAGAATATTCTACACGTCATGTATTTTGTTCCTTTCTGATCTTTCTTCACTATTTCTATTACCATCTCATAATGAAATTGCAATAAAAAAACAACCTACAAAGAATATTTTGGTACATTGTTCTTCCCATTGATTTCCTCAATTTCTGCTTTTTCTGCTCGATTTTCTCTCTCTCTCTCTTTCATTCAAAATAAATAAACGTTGTAATATTTGTTTGTTTCATATATATAGAAAATATATGTAATAAGAACAAAATAATCACCAATGAAGCTTTTTTTTTTCTCTGTATGTATATAGAAAAGGGTATTTCTCTATCATTCTCACTAACATGAGAAATATTAGTGCGCAATTGTATTTGAGAGTAAAGATTAAAGAGCTCTTCTTAGTGTCACCCTCGCATCAAATGACAGTGGACTTCTTGTCCTCCACCTCAGCGTCCGGACTCTTGCTCATCGCCGTCACCGCCGTGATCTTCGGCGACGTCGAGGGTGACACTGTGCGAGCGGACGCCGTGTCATCCTTACCTGTTTGCTGAGCCTGTGCCTTATCCGCTATCTCAACACTATTGCTACCATTGTCAGTTCCCCCACTTAATATTTTAGCCACCCCGTCAGCCGGCGGACTCGCCACCTTCGTCGCCTCGCCGTTGTTGGACGCCTGCGTCGCCGGCGCATCGCCGCCCATCGCAGCCTCAGTCATCTTCTCGCCACCATTGCTCGTTGGCTGCTGCTGATTCGCCGCCTCCTTGTCCGGCGCGCCACCATTCTCACTGTCCTTCGCACTCATCTCGTCCGATGACGAATTGGCACCGTTTTCCACCGGATTCCCACCACTTGGCGCCACACTCTCGCCACTATTCATTGGCTCCGGTGGCGCCTTGGCCACCAGATTCACCCCATTCCCGCTGGCGGGTGTCTGAGGACTCTTCGGCACCGTGGGATTATTGCTTGCGCCGCCGCCGCTCGACGTGCTCTGCGGCTGCGACGAGGGCCTGGTCGGTGGATAGTGCGACACTAGCGGTGCCGACGATGTGACAGCCGGAATGGCGGACACACTGCGCGGAATGCCGCCGCTCGCAGTCGACACGGGCATCGGGTAGCTGCCGTACACACTCGATCGCTCTCGCTCACGATCCACCGTGAGATTGACACTGTGAGCCGGATTGGCGCCCAAGTTGAGCGCCGCGGGTGACGCCGTGCTCAGATTCAGACTCCCAGACGCCGTGTGCGCCAGAAGGCCGGGATGCAGGCTCGTCGGCGGCATGCCCAGCGAGTGTCCCAGACTGGGATGCGTCACCGGCACACCAGACGGATGCCCCAGCGGCAGATGGTGCGACAGATTGAGTGACGAATGCACCGAGTGGGGCGGCATCGGCGGCAAGCCCATGCCCAGGTTGAGACTCATGGCGGCGGCGTGAGGACTCTGGCGCTGCGACGAAGTGTGGTACGGCGACAGCTGCGATATCGAGTGCAGCGAAGACTGCGGCGGCGGCCGCAGACCCATTGTAAGTGACGCCAGCCCAGACGGACCCGGCGGCAGCAACTGGCCTAACAGATTGTGCGGCATATTCCTCATGGAGGGATGTGAGTACATTTGCGGTGGATAGTGATGCGTGGCCGCCGTGTGCAGACGTTCTCTCTCCCTCGCCTCGCGCTCCTTCTCGCGCAACTCCCGCTCGCGAGCCTCCTTCTCGCGCTGCTCCTTCTCCCTCTGCTCCTTTTCCCTCTGCTCGCGCTCCCGTTGCTCCTTCTCGCGCTGCTCCCGTTCGCGCTGCTCGCGCAACTCACGCTCCTTCTCACGCTGCTGCATCTCACGCTCGCGCTCCTCCTCCTGGCGCGCTATCCTTGCCCGGTGCTCCTCCTCCTGCTTCATACGCTCATGAAATCCCGGAACACCCAAGCCCAGCGCCGCACCCGTGGGCAGCATTCCGTAGAGATGGGGCGCATAGGGTGATGCCAGGGGTGAATAGAGAGGATGCGGATGTGCATGCGGATGATGACCTACGCTGCGAAACATACTCTGAATCCGCTGATCCAGATATAGCTGTTCCGGATACTGCAGCGCAGCCGGATTGAAGAGACTCCCTGCAATTTTACGGAGAATCATTAGCTCTTGCCGTGTCGATGAAGATGATTCTGCTTCCTACCTGGCGGAAGACCAGGAATTGCGCCAAATGACGTGTAGGCTTCCAGTGGAAATGCACCAGCCGGATGAGCAAGACGCTCATCCGGTCGATAAGGTTGAAAACCACTCCTAGCCAATGCCAAGTCAGGTTGCATACTCGGTGGACCACTGAGTCTGGCCATCTGACAAAGACATAAAAGACATCGAGGCGTTAGTCATGGAAGTTTCTCGCACAGAGGAAATTAGATGAGAATAAATAAATGTGTGTGAATATCTATCATTTTCCCAACCTTCTCAGGTGGCGGCGATGACGTCCTCTTCTTATTAACACCCCGATCATCTGCCACCACAGATTGTCTGACATCCGGCGTGTGTGTCTGACTCCCACTGCCACGCCCATCTCCTGCCGTTGCCCTGCCATCGTGCGCTCCACTCCGCTGCACCGTCGACATAAGTGACGTCGCGCCACTGTTCACACCTCGCACGGCATCGCTGCTGAGATTTCCACCGGCGCCACTGGCATTGGCTCCGCTCGCGCCGCCACCACCGCCGCCGCCGCCGCCACTGCCGGCAGACACCCCACCGCCCGGCGCCGCCCCGTCCTCATCCTTGATGTCGGCCTGCTTCGCCAAATTGCGCAGCGCCGAAGCGAAGGGACCGCGACCGCTCGTGGCGGGATTCTGGCCCACACCGGGCACACTGCCGGCGCCCGGAGGCAAGTGATTGGACACGTGATTCGATAACTGAGCCGCCGTCTGATGCAGATGAGGTGACGATGGGATTGGCGGTGCTGGACTTGGTCGCTTCTGACCTGGTTTTGGTTGAACTGCACAACGAAAAACATAGAGGGAGAGAAAGAGAGAGAAAAGATATTATTATAAAGTGTTTGCGGCAATATCTCCATGAGAAACAATTCCCTCTTCTCTCCATCTGCAACAATTCTCACACCAGATACACAATCAGGGAGAGAGAAAGAGAGAGAGAGAGAGAGAGAGGGGGTGCAAAAAAGCCACCCACTAAATACAACATAACATTGACGACGATAAAAACTCCGTGTACATGCCAGAGGGAAAGACATAACATGACCAAATAGCTGGATATCATTTGGGGGAAGCTCCATGGCCGTAAAGTATGCAAATATCGTAAAATAAGAAAATAACGATTATCTCTACTTCACCATTCCCACCCACTCTCTCTCCCTCTCTGGCAATCTTCATTCCTCTCCACCGCACTGCCAATCTCAATATGTACCCAATGACACATATCTACATAGCACAGTGTGTATATAAAGCACGGGAGAAAGAGAAAGAGAGAGAGAGAGTGAGAGTGAGGAGGATAGAAGCCCAGGGAGGATTTCTGTGAGGTGATATTATCCCAATGTTGATACAACCAACATCGAGGAGTCAAATACATCCGGACAGAAGGGGCGAAGGCGCAGGGTTGCTTGGGAAAAATAACGTGAAAGAGATGATGGAATGAGAATGGTAAATAGAGTGTTGTACCCAATGTGGCAACGGAAAGATGAGTCGTAAAATCGTGAAATGTGACCACAGCTGTCAAATTCATATCCATCATATAATGGCGTTGTACATACTATTCACCAGAATCCTCACACTCTCTTTCTCCTCTCCACAGCAAGTCCAGAGGCAAAAAACCGCACTTTAGCAATCGATAAAGAATCTTAGACAAATTGTGTAACAATAGAATAATCATCATTACACGTGAAAGCCTTAGATTGTGCAATAACGACGTCTAAGCTGCTTTTCTATCATCAATAGCTTAATCCTTCGCTTAATCCTGTGCTGAGAGATCGAAAATTGCACATCCCAGCGAACACATTTTGCTCCCATGCTTGCAGTAAATTTGCAGTAAAGAGCTCTAATTTCAGGTCAATGTATATCATCTCTCAGGTCTTTTATCAGTCACTTCTGAAGCTGTTTTGTCAGCTAAAACAACAGCTTAATATAATTTAGATGGTGTGCTAATTGACTGTATCATTATTGACAGTAGTATGAAATAAATCGCTTTTATAGGCTCAAAATTGGGCATAAAATAAAAACATACTATAACGCTTCTTTTTCTTCTACTGAAAAATGTCATTGAATGCCTTAAAACATGTTATTCACTCAATATTTTATCCACAACACTGCATTGAAGTAACAAATTGCCCATCAAGCTGTTAGAGAGGGAAAGGAAGAAAAACATCCCTTGAAAGCATTTGCTAAATAGCCACATGGAGCGGACAGATTCATGCCCGAGAGCGTGATATTGCACTGTGTGCATAAAACTCAATAAAATGGTCTCAACATTTGTTGGGAAAATTCACTTAATGCGCATGCTGTTAAGCAGTTTTCCAAAAGGAATTGTATGGTGAAATGTGTGGTGTGTGGTGCTATATTTAATGTGTTAGAAGAGTGTCCCTCTCTCCCATTCACACTGTGACTAACCAAATTCTCTCTCCCTCTCTTGGTGGTTCTAAATTGCATGCCAATGTGTGTTTTGGAGAGAAGTTTGGGGAAATAATTGAAATTTATAGCTGTCTGAAGTAGCGTTTCATTATTCAAACAATTAAATAAACACGAGTTAAATTTCACACTTGCGAAAATTGCTCATAATGCTCTGTTACTCATGTTTGATCCTAATTAACAATGCGCCTATACTTATTCGAGAGCTAATATTTTACCTCTTCCCCCTAAAAAAAAAACTCATTCACATTCTATGGGTGGTTTTTGGGTCAAAACCGCATATCAAATCACCGCATGTTCAACAGTGTGATATAATGTAACACAATGATATGTCGGTAAATCTGCTTTGGACAGTACAAGACAAGAGAGAATCTCAACCCCATTTTCGCATCATCAAAGAAAGTCAGAGCATATGTAATTTGTTAGATAAATTCTCACCACAAATTGGTATCGGTGCGTGAATGTTTGGTAATCCTCTTGGTATCCATTCCATCATTATTCACATGAGTTAATTTAATATCAAATATTTGAATACCATTGAGTTATTGCATTGAGTGTCAATTTCACTTTTGTCTCCCATTTACTATATGTACAAATTACACATAATTCACTTTCTCTTTCCACACGCGGCGCTCCAGACCTCCAATTTAATCAATGAAGCCCCACACTTTAAGTGATTTAGCTGTATTATTTCCTCACCATTGACCATCCCTTGATAATAACCCAATATTCGAGGGTAGAAAGCACATGTTGTTGATCAGAGTTTGCACGATTACAAATATTTGTGGACAATGAATGCATTTTTCCCCTGTAATTGTACGTATAGAACAATGGATATTTTAGAGAAATTTTATAGGAACAGAGAGAAAGAAAATTGTCAAAAAAGCAGCGCGTATGTAATTATTTCCAAAGGCATATATTAATAGAAAATGACTATCAGCAGATGTACAATTCCTCACCAGAAGCCTTTTTCGCTTTCACCCCCCCAATAAAAACCCCCACACAGTAAGTGAAGACAGAGAGTATTACAAAGTGTAGTGAAGAAAACACTTTGAAATTCCCTCATGGAATATTTAATGACCACTCTTGACATACGTTAATATTAATACACAAGCTTAATTATATCACTTTATAGGGAGAAAATTCAAATATAATTGATACTTTGTTGGCCAACATAAAGACTATTTTGTTGTAAATGTCAATAGTGGAATTAATTATCGTATAAAGTGACTTTAAATAGTTGATGAATTTGAAAAAAGTGCATGAAATGAACATTCGAAAATGCAATAATTACCAAACATTATTTGTTCATAAATATTTCAAGCAAATTCAGCAATAATCAACTATCAATGATTTATTCACATCGTCCACAAATATTATTTCACACCCTCTTCTTCTGTTTGCAATGATGAAAAATTCATCATTGATGAGCAAGATTACATTCACAACAGTCTATTTTTCTCATCTGCAACTTGCTATTCACCCCGAAAAATCTTGCGCAATTGTGGAAAATTCAATAAGTTGAGGAAACACAAAAGAATTCCAAGCACAAAACTCTCTCAAGTGCGCACCCCCAAAGAATCGATTCTGCAATATTTTCTTAATCACACCAGCAACACTTTTCTTCTTCTTTTGCCACTCCATCTTTTTCCTACTCTCTCTCGCTCTCGCTCTCTTATTTTTATCCCATCACAATCTGTCACTTTTCCCACATATTTATCCACACTCTTCCACCATCTTTCAGTCTCGCATTTTCATTTTTGTAATGCGATACAACACTCTTCAGACGAAAGAGAATTTTCGTCTCTCTTTTTTTTAGCAGCCCTTCTTTCCACGCCAACACCCTAAGAAATGCCGAGCTTTTTCCTTCAAAACTCCCCACATTAGGAGTGGATTTGGTCGAATCAAACAAATTATTGTGGTACCACAAAAGGCAATTTTGAAGAGAATTTAGACACAGAATTCAGTAAGAATGTTTCAACAACACAATGTATTACTCCTCGACAAGTACACATCGACTTTCTTCATCCAGCAAGGAAAGCAAACTACTTCGGGTCCTTTTCCCACTCAATGTCTATCCTTCACCGAGACACTGTACAAATGACGACTTCCCCACTGATTCTCTCTCACTCTCGCTCTCTCACTTCCACCAAAATGTGCTTAGAGGAGAGTGTGGCAGATTTTGGTATCGCGTCTCTTGAACAGGACTTCACAAAGTCATTAGAACTTCATTATGTTTTACTAATTTCAAAAATATATCTCATGTATTTTCTTCAAGTTGTAATATAAACAGAAGATCTTTTGCTCTTCTTATCATTCTTTTATTCAACTTGAGTCTGTTTTGTAACTAGACTTGGTCCCCTATTTTGCCCAGTTCTCCTCTATTGTATATTCCACTCCAGAGTGAGACAGAAACTGAACTGTGTCTCACATTCTGGGACGCATGTTTTTCCATGTTTTGTACCCTCCGAATGAACCTGACATATTTCTCCTGCTTTTACCCTCTGTATATGCTTCTCTCAAACCCTCTTCTCTCTTCCTTTTTTCCCACATCGGCATCAATTTCACACACGCGCACTGAACATCTCACCATTCATCCCCCCATCTGGTTGAATTAATACACGGCAACGGTTGACACGATATGTACATAGAGATCAATTGGAAATGCTTCAAAAACACTTACATAACACCCTCTCCCTCTCTTCCTCACGTCTTCCACTTACATATGTGGATTGTCGGAACTTTTCTCAGTCATGTTTCCTTCCCCCACCCCTCGCTCAAGCAAGATACTCACGCCGCCATAGCCAAATGTCTCTTCAGTGCTAATGTATATGGTGAAAATATCCACAAATGTGTCCCTCAAAGCCGGCAAAAGGATGAGACAAGATGTGCGGTTTGGAGCAAGTCGTGTGGAAGTCGCATTGTCGACAATTTCCTCACAAGGAGACACACATTACATATCTATGTGCATATCGTCCATAAGCTGCCAGCGCGCGGGGAAGACAGACACACAGTGCGCATATACACTATTCCACATCGCCCATTATCCCTCAAATGTTATGCTTTATTATTGGTGTGCGGATGGCCATTATTGAGGGCTTGCCGTGTGACAGGGGAAGGATGAGTACCACCAGAAGAAGTAACTTGTCCCTTTGCACTGTTGTCGAGGGAGAGAGGTGAGATATTGCTGGGCGTCAAAGGGCCTTCCAACATTTCCTAATCTTCCTAAATACTTTTCCAATTGAATGAAACTTGTTTCATTCTTAACACTGTCTAAGCTTAATTTACCAAATGTTTATTTTCTTTAATTAGAAAAATTTCTTCTACATTGAAATAGAATCAGAATAAGATGTAATCTTCTGTATTCCCTTCTTCAAAACTACTTCGTGTAAGTACATTAAATCCCACTTATTCCTGACAATTCCAAGTTAATCTTGTAAAGGAGCATTATTCGAACAGAACACGCTGTCAATTTTCCACGAAACTTGAGAAATCAATAAGACGAATGATGGTGAAAAAAAAACCATGACAGTTTGAGAAGCACTTATGGACATTCAGTGTGAGACGAACCACTTAGCAGAGTGTGAAAAGAAAATGATGCCAGCGGAAAATGATATTGTCGCCGCCATTTCCTTCGGCTTTTCTACTCCTCTTATTCTCTCTCTCTCTCTCTCTCTCGCTCTCCCTCTCATTTTCTCTCCTGCGGAAAAATATAATCCTTCAAATTGTACGAAGAAAAAAAATCCGAATATAAGGAGAGATGAAGAGAACATTTATGGGAAGAATCGAGGGATTACAGAGTGTTACTCTGTGTGGTGCAATATAGAAGGAGAAGAAGAACATCATCCCTATTACAATGGATTAAAGTATAGCATGAATATGGAGAGAAATGTGTGACTCTGACTTTGTGGGTAAATCAGCCTTGCAATTCAAATGGGGAAACATGATCACAACCACATAACGTCTGTCTCCCTTTCTCAAAATCTCCTCTTTTTAGAATTTCGAAAGGCAAAGCGAGTGTGATGTATATTAGCACACTCTTTACCCCTCATTCTGGCCGCAAAACCGTTTTCAGTCTCGAGATGATTTCCATGCGCAGCCACTAAAATTTTCCTGTCTCTGTCACACACTTTACATTCCCGAATGGGTGTAATTGGGAAAAAAAAAGAGTGGAAAATACCCGTCTTTTTTCACACACACTCTATATTCTCATTCGCACTATCATTGCTCCCTTTTATTGGGACACTTTTTTCCCCATTTCACCCTTTTTCACCAGTTATTATGTCACCACCACAAATGACTGGTGAGAGGAGAGACACAGATTCTGAATTGCGCAATCACATTCCGTACAAAATACCCAAAATGCAATCTAAACGAGAAACACTCTCATCATGTCGCATTCGTTCTCATTTCCAAGCCAATTTTCCAAATTCAACCCCCACAATTGAATGGAGAAAAGAAGGAAAATAACACGATTAGGGAATAGGAAAAAAGTTACTCACTTGAATCTCTCTTATCACTTGATTGCTTTGGAGAACAGTTTTTCTTGTTGGGATTCGATCGCATAGCAGAATTTGGCTGAAAAGATAAGAATATGGGGATTAGTATGATAATCCCTTGTTGACAGCTTCTCCCTTCTCTCTCTCTCTCTTTCTCACTTTGTAGCTCATGATTTTGTCAGAACGTTCACCACTTGGCAATCTAGCGACAGACACATCAGGACTGTCCTCCGGTGGTGGAGGCTGTGGCACCCAATTGTACTCCCTCTTCTCAATTGGAACATTCCATCGATCGTACTCTGAGGCTTGTTGCCTGCAGGAAGACACAAACACACAGACAAAAACCAATTAGAATGCAAATAATCTCAGTGAAATCAATTGCAATGACAAAGTCACCTCAGGCTCTCATAGCAATCAAGACAGACAACAGCATAGTCCCCATTCTCAAGCAGCAGAGCACCATCACTCTTTCGATTGGCAACAAAGGGAAACTCCCGGATGGGCAGAGCTCGAACCCTCTTGCGATATGTTGTGATGCCACAGAGATGGCAGCAATAGTCATGCCAATTGTACTTCCTCTCATTTGGCGTCACTGCATTCTGAGCTTCATACCTAGAAGAAAGGCAGACAAGAAGTTTTTCATTAGAAAAAAAAAACCCCTTCTTCATCGTCCGCGAAGCTCCTAACTCACTTTCGCCACTGACTGAGCAGTGAATGGTAACAGAAAGTACACACGAGAGCTGAATAGTCCGAGCGCAATTGTTCAGCATTCGGGGGTGATTTGTGTTTCAGCAAATACGGAAAGTATGGCCTGGAGCCCTCCTTGCTGGCGTACAGTACACGCGCCAGCGTCAAGTCCGAATGAAGGCCACACAGAAAGCAGTAAATTGACGTGCTGGCCGGTGTTGATGCCACCGATGGTGTCGATGGTGGTGTATTAATGCCACCCAATCCACGAGAGCCATTTGGCGACCCCGCCGCCGGTATTGGCGATGGAATGTTATACCGGCGATGCTCAAGTGGTACACGCTCGGCATCCATTGTCTCCCACTGCTTCGCCAAATGGGTAACACATCGTGTGCACGCCAGCACACGATTTGAGCCTCCTTCGCTTGTCTTCAAGCATGGAAAATGCATCGCATGGGAATTCATGTGCTCCGCTGACGTTGATAACCACTCCATTTGATTGCCAGGAAACAGACCCTTGCAGATGAAGCATCTGCAAAAGAAGAGCAACGTTACGCGATCAGTCAAAATCACTCCACCTTTTCACTCAATGTCACGAAGTGTTAGATTTTCTTGTTGTTGCCAACACGGTTCGTCATAAGCGTGAGAAATATTGATTTTGCATCACACCAACACTTAATGGATTGGATTGTTTAATAAAATATTACATAGAAAGAGCCAACTTTGTTGCAAAAATACTCACGGATACTGTCCATGGCCATTCTCGAGGGTCTCATGCGAATGAGGTGGTGTATTTGGTCTCGAATCCCGCCTTAAACTCTTGGAATCCCTCACAATTGCCGCCCCAGCCGAATTGAGCGATAGCGTTTCATAAGGCTGCAAAGAGATAAATACACATTTTACCATAAAAAAAATTCAATAAAATTGCACTTTAAACTATTAAGTCATAATATAATATGTACTACAAATTCCAGAAAGAAACAAGAAAAACCTTTTTACGCATAGTTTTGCATTCTTCAAAGTATTTCATCTCGGAAATTAATTGAAGATTCATTGTAATAACTGTGCTCATGTCTATTGTGAGCGATATCACGTTGGATAGAGATAGTCAGACGAGGGGTGAAGTAGAAGTACGTGGGAATTTTTGAGGTGTGGCGCATGTGATTCCCATCAAATACCACCTATTATATTCCCACTGATATTGTGTAGTGATGAAATCGTAAGTGAAAATTGAACGAGAGTGGAAGAAGAAGAAAAAAAAAACGCACGATATTGATAGTGAATTATCATAGGCTTTTCCTCTCTTATCAAACCCTCTCGTCTTTGGACTCTCAAGTGTTGGATTTTCTAACAATAAGTCTGGCACGATTCCATGAACAGGTTGATAATTTATTAGACGTGATATCGTGGCAAATCAACTGGTTTTTTAATTGGTGGACAAAAATCACAGATCATCTTATAATACCCAAAAAGCTCAATTAATACAACATTCACCATGCAGACCTGTCTTGATTTGCGCCTCTGCACTTTTTTATCCCTGCGATAGAGATTAACTGGAATTTGAAGAGAAACCAGGGACATTTTGCCTCTGATTTCGCGATCACTCTATCAAATCACACTCTCAAATCTGTTTCTCAATAATTCACGAAACACACACACACACACGAACGGATCCTCTTTCTTACGCTGTGCAACACAGCAAATAATGAATCAATATGTGCTTCCTCAGCGATAGCTCAAATTCGACTGACGACAGTCAACATGACAATATTATATCGCCAGTAATTTCTCACCAAGTCTGCTGACTCTTTTCCTTCTCCCTCTCTCTTTCTCTCTTTCTCATTTTCCCTGTCTGCCCGTGTTGTTTTCCTTCCACATTTTATTCGCTATAAACTGTGCAGAGCACATAAACACATATCAGAGACAGACGGTGGAAGTGATAGAGAGAGAAGAATATTCACCAATGATGATATGGTGAACTATCTGGTCAAACAGTATTTTCTAGTTTAAACCGAAATTCAATTTTCACATTAACGATAAGTAAAACGGCGCTAATTTGACTCTCTTTTGCCAATTTTTCCAACCACACCGGCATCTTCTAGTTCCTACCGCTCTCCATTAAACAATACACAAACACACATTTCAGATCATTGTGAAATCAAGTGGCAACACAACACACCTACAACACTCCCCCCACATCTGCCTTTATCTCAATCCCCCAGCATTACCTATTATTAGCATTATCATTCACATTTCGCACACACGTGGATGCATTGTGTGTAAATCGGTTTTTTCCTGCTACTGTCATTGAATTAAAATATATTTATAAATAAAACACAACACTCTGTGTGTCTCTTGCTCAACACACTTTTTGCATATTGCGACCAAACAGCCAGAGTGGAGAGTGAGAGACTCACCTTAAACCGCACATTACTGGATTCCGAATTGGCTTGTGACTTGTTATCGGACGGTGTAAATCTGCCATCAATGCTGGTAGCACCACCACCTTCAGCTAAGTGCGAATGCTTTTCATTGCACGAGGAACATATTTGCACCATGCCTGGATGTTGGGGGGATTTCCCAGTCGCGCGCACAAAGAAATTCAAGAAGAAATATGTGTGTTAATCGCACAATTCACAACAGAAAGAATTCTTCAATACTCACCCTGCGGACTGATAGGACTAGCATTGGGAAAGGCTTTCAGTGTCTTTATGAACGGATAATACGGCTCACGTTCGGCATTTGGGCAGCAATACACAAGCCTCAATTGTGACGATGGTGTGTCCGTGCCGCAAGTGTAGCAAACAAATGTCGCTCTCTCACGTTCACCCACCGATGCTGGGCGCTTCCTCAATTTGTAGTGACGCTCATTATCTGGAATATTGTGCGCCTGCAGAAGACAACAATATACAACGCATTAGAATTCATAATATTACCATTTTTTTCTCATCATTATTTTTATTATTAGTATTCCCTCCTTCCCATTTCACACCGCGCGCGCAATACATTGATTTACGTCAATCGCCATCCTTGCTAATAGATTGTAATTGTGTCTAAAAACGAATAAAGAGATAGAAATATTCTTTTTCCAATCTACACCGGTGTATGAATCAACATAGACACTCATTCTTGCGGTGGAATTATTTGCAAATTGTCACCTCTTCTGCGCCTTGATATTGTGAATCCAAATACTAACTCTATTTGCTGAAAAATTGGTAATAATGTATACACAACTTGCTGATAAACTGATCATTGCCGGTTTTTCTCCCATTTTCGCTCCCTTCCTTCCTTCCTCACCCTCTTACCCTCTCACACTCTGTATGTGTCAATGTTTGAGAAAGTATTCAACCTCATGTGCAAATAATACTCAATTTACTTTTTCACACCTCTCTCAAACAGTCTTTTCATTCTCTTCACACACTCCTCACTTCCATACACTCTTTTCTATAAATAATAGTCAGCTTTGGCGGAGGAGAAGAAGTCAGTGTGGAAAAAAAATCAATGGAAATTCTCGCCAAATGAACATATCGCAAGAGCGAATCTCACACGAGAGGCTAAATGTATAGAGTGCGAATCAAAGATCTGCTCTTTCGATACTATGTCAAAAGGTTAATGTGATAATCGAGTGCTGGCGAGGTCAAGTGTATCACGAAATGATTTAAGAGTGTCTATAAAAACACCATTTTCCATATACAGTATATGAACAGTCAGAGAGAGAGAGAGAGAGAGAGAGTGAGAGTCATTTGGTCAAAGTTAATAAATGATGAATAACTATGTGACAAATCTATCTCTGTTTATGTATTTCTCTCTCTCTCTCTTCTCCCCGCCCGCAAAAATATAAGAAAATATAACCAACACCTAATCAATAAATTAGTGATTTCAAAGTCAACAAAGTGTGGAAAAATTTCACGATCCAACAACACACAATCCCACGAATCTGTCACATTTATTAAGAGGAGTGGATGATGAGAGGCCAGCTAAACAGCGACAGTCTAATGATGTTGAGCAAAAAGTATGCTGAAAAAGTCAGCTGGTGGCAGATGTTAATGCGCAAGGAGACAAAAAAGAGGTAATCGAGACACGATGAACAACGATAAACTAGACAAATCTGGTAGGAGTCTCTCAAAATCAAGCTATTTCCCGCTTTTAGAGACACTCTCCACGGCCACACACCGCGCACCGCAAGTCTGGCTCTTTTCAGTGTCGGAATTTTGCTGGATAGTGCAAATTGGCACTGTTACTCAATCACACACAATTCATCTGACACACCGTTGAGATCATGAAAATAAGCCCCAAAATGTAGAAACTTGCGATTATTGCATGTTTAGCCGCAAAAATTTACTTCTATGCTTAGTTGATGATATAAATTATTATAAACTGTTAAATCCTATGGACGAAAAAACTAAAAAGTAATCAAAATGCATTTAAGACATTTGTAAATATCAACCAATGAATATAGTACGCACGTTTTCAAACAATACTCACAAATCATTGTGATATCAAAGTTTCTTCGCCTTATCAACGTATCGGAAAAAGGTACACGATATTGCTCTTCTGTCTCAACCGCCACGATTCTCTATATATTATTGCTGTATTCTACCAGAGATTCTCTACATAGTAAAGATATTGCATGCAATTATTTAAAACCTCTACTATACAACTGCATAAGAAGAGACACAGAGTGAGAGCTTAATGTCTCTCACTCACGAAATTGCAATCGAAAGGCATGTGTGCTGGCGGGGTGGAAGAGTGGGAAGAAGCGGCAGAACAATTTAAAATATTACACACCAAATTAATTAGGTGGGTACTGCACTATAGCAATGTCGCAGTCTACGATCGTGGAATCTCAAGCACTTGACTCGGCGCAATCTATTTTTGCCCATCTAACACACACACACACACACACCCTCACTGTGCAAACATTTATAACAATTGAGTGTTGATAGGCTTGCGTCTAATTGAATATTTTGGCCATTGAAAACTTGAATGAATTATATTTTGGCTCTCTCAATCTGTTGTGTTTATCCCTAAGCAAATGCATGGCCTTATCATTGTGTCCTACATTAAAACACATGCGACTCCTCCTTAGCCTCCTTTTTTGTCCCCTCAATTCGCGCAATGAGGCGCGCACACACGACAAAAAGATCACCCACTTGCTGCTCTTTACACAGCAGACACAGTCTGAGAGAAGGCAACAACACACATCGCAGTTTACCGGTGAAAACCGGATACAATCAAATTTTCCTTAATATAATTATCTCATTTAAAAACACTCGCTCTCTGTAATTGTGTGTAGTTTGCTTATCTCAGCTCTAATCCCCTCTCTCTCGCTCTCTTTGCTGTCGAAGCGACACTTGGCCAAACACACTGCTCACCTGAAAATGATGCCACTGCTGAAGCATGTGCTGATAGCAGAGTTTGCAGGCTTGAATCATGCCCTTGGGATCCTTCGGTCGCGATCGCGCCGGCCGCGGATGCTGCTCGCCGAAGATCGGGAAGTACGGCTTGTCGCGATCCTTCAACTCCTTGGGCATCACCGTGCTCAACTCCGTCAAGCTGCCGCGTCTGTACTCCTCGCCGCACACATAGCACACCTCAGTCATGGAATTCTTGTCGGGCATCGAGAGATCGAGAATGTCCGTGGCCGAAGGCATTGTCGATGATGAATCTGAGCTGCGTGACGACGTGTTGCGGAGATCAAGGGCGCCCTCCTCATCCTGCTGATACGGTCCCGGTGACGGTTGCAGTGTGTACGGCGATTGCGTCTTCAGCTGCTGCTGCTGCTCCATATTGGCCGCATTCATGTACCCCAGCGAGCCCAATTTGTATTTATGATGTGCAAACGATGATGGTCTTATGCTGATGCCCTCATATGAGTTGACACGTGGTGTTGCGCTGGCCTGCGTCGCCTGACCACCACCACTACTCACGTTCTCCCGCGACACAGGGCGCGACGTTGGCGTTGGTATCTTCTCATTCCTACTGGACGGTCGATTGTACATATCCGGGGTGCGCTTGTAATACGCCTCTTTGGCCACCGGCGACTCATTTCGCGATGTCGGCCGAATGGGGCTCTCATTGCGCGCCACCATTTGACTGGGATACGGTGACAAGTGAGCATGCAGTTGGGCATCTCGCGATGTTGGCCTCGTCTCGCGTGGCCCATACTGCTGATAGGGTTGCTGCTGTCCACTGGACAAGTGTTCAGCACTCAGGCCCAGAATCTGTGCCGCATACTCGCCCTGCACAGACATGTCGGCCCCCACATAGCCCTTCCCATCCAGGCGCTTCAGATGATACAGGCGCTGTGAGTAGGGGCGACCGTCGCGCTCATGGCTCTCCCACTGCTTCATCAGCAACTTGTAGCAGAGAAAGCACGCTCGCACAATTGGCTGCGATGCCGACACCGCCGGCAGACCCGTGGGCGGCTCATGACCCTCGAGAAAGGGAAAATTCGGCTCGTTCGGCCGCTCCGGATTGGGGCGCACTCGCAAAGGGAATTGCTCAAGCACACCACGAATGCCGCACACAAAGCATATTGACATTACACCCTCTGCACTGTCATTTGACGGCTGCTGCTGCGCTCCATGGTGACCAGCACCCGGATGATGAGGATGTCCGGGAGACTCTGACGGCGCCAAGGAACCTCGCAATTCGTTCTTTATGTAGGCTTTCGCCTTTTCCATACTCTCCTCTGTAAAGAGACAAATGAGAGAAGAGCAAATATGAGTGTTTTGCCATTCAATTATGTTTGCTTAAATTGCACTGTTTAATTTAACATGTTTTTACTTGTAATTATATGAAAACCTACGAAGAAGTAAAGTCTAGAGATAGAATTAAAGAGCCTCTTTTTTCACTCTCTTCCTTCGATAGAAATAATGCTTCAATTTTGATCGCACTTTCCTCTCAGTGCGGAAAAAAAACATACAAGACCCTTCGCATCAGTATATGAAGCCTATCAGTAGTGAGTGTAATAAAATATTTGACTTGATCTTCCCCCTTTTTTCCCACTCATCATTTCAGTCAGACTGATTACACCACGTACAATTCCGAATGCTAAGTGCCACTGGCGAATACACGATAGAATTGATACAACGCATTTTTTCCTGTCTCGCTGACTTGTCATCTTTCCTTTTTTGCACACCATCCATTCCTTATTCCGCATCTTCGCGGAGAGTGTCAAAAGACCCTCACCGCGGCTGTTTTGCCCACACACAACACATCAAGTCACACAGTGTTTTGTGTTATGGGTCACTTGGGATTGAAATGGTTCATGGCATGTGTAATGAATAATATCATTTAAAGAATATTATATTTTCATCAAAAATGTCTCTTTTTCAACCATCATAAAGATTCCTTTTCTACGATGTGTAATTGTTGCGACGCTCGAGATCATTCACATTTTTTCTTCGTTTCTTCTCCTCTTGTCATCTTTCTTTTTTCTTTCCTTTTTCGCGAAATTCCTCAGATACCGCCGTGTTCGCCAGTGTGTGTGTGTGTGTGTATGGAAATGCATGCATTTATGGAGGAGGAGAGAGTAATAAAATATTATAAAGAAGAAAAAAAGAAATAGTTGCTGCTTTGTCATGGCAATAATTAACAAATCACACAGTTCAAAAAGTTCACAATTTAATGCATTATTTATTGTTCTTTTCTTCTCTCCCTCTCCTCTTGTACAAGCGCAGCTCACACGCGTGACTGAAGGCAGTCAATAAAGTGATTGAATGGAGGAATCTATTTATGATACCACCTCCTTCCCATCAAATTACCATTCCCTCTCCTTTCCCTCATCATAAACTACCCAGAGAGACATTTACACACACTTCAGCCTTAGCAGAAGCACATGTTTTTCCAACATCCACACATTATATTCTACACAACATAACATATCTTTGATTTTATCAGTTGAAATGGTTGCACGTTAAATATAAATGTGATCCTCTTTTTCTCTTCTCTCTCGTGCGAAGATAAATGGGACTCCTTGACGCAGTGACGGGTTGAAGTGTTGCGCGATGATAAGAGGAGTTGTGGTGGAAAAAAGGAAGAAAAGTCATCAATTCATTTCAATTTTCACGATATGGAGAGCCACACTGTGTCGTAAATTTATTCACCTAGGTCAATAATCTGCTTCCGACCAAAAGTTTATCAGTGCCTTTTTTCACACTCTTGTTTATGTTTTTTTCCTTCTCCCCATCATTTCTCATCTTTGCCCATTTTCTCGCCTCACAATTTACATACACACCATTTTATTGGGGCACTCTGTACTCATTTTCTCCCTCTCTCTCTCGCGCGCTCCTTCTCCTCTGATATTTTGCGAATGTGCGTATTTTTTTTTATATCGTCACGACCCATGAAGAGGCGTCTCTTGTGAGTCCCCAACAAGACAGTAAAAATGTCTTTAGCAGAAAAAAAACCTCATGCTCTGTATATTTATCAGGTATTGACTCGGGAAATCTCTCTCTCTTTCTCCGTCTCACTCGATGTGCGTGGGTGTGATAATCTGACAGAAATCGCCTCTCTTCAGCCATAGTGTTAAAATTGCCTCAAAATCGCAACGTGTGGCGAGGCATTTATTGAAATTAGCACACGAGGAAACCATTGAATATTTCAACCGACACTAATTTATGCATCTACGATTTTTTATTTATCACTCTAGCAGCAGCGATTCTAATCAATTCCAAACCAACAAAAATGCCTATAATCAAAGACAAGACAATATGTAACTAGACACACTTCTAATTAATCTAATAAAATGCCGGATATAGAACAACATTGTTTATAACATTACATTATCGTCTCTCACACGACTCACAGTAAAATCCTCAATGGATTGGAAGTAATCGCGAAATAATTTATCGCAACCTTGACACGTGCCTCAAAAACGTAATAATAATTATTTAATGGTACATTTACAAGTAATGCAAATTCTCAACTTTACTATTTATATTGCTCACTTCCACTATTTTATCGCACACCTTTTATCAATTACCTGCCATCGAGCGTCATGAGAAATCAAGCGAAGAATTTAAACATTGTGTGACAAATTAGACGACGAAAGAGAGAGAGAGAGAGAGAGAGAGATAGAGAAGTTCATTTACTCATTTTCTTCTCCTGCCGCTGAAGACATTTTGCTGTACACATTTAATATTAGCATTTTTGCACACCTTTCTTCCCGTGGTCATTCAACAGTCCAGAAACCAGGGAAGGCGCAAGGTGATTCAGAGACTTTTGGAAAGAATATTACATGTTGTACGTTTAATTTCCTGATTTTATTTTCAGCACATCGATGTAACCATTTCGATGGAAATTAAACAGCTATATATCCTTAATAAAATTGTGAAAATTGATCTTCAATTTTTCCACCTTGTAAGCAATCAAAATTCACTAAATACGCGTACTTGTTGTGCATTAAAATGGGAAGATGTTGTTAAAATTAATGGCTGGTCGAAACACCTGTCGATTGACTCTTTTTTTCATGTATCCTTCTGCCCTCTGTCGACCATCTAATTGCCCTCAAAAGCATCTTGTGCCCAACGAAATTTCACACACACACACACGCATGCACACAGTTTTAAAGGAACGAAAAGAATCTGGCGGACTGCAAAAAGAGCATATTAATTGCATAATGCCACGAGTTTGTAATTAATTATCGTGGGATTATTGTTTCGTGACTTGAGGCTGCAATCTAATGTGAAAATGGTTGGTATTCTAAGCCTGACTCATCCTCCTGCCCTGGGAATTCTCTCTCACTCTCTCGCTTTCTGCTCTTTCTCTCCCAACTCTGTGGAACAAATTATCTGCGCCCTCAATTGCCCAATTTCTCCGGACACGGGAATGTGTGCAATGCAATTCTGGACTCTCTCGCGCTCTCTCTCTCTCTCTCTTCATGTGGGTGGAAGCGGAAGTGGATAGAGCGGAGGAGAGAGAGAGAGAGTGAGAGATGCAAGAATAACACTTTGTGATGCATTTGCCAAAAAAGACACTGTTCATCAATGCGCCGAAGCGGACCAATTTCGGATAGAGAAAATATAGCCATCATTGTAACTTATTGAAGAAGAATAGTTTATGATGGCTAGAATTTCCGAAATCCCATATTTTTTTTTATATCTCAATCCAAATGTGTGGCAATAAATTGACTATTAATTCAAAGGTCTGCACTGAGAGAAAAGCAAGACCAGCATTAAGACGCTATATTGTCACTTAATCATGATAAAACAGCTGAGATGAGATTGTTATTGGAGAAACACAAATGTTTCTGTAAAACTGGCAGAATTCTTAGCAGAAAAAAATTTATCATCCACAGAAGACTTATTATTATGACTAACAAAAATCTTAATTTGCCACTTATTTTATTATTCTCTAAACCTTGAATTTTGTACACCATAAAGTGATCAAAAAACGAAATTTCTGATTTAGGAAAACTTGAGTATTTATTTCATTGCACAATCTTCGCTGTTTCCCAATTGATTTTCCACACAAACTTCAGAGCTCGCAAATGATTGGCACAAATGAGTCGCCCTTTCAATCACAGCAAGAAGAACAAAAGATGCTCGCGATGTTTTCCTTCCAGTGGCCATCAATTAAATCCCTGACTTGCCCCACACTCTATATGGGTGTGTGTGTGTGTGAATGGGGAGCTCCCGAGAGGTGGGGGTGAAAAATGACTGTGAATCTAGGTCAGGATTTTCCTCTCGAAAGCGCCACGTGAACTCCGGCCCGGAGGATGGTTTGCTGGCGCTTCCCGAGTGTCCCCATCGATTGCCACGAGCGGCGAATGGGCTCAAAAGTGGAGCAGATGGTGACGCGCTTCGGGAGGCGCTGAAACAATGGACTTGGAGTCGCCAAATTTGCAAGAGAGATCCAACAACAAAGGCCAACACTCGCGCGGCTCTTTCAGGTTTTTGCGAAAAGCGCCGTGTGAATCGCGAGGGGGGCCATTTTCGACTTCGACTCGCACACAAATACACACACACTCTCTTTGGCGATGGGCAGAGGAAGAAAAGAAGGAAAAAAGCACCCTGTTTGGGGCATTTTCTCCCGATCGCGCGTCAAAGAGAGGCCCGCGATGACCCCAAAAGACGCCCAGCCAGGGGCCCAACTTACATTTTTTGTCCAGTCGAGACGGAATGGGAAAATTCACGGAGAGGCGCTCAGTTGGCTGGAGACATCCATATTGCTGCGGAGCCCCACGGAGAGGGGCTGTGTGCGTCCGGATGGTTTGGTCAGGCCGCGAGACGCCCTCTCTCCCGCACGCGGGCTGCTGCCCCAGGGCCCAAAGTCGCACTGTGCACGCACCAGGGGCTGCCGAAAGTCCTCTGCACTCCACTTGGCGTCACTTGTGTCCCAATTTTACGGAATTTTCACCATGAAAACGTGCGCCCCTGCGTCTCCATCTGCACACACACGGGAATCGGGAGGAGGTCGAGAAGAGAGGCTGCCTTTTCTTTACATAACAAAAACAGACGATCCGCCACAGCTACGATTATCACAATATCACCAAATCAATCACACCACCATGCATTGCACGTTAGTAATGTATTTACAGTGAAAACTCCCCTATTTTCATGGGTTTTTCCGTGGAAAAGTGTGTCTAAAAAATCTACACTCACTGAACTTCGACACTTCACAGTGCTCCAAAATCGGCTATGGCGCTGTTGTCGCCTTCGGCCGCTCTTCGGCTGCTGGCGGCCATTTTATTTCCACCGCCGAACGGTGGTGGATTCTGAAAGCTTGCACTTTTTTGGCCGACACACACGCGGTTTTAGTACAGCCGACGAGCAGTGCTAAATCGGCGTCGTCTTCGAATTACGACAATTCAAGTGCCAACTGTCGCGATAGAACAAAAAGACATTTTTTTCTCATTACTTTTCTTTTTCTCTTTATTTTATTTTTCTTTCTCTCTCTCTTTCTCTTCTCTATGCAACAAGAAAACAAGTTAATGCACTTACGTATCAATACTGTGTAAAAGGTTTTGGATTATATACAAAAGTTGCATTGATGCACAATTCAAAGTGAAACTTTAGCAGGAATTCATTATAATTGCAAGCACTAGAAAAAATCACGATTCTTTTCTGCTCTCTACAAAATAAATATCAAGTAGTTTCTACCTAATCATCACATTTTCATCTCTCGTCAGATTTGTAGCAAAAACATCGCTCTTCATCATCGTCATCGGGTTTTCTCCTCTCCTTCTTTATGCACTCGGCCTGAGCTCGGCTGGCAGGAAGATCCTGTTGATCCTGTCAATTGTTGAGCGGCAGAGAGGACATCCATCACACCTGAAAGTAGAGAATTTGTTTGTCAATCACACAGTTCACGCATGCTTCCTTCAGCGCCTTACATTTCTGCACAAATCCTGCAACAGGCGACATGTCCGCAGGGCGCAAACATCGTGTCGATCGCCTTGTCCATGCACACGCGACACGTGAAGGCCTCAGAGATGCGATCGGACACCATCTTCTCCATCTGCCCTCGTTTCGCTTCCTGCTCCGCCAGAACAGCGCTCACATCTGTCGCCACCGCTCGCAATCTGCTGTCCAGATCGTCCGGCTGACTCTCCTCGTCCTCTACACAGCCCACGTCCACTCCCTGGGAGTGCAGCACCCGCCTGGCGTTGTCGTACACCTCGCGGCAAGTCCTCTGGATGTCGAAGACATACCTTTTGCCCAGCTCCGTGTCCTCATTGAACATGGACACAATTGTCCCCTTGAGATCTCTGATGAACTGCGTTTGCACCGCACTGCCGACCGTCTCGCACGAGTAAAATGCATGCTTCTCCGTGATGGCACGATACAGCCCGTGAGCCGTCCTGTGGCAGGGCATCTTTAGGTCCAGCTCCGTGCTGGTGTGATCATGCGAGAGGTAGCGTAGCCTGAAGCTCCTGCCCTTAGACTTCACCGACTCCACGGCGCTGTAGGGAATCCTGCGCAAGACAACACGAAAAAATGAGTGTCAGTCAATGTCCTTTGGCAGAAGTGCACACAAATACTCACTCTCTCTTCTCATTCCCCACAGTGTAGATCACAAGTCCGTGTGGCCCCACGGCGATGTCCATTTGCATCTGCGTGCCAAATTCACTCTTCGGCACGTGAAAGATCTCCTCACCGAAGCCCTCGAGCTTCGAAATCTCCGCCAGAAGCCAGTACTTGGCCGACTTGGCGGACAACTTTGCCAATTTGGCATGCTCTTGCCGAATCATCGCTGCAAAATCCCTCGGCATTTGCTGTGACTCCACCAGCGGCCTTATGCTGTAGTACACCTCGTAAGGCGTCTGGGAATCGCATCTCTTGGCCTGCGTCACCACGTCTGGCGTCTCGGAGCACTTCCTCTTCGATCCGCGGCGCTGCTGCTCCTTCCTCTCGCCGCCCATCTGGGCCACTCCTCGTGACGCCTGAGCGACTTCTGTGTACTTCACGCCATCCGCCTGGGCGAAGAGTGCCGCCAGGAGGGCAGCATTGCTCCAATTGGACGCCAAGAGGCGATTCTCAAGCAAATCCTGCCGTGCCTGCATGTAGAAGAGATTCCGCACACTCTCCTGCAGGATTATGTGCACAGGCACCCAGAACTTCACCCGCAACGCCAGACTGTGCAGATTCCCCTCGATGCTGTGCCTGCCGAGGGGATTCCTCAAGTTGATCCAGTGCCTGTTGCGCGACTCCCCATCCACCGGACTGCCCGGAATCTGTCCGCTGGCATCAATCGTGGCCACAGATGCTCGGCGATTGTGGACCAAGAGTCCAAAGTATTCCGTCTCACACACAATGCCCAAATCTCGCCATACCTGCCGAAGAAAATAGAGAGAGATTGCGTTAGATCTCTTGCCTTAGAGTCATAAAAGATTTTATGGAACGCAGAATTTCTTTTGGCAACATGTGATATAAACAGATATCACTACAGTTTCAACATGCGTGAGCAACAAGAAAAGACGGTCAAAGGTGTGTACATATTTAAATCATTCAAAGTTGTGTGTTATCAAAGGCAGAATGCCAATACATCATTTCCTTCTGTAATTTGAACCCCATTCACTTCACCTCCCACATTGTCTGGCAAACAAAACTCCCCATAAATCATGAAAATTCTGTGTATTTTCACCTCCTTTCCACGCTCATTCGCGCCTATTTACTCAACAAAAAAAAAAACACCCGCGAGGCGGCGAGAGTGAGAAGAAAGGGTGATAAGACTTATCAGCGGCACTGTTTCTCATTTCTCAAAAAAAGAATAAATAGAGTGAGAGAGAAAAAAGAAGTACTCAGTGATATTGCTGAGAGGAAACACTGTGTTTTATACCCTTCTCTGTTGATCCATGAAATAATGCCTTCTTATAACAATAACAAGACAGCGCACTTGTGATAGCGCGAATTTGTTCACTTTTGCCTCTTTATTATTTTGTAAACAATATTTTGTACATCGCGATGCTCTCCTTTTTCCCGTTTTCTCTCTGTCTTTCTGTAAATATAACAACTGTGTTGTTGTACCTTCTCTTCAACACGGGCGCAGGAGAGCCAATGAACTCAACCAGTGCGTGCTAATTATAAATCGAAAAAAGGTATTATGGATATACTGAAATATCGTCAGCTGCAGCATCTCTTCTCGTATCGTCATGAGTGACAAGAACTGTGCAAGAAATGGGTTCAAGAGCACAAGTACAGCGGAAGAATTGCAGGGGAAAAAAATCATTTCAGTGCGATTTTCCGTGCAATCTTTCAATTTTCCTTGGAGTGTTTTCCCATCCATTTACGGGTGTGCTCAGAACGCAGACAGACAGAGAGATAATCTATTGAAATAGAATATGTCAATTTCCTCGTTTATTTGCACTGGCCATCAAAGTGCTAACCAATTTCAATAATATTTAATCAACCGGTTTTTCTCTATTTCTCCACACTCGGTCATTTTGTCGTGTTGTGTGCAAATCGCTTTTCTTCGTAAGAAGTTTTTAGCGCTTTTTAGCATCTCAGCCATTCGGCGCGATGAGCTAAAATAAACTTGACTCTCTTTTTTTCCCGCGTGCTGCAAAGATGTGAATAAGGAAAGAAGTCTCTGACAGCAAGTCAAGCAAAAATGATCCCCAAGATTATGTGATTCTCTCTCGCATGGCTAACAACAAATTTATGTGCACCGCATGAAGAATAAAAAAAAAGCGAAGATAATAACATATCCTTGAACTCTAAAATAAATACATTTGATGACTTGAGCAAACAATAATAATTTTTATGTGGTATTTTATGTACATGTGTGACACTCTTCGTTCCACCTAAACAACAGCAAAAACAATGAGAAAAGTCGTGGAAAAGAGTCACGAAAAAGCACGTTTTATTGTCAAACTGCGCAATACTTTTTTTTCCCACCTAATCTTCAAACGGGAAGAACTTGAGTTTCAGGATATCGGATATGTGTTTGTGCAAAATAACATGATTAAATGATCTCACGTAGACCGACCAATTCCGCCAAGGGTATGAAGAAAAAGTGATTGAACAAAGGTTCCAGCAAATTCCCTCATTTGGGCTTTGGCAGTGGATTAAAAGTCCATTAAATTACTCAGTGAAATTTCCGACTGAATCCAGTGAAAAGTGACATATTCTTATCGTGCGCTTCACCCATCTTGGGAAAGTACAAATCCTTCTGGGAATGTTGATGATAGACAAACGTGAAGAGGCGCGCCGACAAATTCACTCTTATGAATATAGAATTCAGGCTCATCATGTGGATTAGTGTGACTAACCTCCTTTCTTGGGCTCTTGGGAAAAACCCTCAAAATAGAAAAAAAACCTCTATAGAGGCTTAAGGAGAAAATCCTCGAAAATCCCTCAATCATAATCCGACGCATGATTTGTACTCGTTCTGTAATCGCGTGAAAGAAGAGCGCGTGAAATCCCACCCATAATCATACACTGACTCGTGAATTTCTATCACACAAAATGCCACGACATTGATAATGAAAGAGAAAATTCACTCACTCGCTCAGGTAAATAATGATGGAATTCATGCACAACATACAATTGTGACCATTTAACCAACATTTGGGTCAATCAATTCCAATATCAAAAACCCACGAGAGAGTCTTCTTCCGCTCATCTCTGCCAATTGATCCATCAATTCACATCCGCCTTATATTATTGCAGTCTATCTTGTAATTCAATTGAGCCAACTAGTCTGCCGATCTCTTGCCACCGACTCTTTAACATTCACAAATCTCGCATCTCGCTGCTGATAACTCTATTTGGCATTACATCTTCCCTCTGATGCCTTTGTCTGATGATGCCACAGAGATGACAAAATGTGTGTGACTCTCAGAAGATTCCCCGCGCGCGCGATCTTCCCGCACATCAACAACGACGAACATTTGGAATTTCCCGCGCATTACAGCTCTTGCAATCGAGCGACAAAAGTTGTAAGATCAAAAGGAAAGAAACGGTTGGAACTTGGATTTACTCTAATCGCAATATCATGACGATCTAGATCACTGAATTAGGGAAATAATTTGCACTAAATTCCAATCGAAATTCCCATACTTAACCAGGTCAAATTTTTTTGAGGTTGTTTATCATTTATTTAAAAAAAAAGGCATTTCTGATACTTCGCAAAATCCCCAAATCTTGTCTACTACAATCAGGGATAGTCATAGAAATTATAAATCTCAATAGAAACACAAAGACATGTGATAAACCGTATTCTTAGAGGTTTAAATCTTTTTTTTTCCCATAAATCAACAAATCACTAAAAATCAATAATTTTATGATCGAAAGAATAAAAGATAAGAAAGATGCTAATCTAAATTATACTCAGAATAGCAATCATATACTTAATAATACTTAGCACGACATCGAGCGAAGCCATCAAGAATACAATTGCATGTTGCGTTCAATAATGTTATATAAACTTCAAATCTCTGCTCTCGAGAGCCCGGCCATGCGGTGTCTTATCTTGTTTTCATCTCTCCGCGAACCGCCGCTCTTTCTCCCAAGTCTCAGGGGCCCCCGCGCGACTCACTGAGGCCCGCTTGTATGGGTGAAAAAGCATTTAGCCAAGTGAGAGAGGAATATATACATTCATTTCAAACTTGAACACTCTTCCAAGTGTATTGTGTATGAAGAAATTTGCTGTACTTTGTACTTTGGACTCGTACCGCAGCTCAAGTGGACTTTGGACTCATGAACAACTATAACTCACTGGCCGCCACTCAGCATTAACTTTACTACTTTTCGTCAATATAAGTTTCGAGTCGAGAGACACCAGAGAATCTCGTAGAAGAAAATGCAGCATGACTACGAGAATTCGCTCTTATTTCCCAAAAAAAAAAAAATCAAAAAATTGTCACCACTTATCAGAGGCTATCGCAGAAATTTGCCAGAGAAAAAATCCCCACAAGCACATCAGAAACTCCGAAGAGAGGCAACATTTAACCTTTAACAAGTGCTTGCATGAGTCGCTTTCATCATCATTGGGGTAATTTGCAATTTACCAGCTGATGACTCTTCCATGGCAACACAGGCACGTAGCCAAAGATTGTCCTTCAATTAAAAAGTGAATTATCTGTGCACGGGATCAACAACCATTGCCATTAATAGAATGCACGCTCCTTATTTTCTTAATCAAAAGCCAATCAATAAACACAAATAGACGCTGCAAACAAATCCCACATTCCCAACTAAGCTTCACGTGTTCGCTAAGCTAGAAGTCCAGATTTATTGATTCACTTTGCAATCATCAATTTGCTGTCATGCTCACGCAACGAAATTGCACATGAGGCATAGCAATTGAATTTGTGCAGACCTTGAATTGAGCCACTTTTTTTCCACCAAATTATCCTTACGAAACCCACACACTTTGGCTGCGTATGCGATCTGCCGCTAATGAGGGGCCAGAGAAAGGGAATGGTTAGAAAGTGTGCTGAGGGAAAATGGTGATTGCCCGTGATAAATAACCTTTAGTTGACCATCTTCGATGATCACTCATTCAGCACGTGCTGATCACCACCAACACAGGCGCGAAACGAGCGTAGGGAGCAGGTGGGCCAGATGGTAAACAACAGATGATCGTCACGTTGAGCAGAATGATCGTGAAGAGTTTCACTGGGCGGGATATCAAGGTGGGAAATGCCAATTCCCTTTTGAGAAAGAAGAAGCAGTCTATAAGTATCCAATCGAGCCACAATTCCCCTACAAACCAATAGCGAAACTCACAAACACATCAATTGCTGCGTGAGCCGCTAAATTGGTCATCTGTGTCGCGATGAAAGGATGCTGTTCTTCACACACGACAATCGTTGAATATGTTGGTATGTCAGAAAGAGGCGAAAAATATTTAATAGGAAATTCACACTCCGGCAAAACTACGCATCAGAAATACAATTCTACTGCTCAAAAAAGGAGAAAAAAAAAATGGCACAAAAAGACTCCAATTCTCAAGGACAGAGTGTCTCTCACTCTGGCTTTGGCAAACAAAGCCCACCTTCTTTTTATAGCGTAAACACACAATTTATCATTCGGCAAACTGGGCTGAATTTTTGCAGACTCTCATTCGCGCACCAGTCTTAAGCTAATTTCCAACCTTCGGCGGACTAATTAATTAGATTATCAACTGTGTGCGGCTATAGGAAAAGTCGGTAATTTCTTGCATCATCAATAAAAATAACCACGACACATTCTCATTCCTGAAACACTGGGGAAACATCGATTAATATCTAAACCGCGACCAGACCAATTCACATGAGATAAAGTGCACTCTCGCCACGATCTGTTCACGTGATTGATCGCATGGTCATTGCCAATGAGGAATCACAAATTCTATCCATATTTAATGTGATATCGCGCGTCTCCATCATAGGAGAAATGTTAATTGGTTCCTACACAGCGCAACCATCTCGCATTTCAAGATGGTAATACAAGACATCCATTTTTCCCCACTCTTGAGCATCGGTTTGAATGCCCAACATTTTTCCAGCACTTGTTCTCCTTAAAGAAAAAAAAAGAAGCTCGAAGAGAAATTTCCCTTAATGTCATGTACATTTTGAAAACAGGAAGAATTCCGGTATACACAGAACGGGTAATCAGTTGTGTAATGCATTACGGTTTGTAGTTTCACAACTGTCAATTTGACAGAACCTTGAAAACTATAGACAAACCGACATGATCAGGCTAAGAAAATAATTTTTCAACCAATTTCTTCTCCATTTCCACTCAATTAGTGGAATGCGGCGCTTCCGCAGAGGAAATATAACAAGATAAATCACCTCGATTTTTAATTATATGTGTACTTTATGTAATTACACATTGAAATTACTTTGCGGAAAGTGAATGCATACATTTCTATTCATCACACTTTGGCACACAGGTGAAATACAATATTTGAATATATACTGACCAAAGTCTAAAAAGCGCTTTTTGGATCCGTGTTGAAAACCGCAATAAAAAAAGACTCAGTCATCAATTGTTACGCTTTTTTCCCCTCCATATCACTATATTGATTTTGCGTCCAAAGTACACGATATATGTTAATTGTAGTAAAGTGTGCAAATTAATACAGCCACAGAATATTGTTTTTATCGCTGTTTTCTTTACCTTCTCCAGACACTCTTGAGCTATCGCCTTCTGGTCGATGTCAACACAGAGTGTTGTTGTTCCATTTGGCATGTTCACGAGGATCTTCATCTCGAGTGTCCTCTTTGCGTGAGTCAGAGACAAAATTTTATCAAAAAGCAATAAAAATTATACCGTAACACACACAGTATATAATCTCTAAAAAGTTATATATTACAAAACACTCTTTTTTATCATTCTTTCCGGTTTTTCTTTGTCTCTGGCACTGCGCGCTCTCAAAAAAAAAACTCTTCTCTCGCTCTCTGTCTTCGCGCACAAAATGTTCACTTTCTCCCCAGAAGCGCGCGGAGGGTCACAATCGATATATTGCAATGTTGATGCGAGCAAACAATAACACTTGCCCACCGGAAGAATTGCAAGTCAAATGAAAATTGTGTTCGGCCAGTGCAAACTTTACGTCTTGTCCCATCGGGAGACACAACTAAAGTGATGTTGAAATGACAACATTGCTATCGACATGCCAAAAGATGAGCTCCTCCACGCAACACTTCGCGTATTCCTCACCGTTCACGGCACACAGGCAAGTGCTGGTGTCGTGAATAAAGTTGATAACGAACCATCAGTTTGCTCACACAGTTGAGAGATGTCGCTAGCTGAGGCTTTGAGCGCTTGAGAGTGTTTTTGAACACCCAAAGACGTTAGATGAAACATGGTGTTGGCTGAATCACCATCTTTCGTGACTGTTGTGAAAACTTCATGTCTTAAGATTCTTTAATTCTCATTCTGTCTTGTGGCGTTATGAATACACACGCTGAATATAAACTCTAAAGCTACGGAATCAAGACGCTAAGTGGTTGAATAGAATTTTTTCAGTCACTGTTTTTCCTTGGTTTCCTTGCCTTTCGAGGAAATAATTCCTTGACTTTATTGCCCAAAATGAAGGTACGGGAAAATAAGTGAGAAAGTAAAACCATTCATTCATTAGAATTATTTCTGCACAGGTTTTTCTCCAGAAATATAACAAATATTCTGTTCTACCATAATAAAAATGCTTCCTTCAACTGTTAATGTCTTAATGATAGAGTTAAGAACAGTATTGCCTTTATTTGTTAATAGATATTTCATGCAATCTAAGCGTAAATGTGTACACAAAGTCCCGAAGATTTAGCCGACGTTTATGTACATACGCACTGGCTGTATCTAGTCATGTATTTTCATTGTAATTCAATATGAAACATACTAAAATATTGACTTTCACCCTTGATTATTCTCTTTTTTTTTGTCTCTGGAACAGTACATAAGATGCCATTTGAATGACATCAGCTGGAATATTTCGCCAATACTTGTGAAATTGGAATATCAAGCGCAGAAATTCATCGTATGATGCTGTTGCCATCCCTCAGTTTGTCAGATGACTGGAGATCCACCAATCCTGAGCGAAGAGGTGGATCATGTGAAAGACCTACCATCATGTGAACGGACGAATTAATTATCCTTCGTCTCAGTGCTCATCAATCAGTCTGCTGGTCGCGCAAAGGCGCTCTGGCCAGCGCACGTGACATTCACGTTCACTTTCTTTTAGGTAAAAATAGAGTGTACAAAAACACAAGTGAGTACGTCGCAATTGTGGGCCAACAAGCGCCTAACGTCGCGGAGGCATGCCGGCCTCATGGTTACACATACACGTCTAGACATGTTAGGAGGGAAGAGGCCGCAAAAAATCTAATAACATCGATAAGACATTATAAATAACAAAGCCATGTGGTTGGTTACTGGTGACTAAGACAAGCGTGGCCAGAGAGTCGCGTGAAAATCACTCGAATTCGCTTGATCACGGCACACCCACCTGATCAATGATGACCACGCCGGCCAAATGTAGGTCCCAACTGTGAATTTATGCTAATTTATGTGCTCTTCGGCATATCTCGCTCCCGTTCTGTCCCAAGAACCACCGCATACCGAAGAGGATAAGGAGAAGAAGACGCTTGAAGAGCCATTGACCAAATTAGCTTCCATTGAACGTGTTACAATTGCCCATCCAGGAAGACATTTCGTCAATCACGAAATTAATTCAATTTTGCCAAACCAGGCGAGGGTGAACAGCGATGGGCGCGCTTACAGAGACACTTTATACACTTGTGAACTGTAGGTCAAGAAAGAGGAGCGGATATTAAGACAACTTGAAGCGTTTATCAGAAAACATCGAGATTTAGGGCCATTAAGTGGATGATTAAGGAATAATTTGTATTCATAATATATAAATATGGTAGACTTTCTTCCATTCCGTTATCAGTTTCATACTGAATTGCTTACTTTTTCCAACATGCACTGCAATTTGTAGACAATTTGCCCATCACTGAATCACAGCATCTCAGAATCTGGCAATATCTCATATTCTCTCCTTAATTTGTTCTTTTCACTTTCACTTTTTCTGTTCTGATAGACAGCAAAAGGATTGTGTAATTTTGATATTGAGAAGAATATTGCAGATAAAACTGGTAAACATAAACAGTAAATTGTACTGATTGGGCATGTCTTTTGACGCAAATTCTAGTCGTAAATTTTTTCTTCATTCCGCCTCTTGATTACCCCCAAAGACAAAAATGTGTTGTCAAACAAGGAGCAACGAAAAAAAAGAAGCATCCAGACACTTTCTGTATCAATCATATGACTTCTCTTTTGGAGGTTCTTTGAAAAAGGCAGATTTTTCACAGCGTTTTTGTGGGTGAGCGCGCGCGCGATATCGCCTTTAAGAAGAGACCTTTATAACACAAAGCACTTGATGGGGAAATTGTCGGCATGAAGTGAGTTTAGCTGATGAATTGATTGCCTAATAAAAATCTCTCACATGATCTTGAGCGTCTTCCAAAGTGGTTGAGCATCTCAGGAAGGCAAAAAAGAGGGGTGTGTAAATTGGAGATAAGACCGGGCGAAGATAGAAATAGCTTGAATTACGTACAGAATCACGGGACAAAATTGCAGGTGTTTCGCCGAAGAGTGAGTGATTCATCAGGGAATTCTAACGAATTTCCCCAGTGGATCTTTGGAATTTTGAGTTTCTCTCTTGATCCTGAGCTACATTTCTCACGTCTTCTTCTTCTCTTCGCAGAATGTGCGCGCGGCCAAAGTGCGCCGGCGGATGGCAAACATGCCAAATCACTCACGAAACATTAATCGGTATTTCGTCATTTTGTGAAAGATCCCAACCAGAGGCCAATGTATGCCAAATTTTACTTCCCACTTGTGTGTGCGCGCGACGCGAAAAGCCATCAAAGCCACTCATGTTCATTCATAGATCAAAACCGAAAGCAAATAGTGATTTCTGATAAGTATCAAATTACTACAGCACACAGAAGCGTCATACGCACAATACTATTCAATTGCTGCGTCTTATTGCGAAATCACAATCCCACACACAACTATAGTGATCTTGCAAGGCAATGTTGAGGCATTGCTATTGAACTTTCGTGGAAGATCGTAATGAATGGGCGGCAAAGAAGCAATGAATGAAAATTCCCGTGTAATGGCTCTAATAGCCAATTTTGGTGAAATTGAGGAAACTGACGAAAAGATGATTCAAAAACACGTGTGAATTTAGTCATGCGCGCCCGAAAGACAAAAAAAATCACTCTGATAAGGAAAGGGAATTTATCAGAGACAGAAAAAATGACCAAATATTGAAGATATTTGAAGAATTTCACACTACACACAGCATTATCTCTGCACGGACATACAGAATATGTCCTACTTTTTTTTTCTTCTGCCATTTAAAAGCATGATAGGCCACACACAACGCGACCACCCCAGATTGACCGATAAAATTACACGACAATTCACTCATCAATTGTGCGGCGACACTAAATATTACGAGCAAATTCCCCGGAAAATCATGGAAATTCCATCAACAAATAGTCATAAATGTATCACATTGCTGCATTTGATCACATTAACAGCAATTGCGCATCCTTCTTCGCACTCTCTCGCGCTCTCTCTCTCTCGCCTTGTACGTGAGATGATGAGATAATTTTTACAATTGTCTGTCAAGCAGAAAGTGATTTAATATATAATATCAGTTGGGAAGAAATTTCATCATGAGATTAGGTCATGGTCAGGCTTTGGGAACGGCAATGCTGAGTCGCTGAGTGAAGTTCAAGTATCCCAATTTTAGACCCATAATTTTTTCAGCTTCCGTTATTATTTATATGAAGAGCCTCTGTGTGATATTTCACAATTTCACACTCAACGCGAAAATCTGCGTCGCCACAGCAGATAACTGGGTGTGAGGGAGCACGAAATCACATCATGGGCGAAGACAAAGAAAGAAGATAAGGTGGAATAGAGGCTGAGATAAGGTGCTTAGCAACAACAACTGCTGATATGTTCAAAAGGATTGAAGTCCAGGTGGAAGAAACACGATGATTTGCTACACTTTCTGCACTCCAATGTGAACAAAAACTATGAATAACTATTGAAATAGTGAAGATTAATGCCAAATTGTCGAAGGATGTTCAGTAGAAAACAATGCCGAAGGAATCACAAACTCAAAAGCTCGACTAGCTCAAAGGCTTATCCACTTTTTGCGCACTTTCGGATTGAAATAATTGGTATTTTGTTCTCACACTCCTGATGCATGATATGTACCGAAAAAACGTCTCCACATCCTATTAGTGTGATTTATTTATAATTAAATATACTGTGATTAATATAAATTGTACTCCAAATATTGTGATAAAGATAAGAGTATGGAATTTTTAAGCGATCCAGCAAAAAAAAAAGGAAAACGCGCGCGCGACAGAAAATGATCGCTACCATTCTCAATACATCAAAGAGCTAAACACTTGAGGAATCATTAGTCAATAAATCATCTTCAGCGTGCCACAATGTGATCACACCCACCTTCAGTGGGGAGATCAAATACCGTAGGAGGGCCAATCCTCTTGATAAGCTCCTCAAATTATGCACAAGTATATCACGCAGGCATTATCATGGATCAATCAGTCAAATATGTATAGAGCACTCGTGACGATAATGGAGAGCGCGAATACAGACAGAGAGAGAGAGCGTGAAGAGGCACGACTGGACAGCGCGCGCTTCTTATATAAATTACAACATGATTACAAATGTTTAGTTCACTACAGATCGCCAGAAGAGACACATCGCAAGCTATAAAGCTCAAGAATTGAAAAGAACTTGTGAGAATTCGCGTTTTGACTTGTATTTCGGCCAAGAGGAATATTATTATTATTACAGTGTGTGACGTTCAACAAGGATTTTATCCTTAGCCAATTAATTAGAGACAATTTATAACATCATAATCAAATGAATCTAAAGTTGGAGAAGATTATCAAGGTAAATTGAGAGGAAAAATTAAAACATTTCCCCCCTCCCCGTTCATTAAAGTGCAGGCAAATTAGTGATCTTTTAGCAGACTGTTTTGTTGTTTTTTGCAAAATATGATGAAATTGTGAAGAGAATTTGGGTAATGCTAAAAATTGATGATGTGACTAAACTCCAAGTCAAGTGAAAGTATAACAATCCGCGAAATACAAACACCCACTTATCGCCAATCAAGTTCAATATCCGCGCGATTGTCCATTACAAAAGTTCTTTCGTTCTTGCCAACAGATGAAGTCCCTGACCATCTTGTGCCTCCTGCTGATGCTCGCCATCGGCGCGGTCTCGTGCCGACCGTCCGATCGCAAGCCCGCGCAGCCTCGCACGCAGATCCAGGACGTGGTGGCGGAATTCCACGACATGGATCCGGCGGAGTTTGAGCGCATCCGCAGATGCTACGAGGACGACGACACAATGGAGCTGTGCCAGCGCTGTGCAAAGGCCACCAAAGTGCGCAACGCCTTCCCCATGTGCTGCTCCAACGAGGACAGCGCCCAGGATTGGTGCAAGGACTACGTATACTATGGTATTCAGTATTAAGCTGCGCACGCAATCCGACGAGACCACGTCAATTTCCACTGAAAATTGCTTCAAATTCTTCCTTTAGTTTGTAGTTAGGCGAATTTTTTTTTTTATACTTTTCTGTCATTCATTTTTATATATATATGTCAATCTTATTTAAGAATTCACGTCATTCATAGGTTGCCAATAATTTCGGAGATTATTGCAATTCATTGTCCACCCTGATAATAATTGTCTCGAATATTCTGTGTGTTAAGATTTCAGGGAAAATGTAGAGGCGAAATTAAATGGCTTCACTGCGCATTGGCACAAAATTGCACTACAAAATGTATTGTCCCTTATCTATCATTCAAAAAAAAAAATGACTGTGATCGGTACTATATACTTAATGATCAAGACACAAATTAATTCTATAGTCTTCCCAAGCCATATCGAGGTATCTAAAAGTAGTATTTAGAGACGTACTATTTATTGTATTTTTACATGAATAAATCCTATGACGAATTTTTATACTTGAAACCAAGACTTTTCACTGCTTCAATAGATAATTTATGGAGAGTTCTTTGACTCATTGGCACTCTTTCCTTGACACATGATCATTATCAGTGTGCAATGTGAGCGTCAATAGTTGCTCAATTTGCACTCGCCTGATAAAATATATGCAAACCTATGGGAAAACCAGGGGCGACGCAGTGGCAATTTGACCTCCGGGGTGACAAATATAGAGATCATCTGCAAACCCTCAGCCGCGTTTTCTTTTAATTTGCCAATATAACAAGAAAAAAGTGTATAACAACTTTACCTTAAGTCTACGATCCGAAATTCTCCCTCAAATTGCTGAAATAATCCAAGTCCGATCGACTGATTGACGGCACGAATTTACCAACGGCAATCTTGAAGTCCTCCATGCAAACGATCACGGACTTCCCAGTCAATTCATTTAACTGGGACTTTCCTACAATGTTAACACGGTGAGAATGTTGTGAGGAAATCCCCAAGAGACTTTAGGCACATAATTTATGAGCCAGACTTACCGTCTGTCGCCATCGCCACAGTCCTGCGCACGGCATTTAGCCAAGCATTTGAGCAGATCGAGTAGATATCAGCTCCTGTCATCTCGCTCTTCAGCATCTCGGCGATCTTCTTCAGCTTCACCGCCTTGTCCAGCACGAATTTCTTCGTCTGCGCCTGCAGCACGGCCAATTTGTCATCCGTCGTGATACACGGCCCAACGAAGAAGAGCTTATCGAAGCGTCCCGGCCGCAGGAGAGCCGGATCAATGAGGTCTGGACGATTTGTCGCGGCCAAAATGAAGATCTGCTGTGACTCACCACCCATGCCGTCCATCTCTGCCAGCAGTTGGCTCACCACGCGATCCATCACGCCGCCTGAGTCACCGGCAACGCCACGATTTGGCGCCAGGGAGTCCAGCTCGTCCAGGAACAGGACACAAGGGGCTGCAGATCGCGCTCGTGTGAACACTTCGCGCACATTCTGTTCACTCTGGCCCACGTACATGTTCAGCAATTCCGGTCCCTGCACAGCCAGGAAATTCAGCCGACACTCCGTGGCCACAGCCTTGGCCACCAGCGTCTTGCCCGTGCCCGGTGGGCCGTACAGCAGAATGCCGGAGCGCCTCAGATTGCCGCCCATGAGGTGAACATGGCGCAGCGGCAGACCAATGCTGTTCTGAATCTCATCCTTGATTCTCGCCAGCCCACCAATGTCACTCCACAGCACTTTGGGCACCTTCGGAGCGCCCATGCTGTCCGAGAATTGCTCCTGCATAGCGCTGAGATGCTGCGAAAAGTGCTGCAGCGTCAGATGATGAGCATCTCTGCCGCTCTTTTTCGCATTCACATACAATGTCTTCAAGTCGCCGTGCAAGAAGCCAACTGTCTCATCAGCAACACTCCTCAGAGTCTCATCAGTCTCTCTGTGGAGTGCTCCGATGCGCGTATTGAACACCTGGACACTCCGCGTGTCCTTGGCATTGGAGACATAGTCCCAGGTGCTGTGAACTGTGTGCAGCCACCTGAGGATCTGGTATCGCTCCTCCACACCCGGTGGCTCCATTTCGATGGCCTCCAGAAATAGACGTCGAACAGCAGACTTTATATCGCGTCGATTGCTGCTGGCTATCACGAAGAGTGGCTGAATGTCCGATTTGCCAAATAATTCCATCAGTTCCGATTGGAGGGCACCAATCAGGCGCTGATCGTCGTTGCCCTCGTTATCAACGCCGAACACCTGCAATAAAACCAAAACGACAAGTGTTCGTCAATTGCGTGCTTAAACCATTCAATCATCGTGGGCATAAAACACTCCTCGTAAAAAAAAGATTATGGCAAATAGTAAAAGGAAATTGCATCTGCGCAGAATTTCTTGAAAATCCGTAATTTCCCTCGTTAAACTACGAAAAATCCCCAACAGAAGTTGTTTTGAGTCATCGCTCTTGAACCCCACAGTGGAATGTTGACATGAAATTTCCCAGAATTCTTACTAATATCTAATGCAATCAATGCAATTATTATATTGTGTTGTTGCTTAACATAAAGACGCATGTTTGATCGTTCATTTTTTGGATTGATTCTCAGAAAGTAAAAAAAAAAAAAAAAACTATAAGATTTTCCCAGAATATCGCATAATTTCATTGGTACAGAGTCTAATTAAGTATCTAAACGAAACATCACAGTTTCAAGTGCTCGTCTATATTCACTCGCTGACGCTGCCTAGGCAATAAAGCCTCAATAAAGATGATACTTTAGAGACCCTTATCTTCAATTTCATCAAGTCAAACAATAGTTATCTTAACTGATTCACTGTCTAGTCATCGAGCGACTCAAAATCTCTGCTTTTCTCGTCTCCTTCCATACCTCAAAGTTCTGCAGACAAATAATGAGTGGATGGCAAATGTTGCTGTGTGCCAGCACAAGACGCAGTTTTGTCTCCGTCTGGGCAGAAATGCTACACACAATCTCAGCGCAGTCCACAGCGTACAGATGAATGCCCAGGAAGCTTGCCAAAGCCGTGATCACTGTGTTCTTTCCGGATCCACGATCGCCGTGCAGGAGAAATGTTGGATGAATGTTGCGCGAAGCGAGCAAAGAAGCCCTCTTCTCGCTCAAGAAGGGCTCAAAAGACGCCCGCAGGGCGTCAAAGTACCTCCTCAGTCCGTCCGGACAGACATTGGCGAAGGCCATCTCGTGCAGGCTCTGCCGCGGCACGAGCATGTTCACACTGGAGATCTGCTGCAAGCTCGTGCAGTTCTTCACGACAATCGCATGATTTTCATAGCTGTTGTTCTTCGACTCGAGACTCACGCAGCGAAACGGCAGCTTCTTCAGTCTGCTGAATGTGTGATGATGGCGAGAGAAGCAGGAGGAGCGCAACAGTTCCTCCTCCAAGGGAATCTCATAGGTGTTGTTGCGATAGATGAAGCGCGGCTGTTCGAAGTAGCAGCCAAGGATTGTGTCCACGAGCTCATTGGGCATGTCAAAGGGCACATTTATCAGTGCTATCGTGGCTTTTGTGGCAATTTGAGGCACATTGTGATTCACCTGGAATTCGCCCAGGGCTACAGAGAAGGCGTGATCCTGTGGCAGTTTGTACTTTGTCAAGTGGTTGCTGTAAGTGGACTCTGGGACGAAGATTACACCCGCTTGGCAATTGGCCAATTCGACAATCGGCACCAGCATTGAGCTGTTCTGTCTGTTCAGGATCTTTCCCACAATGCCATTCTGCTGGCCCTCAGCAGCCATCTTCCGCCGGCTCTCCATCAGGACTGTGAGATTCACCCAGGGCACCTCCGGATGCGGCACAAAGGCCCCAAAGATGCTGCTGCCTACGAAAATTGTGTGATCCGACTTGATAATGTTGTCTTTCTGCAGTGCATCGCTCAGCCTGTTTGGCAGTGGACAGAGTCTGTAGCGCTTCTTGAATGGAAGTCGTGTTCGGAGGCTTTTAAATCGTCCCACAGCTTCCGCCAGCAGAAACAGTGGAAATGTGTGCGAGGGATATTTTGGGAAGACAATTCCACACACATAAATTGTCATCTTCGCCAAACTCCGCACATCCACACACTGCTTCTTGCCCGTCATCTTCGCCTGCAAGACAAAGAAGAGGGAATTTATCAAAGGAGACTTTTGAGAATCCATTGCAGGGCGCGCGCTCTTACAGATGTTCCTTTCCGGGAGTCCATTTAGCGCTGACACGCAGAGTGTATTGAAGGAATTTGGGTGATTGGCGAGCGTCCAAATTCCCACTCAGACGCCTTCCATTGAATCTTCACGTATTTTTAGGCACTTTCTAGGCCTAGTTCAATGAGAATGTCCGTCTTTTGTGGCGGAAAATGCAATAAATCACCCAAACTTCCTGCTTTTGAGGTTAGAATGTCTCTATTGAATTTCCACCTACAAAATAAAGGATATTTTTTGGTCCCTCACATTCTTCAGACACTCCAGCACATCAGTTACAGGTTAAAATACACTTTAGAGCGAATTAACCACTTCTTACCGAGCAATTTGGCAGAACAACACCCGCACTGTGAGACTCGCGGAAGAATAACAAAGACTGACGTCATCGGCTGTTGCGCTTTATTTCGAGACAACTCGTGAGAAAGTCCTACGAAGTGTCCATATAAAGGTAGAAATATTTATTTTTTCACCTTTTGTAAAGCAAAATTTTGACAAAAACGCTTACGCACTACTTATTAGTTGAATTAAAACTCTTCTTGAATCGAATCGCGTGTGGAAAATCCACGAAAGAAACTCTATCTCTCTTTAACTCGGAATTATTTTGTGCGCCAAAATGTGCTCTCATTAATAATGATTCTCAATATAAAATAAACAGATCATCTCTCAATTATTCCATCCCTCCATCGCGTATAAATGCATCCTCAACAGCAATATCAAGTATTGGTTATATACATACGAAGTCTATGAGGCGTACAAGTCTTTTAATTTCTGCAACTTTACCGATTCTTTCCTCGAAAATCAATTTTTATATTTATGCCTTAAGTTTCCGCGCTGTTTTTCTTTCATTCTCTGGTTTTTGGAATTCACTCAGCCTTGCGAGCCTTCCTCTTCCTCACGTCCGGACTCGATGTTGGACTGGCTTTGGGCGTGGCCTTCCTGGGCGATGGTGGCGGAGACACTTTTTCGCCATCCTCTTCCTCCTCCTCCTCGTCCTCCGTGTCGGTGCCCGAGTACTTCTCCTTGTCCGATCCCGAGGAGACCTCCTCGTCCTCCAGCTCGTCGGCGCGAATGTCATCTCCAGAGCCGTGATCACCTCTCTGGCTGTCCGAGAAGCTGGTGCGCTGCAGATGCTTCGGCGGGAAGAGGCAGTCAATCACGCAGACGAGCAGGAGTCCCAGGATGGCGCCCATGAGGATCGTGGCCACGGCGAAGATGGCATAGGACGCCCAGGCGGGCAGTCCATACTCCTTCAGCATGAGCGTGTTGAGCTCCTTGAGGAAGTGCGACAGCTTGAAGAAATACGACACGATGGACATCTGAATGGAGTCTGGCTTCTTCCACGCCGACACAGGCTCCACATTCTTCCACTTTCGCTCCTGAATGAACGTCATCAGCGCATTGATGTCCCTCCCGCCGCGATACTGCCGGAATTCGCCGTTCTTCACGCTGAAAATAGACGCACAAGCCAGTCAAAAGACGCCTTAACGGCTGCCGAGCCTGCTTACTGGAATATCGTGGGCAGAGCCGTGACGAAGAACCTCCCGCTGAGTCCAGGCGACGCGGTGACGTCGATCTTAGCGGTCTTCACATTCACCTCCTGCGTCCACGCCGAGAACTCCTCCCATGTATGCTCGATGTTCTTGCAGGCCGGACACCAAGGAGCATAGCTGAAGGTGTAAACATGATAATTTAATCTCATGTTTGCCGATGCGTCTGACGGAGGTCAATGTTCCGATCGACATAACCTCACTCTGGCCAGAAAATCTGGTCATTTGTCACACAGAAAGAGCATCTCCTCCAGCAATTTGTGGTGAAAATGCCTTGCTGATTGAGAGATAAGTATGCAAATTAACTCACAATTCCACCATCCACTCTCCCTTGAGCATCAAATCCCAGTTGCTCTCAGACAGCTCCACCACATTCGGCAGTCTCTCCGCACACTGACCATTTGGTAGAGCGATGGCCAGAAAGACAGCCACGCACACTAGCAGGGGCCTCCGTGACATCTTCTCACGTCTCCTCAGTGGGGCTCCTCGGCACTTTTCTTCCGTTCCGGGAACAAAAGTATCAGCCAAACACGCGACGAAAGTCACACACGAAAGTACACTTAAATATTGCTTACAGGAGCCAAATTGCAAACTGAGAACAATCAGCACGGCAAGAGTGTGCAAAAGCTACCAGTATTACACAGCAATATTAACTACTTTTAGTGGAAAAATGCGTGTGAAAAGTCATGTAAAATCACTGATGATCGCAACAAAAGACTGACATTTTGGGTGCGGATGAGGAGTGGCGCTGGCGTCGTGGTGGCGCTAAAAGCGGGACGAAGAAATTTTGAATATTTTTCTCCCTCACAACTTTTTATTCATCAATCACCATCTCTGAGAATGTTCACAATAAAATCTGCACAGTTAAATCAGTGATGACTCCCTCTCAATGTGCACAGTAACATCGCATGTGTGGCCATTGCATGTGGCGTCGGGCGGAGCCTCGACGTCCTGCTCGCTGCCCATTTGCATGAGTTCCTTCTGTGAGTCTGTGAGATTGACGAAGGAGTTGTCTTCGGTGGAGGGACTCGTCTCCTCCTCGAGTTCATTCTGGATGGCCAAGAGGAGATCACAGGAGAGTGTCTTCACGCCGCCATTCAGCACGCGCTCCTTCACTTCTGACCACTGCTTGGGCAATCCCGGTGGACTGAGAGTGTGTCGCTTGCGGCGCTTCTTCGAGCCCTGCGTCAGCAGAGTCACAGCCGGAGACTCCTGCGGCAGCGCCTTGATGACTGCCTGCAGCAACTTCGGCGGTGTTTTCTTCCTGCGTGGATTCTCAATCACCACATCAGCCTCGTCGCCACTGGCGGCATTCCGCTGCGCCTCTCGAGCCGCATTTCTGCGCATCAAGCTCTTGGCGCGTCTCTTCAGCACCGCCTGAGCATTGGGATAGTACACAATGGCCTCGTTCAGGTCAGACTTGGACAGCACGAAGAGATTGCTGAAACCTCGCGATCGCACGTCCGCCGTCCGGCGATTCCCGCCACCGTTGATGGCTAGCAGGCTGATCTCCCCGAAAACCGAGCCCTCCGACAGTGTGGCCAGCACTTCGTCATTGTTGGGACCGCCCATCACCTGCACCTGGCCCAGCTTCACGATGTACATCTCCTTGCCAACCTCTCCCTTGCGACACACAATGTCGCCCGGCAGGAAAGTCACCGAGCGCAGTTTCAGCACCAACTCCCTGAGCAGCGCCTCCTCGCAATCGGCGAACAACTGCACTTTCGAGAGCGTCTGGATGTGCACAGAGATGGCCACGTCTGTCTTCAGATTCGCTGGCAGCGAATCGAGAATGTGGCGCTCGTCCAGCGTCCTCTGCTGCTCCCACGTGAAGGTGAACCACATCTTCACGCGATGCCTGAGCTCTGTGGGCAGATTTAGACGCCTCATGTACTCCAAAATCTCATCCACTAGCTGCTTGTATTCCGACTGCGAGCGCGTGGCCGTGGCTATGATATCTCGAATCTGACCAATGAGCAGGGCAAACACGAAGACGCCCATCAGCCAGGCGGCGGTCATGAAGAGCAGCTCGCCGTCATTCTCGGGCTTCGGGTTCTTGCCAATGGACGTGGCGGTCTTCGTCGCGAACGCGAAACATCGCATGTACGGATGCCCTTTGCCGCTGAACACCCACCGATTGGTGCCCAGGCCCTGAGCGGCGCTGTACGCGTAGTAGGCGCACGCCGTCAGGTGAATCATGAAGAGCATGTACGTGAGTGTCTTCGCCACGCGCACAATGTGCGGCGAGGAGAGCACGCGATCGAGCAGCTTGAAAAACTCCCAGAAGCTCTGGATCTTCAGCAGGCGCGGCAGACGCAGCAGGACAGCTTTTGTGCCGAAGATCAAGTACAGCACGTCCAGCGGCAGCAACGACAGCATGTCCATCTTTGAAAGGCAGAGGAGAGAATCTCATATTAGATGCGCCGTGATATTAAAGTGAATCAATAAATGCCAGCAATTAAATACCTTAAATTGGAATTTCCTCACGTAATTCTGCCTCGTTCTCTCCTTGTCACGCACCCAGAAGCCATCCAAGAGAAACATGAGCCGATGTTTAATGAAAACAATATCAATCTGTGGGAAAATAGCACACAAACGCGCATTAATTACCACACTCGGCACTTCGATTGGTGTGGCGAGAGCTCACCAGGTAAATCGCATCGGCACACAAGTCCATTATGATCCAGGAAGATGTGTTGGCGTCCGTCTGGAATGGGAAGGAGGAGCGCAGCGGTATCACGTAGGCGTTGTACAGGAAGGACATGGTGACGACGAACAGCCAGGAGATGTAGAACTGGCCCTGCGGATCCAGGACATCGTCGTTCCGGCCGCCGCCACAGAAAGTGGGGCACACGAGGTAGCTGCAGTGCGACTTGCTGTCCTCCGGCGCTTCCGGACTCTTGGATGGCACGATCTCCTCGATGGGCGGCTGTGTGGGGCCAAAGGGCGGCATCGCGCCCACCGGTCCGGGCAGCGACGGTGATCCAGCACTGCTCGAGGGCGTGGGCGGAATTTCAAGCTTCTTCTTCATCTTGTGCGTGCGCTTGGAGAAGCGCAAGATGAGATGCTGCATCCTCTCGCGCACGAAGTGATCCTTCTCCGGATCAGGACTCGGACTGTTGGGCGGAGAAATCTGCTGAGCATTGTCCAGTGGCGCCTCTTTTGGCAGCGACTCCTCCTTCTCCTCTGGCTGCACACACGACGTGATGTCCGCTTGAACGGGCATTTCACTCTCGGCCAGGATGCGATTGACGCAGTCCAGTGGCACGAGAGGCTCTTCGCTCTCTTTTGCAATGATGTGCCTCACCAGGGCATACGTTCGCTGCACATTGTGAGCATCCGCGTCTGCTTCGGCGCATCCCACGCGCCCATTGCGGAAATACAGCTTCGTTCGCAGCCCTTTCGGGCTGCCCGACTTTGTCTGCCGGACAACACAGTGCGGCGGCGAGAGCGGGCGCTCATGGAAGGACATGAGACGGCCCACGGGATGACTGCGCTCTGCCAGCGGAATAATTTCACCACAGCTGGATCGAGAGCCACGTCGAAATTCTCTCTCGTTTTCCTTGCGGCGCTCCTGCTTCAGCACCTGCTCCGTCACCGTCATGAAGTCGCCGATGTCCCGGATCTTGGTGGATAGCTCATCAATGTCCGGGAGGCGAGGGTCGATGAAGGTGGGTCTGGTGGCCGATGGCGGGGGCGATTGGATCACGCGCTCGATGAAGAGGTGCCTCTGGAGCGTCTCCGAGAGATCCGGATGCTGAGCAGCTCGCATTGTCGCACAATTATAACTTCACTTGAAATCACGTTCCACTTCAAGGGAGCATAAGCAGGGGATCCTGGTCAGAAATGGAGGCAGATAGAGTCAAGCACACTTGAAAAATCAAGAGATACTGAGAGTGCTTTGGAAGCGATACTCACACACATTGGCACGCTCAATAGTCGGAATCAATTACACCCGACGAATATTAATTGCCCTGTTTTCAATGATGATACCTCAGGTGAGGCTCAGTCACGCACAACTAACCCAAAGAACGCCGAGGGCAGCTATTCAGCGCCACTGCATGGAACTGTAAATCCTTCCCAAGCCAAATTCCTCACTCCTTCTCCGCCCAAATCTTCACTTTGTCCAGCCTTTGCAGAGAACTGCGAAACGGCTAAACGAAGAGTCTCGCGCAATAATTGCAATTGTAGAATTAATAATTGTGCAACACTTATACTTTATTCACTGCTCGTCCACTTATTGCCTCGATTCAGCATTCGACGAAGGTTTTTTTTTTGTTCTCCAATGAAACTTCCTCAAGAGAGAGCTTTGGGAGGACGAGAAGGACGAACTTTGTTGCGAGATTAATATATTGTCATGGAGAAAATTCATGGCGCGCATGCTTGAAAAGACGCTCGGAAAGCAAGGCAAGCACGAGTGTCGATAAGTAATGTACAAATAGAAAGAAATGCGTGAGAAGACAAATGTTAATTCAATAAGTGTTTTATTTACAATGATTCACAAAAGAATGCGAAACAAACAAAGTTTTCTGGTAACTCTTTCATTACAATATTAATTAATAATTCACTTAATTTTCTATTATAAAATGTGAAGAGATCAACTACAATTGCTCATGGGTTTTCGCGCATTAATTCTTTAATAGGAATTATATCGAAATATTGTTATCCTCCCACCCAAAATATGTATATACTTGCAATATATCGAAATTGTCATTTGATTAGGTTGTAATTGCAGCATTTCATTGGCAAATATGTAAAAGTGTTTATTTAGAGATATATTGTTGTTATCTTCCTTCGTCGTTTGCTCTTTGATAAAGTTGATTATTATGGCTTTTCCTCCTCTAAAGCTCGCCCGCGCGTCTCTCTGTTTATTCTTTAACAATTTATACAACACACAACGTGAACTCAACTTGCATTTGGTTAACTAAAGAGATTTTTCTTTTTACAGAACAGATCCTTTGAAGATCATCTATATCTCGTTTATAATTTATCTATGTTACTTCCTTTATTATTGCTAAATATTTGCGTTACTCTTTAAGGCATTAAAACTTGATGTTGGTTTACTTTCTCCCCTATTTTCTCTCTCTCTCTATACCTTATAAAATTTTTCAAATTCAGGTATAAAATATGGAATGCAGAGGAATATTATAGTAAGGCTACTTCTCCAAATTATACTCCTCGCCACTACTATTGAAACTCCTACGCATGTCATTTCCCATTATATGGGTTTTAACTTTAAAACTGATATAATTCCTTCTCTATCTGTATTTAGGTTTCGTCCTTCACTCAGATTTCTGCGCGATATCATATTGTCACAAACATTCTGCCCAAAAACCATGCTCGACTATTCACACTTGACTGTCTTCTCGTCGCCACTTTTATCTACAACTACAATTTGACTGTTAGGACCATTCGTCGCGGGCTCGTCCTTCTTATCACAGAGCTTTGTCGCCGTATCGATAATTGGTTGAATTGAGAGCGGCGGCGAGGGCGCGAAAAGGCAATAGTAGAGCTTGCCGAGGAGCGGACACAGGATGGCCTGGTGCAGTACCGCCCACAGGCGATAGCTCGGTCCTGTGAAGGGATCCAGCAGCGCCGGGCACAGCATGTGATTGAGATTCACCTGCGTCGGCTGCAACAAAGAGAGAAAGAGAGAATTACACCCAATCAGTGCCCACAAATCGATCCTTGTCACTTGACGATCGATCAAAAACCATCAAAACTTACAACGGCGAATATTTCCAGTATCACAAAGTGATAAATCAAACAAATGGAGTAACTTATCACATTCCAGCTGACGTCTGATAGTGGCTCCATGGTGTACACACCGCCCAATCGCAACAGGTACACGGGAATTATGAACATGAGGCCGTGCTGGATCCAGTACACCGTAGCCTCCATGGCCTGCTGGCGTGAGTCCGTCTCCGGGAAGAGGAAGGCCAGCAGTGGTCCGTTAAGGTAGTTCATTTGGATGCGAAACATTATTGTTACGAAATTGCTCGGTTTTGCCGCCAGCAAGTAGATCTGCACGACAAAAAGCAAGCGATGCAATGAAAAGTGGGCTGGGCTTATCAGTGGGCGGGGCCTTATCTGCCACACACGTGTTAGGTCTGATCGACTTACCTGAATAATCGTTGTGATATGGCATGGATTGAGGACGTAAATGACGGTTCTCGAGGCGAACTTGAAGCCCAACTCCAGGCCAAATGTCAGCGTCATGCCGACGAGCAGCAATTGCTTCAGCCACGGCGCCGGATCGCGCGTGACTCGTTGCACTGGTCTGCTGATGGTCTTCACGCGTGCAATCGCCCAGTTGAGTGTCCACAGACTCACGCTGGTCACGAGGATGCTTTCACACCACTGGCGCCGCGTGGAGAGGAAATTGGCGCACTCTGGGCCACAATTTCTCGGCACGGACGCATTCACGCCATCGTAAGCCCAACCCCAGTGCATCTCGGCGCGCTCTTTCGCTGCGAATCCTGATGGGCGAGTGTGGACAGAACAGAGAACGACAAAATAGCCACCAAATTAGATTTTAATGGGCCCAAGAAAAATGTGCTTTGCCAGAGAAAAAAAAAGAGGGGAAAAGCATCGAGTTGACGAAGCGGATCGATTCTCCTACCATTAATTTTAATGAGAACGCGCGCGATGCCTTGAAGGGCTTCCTCGCCACCCACCCCGAAAAGTATCGATCGCGCCAGACGATTTTACACACTACAGGTAATGAAAAAAAAAATATATCAGGAATTTATTGCGTGTCTTTTCAGAGCGGTAAAAACTCCCCGAATTCACTAAATTATGTAGCAATTGCCCACTTTCCACCATTGTCCGTGCGACAGAGATTTATATAATGAAAAATCGTACGATATCGCAAAAGAGGGGAAGTAGAGAACACGTGAGCTCGTAAAGTTCAATCTCGAGGGCCAACTTTACACTGACTCTCTGCTTTATATTTCCGCTTCTGGCCATCATAATTGAATGAATGATTTGCCGGTCAAAAGCACAAGTCATTTTGCAGAATGTCGTGCCATTTTTGTGGTATTATAGAGATAAAAGCATGTTTTGGGAGTGACTATGAAGGAAATTAATGATAGCAGAGAGATTAATAAAAAAAAGACTTGCGTTGCAACAATTTCATCATCACAACAATATTTTTTTCACATTTGACGAAATCTATTTTGGTCTATCTAATATTCTCTCTTTCCCATTTCGAACACTTTCAGTCAATTTTAATTATCAAACTTACATTTTTAAAACACCCAATTCTTCTTGATCCCATTCCAATTCACACCACTGTAACTGTCCTGTTTATAGAGTGTGAAAAACTCTGTGAATAAATTGCTCGATTTCTCTACTTTCACCCATTGAAATTGAACTGAAAAGCCCCAAATCTCCTCGGCGCAGCTCAAAGGATCCACGCAGCCCTTCGAAGGGGTGAGAATGGGGTGGCGTTGCCTTGAAAAGGGGCGCGCAGAGCCGCTCGTCCGGCGTCCCCATTTGCACTTTCACTGCATTGCTGCATATGTGTGTGCACTTCATGTGGGGTGATATTTGCGCCTTGACATCCCACCGCTTCAGCCCTCTAGGGCCCCTAGGGTGTCCTCAATTGAGACAAAAGGACTAAATCAATTTCCCGGAAGGCCCCTTTTCCGCTTACCGCGTGATTTGCAGAGACAGCAAGACTTTTAATCCAATTGTACTGCGTGTTATCACAGTGACGGGTGCTGTGGGACCCTCCGGGGGTGTCCAGTGATGATGGAGAATCACAAAATAAGTGCTTTTCCCATGCTTTTCCTGCTCCGTGACAGATCCTTCACATTTCCTTGTGGGGAGACACACAATTTCCACTGCCACTTTTTTTCACATACTATCACTGATGGAGCACAATATTTGCCAGTAGCTGAGAATATTACGCACCCCACTTGATGTTTCTGTCACAGGAAATGTTCGGATTATTAGGCAGGAAAACAGGGAGAAAATGATAAAGAATGATTTTTCACTGAGGAAAACACAGTGGCGCTTCTTCGGCGCTGCAACCCTCTGGCGGATGTCGCGGGAAAACTCACCGCCGTGACGCATGCAAATAGATTTCACCGCAAGAAATGTATTTCATCCAATTTTCCGCACAGTGTCGAATCCATGTTGCAGTTTTCACCAGTCTTTGTTTCTTTGCACAGGTAATTCTTGAAAATATGCAGGTTATTTACTATTATTCTTCACTCATTTTCTGATTTCCAACAACCGTTATGAAAGTTCGGGTGTTGAAGCAAGGGCGCTGCAATCGCCTTGGAGATATCGTTTCTCCTAAATGGCACGTGCTGCTCTCTAGGAAAACAGCCGAATTGTTTTGACGGATTGTGATTTGCTTCGCAGAAAACCACTGGAGCTTCTCCAGGTGAGATTACACAACAGTTTATCAGCTCTTCTTCTCCCTCTTGCGGTTAGGATGGAGAGGCGGTTGTCATCCGGTGAGGCGACAATCAACTTCGCCACGGACAAGTTTCCCTTCTGCATTGTCTGGACACCCATTCCGGTCCTCACCTGGTTCTTCCCCTTCATCGGCCATATGGGCATCGCCATGTCCAATGGCGTGATCAGAGACTTCGCCGGGCCGTATTTTGTGTCCGAGGACAACATGGGCTTCGGCCGGCCGACGCGGTACCTCATCTTGGATCCGTACTGCGTCCAGGGCGGAGCGCACGAGTGGGACGAGAGCGTCTCCAAGGCGTCAGTGGTGTACGGTACGCGGATGCACAATCTCTTCTGTGACAACTGCCACTCGCACGTCGGCATGGCGCTCAATCTGATGAAGTATAAGAGCAAGGGCTCCTGGAATATGGTCGTCTTGGCGTTCTGGATGTTCTTCTGCGGGAAGTACGTTGGCATCGGAGGCGCGCTGAAGACGTGGCTCCCATTCGTCATCATCTGCATCATATGTGGTCTTGTAGCCTACTATCTGTGAAGCTTATCGTGTATTGGAAATCATTGTTAATCACCTTCCATTGGCCTGTCACAGATTTCATGCTATTTACATAGCTCGCTATCTTTCTCACCTCTCTCATCACTTAATTACGATATGATCTATCAGTTGTGTTATTTATTTCGAGCCAGAGAGTGGAAAGAGCGCCGCGCAGGAACATGAACAGAAAACCAGTGTTTATCGAAATGTGTTGTAATATTTTTAGGAATAAACATTGAAACCTCCTCCACACTCTTTCTCACTTCAGCTCCTCATTCACCTCGTTCATAACGGAGCAGAGCTTCCTCCACTGCTCCGCAGACAGAGCGATTCCTTTCTTTCCCGGCAGAATCTTCCCGTCGCGCTCATAATACTCCCGAATGTTCACCATCTTCCGTCCGCGGAACTCCGACACACTCACCCAGCGCATCTTCTCCAACTGCCACTCAGCATCCGCTCCGGTGACGTTGGATGAAGACGCTTGCTTCTCTTTCTCCCCCAATTTTGCTTTCTTCGACGGTGGATTTCTCTGCAAGTACACCAAAATATGACACATTATCACTCATAGAACTGAGTTCACTTAGCAAAGTAGGGAAACTCACGTCCTCTGGTCCGGAATCGCTGTCCGAACTGCTGGATTTCTTGCTGGCTTTCTTGTCTTTCGGCATTCTGGAAGGAAAACTAGGGTTAGATTGAAGCCTACAGACGCTTTCAAAATTACCCTCGAAAACAGTGAGAACCCTCAAATATTCCACCTCAATATGATAAAGTAAATGTTGCGCTCCAATCTTACCTGTTGTGCTATACTATTCCTGTGGAAAATCTCTGGGAAATGCAGGAGAAAAAATCCTTTGATTTTACTTTCTCACAAACTTCCGCGAAAAGTGCACAGTGGCGTTGCTATCGCCAAGATGACCAAAATAGTGAGTGGTGAATTTTTTCACCACTTCCCGCGCTTTCCATTCCCGCCCTATTCGCAATAAAAAGGACTTTTCTGTAAGACAACTGTTTATTATGTATTTGAGGGGATTGGGGGTGGTTTATACATACATTTCATCCTCTACTATACTTCATTTACTAAGTCCCATCGTGATTGGATGGTAAAATATATTGGGCAGTGATGTTAGGTCGAAAAATCCTTATCTTTCTGTCGATAAATACGCTGTATAAATGTGATTTAGGCTCATTCTTCCTTATTATCCTTGTGATTCACATATCAATTGCAATTTTAATATAAAATTATTTGTTTTGCATTAAGTTTAACGTCAATATTCGCATTTATACATAATTAGTCAAAAGAGAGAGAAATAAAATAAATGGTACAACTAAACTAAAAAGAATTATATAAAAAAAGAGGTGAAAAATATAAAATGAGAGATATTTACAAGATAGAAACTCCTATTGAATACTTCTTTTACTTATTACTTAAAAAATGCATCTTGCATACGTATAAAATACAGTAAAAACTTCACATAATCATCTGAATGTTGATTCTTCCTTGCGTTGATGATGGTACTCTTCGTCTCATATCGTCAATTTGTTAAATAAATGCGGCTACCCTTCTTCCTTCTTGTCTCTCCGTGTGGATGTTGGTACAAAAATCTCTATTAGATTATACAATTATTAGTTATATAAAAAAGACTCCTTTAAAGACATCTCTTCCTCCCCGGCTATAGTTTAGCTTGTAATACACTATAAATAGGGTTGTTTATGGCTATTTGGTACTGTTACAGTTGAATAATTTATTACATATACGCTTCTTCACCTCTATAATTACTTTTTCTCAGCCTCTCAAGTGTTATTTTTCATCTCTTTATTATGTCGTCTCTCTATATAGTCTTTAAAGTTGAAATTCTTATATATCGCGTCTCGCTACGCTACACGATGATGCCTGCGCTTGGTATCCGGGCTAGTGCTGCGGCCGGATACCAAGCAATTCCTACCAATGCATGATGGTGATCTGGTCTAGAATCCTAGTCTTGAAGTAGGCCCCCAGCATGCCGAAGAAGCACGCCAACGCCGCCGCGGCCACCATGGCTTGCATGGCGCAGTGGATCCCGGACAGCTCCTCAGCCCGGTTGCGCCGGAAGCTGCGGTAGTGCTTCTCGCGGTCGTGGCGCGCGTACTGCTCGATGTCGTTGGAGAAGGAGGGAATGATGGCGAGATTCACGACTTCCGTCTTCGACAGGATCTCCGGGTCGATCTCATTGCTCGCGCCCACTGTCGTGTCGTCCTCCGCGGCCTCGTAGTCGTAATCGTAGGTGGCCTTTGTGGTCAGGACGGCCTTGCGGAAGGTCACGGCGGAACGCGGCATGGGCGTGGTGGCCTCTGTGATCCGGAATTGCGTGAATTGGTTCTTCTTGATGCCCAGCACCTCGGACAGTGGCCGATTGATGCTGGGCAGAATGAAGTTCTCCTCGTCATTGTCCTCCTCGGACGCCTCCGTGGCCTCCGTGGTCACTTCAGTGGCAGAGTCAACAACAGAGTTTGACTGTGTCGCTTCTTCTGGCATCCACTTATTGTCTGGTTGAGCAAACTTGCTCGTCACATTGAGCAGCGGCTCGTATTTGATGGTCTCTGAGGCGCCGCGATACAGCAGGGCCACTTTTCCATCCGGCGTCAGCACTGGCGTTATCCTGCCGGCCGGCTTCTCCTGCCTGTTCGCATCCTCTTGCAGCTCATCCGTGGACTCCCTGCGATTGTCGGTCTGATAGAGAATGCCCACTTTTCCGTGTGGCGTCTGCAGGAACTTGATGGCATTGTTCTCCGGCAATTTCCGCTGAGGCGCCTCGGGCTCCTCCTCGTCCACAGGAGCGCCAACTCCACTCCCTGACGCTGACTCCTCCTCATCGTCGTCTTCCTCATCGTCATCGAACGCGCCACCGTACATCTCCTGGTAGCGCAGGAAGGCCTCTCTGGCCCTCTGGATAATCATCTCCTCGGACTCTGTGACATCTTCTGGTGCAACATTGCTGTACTCTTCGGGATTCACCATCACCTCGGTGGCCTCATCATTAACTACGCCCTCCTCGCTGGCCTCTGCATCATCACTCGTAACTTCTAGGGTAGCCGCATCTTGCAGTCAGTAGCATTTCTTCGTACATCCGCACTTCCTCACAATGTCGAGATTCTTCACATACTTCACGCCATTGCTGCACACCATGCGAACCTGCATTGAAGAGGGTTTTCTCTCAGTCTTGTGGCTTTGTGTAGGACAGTAGCGGAATTTAATCTCGCCCAGCAATCACACATATCAAATGGGTCTCTCTAATGAGACAAGGAAAGGCGCGGAGGAGCAAAAAGTCACCATTTAAATATTTAGTCACACAAGAACCTAATCAATTCACCGATGGAATGTCACAGTGACCAAAATGTATGCTAATTTACCCACAACATTCCAACCATTTCGATGATAATTTAATATATTTTGATATTGCGACAGAATATTTTAATAAAAAATGAAGTCGATCTTGATAATTAAGGTAAATGCGCTCAACCAGATCACGCACAACAACAAATAAACCTACTCAAGACCAGACTCACCTTTCTTCTTCGCACGATCTTGGCTGCACAGCACTGATTCCCACATCCGCCCACGCATTTGGCATACTTGAGTGGTTGTCTGGAGCGACAATCGTTCTCAGTATAGTACTCCAGCACTTGCTCCTTCCGGCACGTGGAAGCCACTGGAATTGCAAGAGACAAGGCGCCAATTAGTGCACACGAAGAGAGCACAAAAGTTTGCAGTGCATGCGAGAAGGAAAAGAGATTGGATTAAATTTGTTTGTTAGCAATGAAATGAGCAGTACCAGCGACGTCAGAAGGCTCGGTGATGTCCTCACCTTGCTCGCAGAAGCGCCCCTTCGCGCCGCCCTTGCACTTGCACGTGTAGCCATCCTTGGCACTGCTGTTCGGCACGCACTTTCCGCCCCTTCGACATTTGTGATTCTCACACGGATCCACCTGCAATTACACCAGCAAGCAATTACAATTGCCGCTCTCACGATTGACTGTCGCACAGGGCAATTGAAGTAATGCCTAATTTGCGCGGTCAGCCCAAAAGTATTGGACGCGCGCTGATAAGCATTCTTTATTTCAGACAATCGCAAGTCAGTTGCATAAATGTCTAATAAGTCTCATTAGGATAGGAAATAAACATTTTGCAATTGATGAAGAAATATTAAACGTGAATATTCTTTTATAAAAAGATATTTTTTAATCTCTATCGTTAAAATTATGATGAATATTGTCTGCAAAAAGTCTTCAAAATGCGTCATTTCAGATAATTCCTTTTTTTTATTGCGCTTTAAGAGTGTCCAGGTTTTGCTTTCCGAGAACAGTTTTTAACACTAGCTGAACTAGTTAAAATTTTTTGATTACTTTTGAAATATAATTTTCCAGTTATTCTCAAGTTTCATACCTATTACAATAAACAATGATTCTCTCAAATGTCTTAGATAAGAAATTGGAGAACTTGAAATGATCTTTCATAGTTAGTCTCTGTGCTCAAGTTTGTTCATCTGATTAGACAGTGTTTTTTGGAAGTTTTATGAAAATTACCAAGGAGTTTATGACATCTTTAAATATGCCATTAAAAGAAAGTCTTGTTTTACAAGAACAATATAAAGAGCAATAAAGAGTCATCGTATAAATAAAGCTTCATACAATCGTCTAAACCTGTTAGTTGGAACGCGATAGTGTCGTAGTCAACATGGTTTTGCTAATTCTTGTACTGATCACTGTGTTTAGTGCAACACTGCTTTACTTCTATGCCAAAATCATATATTCGTATTGGGACAGAAGAAATGTAAAATCTCTCAAGCCAATATTTCCCTTTGGCAATCTCAAGGATGTTTTCCTGCTCAGGAAGAACTTCTCAGTCGTCTTTGTGGATTTGTACAACAGCACAGATGAACCTTTCATTGGGATTTACACGGCTAATAAACCTGGTCTCTTGATTAGGGACATTCACTTAATTTCCTCAATTATGGTGAAAGACTTTCAGTACTTTCACGATCGCGGAGTGTATGTGAATGAAGACGACGATCCTCTGTCCGGACATCTTTTCGCAACTTCTGGTGAAAAGTGGAGAAATTTGCGTGCTAAATTATCACCAGCTTTCACATCTCTGAGAATCAAAGCAATGTTCCAAACCTTTCTCGACTGTGGACAGAGTTTAGAAATTCATTTAATGAGAATTTCTGACACATGTGAAGAAGTCGAAATGCGTGATTTAATGGCTCGCTATACAACCAATATAATTGCTTCTGTCGTATTCGGATTGGAAACGGACACAATTACAGAACCTGAAGCTGTGTTCAGAGTCATGGGCAGAAAGGTAGGATTTGGAGGACAAGTAAAACCCACTCAAAGCTCAAAATCTCATGGATTTCCTTTCAGTTTTTCGAACCAACACTGAAGAACATCTTCAGATTCACTTGCTTATTTGTCTTGCCGCATTTGGGCAAAATGTTCAACGTCAAGTCCGTACAAAGTGACTATGAAGCGTTTATTATGACTGTGGTGAAAGACGCCATGGATTATCGTGAGAAGAACAACATCACGAGAAAGGACTTCATGCAGCTTCTCTTGCAACTCAAGCACGAAGGAAAAGTCGGCAATGAGGACTCGTGGAATATTGTGAAATCAAAGGAAGGTGGGAAATTGTTGAACGAATCATTTATGGACATCTTAGAATTTGCAACACTGTGAATATTGTTGCAGGCGATGCGGAAAAGGTGTCCTTCGAGAAACTAGCAGCTCAAGCTCATGGCGTTTTCATGGCTGGCTTCGAGACCACGTCAACAACGATGTCCTTCTGCATCTACGAACTGGCTAAGAATCCTGCCATTCAGGCAAGAGTTCAGGCCGAAATTGACGCCGTGACGAAGAAATACGACGGCAAGATCACATATGAGTCCATTAATGAGATGAAGTTTCTGGAGCTCTGCATCGATGAGATAGTCAGAATGTACGGTCCGGCGCCTGTCCTCAATCGCGAGTGCACGAAAGCGTACAAGATTCCTGGAACGGATATCACACTGGAAAAGGGAACGCGCATCTTTATTCCATCGCAGGCAATTCACAGTGATCCGAAGCACTTTCCCGATCCGGAGACATTCAAGCCGGAGAGGTTCTGCGATGAGGCGTGGAATAGCGCCGGAGGGCTCAAATACATGCCGTTCGGGGAGGGACCGAGAGCTTGCATTGGATTGCGAATGGGAAAGATCCAGGCGAAGATTGGCATTGTTCTGATTCTTGCCAAATTCAATGTGGCTTTGGGTGAAAAGTTGAAAAATATGAAGAAAATCAAGTATGAATTGAAGAGCTTCACACCAGCCATCGAAGGCGGAATGCATATTAAGATTTTCCGCAGAAAATAATTAGTGAAGTCGCAGAGAGTTTTCTTTACGAACACTTATTGCTGCGCTTCTTTATGTCCTATCATTGGCCACTTTAAAAAATTCCACCATTACTTATGCACCAATTGTGTCAATTTATATCTCTTTTGCAGCACAAAATCACCCCCTCTTGGCACGTAAATTGTCTTCCATATAGCAATTAAAGCTTGAATTAAAACGAAAAAATGCCCTCCGAAATATTATCTCGTGCCATAATTAATATCTTCAGGGTCTTGAGTTATTTCCCATGAAATAAATTTACCTGTTTGAGGATTTGCGGCGTCTCTTGCATCACGTCATCCACTTCGCCTTCGTACTCTGGATCAAGGAGAGCACATCCTGGCGTGACTTTCTGCTGTCGAGCGGCATTGCCAAAGTCCACTTGCTTGTGGTTAATCCACACTTCCTTCATGCAGCCCTTGAAGCTGGTGATGTTGCGCAGATGCCAGTGACTGAAGGCATGTTGGCCGGGCTCTTGTGGCAAGCCGCCGAGGAACATCGGTGCGGAGAGCTTCAGGAAGTCCTTGGCGCCCTCATTGATGATAGATCTGGCCAGACCGCGATTCACGCGCAGCGTGAAGTTCTTCTTGATGGCCAGCAACTCCACCATGTGATACCGTCCGTCGGAGACCATCTCGAAGCTGTACATCGTGGACACTGGGTAATTTCCCACATCATAGCTCACGCGGATGCGTCCGTTGAACAGCTCAACGGCCAGGTGTTCCATGTGGCCATCGTACATGAGAATGCCATTCTGCTGCGTGGTGCTGAAGACGATGGTCACATTCGCCTCTGGCTTCGTGCGCAGAGGCTCCATTTCCACGAAGGAGTTGTTGTGCACGAATGACAGGCTCGTGAGGTATTCACAGCGCTTCCCTGAGTATCCGGGAGCGCATTTGCACACGTAGTCGGCGCTCGAGGGGCTCGGCTGGAAGCACACGCCGTGCTTGCACTCGTGCTGCTGACAAGGCGACGTCTGGGGATACATCATCGCCACCATTGGTGCTCCCTCGCAGAATTTCCCCGTGAAATCCTCTGGGCATTTGCACACGTAGTCATTGATGCCGTCGACACACTCTCCGCCGTTCTGGCACAGGTGATTCTGGCAATCGTCGATGTTCTCAGAGCAATTCTCACCGCGGAAGCCGGGGAGGCATTCGCAGGAGTAGTGAGTGAAGTGATCCATGCACTTGGCGCCATTCAGGCAGGGATTGAAGTCCGTGCAGAAGGGAATCTTCACCTCGCACAGTTCACCCGTGAAGCCTGCCGGACAGGAGCACGTGTACCCTTCGACGCCATCGATGCACGTGCCATTGTTCTGACACTTATTCTCTGCACAGTCGTCAATGTTGATCTCACAGCGTGCTCCTGAATATCCGGGCAGGCATTGGCAGCTGAATCTGCCCTCCTCCAGCACCGAACACGTGGAATCGTGCCGACAGGGATTCCCATAGCATGCGTCAATCATGTACTCACAGTGCTCTCCATGGTAACCAGGTGTGCAGCGGCACTCGTACTGCCTCTCCGGAAGGGCACGACACTCGGCGTCATTCTGGCAGGGAAATGTGTAGCATGCGTCGCATTTGGACAGGATTTCATTGCTGACACGACTGCGACATACAAAGTAGCTCGCCGGCGTGGACAAGAGCAATTTGTCACGCATTGTCTCGGGCTCAGCACATCGCGCGATGCCCGGCTCCACATAGTCCAGCTTCACCCACTCCGACAGCCACTTCAGCGAGCAGTCACAGTATAGAGGATTGCTGCCCAGAGCACTGTGGAGAGGGAAATGAAAACACGTGTTTTGTGTGGGGGAAATAAATCTTCCTTTTCCGCATCAATATAGTTTCCGAAAAGAAATGGGGCGGAGCTTCAACGTGGGCGGAGTTTAGAGAATTTCCCCTCATCTCAGGGGATTTCAGGGAATTTATTACGAACTACAGTAAGTTGTGAGTGAACTCGCATGGGAATAAAATCATGCAACACACTTCCAGGGGAAAATTCATCGCATCTGCCATGGGGTTTTCCGCCTTGTCGTGACGCATGTGAGGGATGCTGGGGCATTCTTCAAATTCAATATTCCACTCTGTCTCGCTCTCCCCATGTCGAGGAGATAAAAGTGATGTGGCAGTGCGATTACAATTATAAATGACTTACATGTGAGTTATTGCTGTGAGATCGCTGAAACTGCCGTCCGGAATCTGGGAGATTTGATTGCCATGGAGGGACAGAACACGGAGATTCTTCAGTCCAGTGAGCGCATGTCGCTGTACACATTGCAATTTATTGTAACTAATGATTCTGTCAAGTGAAACATGAAATTTTACCATGTTAATTGATTTTCCTCACCATCAGAGTAAAATACACAAGTTCAGGGGGATCAGCAATACTTACAGTGTTGATAACTTTGAGAGATTGGTGAATGTGTAGTTGGACAGCATGTTTATTTGATTGTTGCTCAAGTCCCTACAGGGGCAGAATAGTTGGTGATAAGATTTATCATCTCTGGTTAAAGTAGAGAAGAGGAGAGATTCTTCGATACTCACAGGCGCGTCAGACTCTTCAGGTGACTTATTCTGTCCGGATGAATCATGGTGATGTCATTTGACTCCAGGTACAGCTCAGATGTCTCCGCTGGGATACCCTTGGGGATCTCCTTGAGTTTATTCCGCGAGCACCGCACCACTGTGCCCGTGCAGGAGCATTGAGGCGGACAGTAGTCCTCGCCCAGACATCCCTGGTCGGCGTCACTCAAGCACTTGAACTCGTGATGGGGCAGCTCTCGCAGGGGCACATCCACCACCTTCGGTGGGGCGGAACATCGAGGATTGGCCCCTGACAAGCCGCGCTTCTTCAGCCAGTCTGAGAACCATGCCAAGTGGCAGTTGCAATTGAATGGATTTGATCCCAAGTTTCTGCAAATAGACATAGAGAGAGAGAGAGAGAGAGAAAGGAAATTCAGCCAAATGGTCCATTAAGCGTCCCTCAGGACCTTCCCTGGAGGCTAGACAGTAAATATTTACAGAGTGTGCAGCGATGTTAGGTAGTCAAATGAGCCGGGCATGACGCACGATATCAAATTATCGTAAAGGGAGAGTGACTTGAGGTTGTGCAGACCGAGGAACATTTTATTGTGTATCTCCGGGATTTTATTCTCCGCCAGCACGAGATCCTGAATCTTTGACGCCCCCTCGAAGGAGTTTCTCTCGATGCCCGTTATCTTATTCCGCCTCAAGTCCAACTTCACGAGATTCGGCAATCGTCCGAACAGCCCATCAGACCTTATCCTGCCCAAGTCATTGTCGTTCAGCAGCAATTCGGTGGTGTGCAGAGGAATGTCACGTGGGATCTCCTTGAGTCCCCTGGCGGAGCAATCCACTGTTGTCCTCTCGCAGTGACACGCCGCCGGACACTCCACGTCAATCCGACACTCGCCCGCGTGGCGTGTCTTGTAGTCATCAGCACCAGTGCCTACGGCGAGATAGAGAGCATCACAATCGGTCCTCATCCCATCGCTCTGCAATATTGTACATTTGAACTTATCATCTCGCAACACATCAATTCTGCGCCGATGCATTCGCTTCGGGGATTCACAGCGGGCTCCACTTGTCTCAATGGGATTCCTATGCAGATAATCGGCCAACCACCGCAAATTGCAATCGCATATAAATGGGTTCTTCGCCAAATGACTGGGGGCGGCGGCGCAGCACAGCGTGTGGAGAGAGCGACAGACGAGAAAGAATGGTAAGTCACATGGATTTGTTGTTTGGCCACTACTAAATACGCTTTGCGGGTCTCTTTTTCCCTCTGAGCGCACTTAAATACAAAAATCCCCCCCCCCACATGAAAGCTCACCCAGTGTAAATTGTTGGGACAAGCGGCCCAAATACACATTCATTTTCCCGCCGAGAGAAAAGCACTTCCCGCCTTTTTTCATCCCCTCCCAGCAGCAGCTTTTCACACCCATCGCTCTTTTCAAACCCACTCTGACAAAACACTCTCAAGAATCTCTCTTTTGAATTTTACAGCCCTGTAAATTCTGCCTGGGAAAAAGGAGTGAGAAAGTCACAGATATATATCTTCACAATATCTCATAAAATATTTATCAGTGAATTTAATATGAAAGGAACCCATCGTCTTCCCAATTCGCTACAATTTTTTCCCCAGTCAATTCACCAGTGACGCAGAAGTGGTGAAACTGTATATGAATTGACTTGTTTTTCCTCTGCATTTTTCCACTACGTCTCTGAACAACAAAAGCTGAATACCGAGATTCATACAAAAGTCTCTTCTATTTTGGTTGGAATTGGAAATAAATGCCCCACTGTTTCCCATAACATAGGAGGACATTAATAGAATATCCTCCTTTTCGCATCAAGTGATAAATTCAGCGACAGTGAGGAGAAATATGTGGATCAGGCATATTGCCGTGGCAGGAAAGGATACAAATTGAGAGTGCGGAAGTGTTACTTACAGCGTCTGAATGCTCTTCATGGAATCAAAAGTGCCATTTGCCAGCGATTGTATGTTGTTGTCGTAGAGAGACAGCAAGCTCAAACTGTGCAAATCTCTAAAAGTGTCCTTTCGTATACAATTGATTTCATTGGCATTGAGGAGCAGCAGCTGCAGGGATGTGAGACCCTTGAAGACACCACTGGGCAGATCTTTGATTTTATTCCCGTACAGAATGCTGCAAGTATGTGGGTGGGAAAATTGGTTAGAGGAAAATCCGATCCTGAGTGCTTTTATTGCTCTCTAAGCTTTTCATATCATGCTGCCAAGAATGTTTGCTATGTGGTGTGATGAAATTGGGGCGCACGCGGGGGCGGCTGAAAAGATACTTACAGTGAGGCGAGTGCTTTCAACCCAGTGAAGGCATCATGAGCAACACGGGATATGTTGTTGTTAGACACATCGATTCTCCTCAGACGGCGATAATTTGCAAATGCTCTCGGTGGCAATTCTGTGATATAATTCTGCTCCAAGCGTCTGAAAAGTGTTAAAGTTGCAGAAACTTTTAATATGCCACGCAAGAAGGCATTCTACGTCATTTCATTGCGCTTGGAAACATGGATGAGGAAAAGTGAATAAGATAGTTTTCAACAAATTGTATCTCTCTCGGTTATTTTTCGGGTTACATGGTTTGGGGGTGATGGAACTTTTTCCATGTTTTCCGCACAGGCCAAGCAAAATACACTCCTCGCATCTCTGTGTGCAAACTTTTTTTCTCCAACTTACAGTTCAGTGGTATCTTCAGGAAGTGAAGTCGGCACGCTGGATAGACTTTTCTCCCGACAATCCACAATGCCATCAGCACAGCGACAAGGATGAGGACACGAACTCCGTGCTCCGCACTCCATTTGTGCATTCTCCGCCAGACCTGCAGCGGAGTTTAATTGGCAACATCAACAAATTGTAAATTAATCGCTAACAGCAAATTTTGCGGGAAAATTCTTCGTCTCTCGAGCGTGATTGCTTTTTCGTCGGAAAATAATTACAAAAGCCACCAAATCAACAAGCAACCACCGCACAATTTAGCTATCAATACCTTCGTCAGGGTACATAATTTATAAAATTACCACCACCGCCGGCACACGTGTTCGTATGCGCCACCGAGCTGGGGCGGGGGCGCTCCGGTGGGGCGCCCTCAGGCAGCGAGTGTTTGAGGGTGGAAAATTCACACTCAGTGAGCAAGATGGCAAATATATTGCATTACTTCTCACCTCAATTCATTTGCAATATCGCCAGCAATACACAATCAGCCACTGAATGTGTCATTTGCATAATTTTCCATATCACCGATATGAAACAAATCCTGTATAAATTATGCTGTACAAATTATCTGTGAATGATCAACAATTACCGCAATATGCTTTTTTTTTCACTGTGTAATTATGTATTTTGTTTATCTTGTTGCCAATTTCTCTGGATTAAATGGAAATTGTCCAAGTTACAATTTTCTATTTTCTGAAATGTCGCTCAGACAGCAATTTTCAATTCATCCTGCAGCTGCATTTTTCCTGCAACTCCTTCAGTTTTTTTCCTCCATTTCCCTTAAATTCAATTTGCCATTGGCATTTGCAGTCATAAATTAACAATTGGCAGCCAATTGCTGCGCATGGTGAGCTTGAGAAGTGCTGTAAATATCTCTCTCCGCAGTCGAGTAAACTAATTGGTGACTTATTTGAAAATAATTGTCGCAATTTGGTATTCCAATTCAATTATGTTACCAATGAATATACGATTAATTTTCTGAATAATTTATGCCACCTCATTTAAATGGCTTTTCCCCCCATTTCACATTTGCATTAGAGACAGCCGCGGAAGAAAGAGTTCATGAGTGGCGACAATCAAACTACTGATGAGTCGGTGGATATATAGTCCATTTGCCGCACACAAAGTGGAGCTTCTAAATGATTCATGTGGCGAAAAAAGGGGAAAATATGTGCTGTGGATGGAGAGGATTATTACCTGAGCATTTGAACTCCGAATCGTGCAGGTCACCCACGTTTTGTCCCTTCAATTGGCCCGGTGAATGGCACTTGGTGTGCGCTGCAAGACGTGAGGCACTCCTCAGGAATCTCGAGAACCAAGACAGATGACAATCGCAGGCAAATGGATTGTCGGACAGACGAAGAGCACGTAATCGCGACATGCCGCTAAATAAATCTTTCGGCAGTGTTGTCAAGTTGTTATTGTTGAGTGTTCTACAAGTTGCCATGTGATTTTTTTTTCTCCTCTCCATCGCGCGTCCGCCCCAGAGGGTGGGCATGGAAAGAGAGAGAGAGAGAGATTGGCGTGGGTGAGAGACAATTTATCGCTGGTACAAGCGCACTGATTTGCAATGGTAATTTATAATCAATTTACAGTGTTACTCCGGAGGTAATAACATTAAAATACTCACAGTATCTCCAATTCTGTGAGCCCCTTGAACGCCTGCTCGTCCAGACAAGTGATCTCATTGCTGTCCAGATGCAGACTCCGCAGGGACGAGGCGCCCCGAAATATCCGGCGTCCGACTGTTGTCAGTGAATTGTGAGACAAATCTCTGTGTGTGCCGAGAGAAATAAAAAGGGAGACCATTTAAATCATCACCATCTCTTCCCTATCTTTACACACAAATTTCTCCTTAATTAACTTAAATACTCGCGCGCGCTCGCATTTAATTAGAAGTCCACCTTTTGCCTCACATTTTGCAATGAAAAACCATATTTCCGCGGAAGAGCTTTCCACGTTGTCGTATTAAAGTGGATGTGCAGAACACGGCGGAGCATTTCGATGGAAGCTATATCTTGTGCCATGCTTATAAATAAATTCATGGTGTTTTCCATACACAACACCCCAATACAGCTATAAGTACTTACAGTCTAAGAAGATTAGCTGTGCTCCCCAAAAAGTTGTCTGGTATTGTTTTCAGCTTATTGTTGTTGAGTCGTCTGCAAAGTGAAACAAGTGAAATGTGAATAAATTGTATGAAATATAGCATTTAAACTACATTATACTGTATATCTCATGCACATTGTCGCCTTCATCAGCCACTATTGTATCTGGTGTGCTACAAATACCCCAAAAGATGTAATATTTGTGGTTTTTACACTCAAAATACTCGCAATTTCTGACGTTTTCAGTCGCAATTGTTCAAGAATTCAGATATGACGGCATTTGATGAAGGCAACGGCTCGCTTCCACTCCCGTGGAGACAAATAATTCACATTTATTCACTTAGCACATTGATATTAATCAACATTCTTGATGTGGGGATAAAATGGGCAGCAGCAATATTTCAAAATTAATAATATGTATAACTCACAATCTCTCCAATCTGCTCAAGTCCTGCAGTGCATTCTTTTCAATTGTATGAATTTGATTATCCGTCAATTGACTGCAATGAGAAAGAAGAGAAAAAAGCACCTTGAATTCAGTAATGAATCTCAACACACTCACTCAAAGCACTCACAATCAATTTACGCACGAACAAAGTGTATCAATGTGAAAATTTCAGTCACATTTAATCGCGAATAATGCTCAATTACTCTCGTGATTCCTGGCGCACCATTGGATAAATGCGAGAGATTATGGTGATTAAAATCAAGCGAATTTTATTAATCCTGTTAACAGTGCCTCAAAGAGCGCGTTATTTAACAAAAACCCACCCAAATTTATTGCCACCCAACAAATATTACCATCGCCGTATTAATTAACGCATAATAAAATAACATTCCACCTGAAGTTGAGACGCGAGCTGTGGAAGTTATAGAGTGGTAAGTTATTTAAAGTGTATATGGCAAAGTATTATACATGCATTTGTATAAAGAGAGGCTATAATGCTGTATCTCGGATTTCATTTTCTCGCTACACAGAACGAGATTTGTTTTTTCTTCTTATTCCCTCGTTATTTACAAGACTGTGATGGAAAAGACAAAAAAAAAATACTGCAGCATTTCACCGCACGGAACTTTTCACAACCGTGGCTTCATATTTATACATAATTCCAATTCTCACCCATCTAAAATGTCCGCATTTTATATTTTCTCCTGCAACAGCAGAAGCTTGGAAATTGCTGTCTTCGTATGTATTAAATGCGGAAAAAATTTTTATGTTAGGAGGAAACATAATATGAAAAAAGTCCATTAAGATAAGTGCAATCATAGTCAATGGTCGGACTGAATTGCAAGAATACTTTGATTCTCCGCCGATGATGATAACTCTGCCCAAATTTACCATGTGGTCAGAGAAATGCATTTGATGTTGTTCGGGTAATTAAAACAGTGGCTCTGCGCCATCACGAGCAATTCCATTCAATGCCAGACGCCAAAGAGTGTTATTTTGGGTTCCATACACACAAAAATGCATTTTGTACAAATGTGTGTAATTATAAATGAAACACCCATTTCGCATTAATTTTTCAATAGATTGTGAGCAAACTGAGCGGGAGACGAGCTGAATAAGAGTGGTGACAAATCAAATTGAGATAAAATTTAATGGTAGTAATTAAATTTCCAATTACCACTGGCATATTCATTTTAAAGTCTATATCACTCTATATTTGTACGATGTGTTAGAATACAGTGTATTGCGCCTGAATTGAGTGAATTTGTAGCGGAATGTCGGTTCAATTTTACACAAAATGTACTCACTGAGGGTCTCACTATAATATTTAAGAGAAATATAATTGCACTTTATCCTGCTTGGCTCTATAAAACCTCAATAAAGCTAAAAAAGCAACCCAATCTGCACTCTATTTTAATGAATAGCCTCTGTATTCACAATCCATTTTGTGGGATCCATTAGTTATTTTGTCTATGGTAAATATTATCACTTAATATTCCAATTGATTTGCATTTCATTAAAATTTCATAATCAGCCTGACCAAAGTGCTAATCGACATTTTATCAGCTGCACACATTTTCAACACACTCTCTTGTCGCACACAAAGGTTATTTCTCCTGTATTTTTTTTTAATTAAAATCATAAGCTTTGCAGTGAAGGATTTCTCCTTTATAGTCAGGATATGAAAAAAAATTGTGTATTGCGTGGATTTTTCCCCATCTTAAATTGCATATCTCATTTAATCTCGATTCACCAGCGCCGTGGAGCTTCATTAGGTGCCATTAAGAAACCTCCTCTGTACTCACTGTGCACTCCCTTCGTCTCGCTGGCCTCTCAATAGGAAACTTTGCTCTGGGCGTCTTGTATATATTAGATTTTACAGTGAGAGGGAAAAAGTGCGCGGTGAATTCCATCACACCGTCTTCATCCACCCCTATTTTAAGTCCACCCTCAATTTTTCATTCATTTTTATACGCTTTTTTCGCCTCCTCTCTTGTTTCTTCGCATCCCTTCACCCTCGTGCCCACATGCAATATTTATTCGTTTCAACTTCCTTCGCCCCTGACATAGGAGAGCTTGTGCGAAATTATTTACAAGGCATGCCACCTCGTCTGGGTGTTATATTCGCAAAATAAATAGCCAATATTATTTCCCAAGTGTCAATTAAATTTCGTGAAGCAGCTTAAGTGAATTCCCCCTCCGTCGGACTAATGCCGTGGCCACAGAGTGTGCTATTAAGCGGCTAGTGGAATATTTTCCTCCTTAATATATCTCCTGTGTCCTATTTCAATAAACACTGGCGGCTGGGTTGAGATTTAATAAGGGACATTCTGGAGCTTCACATATTGCCTCTTATTGTTGGCCCGTGTGTACACTGGCTATTATTGCGCTCAGAAGGACCCTCTCGTCTCTTTCCTTAACACTCCATCTACCAAGGATGGAATTATTTTAATACAGGCAATGCTGGCCACGCTGGCCCGTTGAGAAGTGTTTTTATTGCTCTTTTTCTTTGGTTGCAAATTGAAAAGCTATTTAAATTCTCTTTTTTTCTTTCTTTATAGAGAATTAACATTTTTTGGTACTCTTTGCGCCAATTGAAAGCAATTTGCATTTATCCATGGTGTCTAGCATCACATTTTGAGTGTTCCTTGTGCAATATTTCAGGATCTCTAGTGTTAATACTCACAGAATCCTGAGTCTCGGCAAATGCTGCAAGTCCGACTCATAGATGACGGTGATGTTGTTCCCTTGCAGGTCACTGCAATGAAATAAAGAATAATATACAGCGTGAGCATTGTTGCTTCTTACTTTTCGCAATATCCCCTCATAAATTACAATTAAGTCACCACCTTACGAGGTTTGGCTTGTTTGTCAACTCAATGTACTAGACCCGAGCCATCGTCATGCGGAATTGAAACAAATGACCGCTCCCATGGCCAGTGCATTGCATTCAATCTCGCCACAAATTGCAATATCCACTACTCCCACTGACCAGCCATTCTTGGACACACCATCGCCGGAATGTCAAACGGCAACATCGGCGACTCGGGGGCGATTTATTCATCCCCGGAGGGAGGATGGCTCTCCAGTTTGCCAATTCACCAATAGTCGGGAGTGTTTGTTCGTGCGAAAATCCTCCTCGACTTGAAATCACTATTTGCGGGTGAATACACTCAACGGTGACCATTTGTCACCACATCCTGGACTCCAAGAGTCACTCATATTAAATGGGATTTCGGGGTGCTGTGAAAGCTGAAATGTGTGTCTTTCACCGCACGGAAAAAGAGCGCCCTTATCGACCACTAATTTCGATAGAGATTGCATAGCATTTGTCGGCTATAAATCACATTTACTTCCCCGAAAATTGTATGAATGAATTTTTATGGTCGAAAACAAGCATTGCCAGAAGACACGTTGGGAATGTCTGACAAATATTTATGTTTATTTTTCAATGACTCGAAAGAATGTCTCCCATACAGTGAGTAAAGTTGCAGTTGGCAGCAGATTTGAGAACTTTTCTCGCGCACCATCCGATAAAATCACATTATATTTGCGAGAGTGCCAAATAAACTTACCTCACTGTATTATTCTTCCTCGAAGAATGTCCAACGCCTAACATACATATAGTGTTTATTGTTGTGGGTAAAATCAACACTTTTTACAGTGCTGGAGAAAAATCCTTCTGTCGCGTCATTTCATGTAAATTGTTTGAGTGGAAAATGGACTTGCAAATTTGCATTATTCACAGCGTTAGACAGAGATTCTGCAATTCAAATGTCTCTCAGTGTCGCCATGAAAAGAGTTCAAGTACAGCCAGGGAGTCAATAAAGAAATTAAAGTTGTGCCATGCATGACAATTAAGCTTCCGCTCATCAATTTGTATCTTCACACAAAGTGGATTGTGGCTTTTTATTCATAAATGTGTATTGATCAATAATTTAGCAACAAGTTGGAGAGTGGCCAATTGTCAATCACACAAGCAATTACTTTTTCAGCAATTCTGCTTCTCAATTTATATCAATTCCAATGTGGAAAATATGCACACTGTGGCAAATTTCTGCAATATTTACTCTCACGACTGGAGAGCAAATAAATATTTGATGGCAAAAATTCCATCCATGATAAATGGAAAGTAATAATTCATCGCTGGACGAGGGAATCTTCCTTCCCGATGCGGGATATGCCAATTAATGAGCTTTTTGACATCAATTTGCATGTGAATGAGTCACGATTTCAGGAGCCCGTCAGTTATATGCAAGAGTGACACATTTCACAATATGATCCAATCAATTTTTTACGCTTCTCCGAATATCGCTGCAGAGGCGACAAAAAAATGAGCGTGAAACTGATGGTCGGACGGCATCCTCCCTTCCGGACTGTACACAAGTTTCTTGCCCCCAAATTGGGTGCGGAGGTGTTGAAGAGTAATCCTGTAACATGATCCCGAACCACCCTCAAACCCACTTTCATCCTCCCCTCAAAAAAACAGACAGACTGTGGCGCGTATAAAATGTGCGGAGGAAACTACAAAACGTCGTGTGATTAACCCTTTCGTTTCCTCAGCAACCAATTTGATGTATGCGAACTCTGACGCTTCGCACCAGCTGATGATGATGATGAGATTCGCAGTGCTTTTTGCCCCCAAGGCTTCGGTGTGTGCGGATGTGTGAAAGAGGGTCTCCGGAGATGCGTGAAAGGGGGCTGAGGATAAATTGGACTCTGTGTGTAACCAGAAATGAACTTCTGTGTGTGGACAACCAAAAGACTTACAACTCTCCCTTGAACTTCTTCTGTGGCTCACTTCACTCACAGACTCTCAATAACGTATCAAATTAATTGCAATATAAATGGGCATTTGAGGCAACAGAGCATGAAACCAACTGGCGCAATAAAGTTGAGATCTTAGCAATTTTCTCCCAATTCAGCGGCAAAAATAAAACCAATGATGGCAATTGTACAGATAAATAATTGGCAATCATTTAGCGATTTACCATTTATCCGGGAATATTCAATTTAAGCCACTCCATAAGTGGTTTTCCCGAGGCATTAATTAATGGAAATTTTATTGAGTGAATTCGGATTGTGGCGCAGAATGTAGTGGAAAAAAGACACAAAGTGTTGAACATCCGAAGATAGAAGTGAAAATGCGCACATCATCGTTGATCGCATAAACATCACTTGTCTGCCTCTGCAATTGAGTATTGCACCAAATATTTTGATTAAAATTAATCCGGCGGGATGACTATTGGCCGTTGCCATGAGTAACAATAATCAAATTTGAACGATTATTGCCGTGCAGGGATTCATCGTGTGGCAATGATGCCATGACGAGAGACCACATTTCCCATCTCTATTCCCCATCACGTGGAAAACCATCCGCACATATCGAAATCCCGCATCTAAAGCACTTTACATTTTTTGCCATCATCCCTTATGCTTTCATTCCTCACAGAGAAAGAAGAGATGTGTAGTGAATTTATTCCAATGAGTGACTTTCTTTTGAACCTGTGATAAAATCACATTCTTTTCTCTATCATGTCAATTCATACTTTCTTTTATCTCGTCGGGCTTTTTCTTCTCCTCTTCGCCACCATATCTCTGCTCCTTGAGCTCCAGACGGAGAAAGTCGAGTGAAAGGGATGAATTTGAGGCGAAGGATCAAATTTCAAGTCATACCTTCCACTGTCAACCTTTGGGAAGCCTTTTTCCTCTCCACCAGCGCACAGACATTCAGGAAAGTGGGGAGGAAATTGGAAAAAGGATGAGTTGACAAGATATTTAAATAGTTTCATATTTTGACAAAAAGAAGTGGAGGATGGAAGCATATTGTATTTACCAAAGAGGATTGTGTTGTGATGAAGAAAGCGAAAGTCATGTTTGGGAGCAAGAAAATGTTCTTTTCTATATACACCACAACATATCCTTAATTATTTACTTATAATTACGCGAGGATTGAGTGCCTTGGTATGTTGGTCACGAATTACGTGAATAAATGTTGGGATTTCTCCATTAGTGGGAGGCAAAACAAAAGTGCAATTCATCAAGTGGAGGGAAAAGAGAAATATTGGATTTCATAAAGCCTTTCCGCCACTGTTATTCTAGCTAACGTCAAGAATACCTAATTTCTTGAAGGAATTACTCAATTAACGAAGTGCGAAACCCAGCAATGCTATTAAAATTTTCCACGTACAAATCATCATCAATTTTAAATTCACAAACACGCTAAAAACATCATTTTAATCATCTATGAAGCATTGGAAGGACGCAGAGTTTCCACAATTCCTCTTTCACCATTTGACCAGCGTCTTTATGCTCTCGGCAATTTCTCACCCATGGCACAAGAAGTAGAATATCATGGCGCTATTTTGGTTCATTGCAGATGGTTCAATTTAAAACTCATCAACAATGCATAAGTCTCAATGTGTATAGCGAGAGTGAAAAAGAGGAGATGTTTCGCCATATATACAAAAATATTCCTCTGCCCTGGATATTATTTTCATAGTCTAGGATCATTTTTCATTTTCCACTCTACTCACTGCCTTACACGCCGAATAGTGAAGTATAATTCTCTCTCTCTCTGTCTCCCTCTCCACTCTTGGGCCCTGTAAACTGAATTGTCTGTCCACCCGTCCATCCAAGGTACAAAATTCTGCCTCTTTTTCCGCCCTGCGACCATATCGTTTCACTATACATAGTACAATAAATCAAAAAAATATTTGGTTACATTTTTTCCCTCTCTCACTCTGTGTGCTTTCCTCTTCGTCATCATCATCAGGAATTTATGATCGCGGCAGATTTGATTTATTACACACTATATGTTTTTCGACGGGCCGGACAGCGTGCATTAAAGTATGTTTTATCAAGGGCCCAAGCGGAGGACAACGCGGGCCAAGACGCTCTCCGGCAGATGCAAATCGCGTGGGTGGTGGAGATGTAATTTTGCAAAGCATGGAGATGTGCCAGAGAGCGCTGGAGTGGATGAATGATGAGAGTGGATGCGATTGAAGTGGACGGGTAACAATATACCACTAATTGTGGAGTACGCCACACACTCAGTACTCAGGGGGTCATCAACAGGCGGATGAAGATGCTGGAGTGGTCCTCGAGATGCCTCCCAATCCCCGCCCGGCCAAAGATATCTTTCGCGCGCCACAATTGATTGAGGGTGGACGAGAGAGTGAGAGTCTCTAATCCGCTCTCGAGAACGCACATGAAATGCTATACATGTGAATATGAGATATCCTCTTCAGCCGCAGCAAATGGTAAGATAAACACTGAAATATTGAGATCATGCTTCTCATCTTTTTGCCATTCAATCACTCCCTAACCACACATTATGCCTAATTGCTCTCCACTACATATTCATCACGTACAAGCCGCGCAACGAGCCACAAAAAGGCAATTTGTTAGCTTCTCCATCTACCATTTGATTGGCGATTAAAAAAGCCGAGAATTATACACATGCTTCTTAATTGTGCACAAATTATGATTATGTTCTCCTTCTTTTTTTCTCCTTCTCGACATTGGAGCTCCCCTTTGCTGCTCAAATTGTCGTTGGCTGCATCAGCCTTGAGAGTCTAGCAATGTGAGCACATTTCAAGCTCGCCAAAGGTGAGGAAAAGCTCAATTGTGGCAAGTGACGATGCAGCTGGCGATGTGTAAATACATAACCTATGAGCAAATGAAGATTGGTCTGAGAGATATCCGGAGGAAAAGGGGCGGCAGTGGAGAAATACACTCCTCTCTTATTTTTAATAT